AATTAACCTATTTTTTTTTGCTCGAGTTTTGATTTGATGTTCGTGATTTTCGTATGTCGCTAGCAAGATTATTCAGTCTATGATTACTCTTGACTTTTGCAATTGATTTGTTTAAAAGAGCCAGGGCTTCTGGATTGACATGAAATTTGCAGTTAAACGAGATTTGAGAGGAATTGGGTACTAAATTATTCATTCATTACTAATTTATGTTGAAGACGCATGATAGATAGAGAGAGAGAGCAAGAGTCAGAGGTGGATTTAAGGGGGGGGGGGCGCGAGGGGCGCCCCCCCCCCCCCCCCTAATTTTTGACAGTGCCCTTTTTTACTGCTGAAAGTGCCCTTTCTCAGACCCAAATATGTCCGTTCCCAACCCGTTGCAGGGATCCCAAATGACTCAAACCATCGATTCAAACACACCAGTCTGGTCTAATTAATGCTTCCACTTGCAAACGAATTCTTGTTGTTTAGCTGCGACGGTGCCCTAATCCTATAGAGCGACTATAGACAAACATCTTGTGGAATCGGCGGCGTACACTCATGCCCATCACCGACGCGCATGAGTGCAACTTGATGACCTGGCGCCTGGTACGTTCGGGCATTTTTATGCGCGAACTCTTAGGTTTTTTTTACTGGCATACGCACAGGTACTATTTCTTTTTCTTTTAACAAGTACCCAAATCGGGGATTTCGTGCCGAGGTAGTTCGGAGGTAAACAGTCTGTGAAGTACAACACTTGCCACTGTACCTGTGTATCGCTAATTATAAACCGAATGTGTGAAGACAGTTCATACATGATCACTCAAAAATATATATTTCACGGCTACGTTGTGACGGTACCAGCATACCCAGTTGTTGACACCCATTACATCACTCCTGTCTAACAAATCATAAAGCTGTGGTGTTACGATGGCGGCATAGTATTTCACCGTAACACCACAGCCACTCTAACCATTCATCTAACTATCCCTTTACAGCACTTCACTCCCTACACATTTCCCCTCGTCCTACTTTCCCAAACGTCAACAACACATCTCATACATCCAGTTCGCTGATTAACCCTTGTACCACGTCTACTGGATGTAGCATTGTTTCATGTGTGGACAGTACAAAGTACAAGTTACAAGGCTTAAATAGTGAAGTGGCCAGGGAACAGATTCGTCTTTTTTCCCATCATAATGCCTCGCTCGCCTTGACAATTTTCGAGTCGCATGTTCAACTGGCTTTTTTGCTCGATTTTAAGGCTCTTTTTTAACGATTTCCGAACGTTTACTTAGACGAAAATATCAGCCAAATAGCTCTTGGAATGGCTATAGATTCAAGGAAATGACGGATAATTTTCTTGGGGGACCCCCCCCCCCCTCAGCGGCGTGCCCCGTCTCCGCGGTCAGTGCCCTCATTTTGCGGCGCCCCCCTTTTCAAAATTCCTAGATCCGCCCCTGAGAGTGGTAAAACAAGATTCTTTAAGAAACACTTAGTGATAAATGACTTACGCAAACTAGGTTAACATTAACACACTTTTATGTATACACAATTACTAAGTTTAATACTGTGACTATTCGACGAGTTTACTCTCGTCTTTATCAAGCAAATGATGCAAATATGTGAATAGTGGACAAATTATATATTTTTTTTTATAAACAATATTTTTATTCAGGATGTCTGAATGGGATTGGGGAACAGGCTTTGCCTATGTAAAACCCCTCTCCCTGTGAAACAAAAATAACAATCAAATACAATTAAAACTGAACACCCTTGATTTATTTGCAACTAAACGAACACAGTGGGTGTTTAGCAAAAATGAGACCGACTGATGCACGGGCAACTAATAGCACCAGGGGTGCGAGCTTTCTAGGGGGCGGGAATCATGTTCCTTCTGAGAAATATTTGAATCTAGAGTCCCTGAAATGCCATTTCCTGGATTTTGCAGAATTCTGATGGTCAGAAAAAACTTATAACATGAGTAAAATTGCGTATAGGCCTACTACGCATGGGATTTCATGTTATTTATTAAGAATTTTGCAAGAACGTACAAAGTACTATGAATCTGTGACAAATTATGAAAGCGGCAATTACATCTTTTACATTGGACCTATCTTAAATATATTCCAAATTCCAAATGCGACATAATCGCGTGACATTACAATCATCATGACAGCTGCAGAGAATATAAGTGTTTAAAGGACAATATTGATGCGGATTGCCAGTCATTATCACATATGTGATAGAGCTGGTTAAACACATTCCAAATATAATTTTAACACAGAGATCATTGCTACGATAGCTGAGTAATACAGGTTTCCTGAATCGGAAGTGACGAACGTCAAAGGAAAACACGAGTCATCTCTCTATATAACTGACTGATGTGACGAGTGATAACGGATATACGGGCGAATTTCTGCTCACTAATAATTCCTTCGAAGACTAATATTGTCCTTTAATTGAGGGGGGCTGCCAATTTGGGATTTCGCATTTTGAATTTCGAATTTCGAATGTTTATCCGGCCCAGACATCAGATAGGTAAACTAGCACTAATTAGTTTTGTAAAATTACAATTTATTTAAATTCTAATTTGTTTAATTGAAGGGGGGGGGGCTGCCGCCAATTTGCTATTTTATTGGTAAGACATGAATTTTGAATTTTGGAATTTGGAATGAGCCTTCTGGGCTTTCGTAAATTTGAGTTTTGAAAAAATGGCGCCTATGGTAATATCCAATCAAAGCTATCAAACGTATGCACAGATATATTCATACATTCCTTTCTATTTTGGCATTGTTAGTTTACCCATTTATTCATTTAGTCGTTGATGCATAATTTTGAGAACGACAACCCTTATTTTGAGACCAAATATTTTTTTCAGCCCCTGGTGGAAACCCTTATAGGTAATTAAAAAGGGGGAATCCTGTTATTCAGTAGCAATAAATTCAATTCTAAGTGATAAGATAGCAACAGAATTTGGCTGATAGATTCACCTAAATTACGGGAAATGTTCATTAATACATCCAGGCAAAGCGTAGCAACCATAGGCAACGGTCGTGCGTTACTAACGTTCGAAAACTTAATTCTATTCAACTTTTCATTTCTCTGCAGGGGGATCACGTGGCTAAGTGGTAAGACGCTGGCTCGCTAGCCTGGAGGTTCGGTGTTCGATCCCAGCATTGGCCGAGAAAGTTCATCCAGATTTTCCGGCGTGGATTCCCCTTGTCAGTGATGCAGGACCTAACAAGGACAGCTGTCTAGTTGTTAGGATGGTACGAAGAACCGAGGTCCCGTGTACATATTGGCGTGCACGTAAAAGATCCCTTGACAGTTGGAATTCGATATAAGAGTAGGCCATAGTGCCGCTGTCCAGGCAAAATTTAACTCATAGCACACTTAATGGCGTACGCCCGTCTTCATTAGCCCAATTCGGAGCAGAACAGTAGGACGTTAAACCCTATTTCATTTCATTTCATTTCATTTCTCTGCAGGTAGCGTGTGTCTGTTGTTCAGATTGGTGCCACAATACTTGGGCTCCACATATAGGTAGGCACATTGGTACCTCTAGTAATATATAACTTACACCTTACTTGCCTTTTTATAGCTACAATTGATACACTATTCGACTCTTTACGCAAGTAAAATTAGGTTCATTTACAAATTTTTCAACACATATCATCATAGTTTGCATGGAAATAAATGATTATGTTACAAAAAGTGAAGAGTGGAACACAGAAATCTTAATTTAATCATACCGAACAGTTTTTCTGTATTTTCGAGTGATATAATATCGCTTGATTCTGGTACGGCAGTCATTTTAACTTAACAAAAATGTCGCATAGCAGTTGGGTTAAATCAAATCATATAATTATGCGGTAAGGTTTCACCTTTATTTCAATGGGAATTGGTAGTCAAATGACTACAAAACTTGCTCAAAGGAAGGCCTTAGGACGGTCTACTACTGTGGCTGGAGCCTTTTTATTGATCATATTTAATACGGATATTTTATTGTCCTACACAATAAAGAAAGTAGGGGAGGCTAGAAATGATTCCACTGCTGATGTCTTTCGTCTTGCACCAGCCACAGGAGTGGGTCGTTCTAAGGACTTCCCATGAGTGCATGTTTTGTCATCATAACTCCCTTAATTTTCAATTAAAGTGACAGCAAACTGTTCTGCACATATCTTAACATATAATAAATCGATTTCTAATGAATTAAAGGTGAAACTTAACACATAAATTCATAAACTTAATAAAATCTAGCGGCTAAGCGATATTTCTATCCCTTTTAAAATGGCCATCGAACAAGAATTTGAACATGCACGTGATTTCACGTCACCTTGAAAATATACAAAAACTGTTCGGTAAGACAAGATTAAGATTTTAGTGTTCTACTCTTCACTATTTGTAACATAATTACTTGTTTCCATTCAAACTGTGATGATATTTGCAATTTAAGCTATTTTTACTTGAGCAAATAGTAGCTGCGAATACCACAATTATCACAGCTATAAATATTGCAGCTAGAGGGACTTATGTTGTTGTCTATAGTTAGAGAGAATGTGTATACTCTGGTAATTTTGGCAAAGGATGGCCCAAGTAAACAATTTGTAGGCCCAGAGCTACCCAGTCCGCCCTTGTCAACAACAAAGGAAAGAACACCATTGACATTAGTTGTACAGAATATCCAATGTAAGAATTACATGTACATCAACTTCCAAATTTTTGCCCCCATCCACCATCATTTTTGGAAATTTCTAGATATACCAGTACATTTTATTTCAGAAATTAATCTGCTGATTTAATAGTACATGTATACATAAATTTCTGCCACTGTTGTCAGATAAGAAATTGAATTTCTCCAGTTTTTATATCCGCACACAGGCATGGAGGTGATAACAATGACAATATAATGAGAAGGGCGTACATGTAACATTTTAAAAAGCACAAAAATAACTTAAAATTTAAAAATGTGTTTATTTAACAAAATATATTATGTTTAATAAATACTGAAACAAGAGCTTATTTGTTTACATATAAAGTAAGTGAATAAAAGGTTATAATATTACTTCCATGTCATTCTAGTCAGTTTAGTTATTAGTTATAACTCGACTATTAGAAAAGAAGAAAGACAAAATAAGACATAAAATATAAATTCTACATCCCTTGAACATGTATTTGCCAGCTTGTGTAGTGTCAAAGACTCTTAATACAAATGTATATGGATATTGTACAATACCACATGGTCATATGAAACACATCATAACACAGTAATCGAAAAAACATTAAATTTCAAAACAGGAGACAGACATCATGGTAATGGCATACTAGGTGAAAGTTTCCCCTCTAAAAATAATTAATTGAATTTCATGTCTCGTAGAATTTGAGGTGACAGGGTACCCATCTTGAAAAGGCTTTAAACTTATAGTTGGTAAGGTATGGTAATGAGAAGATCAGACTCTCAGGCCTTGATTTTGTTCATTCCATTTGTTTACATAACTGAATGAAAGGAATATATTTCTTTTGCATTTCTTGTGAGTATGTCAGGATTTGTGGATATTTTTTTTTTGTAAATGTAATTTGCAAAAACATTTTACAAATATCACCATAACCAATTCCATATAGCTTTTCACAGATTAGCACAGAACAAAACACATTGCAGTCGCATTGAAATGATACAAGCAGTAATTTAATGCTGTTGTTTGCATTTTTCAGGCAATATCTTTTTTTATTCATTCTAAAATGTACTCAAATTGATTATTTAATATTTAATTGAAAAAAATATCAATACTGAATGGAATTGAAACATTTTCAGACTGATAATTGATTCAGAATATTGTAGTTTGCAAGGCATTCAACTCCCACAAATGATGAATTCATAGTGGTAATACATTCTGTCAAAGATGTAAAAACCTGAACATTTTTCAGCTAAATCTGAGAGCTTAGGTCATCACGTAAATAGCTACCTGTAAATTTAGTCATTAATCCTTGGTTAGGTTTGATGTGATAAAGTAATATTGTGACTAATAAAATGGCATCATTAACAGTATATTTTCATAAAGGAATGATATCAGTTCGATTCCTAAATAGGTACTGTAAAACAAGAAATTTATGTTATTAAATTATTGCGACTCGAGGAGAGTAAATATAAATACGTTCTTGGGCAATATTTTGTGCCATTAATGACACTGATGCTTAACAACTAATTAATCATTTAATTGGTTTGAGGGGTGTCATGTTTGACAAGGTTGCTGTTTACTCATAGAATGACACATACTTTATTTTATTATGCTACTAAATAGAAATGTGTATTACAATAAATGAAACTGGTGACAGCATTAATGTTGTCCAATCATTAATTTCTTGTTTTACAGTTAACAAATGTATAAATGGCATGCATACACTTAAAGGTTACTTTGGTGGACCTTAAATAAAGCTATTTCACACTTGAATACAATGAACAAGAATTATAATTAATTAAGCTCACACCTATAAATCTGATTTAACCGACAAAGGACAACATTACTATGAGTCTCTATAAATTAGAGCTATTATAAAGCAATATATTCTACATGTATTCCAGCGAATTATTAGACCTACTTTACAGTTCTTTTTCAATTAACATGCCATCTGTAATAATAGTTAAAGAGATACAAAGACATTTTGAGAATTTTGATACCAAGAATTCGTGGACAATATTAACACAAAAAACAAAATCATAAGACAGTAACAGGAAACAGGATTTCTCATAAATATAATTAATGGTTAACTTTGACAGCAATTTTTTATAATGAAAGGAAAGATAGGTTGCCAGCTAAATTTTCCAGGCAGTCTACAAGGGTTGTCACATATTTTATCTTTTGTAGATAATGAGAGCACCTGCCAAACACTGATATCAACTTTATACAGACTGGATGAAAAGCTTTGTCGTTTGAGCGATCACAAGGTTCTACAAAGTGAAACAAGGGCCAGAACTCTATAGAAGTAATTAACTGAAATTATTGAAATGCGATAGGCTTCTTCGTTGTACTCATTCAAAAAATGCATATCAATTCAATAAAGATCGGATGATAACTATTGAGTGTTCACAAAGTTCTAGGAAATCGAAACAAGGGCTATAAATCTAGAAGTAATTAATGGAAATTATTGAATTTAATTTCAAAACGATCAGATGATAAATAAAAAGTGTTCACAAGAAATCGTTAACGGCGGACTGACAACTACAATATACAATCACATTTGAATATAAAATTGGTTGTGACATAATTACACCTTAATTTGATAAAGGCAAGGCACAAATGGAAAGTAATTATACATAACAAACATCACCAGTTAAAAACATTTTAGGTGATTCTAACTGTTTATGACTGCATGACACTAAGTATCATTGTATAAATCATATAATCACTATGTTTATGTGCTTCATGAGGATCAATTACAACCGCCCGTCTGGAAGAATTCTTCATCTGTCTTTCAATTTCACAGAAACCACGATCACCAGACAAAATTGCAAAGGGAACTGACTTTGGTAATCGATCATCCATTTTTCCAATCTGTTAAACAATAAAAAAAAGGTTAGGTTTAATTTAAAGTTTAACCTACAAAGATAAAACCTGCAGAAAATGTATATCACGGTCTCTGTATGATTTCATTTCCAGGGGCAGGGGTGGGTGGGGTGTAACAGAACATTCCACAATATATTAAAGTCATGAATATTTCTTCAACCTCTTCTGCAAATCTAGTTTTCATATATGCATTTATCTTAAAAAATTACCGAAATATTTAGCTTTGAATTTGGTATACACATTGTGTGACAATAGCAGTCATTTTGAAAAACCGTCTTCATTAACCCAGTTGGAGCAGAACAGTAGGACGTTAAACCCCATTTCATTTTATTTTGAGGAAGGAGCCACAGTGACTAAGTGAGTAAGACTTTGGCTTGCTAACCTGGCGGTCCGCAAGTTTAATCCCTGTGTTGACCAAGAAAGTTCATCAGGATTGACAGGCGTGGTTCCTCCTTAAAAGTGGTGCAGAAGAGAAGGCCTGGCAAGGGACCAGGTATGGTCGTTTGGATGTACCCATTGGCATGCACGTAAACGAACGCTTGACAGTTGATGTAAGATTAGGGTGTAGTGCTGTATTTCATTTTGTGAAAATGAGAAAATTACTGTAGTAACAACAATAACAACAACACTTGACAGTTAGAATTTGATGTAAGAGTAAACCGTAGTGTCGCTGTCCAGCATTTCATTTTGAGAAAATTACTGTAGAAGCATTGCAACGATAACAACCAAAAATAACAAAGATCATTCCACCCATGTTTTCTTTTTACCTCTGACAGCCCATTTTATGAAAATTCCCAAGATTTTTTTTTATGTAATTTATAAGAAATTGAAGAAAATATTTGCTACATTTATGGAAAGTTTTGCAAACAAAACATCTGACAAAAGTAGTTGGCTAAACTACCATTTCAGAACAGTAATGACCAAATAACCTCAGGTAACATCCATACATGTACCGGTAAACTCAATGACATGCCACATTAAAGAAAAAAATAAAATATTATACATGTATAGTGTTAACTAAATATAATTGAAATATAGCTCTACTTGTTTTATTTTGATTTGATGTCAGACAGCTTGTTTTGTAAATCTTAATTTTTTAAATATCTTTTTCTGTCTAGGTCACCAACATCAATAAATTAACAATATATGATATGACCATAATTTAATAGTTTTATCTCTGACAGTACACAGTACACTAATCTATTTCAATTCTATGCTTGCTAAAGTTTGTAATTTGTCAACAAAGTAAAGTGTCCTTTTTACCTAACAGTACACAGATTTTAAATACCATTAGCAATAATTAATTTTTTGTTGTTGCTATTTTTGTTTTATTACGGTACATTGTATTTAAAGACACAGGTAAACAGTTAGCCTTTTGTCTGTGATATTACCTCGGTGGAAGCGGACGTAAAATACAACTAACTAAGTAAGCAGTTAGCCTTAACCAAAATTTATAGAAGATATAAGGAATACATATGCCAAGTTCCAAGATGATCATTTCAGAATTGCGGCCTGTATACAATAAACACAAAAATTAGGCATGGCGCTGTCCCTGGCGGTCGGAACATTCACCAAAATCAATAGTTGCCAAGTTCCAAGACGATCCATTAAGAATTGTGGCCTGTAGGAAACACACAGACACACAAAGAAAACATAACGCTAACGCTACAATATACGTCCACATTCCAATTCTGCTTTGATTGACAAGGTACTTTGTCAAGAAGGCTAGGCTTTTGGTTTGTTTAGCGTTGAGGGTCGTGCATCAACATCAATAGTCTGAAATTAAATCCCAATCTGACAAAAGTACTTAATATTCTTAAAAGACAAATTATTAATAATAAATTTGGTACTAAATTATAATAACGAATGACACCCAAACATAAGACTTTTTAAAAATGTACATCCTGAAAACGCACATGTACTTGCAGTTACATGAATTTATAATTTATTTAGTGTGAGAGAGAGAGAGAGAGAGAGAGAGAGAGACATTGTCATTGCAGTACCAAAAGGTCTTTAGCAGTGGGAGGAAAGGGGGAGAAAACGGTGGTTTGAAACGTCAACAAATAACCGGTATAAATACTTCTAACACTTACAAAGCGTTCTGAAAAATAAGTTGAACAAAGGCTCTCAGAAACCACTCACAAAAACCCGAATGTTACATGGGTGACAACTATTTAAAGCATATCACGTCAGTTTGACATTGTTAAATGGAGTTTGACATTGTTAAATGGAGTTATCTCCCCAAAATCGGGCATGCACCCAAAAGAAAAGGGACCAACCTCAGGGTATAAGGAATATGTATTTTAAGTTTCAAGATGATCGATTTAGAATTGTGGCCTGTAGGCGACACACAAAAAGAAAATTGGCATGGCTCTGCCCCTGGGGGTTGGGCATGTAGGGCCTACTCCAAATGATAAGGATGTTCCAAATGATAGGAATGTTCCTTAGGGTACAAAGAATAAGTATATAAAGTGTGGCTCTGCCCCTGGGGGTTGGGCATGTACCCCAAACGATAGGGATGTTCCTTAGGGTACAAAGAATGTGTATGCAAGATTATAAGTTAAGAAATGTGGCCTGTAGACGACAAACAAACAAATACTAGAAATGGGCGTGGCTCTGCCCCTGGGGGTCGGGCATGCACCAAAAACAATAGGGATCTTCCTTGGGGTATAAGGAATAAGTATACCAAGTTTGAAGAAAATCCAGTAAGAATTGCGCCCTGTAGGCGACACAAAGACACACGAAAAGAAAATGGGAAATGGGCGTGGCTCTGCCCCTGGGGGTTGGGCATGTACCCCAAACGATAGGGATGTTCCTTAGGGTACAAAGAATGTGTATGCAAGATTATAAGTTAAGAAATGTGGCCTGTAGACGACAAACAAACAAATACTAGAAATGGGCGTGGCTCTGCCCCTGGGGGTCGGGCATGCACCAAAAACAATAGGGATCTTCCTTGGGGTATAAGGAATAAGTATACCAAGTTTGAAGAAAATCCAGTAAGAATTGCGCCCTGTAGGCGACACAAAGACACACGAAAAGAAAATGGGCGTGGCTCTGCCCCTGGGGGTTGGGCATGCACCCCAAACGATAGGGATGTTCCTTAGGGTACAAAGAATGTGTATGCAAAGTTTCAAGATTATTAGTTAAGAAATGTGGCCTGTAGACGACAAACAAACAAATACTAGAAATGGGCGTGGCTCTGCCCCGGGGGGTCGGGCATGCACCAAAAACAATAGGGATCTTCCTTGGGGTATAAGGAATAAGTATACCAAGTTTGAAGAAAATCCATGAAGAATTGCGCCCTGTAGGCGAACCACAGACACACACACACACACACACACACACACACACACACACATACATACACACACACACACACAGACAGGGGCGACGGCATATGGGAAATGGGCGTGGCTCTGCCCCTGGGGGTTGGGCATGTACCCCAAACGATAGGGATGTTCCTTAGGGTACAAAGAATGTGTATGCAAGATTATAAGTTAAGAAATGTGGCCTGTAGACGACAAACAAACAAATACTAGAAATGGGCGTGGCTCTGCCCCTGGGGGTCGGGCATGCACCAAAAACAATAGGGATCTTCCTTGGGGTATAAGGAATAAGTATACCAAGTTTGAAGAAAATCCAGTAAGAATTGCGCCCTGTAGGCGACACAAAGACACACGAAAAGAAAATGGGCGTGGCTCTGCCCCTGGGGGTTGGGCATGCACCCCAAACGATAGGGATGTTCCTTAGGGTACAAAGAATGTGTATGCAAAGTTTCAAGATTATTAGTTAAGAAATGTGGCCTGTAGACGACAAACAAACAAATACTAGAAATGGGCGTGGCTCTGCCCCGGGGGGTCGGGCATGCACCAAAAACAATAGGGATCTTCCTTGGGGTATAAGGAATAAGTATACCAAGTTTGAAGAAAATCCATGAAGAATTGCGCCCTGTAGGCGAACCACAGACACACACACACACACACACACACACACACACACACACATACATACATACACACACACACACACACAGACAGGGGCGACGGCATAATACGTTCACATTATGAATGTGGACGTATAAAAATGGGTCTGGCTCTGTCCCTGCGAGTTGGGCATTCACCAAAAACAATAGAGATTATCCTTAGGGTATAAAGAATAGGTATGCAAAGTTTCAAACAGATCTGTCAAGAACTGCAGTCTGTAGGCGACACACAGACACAAAAATTAGGCTTGGCTCTGATCCCAGGGGGTCAGGCATGCACCTAAAAGAGAGAGAGAGAAATGGGGTTTAACGTCCACTCGACACAAACTAGGTCATTTTGGGACTAACATATGGTTTAATTTTATTTACATAATCCGCTTGCGCGTAGGGGTCTTTAGCAGTGGGAGGAACCGGAGGACCCGGAGAAAACCCACGAGGTTGGACAGGCGACCCTACTCCTTGCCACATACAACCGGGGATTCGAAACCACGCCAGTCGACTCAATGACTGACTTTATGATACAGCGCGCGCACGCTAACCATTCAGCCATCCAACCCCCCTGCACCTAAAAATAATAGAGGTCATCCTTAGGGTATAAGGAATAAGTATGAAAAGTTTTCAAGACGATACATTAAGAATTGCAGCCTGTAGGTGACACACATAGACAAAATGGGCGTGGCTCTGCCCCTGGGGGTTGGGCATGCAACACAAAAAGATAGGTTGCCAGGCAACGAAACATACGCCCACAGCAGCTTAATCGTCCAGGCAGTCAACAAGTGTTGTCGCATATTTTTACTTACAAGGGCCATAACTCTGGCAGTAATTATCGAAAATCGCTGAAAATGAATAAACTTCTTCGTCTCATGACCTTAAACACTGTGTATAAATTTAAACTCAATCGGATATTAACTTTAGCCTCTAGAGAATTTACAAGATTTTTCAAAGTGATCAAGGGCCATAACTCTGGCAGTAGTTATCTGAAATCGCTGAAAATCAATAGGATTTATCGTCTTATGACCTTAAACACTGTGTATAAATTTAGAGTCAATCGGATTTTAACTTTGACCTGTAGAGCGTCCAAAAGATTTTTTTAAGTGATCAAGGGCCATAACTCTGGCAGTAATAATCGGAAATCGCTGAAAATCAATAGGCTTCTTCGTCTCATGACCTTAAACACTGTGTATAAATTTAAAGTCAATCGGATATTAACTTTGGCCTGTAGAGTGTCCACAAGATTTTTTGAAGTGATCAAGGGCCATAACTCTGGCAGTAATTATCGGAAATCGCTGAAAATCAATAGACTTCTTCGTCTCATGACCTTAAACACTGTGTATAAATTTAAAGTCAATCGGACATTAACTTAAGTCTCTAGAGCGTCCACAAGCAATTGTGGACGCAGGACCGACGGACGGACGGGGGCGACGACAATATACGACCACATTTCAATGTGGGCGTATAAAAATACAAAAAATAGGCGGGGCACTGCCCCTGGGTGTCGGACATGCACCAAAAACAATAGGGATCATCCTTAGGGTATAATTATGCAAAGATTCAAGAGAATCCATTTAGAATTGCAAATGCATCCTGTAGGCGACCCACAGATAATCACACACACAACCTCAGAGAGGGGCGACGGCATAATAGGCATAATGCGTCCGTATAAAAATGCAGTGCAATATAGAATTAATTAATTTAAAAAATAATAATAAATAATTTTTGTATCTATAAATAATAGCAAATTAAAGGGCCAGTTAAATATGTCAAGGATCAGTTAATAATTTCTTTAACTGGCCATGGGATAGCCATTATAAATTTGTTCAAACTGGGAAGATATACTTACAGTAAAACAGATAGCAAAATCTGAAGCATCCTTAGTTTTACCACACTGACTGTGTAGGTGGAAGCATTTGGCTTTTTTCAACTTTAAAAATGGAAGTGACCTACAACCGTTCATAAGATATATATAATCAACCATATTAATAACAAGCATGCATGTACATGTCCTATACTGGCCGTTACAATTTTATAAAACATGCATTTAAAAGTGACTGATACTGCGATTACATTTCTGTGAATATAATCCAACAAGCGGTTATCATGCATGATACGCCAACATTTTGCATGAGATTGACAGAAAAGCTGTTTTTTTGTACAATCAGGGGAAATAATCCAGGAAGTTATGGTCCGGTTGGCGCGAATATCAACAGGAATCGAAATCTTTAGGATATATACATATATTTTAAGTTTAATCAAAATCAGATAAAAATTCTGACCTTGGTAATACATACTTTTACACTATTTGTATACAAGGAGCGTTCAATTTGTCTGGAAGTTTTTGTCTGATTTTCATAATAATTCGAACTCAACCGCATTAGGTTGTAACACTGATATATTTAAATGTTTTTTTAAAATTGGATAAAATTTGTGACCTCTGCAGGGTCCACAAGCTAAAAACGTGATTTTTCATACAATCAGGGGTCATAATCCATGAAGTTAGGGTTTGATACATGCCAATATTGGCAGGAACCGGGATCTTTTGGAGATAAACCTATATTTCAGATTTCGTCAAAATCGGATAAAAATTGTGAACTGTAGAGGGTCCACAAATAAATTGTGGAAGGAGGGACAGGTGCGACGACAACAATATACGTCCACGTGAAAATGCGGGCCTATAAAAATGTATGAGATAAATTCTGTAAAACTGAATATTCATGGAACTGGTATAAAACTGAGTACTAAATTTCAATCAAATATTGAACCTAAAATAATTTCGGAAAACATAATTTTCATTGATTTTAATTAAGTAAAAGAATTAAGAAATATTCACTTACTTTGGTGGTTTCCAGATTGTATTGCCTCCATAAAAAGTCCAAACAAAAGTTTTATCAGGTAAACAGTGGGGCAATTTTTTAAAAAAGCCATGCCAGTTATCTAGGTCAAGAAATATCAAAAGATGCATTCGGCTAAGGTTTTTGGTTGATATATCACCATCAGTATCTGGAGAATCAAGACATGTTAGTTTTAAAGAGGAAGTACTTGGTTTATTCAAAGCTAGTTCCTTTTTTTCAGCTTCATATTGTAATCTCTGTCGAAGTTTCTTTCGAGCATTTTTAGAAAGTTTAGCTGTCAAGTGTTGATCTTTCGGCATATTCTGGTTTGAGAGTTCATTCTGTGGAGGTTTTAAAGGGTAACTAAAATTAAATGATTCCTGTGCAGAGTTGTTTGATTGGCTGCTTTCCCCACTACTCTGATTTCTAGTCTCAGATACTTTCTCTGTGGGTGATTCAGATAATTTCAGATATCTTTTAGAAGGGGAATTTTTATCTGAAGATCTTGTAGTGGGACCCGCTTGAGACAAACAGTTTAAATTTGGCAAGGATTCAACTTTCTGGTTACTGGAGTTAAATACCCATGTAGAAACTGATGGCTGGCTATCTGAAACAATATACACAGATACATCATTGATATCATGAAAATCATGTGTGTTTTATAATCTAGAAGTGATAACCGGTTTCGTTTCATATATTCAAATCAAAATCAAATGATCATACACAAATCATTACCCAATCTGAATTATGTATCAATCTGCCACCTCATAAATATCAATGATATTGATAAATATACTGTATATGTATATTTTAATACTATACAATGCAATTCAAACTATGCAGTGTCATAAAATAACTCAAAAATCAATACTGGTACAGATATTTAAATTAAGTGCAACATATTGCTCTAGGACATGTACAGTTAAAGTACATGCATATACACTTACCATCAATACCATCTGTACTAGAATCTCTTTTTCTCTTTCTATCTGGTTTTGAAATATTTGGAGCAATACTATGACACGAATCTAGTAAACTTGAACAAGATAGAAAAGAATCCATACTTGATGAATGAGACTGAGAATCTAACACATCATGAAATTCATCACCTATCATGAGATATTTATTATTGACATGAGAAGGACTAGATTCGCTTCCTTGTGTATTAGTTTTATAATAAGCTGTTACATTTAAAACTGAGTCTATCATTTCTACACTTCGTTTTACAACATTAGAATTAGATATAGACAACAAAAGAATATTACAATCACACTGATTAGGAAGCTGTATTGGATATGTCGCTTTGTTATTAGAATCACTGTTAGCATTTGAATTCCTGTTAAGATAGTGAAAATACTGTATACAGACAGTAATATTACTGTATTGATTCAGATTGGCAATGTAAGTAAGGATACAGAAATAAGGATATGTTGTAGATGTCTTATTGCTAAAATCATGGTGTATAGAGATAGTTGCTTCATGTGTATATTTGGAAGGTGCATTTATATGGTAAACTGAAACCAAAATATAGAAACAAAGAAACCAGATAGATAAAAGGATTAAAAGATAGATAAAAATACAAATGTATACAAGATACCAAAATCAGAAAAGTAGGAATGAAAGAGTTAGAGGAAACCTTCAATGAAACAGAGAACTACCGCGTACTGAATATACATACATTGGATGAATGTTGAAAACTAAGTATCTAAAAGAAAAAAGATGGCAAAAGAATTTGTAAAATTAATCCAGTTAGCAGAAGTTATAACATTATGTTAATTCATATACTAATAAATTACAAAAACAGAACCATGGTAGATATTTAGATACTCATACCTTCCTTCTGGGCATCTGATTCTTTAACTGAGATAACATTAAAATGTTCTTTTATACCACATCTTCGTACAAATTCTATGAATGTTTTACAATCGTGGTCTATTAACCATCCTAAATTATTATCATCACATTGATGAAAACCGTTTCCTGCATCAATATTCCATACAATTTTACTACATGTACTACAACACTTGTCAGTCAAGAATTCTGCAAATACCTCCTCCTAAAGCGATAAAAAAAATATTATTAATCCATTAGCATTTGGTACATGTAAATATTGACTACATAGGTAGGATGTACCATCAGGGGTGCACAAACATATTTTCCTAAGGGGGGTGCATCATCAAAAAATCATTATTAGAAAATCAAATCAGCCCACCATATTAATAAAAAGCTGCCCCCTATTGAAGCGAAATTCGACACAACAACAAAGGAAAATTGGCCTGCATAATCTCAAAATTCATATTTTCAAAACAAAGTATAAAGTTAGGTTGCCAGGCAATAAAACATACGCCCACAGCAGCTAAATTGTCTAACGGGACACAAGGTGCAACTTCTAAACTTATGGCCCTTGTTTTTCATCCAGGAGAATAACCACAAGGTTAGAAATGTACTAACTGGGTATCAAACCAAACCTTGTGATCTGCAGTGTTTACATTAAAGGGGAGCTATTCACAATCAAAATTCATTTAAATAATTTATAAGCTTATTTTTTAAAGTTTTTTGACCGTTTTCATGGGTACCACCATTACTGCATAGATAAAAGGCCCACCCAATTAATTTTGAACTTACAGGTGTGGACAACGATGTTGTAATTAATTGATGAGTTCTAGTTTGGTCTAAGTCATGGGAAATTATCTCATCCTTGGTTTTTAATTCCACATTACATTCAATACATTTTACTTCACAACCAACATTTGAACATTTTTGATAAAACTGCTCAGCAAGATAAGATGGCATGGGTACAGATCTGGACTCAATACCTTGAAAATCTACCAACATAAAATAAAAGAGCAAAGATTCATCAGCAGTTCTACAGGAAAATTAATGCTAGAATTTGCATCATTAACACATTATTTTTTTTAATCTCAAGAAATAAATAAATTTATTATTATACACACTTATGCAGATTACCTCCATAAAATTGATAAAATTGTTATTAATATTATACAAATGTATACAACTTACCTCCAGAAAATTGATAAGTAGTTTGAAAATGGTTATTCTTGGACATATGAGTATGGCAATAAACAATGCTACTGAAGATCATACAGCACTGGGGACACATATACCCACATAAGGATATTGGCAATAATATTGGCAGATGATTGTCAAAAATCATATGTTCTTGACATTCTATCTTTCTCTGAAAAAAACAAAACAAACCCATAACATAAAAATTTATTGTATTCAGTAAATATATTATATGGGATAAATGACCAAATTTGTATGTTCATCTGAAACTGATTGCTTAATGAAAACTAGTTTCAAGACAGACTATTTAATTAAGCAGCCACTGACATTGCAAATATATATATTTTGTAAAACATAGGCACTGGAATTTATAGAACACATTATTAAAATTGTATGCACGTAAAAGATCCCTTGGCAGTTGGAATTCGATATAAGAGTAGGCGATAGTGCCGCTGCACTGGCAAAATTTCCCTCATAGCACACTGTATGGCGTATGCCTGTCTTCATTAGCCCAGCATAAGAGCAGAACAGTAGGACGTTAAACCCCATTTCATTTCATTTCATGCACATTTATCTTTTTGAAAAGTATCGAGCAATCAAACTGATTATCTATGCTTAGTCTTTAGAAACTGAAAATGTTCACGATCGAACTCAGTCATGGTTTTGAAATACGGTACCTGGTAGTGAAACTATACCCTTAAGTTTCATCACTCTCCATCAGGTAGAATATCAAAGTTATCTTGTTCTAAAGCATTGACCTATGAAATTGCTTAGCTCTGCTTAGCTTTAGTGGAAAACGTTAATCAAGTTTAAAGATTCTGTCACAATTAAAAGCAGAGTAAATGTTCCAAAGACTTGACCAATCACATTGTTTATCGCTACATTGCCTACGCAGAAAATTCTCATCATTGAACTTAGTCAAGGTACGGTATTGATATAATGAATCTATACAATTAGAACCAAAGTTATCGTGTTTTAAAGTGTCAACCAATCATATTGCTTATCTCTGCTTAGCCTTAATGGAACATTACATGTACATGATTGAACACTGTCAAGGTGTATAAATTTCATATCAATCGGATAATAACTTTATCCACCACGGTGTCCCCAAAAATGTTAAGAGTGATCAAAGGCAACAACTCAGAATGTAATTATCAACAATCCAGAGTGTGCACAATACATTGTATGCTTCTTGGTATCATGAAAAAATAAGCATTGTGTATGAATTTAAAATAGTGATGGTCTGATGATCGATTTCAACATCGGTAATTGGTCGATAAGAGGCCTATCGGGAGAAATTGGTATCGGCTGATACATGGCCATTTTGCCGATACTGGAGTTGCCAATATCTGTTTAAAGCAACTCGGTAAACACCTTTAAAATATTATCCGAGTTGTCAACAAATCATTATTTTTCTTGACACAAGGTACATCTAAATAGCCACACACACGGCGACCGATATAAAAGTTTTATTTGGTTGCCGTGCTTGTTGCTATTTAGACATACCGATAATACAAGACTCTCTTAGAGGTCGTAATAAGCAAAGAATAAAAACAGTAAAAAATCCTTACCAGTCTCCGTTATCTAAATTGCCACACGCACGGCAACCAAAATAAGTTTTATTTGGTTACCGTGCGCATTGCCATTTAAATGTACAGGTAATATAAGACTCTCATAAAAGTAAAGAATAAACAGTACAAAATCCTTAAAGGTCTCCGTTATTTTTTAAAATCCTTTTAAATGTTTGACATTTCGGGTCTCTGGATGCGATTTTTGAGAACACCATTTCGGCGCATGTACATTATCGTACAACAGTTCACCCAATAAAACTTTTGATTGGAATAGGGAAAACCAATTGCATGATGATCAAAGTCATAGAATTGGAGAACACAGTCAGTACGTTGTTTTCAATGCATACTGACATCACAAAATCACAGACTATAGAACAATACCTAATTAAGCTATTGAATTTTTATTTAAATTGTTTCTAATAAGTAATCACAAATTTATTAACTATGAAATAAAAAAATAGTCCTCACAATAGTTATATGTCTATCACGATTCACGATAATAAAACTAAAGAAGATGTCAACAATGGCTCATCATTGCATACCGTGCTGGTATGAAGTGTCGCAAGTCTTAAATTTGGCCTTACTTTGATCACTGTCGCTTATCGTGAAATAGTTCCAAATCTACGCAGCATTTTTTTTCCTTCGTTTGTCACATAATTGCCACTGTTGACAGACAGGTCAGGAAGCTATCGCCTTGATGTATCATTCATTACAGCATAAACCATTCTGACATCTATATAGACATACAGGTGACGATCACTTTAGGGAATTATATCGTAATCAACACTTAAAATATGATAATCTAGACTTTATTAATTAATGATACAACAAATAATAGAGAGAGAGAGAAATGGGGTTTAACGTCCACTCGACACAAACTAGGTCATTTCGGAACTAACATATGGTTTAATTTTATTTCAATAATTCGCTTGCGCGTAGGGGTCTTTAGCAGTTGGAGGAAACCAGAGGAACCGAAGAAAACCCACGAGGTTGGACAGGCGACCCTACTCCTTGTCACGTACAACCGGGGATTCGAAACCACGCCAGTCGACTCAATGACAGACTTTATGATACAGCACGCGCACGCTAACCATTCAGCCATCCAACCCCCCACAACAAATAATAAGTTCATAATATATGGTGTGTATTTTTCATTGCGGAGGGTAGCGTGACCAAATTATTACTTCAAAAACACTGTGTTTGTGTTCGATTCCCGCGGTAAAAAAATAGTCCTCACAATAGTTATATGTCTATCACGATTCACGATAATAAAACTAAAGAAGATGTCAACAATGGCTCATCATTGCATACCGTGCTGGTATGAAGTGTCGCAAGTCTTAAATTTGGCCTTACTTTGATCACTGTCGCTTATCGTGAAATAGTTCCAAATCTACGCAGCATTTTTTTTCCTTCGTTTGTCACATAATTGCCACTGTTGACAGACAGGTCAGGAAGCTATCGCCTTGATGTATCATTCATTACAGCATAAACCATTCTGACATCTATATAGACATACAGGTGACGATCACTTTAGGGAATTATATCGTAATCAACACTTAAAATATGATAATCTAGACTTTATTAATTAATGATACAACAAATAATAGAGAGAGAGAGAAATGGGGTTTAACGTCCACTCGACACAAACTAGGTCATTTCGGAACTAACATATGGTTTAATTTTATTTCAATAATTCGCTTGCGCGTAGGGGTCTTTAGCAGTTGGAGGAAACCAGAGGAACCGAAGAAAACCCACGAGGTTGGACAGGCGACCCTACTCCTTGTCACGTACAACCGGGGATTCGAAACCACGCCAGTCGACTCAATGACAGACTTTATGATACAGCACGCGCACGCTAACCATTCAGCCATCCAACCCCCCACAACAAATAATAAGTTCATAATATATGGTGTGTATTTTTCATTGCGGAGGGTAGCGTGACCAAATTATTACTTCAAAAACACTGTGTTTGTGTTCGATTCCCGCGGTAAAAAAGTACTGTGCGTTTCCTCGACTAACAATGACCAATATCTATATAGTCTAGATTCTCAATCCATTCGCGACATTTTAATGTGTTATAGATTTATAACAACCACTATCTGTAATTGTATTTGTATCAGCCTCTAGAGCATGGGAGAAGGACAGACAGGACGACGACAATGTACGACTACATTTCAATGTGGGCTTTAAAAATGCTACATTGTTGGCATTTTTATTTTACCGTACACCTGTATTTTTTTAAAGGTGTGTAGTCACTTAATAGTATATTTACCTGAAATATTTCCTCACATTTAGGACAGCAGTATTGAATCGGTCTGTCAGACAGAGCACCATTTATCAAATTTAAGAAAGGATTACATGTGGAATGGACTCCTTGGACTTCATGATTTTTCCATAAAGGTTGTGAATCAAACACTAAATCACAATTTATTACATTACATTTATAGAATGTGTCTGAAGGTATACTATCATGGATTGTAAGCGGTGAATTAGTTAAATCTACTATATCATTTTCATTTGTTACTGAAGCACTAGATATCTCTAAATCTGAGTTTATCCTAATAACACTATTAAAACTAGAACTTGTGGTACATGTAGCTGATGCCTTTGCTTTATAACGCTTATTTTGGTCTAGAATAACAGTATTTTGTAAATCTCTATTAATGGCATCACAGGACAATGGACGTCTTGGGGTTGTCTTTGGAGGGGTTTCACTTTCAGGGTTTGTTCTCTTTCTTTTCATGGATCTTTCTCTTCCGGGTATTGCCTTATTTTTTCTATTAAGCAGCCTCTGAGTTTCCTGGCCGATTCCTGAAAATATTTCAATTTTTCATTTAGGATTTTAGGAAGGAACAGTCAACAGTGAGGCTGATGTCCCCTGCCGAAATCCTCAAATAAATAGATGACACATATTAATTAATTGCACCTTTATCTTTTTCAAAAGTATCGAGGAATCAAACTGATTATCAACTATACACTAAGTTTCATCCCTCTCTATCAGATAGAATCAAAGTCAAAGGAATGGCTTAGCTTTAGCAGGAAATGTTAATCATTGAACTTAGTCAAGACATTCACCTAATGAACATCAACATCAAATTTAAACATTCTACCTCAATTAAAACCAGAGTTTTTATGTTCCAAAGTCTTGACCAATCAAATTGTTTATTGCTCCTCAGCCTAAGCAGAAAATTCTCATCAAACATAGTCAAGGTAATGATATAATGAATCTATACTCAGAGTTTCATAGCTCTCACTTAATTATAACCAAAGTCATCGTGTCCAAAAGCATCAACCAATCAAATTGCTTATCTCTGCTTACCATAAGCAGACAAATTTCATCATCAAACTCCATCAATGCATTCACCAAATGAACGCCTACACCAAGTTTGAACATTCTTCCTCAGTTAGAAGGAGTGTTATTGTGTTTCAAAGTCTTGACCAATCAAATATTGCTTATCGCTCTGCTTACCCTCATCAGAAAATGTTCATTATTGAACTTAGTCAACGTAAAGATGTGATGAAACTATACACCAAGTTTCATCACTCTCACTTAATTAGAACTAAAGTTATCGTGTCCCAAAGCATCAACCAATCAAATTGCTTATCTCTGATTAGCCTTAGCAGAAAATGCTCATTATTGAATTTAGTCACGGTATTGATGTAATGAAACTATACACCAAGTTTGATCACGCTGACTTAATTAGAACTCCATCAAGGCATTGACCTAATAAACACCTACACCAAGTTTGAACATCCTAGCTCAATTAGAAGGAGAGTTATTGTGTCCCAAAAAGTATGACGGACAGACGTACAGACAAGCGGCCGAACCCATTTTAATAGTCCCCTTCTTTCTTCGAAAGGCTTAGGAGTTGAAGCACATTACTAACATGTGCTAAATTTCACTATCCTGTTCTGGGCTCAAAAGTTGTTGATAATCACTTGACTTTTAATGTGGCCATTTGAAGTGGTCCCAGGCACTGTGATAATTTTCACTAGTCCACACAGTATGCAAATATTATTGTTAACAACATAATTAATATAATATATGGCTACAAACAAAACGAAATGGAAATATGAACATTTAAAAGCAGAATATGATATAATATTGTATTCTGAGATGAAATAAATAGGGCTGTATTTCATTTAAAAGGTGTCAGGGGTCATAGCAACAAGGAAAAGTGTGTCATCTGTGCTTTCAATGTATTCAGTAGTAAGCATAAAATGATTGTGATTTCAAGTGGTGCCTTAGTTAACTATTTTAGACCTAGTTTTAGGCCCTTTTGGGGTGCCCCCCCCCCCATGCCTACACTCAACAGGGGGTTCTTCTGGCCCTTACCCACACAAACACCTAGTTGAACTGCTCCAAAGGCCCTGGGTATCAGGTTGGAATTTACAGCAACCAAGCTACTGGTACTTGAAATTTTTTCTATTTGTCCCAGCATTATATTTCATTATCATAGAATCAGTCATTTTAAAAATCAGATGAGAGGCCCTGTGCTATTCTACTTATGAGGTCCCTCCCAAACCCCCATTCCCACGACTAGAGGAAGATGAAAGTGTGATTTAATTGACGAAAGCCGAGGATGATGACAGATGCACATACTGTATGTGCCAGAATTATTATACATCTTCGTTGGAGACCCTCGCAGCTCTAGATCTTAAGGCCCTAGGTTTCAGGCTAAGCCTATAGGTAAATCTGACACTGGCTATGATAAGCTTAAAGATAATTCTCTTTACCGTTTTTCTTTGCCCATTGTGAAACAACAGATCCAGCTCTATCATATTCATCTTTAGATACAACATTTTGACGTAGATATTGACCATGTGCTCTTGCTACTTCATCTTTTACTCTGGCAATACGTCTCTAAAAGGAATCAATTAAATGTTTATAATTATCTTTAATTGGGTACATCTCTCAACAATAAAAAAATCTTGGGTTTTTATTGTAAGAACTAGCTACATTTATGTAGTAATGTACATGTAATAGGCCCTCAAAATAAGAAAACTTTTATTCATGGCACAAAAAAATTGAAAATAAAGTAAGCTTCAATTAATACTATTGGCAAAAGTTCCAGAAACAAAACAACATTCTTTAATTAGAATAAATGTACTGTCGCTGTTTTTATTTCAATTTCAATAAAACATGGATGTAAGATCCTTATACAAGTATTAATTATGAAGCTTATAAATAATATGATATACATATAGCAAATGAAATAAATATTGTTTATATAAAAAAAAACCCATTGAGGTTGATGCTGTAATTTCCAAGAGATGTTATTGTCGAATACATTTGTAGCTTAACATAATTTGCAAGGTCATCTGAAAATTGTGTTTATATAGTCTTTAACTAATTACATGTTGATCACACTGCAGCCTCAATATCTAGATGTTGCTAGCTTAGACATACACTTTCATAAAATACTGACACTGTATCAAAATGTTTTGATAAAAAAAAATACCCTTTCTTCTCTTTCTTGATTTCTTTGAGCAAATACAGCCCCGATACTATCTAATAATCCAAATTTCGGTACCTCATTAGGTCTATGATCATCTTTTTTATCCATCTGAAAGATTGAAAATTAGTTTGTATGAAAATTTGCTTTTACATAACAAGTTGATTACGAACAATAACGAAAAAGATAGGTTGCCAGGCAATGAAACATACGCCTACAGCAGCTAAATCGTCCGGGCAGTCAACACGAGTTGTCACATATTTTTACTTTTTTTGGTAATAAAAAATTTATAATACATTAAAATCTGATTAAGAGTAACAACTCATTAAGTAATTATCAGAAAACCATTAGAATTTGTTTGGTTTTTATAAAGTTCTGCCCCATGCTAACGTTTAGTATACGAAACTTTTAACATCATGGATTTAGCTGTTCAAGTCATAAAAATTCATTGAAAATCTCAAGACCTTAAACTCTGTGTATCAATCTGAAGTCAATCGGATGATAACTTTAGCCTCTAGAGTGTCACAAGATTTTTCAAAGTGATCAAGGACCATAACTTTGGAAGACATTATCGGAAATTGTTGAAAATCATTATGATTCTTCGTCTCATGACCTCAAACATTGTGTATCAATTTAAAGTCAATCGGATATTAATTTTAGCCTCTAGAGTCTTTACAAGATTTTTTGAAGTGATCAAGGGCCTTTACTCTGGCAGTAATTATCGGAAATCGCTGAAAATCAATAGGCTTCTTCATCTCATGACCTTAAACACTGTGAATAGACTTCTTTGTCTCATGACCTTAAACACTGTGTATAAATTTAAACTCAATCGGATATTAACTTTAGCCTCTAGAGTGTCCACAAGATTTTTCAAAGTGATCAAGGGCCATAACTTTGGCAGTAATTATCGGAAATCAATAGGCTTCTTCTTCTCATGACCTTAAACACCGTGTATAAATTTAAACTCAATCGGATATTAACTTTAGCCTCTAGAGCTCCAACAAGATTTTTCAAAGTGTTCATGGGCCATAACTTTGGCAGTAATTATCGGAAATCGCTGAAAATCAATAGACTTCTTCGTCTCATGACCTTAAAGATGGGTTCCCAGAAAAGTATTTATCGGGTGGTTATTTCCAATAAAAGTATGGCAATTTTGGTATATATGGAAAGTAGAGATATCCAATCTTACTAGAAAAATACTGGATTCCCCGAAAAACATTCATGGAGCGTATACAGGACAAAAATGTAAGGGTTCCCCTAATCAACAGCCCGACGATTAGGAACTTCTGCACGCGTGATGTCAAAGGTCACAAGCGAACATTGAGCGCTTGATGTACAAGTTGATAAACTTTATGAAGAGTTAGACGTACAATACTTTCTGAGATAAAAATGACGGAAAAAGACGCGGGTTGTGGATAATCCGAGAATTTAATTAGGATTCGATATTTGTAATAAATAGTAAGCGATTAAAGACAACATCGTCTTATGTATGCAATGAATTCTCCTCTGACTCCCAAGACGTGATGTAAACATGACCTGGTTTGATCGAATTTTAATAGCAGGGCATTCCTTCGCAATTACAATGTTTGAGAAGGATTTGAAGCATAATTATGACAAATTAATTAGTTTGAACCATTAAATCACCCAGTTTGTACGTGGGAACCCATCTTTAAACACTGTGTATAAATTTAAAGTCAATCGGATATTAACTTTGGCCTCTAGAGCGTCCACAAGATTTTTTAAAGTGATCAAGGGCTATAACTCTGGCAGTAATTATCGGAAATCGCTGAAAATCAATAGGATTCTTCATCTCATGACCTTAAACACTGTGTATATGACCACATTTCAATGTCGGCGTATTAAAAATAAAACAGTCCTGTTCAAATAAGTACATAGTACATAAATCATTTAAAGGAGCTAAATCGCTAACATTTGGGACCTAGAAATTCACAAAAGTGGGTCGCAATGCATATAATACTGTTATATGAATGTATATAAACTGATTTACATTTAATGGTTTCCGTTTTTACTCCAATTTCAAATCAGTTATGTTCGGCGAAATAAGTCAGCAATCTCAATCGAGTGCAAATTTCTAGCGTCTAGTTATTCTAGTCTACATAACTCCATTTGATTTGGTGCAATGTGTCTAGCCTCGTCCCTCGAGTCTCTCAATACAACTGGGGCTGAAGCGCATTATGGTACACGATTTGTGTACCAATGTTAAAAAAATTATTTTATCTTAAATATCGGATATCAGAAGCTCATCTTTTCCCGGTAAGTTTACATCATCAATGTTGATTTAAATTGACCAATAATTTGTGTTTTCGATGTCGAAGATTTTGAGTTACGGACTTAGGTCCTTTAAATGTGAATGTGATATTTTTCACAGAAATATCAACTATAAAATAGCAGTGCTGTCTCAAATGAATGTCCATTTATTTATATGATTAATTAATGGATTAATCAAGTCAATTGACGTTTTTCAACGCTTTCCGAGCAAAACGAATGAATGACTTTATGATACCTATGCATCTGACTGTTAATTGCACGAAAATTTAACACTGGAAAAACTGCTATGAATTTAATTTCTGTCATCACAGGTATATTCTACAAATTACCATTTATTGTATAGACGGATTTCTGTCAAATAAACAAATTTCCGCCATTACTACAGTGACGTCACGATAATTGAGCTTTCGTAGTCTCGCTTACATAGACAGAAAAATAGAAATACTCAAATGCTTTGGAAACCATGATTTAAAAAAAAAACTATGGCATTGAAGAAGAGTACTCTGTATTCTGAAACGTTGCTATTTCGACAATATTCCTCTCGTTGTACACATTAAAATAACTGAAATAATAGTATAGGTTGATGAGAACCTAAAATCCATTATATTTTCGACGAGCGAGTGGAGGCTGCGAATAGGCGTGCTGTATTCATAAAATGACCTGTTAATCGAGAATCTATGCGGTGGTAGTAGAACAAGTAACTTCCCAATCTGTTTTACAGACCTAATGCGACATCCGTCTTTGTAGCGGCCAAGCGAAAATTCACTGCGGATCAGTGTGGTAACTTCCGCCACATGGATAACGGACAAGTCGACGGAAGAGACGCAAAGAAAACAGTCAGGTTGACAGTGAAACAGCTTTTTTTGAATTAAGCGTTGTACACCATTTACAGTCTACGATTTACATTCAAAGCTATAATATGTAACAGGCATTGCCAGAGTAGAGCGAAGTTGATGTGATTGTTGTTAAATTTAATATAAACTTTCATCATCATCTGAATTAGCAATAGCATATTTATAAAAGTTTCTTATGTGCCAGGTTTTTTTAGCTGTGGGAGGAAACAGAAGAACCCCCAGAAAAGCCACAAGGTTTGTCAGGCAACTCTACTCTTTGCGACATACAAGCCTGGGATTGAAACCATGACACGTATGACCCAATGACAGGCCAAATTAGATTCAAATCAAAGTGTCTTGCTGTAGACTAGAAATGGTTCACTACTGATGTCTTACTAGATAACAATTACCTTAATCTCTCAACCCTCCGTGTTTCGAGTTAAGAACTGAGGCCATGACCTATAACGTTGCAGCTGCCGGAGCGATTCACACCCGGCATTTTTAAACAAAATTGACAATAGTTTTAATCAAAACAACGATTGATTATTGTTATTTATAATATTTCTACAACACCCAACTACAATTAAGCATGTAATCCTACCTGAAACGGGTACAAATCGTCGTTTTTAAAATCGAGGCGTTCAGCCGTTACTAAGACCGCCATCTTTTTACACGATACGCTGTCATCGTGAAGCCGGGGCTAAATATAAGGCTTTTATAACAGCCAATCAAAAGGACAATCGAAAGCACAGAAACTATGAATGGATTTCGATGGCGGTGAAATGTCAGACAAAAACAACGCTTCATTAATTTAAACGTGAATATTTGGAGTTAGGCGACAGTTGTGCCACTACATTGGCCTCTGTAAGTTTAATTAATCATAATATCATAAACTTATCTATTTTAAAGATGTTACATAATAAAGAAATTGAGTTTGCCACTTGGAACTAAAGGCATCCAATCGTAGCTAAAAACAAACACATCAGTATATCTCAACGTTTTTAGCTACGTTTTCGTAGCTAATGTCTTACGTCTTACTCCAGCCACAGTGGACCGTCCTAAGGCCTTCTTTGCACAAGTTTTGTAGTCATTTGATTACAAAAAAGTTACTGGCCTGTAACTCCCTTAATTTCCGATTACACTGACCCCAAACTGTACTGTACATAGCTTAACATATAATAAACCAATTCTCATTGAAATAAAGGTGAAACCTTACCTCATAATTATATGATTTGATTTAACCAAACTGCTATGTGAAATTTTTGTTCAGTTAAAATGGCCGCCATACCAAAATTACGTGATATTATATCACTTGAAAATACAGAAATAGCCTACTATTCGGTATGATGAAATTAAGATTTCTGTGTTTCACTCTTCACTATTTGTAACATAATCGCTTATTTCCATGCAAACTATGATGATATTATGTTGCTTAACATATAATAAACCAATTCTCATTGAAATAAAGGTGAAACCTTACCTCATAATTATATGATTTGATTTAACCAAACTGCTATGTGAAATTTTTGTTCAGTTAAAATGGCCGCCGTACCAAAATTACGTGATATTATATCACTTGAAAATACAGAAATAGCCTACTATTCGATATGATGAAATTAAGATTTCTGTGTTCCACTCTTCACTATTTGTAACATAATCGCTTATTTCCATGCAAACTATGATGATATTATGTTGCAAATTTTGCAACTGAACCTAATTTTACTTGCGTAAAGAGTCAAATAGTGTATCAATTGCAGCCGTAGATAAGAATTATCTTTGCTAAAAATTGCAGCTAGCTGTAGACCACTTGACCCCCTCCCAGTCCTCCATCATTTGCATACTAATCTTTTCTCTCTTTTTATTTTAGATTGTTGAAACCAGGTTATAATATTTAGATGCATGTAGTAGTAGGAAGCTAGTTATTGTAAAACATAATCCTTCAATATGGAAGTTATAAAATCAGCCAATGACAAACGAGAATACAGGTACAGTACCATACTTTAACAATAAGTATTCTTCCACCAGGGGACACCAGCCTTACTGTTTGTTTTTATTTTTTTGAAATAAGTTTATCTTCACTAACTTCATATCTGTAGAGGTTTTAATGATAAGTTAAAGGGACCATCCCAATTTAACAGAGTCCCAGAAAAAATAAAAATCCATGTATGTATGAAATTTAAGCGCCTAAGTATAGAGGAATGGTGTATTTACCTTGTCTCAAAATGTCATTTCAAAATATTGAGCCATTTGGACGTGAATATCAAAACTGCTTATCTGGACACCTAACCCGTTAAAAATCTTGGGTCTGTTTTTTTCTTTGTGTGACCTGATAACCTATTGTCATTCCATTAGAGGTCTATACAGTGCATTACCCACATGCTGTACTTGATAATGAAAGATTAAATCTATTAGAGGTCTATACAGTGCATTACCCACATGCTGTACTTGATAATGAAAGATAAATTCCACCGACAGGTTTTTTTTTATAAAATAAAAATCTGGTTTCATCCAGACACCATATAATACAGCTTGGAATGACAGGTTTAAAGTTTAAGTTGTTTGAAAATGTATCACGTATATTGAGTTAGTTGCTCGGCCCTAAGGTAGAAGATTTTAAGGACTTTTAAAACAAAATTAAAGATACATTATGGGAGATTCGATAACGAGTTGGCAGTTCTCACTATAATGATTAAAAACTAGATAACGTAAAGGCAATTTGCTGAAAATTTCATTCAGATAGATCCACTATGAACCGAGAACTAAGCGAATGAAATTTCTGCCTAGCCTCGTTTAATCGAGAAGGAAAGTTATGTAGTAAATCGGCTCACAATCCACTTGAGATCGCAGGCTAGCGATGCCATCTATAGTTAATTATGGTCTGGATAAGTTAATTAATGTCTAATTAATAATTTAGATAACATTTCAGGCCTAAAGAAAGATCTGCAATAGACAGATTTAGCTCTTGCATAATGTATGTTTAAGCAGTTTTTTCTCCAAAATATAATTGAGATTGGCCCTTTAAGGCCAAAATTGAACATTACAATTTGTAGATTTATTCATTTTGTTCTATATTTTTAAAGAGTTATCCAGCTAGAGAATGGACTTAAAGCTTTATTGGTATCAAATCCTCCAGATGCTGATGGATATCAGTCATCTGCTGAAGTAGAATCAGAAAGTGAAGAGGGGAGTGAAGGAGATGCAAGTGATGATGAGGAAGACATGGAAGAAAATGAAGATGGAGAAAAAGAAGAAAAAAAGAAAAATGCTGAAAGACAGGTTAAAAAAAGAAGTCTTTTCTTTAAAGAAAATCATTTTTAATGGTGAATTTTGTGAATGATTTGTCAGCATTTAAAAGATCTATTTTAATAATAAATTTTGTGAATGATTTGTCAACGTGAATGAAGGTAGATCAAGTTCTCTTAAGTAACAATATTCCCCAAAAATATATCTGGGACCTCTCTTTAAAGATATTACTTACGTTGATATTTATATATTTATTTGCCAGTCTGTACAAGAACCTCAGTTACATTTTCATATTGAACAACCTTAAACAGTATACAATAAAGATCAGTAAAAGTGTCCATCTTGGAAACCTTTATCTTAGCCCTGTGCAACTTTCTGCAGCTATGTGATACTTTTTCCTCTTGTGTGGGTGTGTAAGTGCCTGGATAACCATGTCTATATAATTACAGAAATTATAGTTTTAAGTGATTGTCATGATTGTCATGTTATTCCTAAAATGATCTATAATACCGAAAATCTGGCGATTATTTTCGAATACTTCAGCATTTTGATGTGCACATATCAGACTTGCTAAATAGTCTCTTTTGCCAAAATTTAATGTTTGATATACAAACTAGATGATTCCCTGCTTGATAGATATATATTTTTAAATGCTGTACTAGTACTGGTATCAGCTTGATTTCTTTTCGCTATAGTCTAATGGAATCTAAATTTCTGTTATTTTTTCATCTTGTCCCAGTACCCAACAATTAAATTACTTCTACTGTTTTCAGTCTGCAGCAGCTTTATGTATAGGAGTTGGAAGTTTTTCTGATCCAGACGATATTCCAGGATTTGCTCACTTTCTAGAACATAGTAAGATTATTACTTTAATTTAGTGTACCTGTATAAAATAGGTTTGATTATGATTGGCTCATTTTCTAGAACATAGTAAGATTATTACTTTAATTTAGTGTACCTGTATAAAATAGGTTTGATTATGAGTGTAACTTGAGGCGTAATATAAACGTGTCTAGATCATGTAATTTTGGTGCTGTACAGGGAAACCATGTTTGAACTTGATATTGTCAACAAATGGTTGACGTCAAATGATGATTTTATGGATAGAGAAGAAAAACCATTATTTTTTAATTTATATAATGTTCATTAAACTTAATTTAAATCTCATTATTTTACAAATATATTATAAATTATAGAGGAAATTTCTTGAAAAATTATATTCCTAACACAACATAGACTCTAAAAGTTGATATCTCTGATGATTTTTGCCATTATGACTCTCAGTTCCCTTAAAAGTTCTTTTTTAAAGAAATTCGGTTTAAGACTAACATTATTTTTTATTGCTATTTTTTAAGTGGTTTTTATGGGTAGTGATAAATTTCCCAAAGAAAATGAGTTAGATGATTATCTGGGTAAACATGGTGGCTATTCAAATGCCTGGACTGATTGTGAAAAGGTAGGTAATCACTTGAAAGATCTGTAGCCAAATAAAGAATTTAGATTCCAAATCACAGGGACTAGCTTATTATGAATAAGTTGATCAAAACAGATTTATTAATAATAATACCAGTTGTAAATCAAAAATGAAGATCAAAAAAGGGGGCAATAATTTACCCTTGTAAACTCGTTTTTCTCATTCAAGCATATGCATTCTTGAAAACGAATTTTACAATTCCCGAATACTAATTTAAACTATAAAACATCAGTACTGTCTCAAAAAGTGTCCATTAATAAAGTCAGATAGCGATTTTTTGGATCACGGACTGCCATGACACATTGATAATCACATGGCGGTACTGTGAATATAGTTCGCATTATTATCATTTCTGCTTTATTAAAATTTATTTCAATTAAAAATCAGTGATTCCTTTGGAAAATCAAAGTATCGATATAAACTATTCGCCAAGAAAAATAGAAATTGAACAAAAGCAGGGATAATTCTGACAGTACCGGTTGGTTGGAAAATTGAGCGAGAAGTCATGTGATGTAAACAAAGCTACATGACAACATGGAATGAACATCTGGGAGTTTATAACAGTATTTATTCATCATTAAACAAAAACCAAAATATTACCCAGCTCTATTTAATCATTATTAATTTCTTTGTTTAAATTAACACACAATGAGAAATTCCATTGTTTAAAAAATGAAACCAAGAAAGAAAGATTAGCGGTTCGTGAAATGGCTGCGATGAAATCAATCAACATCGACTGTTTGATAGCTTTGATCTCGATCGTTAGATTGACTAATACTACTCCTAATAAATGGTTGTTATTGCGAGTCACAAAAACAATGAAATTGGCTGAATGGGACTGAATTTGATGGTCGTAGTCCATAATAGTGAGTTTCTCGTATTACTGAGCACAATTTGTAACATAACAACTCTGATTTTAATTGAGAGTGAATGTTTAAACTTGATGTACATGTTCGTTAATGTCTTGACTGAGTTCAGTGATTAACATTTCCCACTAAAGCTAAGCAGAGCTACAAAATTCCTTTGACTTTGATTCTATCTGACAGGAGTAATGAAACTTAGTGTATAGTTGATAATCAATTTGATTGCTCGATACTTTTGAAAAAGGTAAATGCGCAATTAATTAATATGTGTCATCTATTTATTTCGAGATTTCGGCGGTGGACATCAGCCTCACTGTTGGCTTGTTTTCTTTTATAGTTACCGGTAAATAGAAAATAGTTACAGGATTTTGAATATCAATGTATAGTTTTATTTTTTTTCAGACTGTTTTCTATTTTGAGATACAGAAAAAGAATTTCTTCAAAGCTCTAGATATGTTTGCTCATTTCTTCATCTCCCCATTATTAAGACAAGATTGTGTTGATAGAGAAGTGAAAGCAGTCGATAGTGGTCAGTATACATGTATCATATATTTTACGGTTAACATTTGACCTCTGAATTGATATTCCTTGGAGTAATTACGCCTGTCAACCGTAATTTGGAAAAACGGATACAAAATCAGTAATTTGAAATTATTTCTCTTTGGAATTGCATCAACAACATACTGTGGCATTGTTGCTTCAGTTCCAAATGCCTGGCAATGCTGTGTTTTAAAAAAAAGTTTTTAAAAAACACCTTTGAAATGCAGAAAGTATAAAAAAAAGATACTATATTGTTATATAATATTGTTTAGAGTTTCAGATGTCAGTACCAAATGATGGTGATCGTGTCAATCAATTAATAAGTTCCCTTGCGAGAGAAGGCCATCCAATGAGGAAGTTTATGTGTGGTAAATATATTTATACATTTTTCTGTTCATTTGCTTTGTAAATATTCAAGGTGGAATCTGAATAACTTGAATTATTTATTAACATATTGAATGTGTAAATATGAATTATTTATTAACATGGCAATGACATGATCATTGTAAGTATTGTATACAAAATGCAAATATTTTATAAAATTTGATTTTGTATCAAGGGCCTTTTCTACATGCTCACTTTCAAATGCGTTTGTATATTGTCGCCATCACTGTCCGTTGTATCCCCAGTCCGTCATACTGAGTGTTTAAGGTAATGAGATGAAGTCTGGATAATTTTCAATGATTTCTGAGAGTTAGAAAGAGAGAGAGGGAGAGATGGGGTTTAACGTCCACTCGACACAAACTAGGTCATTTGCGCGTAGGAGTCTTTAGCAGTGGGAGAAAACATTATCATCTGATTACCGGTACATGTTTTGTATACTCTTCAAAAAATGTAGGGAATATTCAGAAACAATACAAAACTGCGGAAATGCACTGCTGTTTTTATTAGAGGTAACCAGTGTATGTTAATAACAGGCCAATTGCCTACACATGAACATAAACAGTTCATATGGGCAGCTTATCTGACGGCCCCATTTCACTCGCAAAGAGATACACTGTCAAATGTGAAAAAGAACGTTTTTGATTTTTGTCTTAATAATGAGTAATTGCTCCACCAATCCTCAGAAACTCAGCAATTCGTCGTGGCATGCTCCTAATCAACCGTCCAATTTGGGGCAATCTGACCCACTCCCTTTGCAGTGCCAGGGCCAATTCTTGCAGTGTTGACGTTGACATCGATGAACACGTCTCCCGATCAAATTAAACGTAACACACTAAAGCAAAGATACGCGAAACAGTAAATCTTATGCAAGAACTGATACGAAAGCAAAAATGGATAGGATAAACCAGCAAGCGGCAGTTTTCATCAACCCTTCCTTAAAGTGTCAAATCTGACAATGAACCCCTCCCACGTGTATGGCGCTGTTGTGTGTCGCACATGCAGCTCAGTGGTTCTGTTGTTTTGAAGAGTATATATTAAATGTTAGCACTAGGCACAACTAGAAGCCATTCAAATTTTAATTATTTCTGATAATTACATAATGGGTTGTTATTACTCTTGATCTGTTTTTAATGATTTTTGATTGCTCCAATTAACTATGCGACATACCTTGTTAACAATAACAGCTCAGAGACTTAGCTGCTGTGAGCGTATGTTTTGTTGCCTGACAGTCTGAAGCTTAATTGAATACCAGTGTATGCCAGACTTAATTTTAAACCCAATTTTATTTTGTCAATGACAGTGATTAACAGCCTAAAATTCAATCATTGTTTATTTGTTATTATTTGGATCATGTTTTTGTTGATAATTATTATTATTTGTTATTTTTTATTAAAAATCTTCTGTCTTATTTTTAGGCAATTTAAAGACATTGAAATCTTTACCAGAAGAAAGAGGTGTTAATATTTATGACCATTTGAGGGAATTTTATAATAATATGTATTCAGCTCATTATATGACTCTAGCTATAGAGTCTAAGGGTAAATATTTTTTAACCTTTCTTTTTTTTGATACACATGGAAATGTGGTCGTATATTGCCGTTGCCCCTGTCCTCATGTCTGTTGTGCACAATTTCTTGTGAACACTCTACAGACTACATTTATCATCTGATTGTTTTGAAGTTGATATATGTTGTTTACATTAGTGAGATGAAGAAGCCCATTAAATTGCAGTAATTTCTGCTAATTTTTTTCTAGATTTAGTCTCGTTTTACTTTGTTGCACCTTGTGAACACTCCACGACAAAACTTATCATCCGATTTGCGTGCAATTTATATGCATCATTTAAATTAGTGAAATGAAGAAGTCTTTAATTTCAGCAATTTCTGTTTATTACATTTAGAGTTATGGCCCTTGTTTCACTTTGTTGGACCTTGTGAATACTCTAATGGCAAAAGTTATCATCTGACTTTATGAAATTTATAATCATCATATAAATTAGTGAAACAAAAAAGCTTATTGAATTTTAACAATTTCTGTAAATTACTTACAGAGTTAAGGCTCTTGTTTCAGTTTGTAAAGCCTTGTAAATCCTCAAAGGATGAAAATTATAATCTGATCTGTTTCAAATTGTCTTGTAGATGTCCCCCATTACCTACAAAAGAATAGATATGTGACAATCCTTGTCGACCACTCTAATGATTTAGCTGCTGTGGGCATATGAATTTCAGCAATTATTTCTAGAGTTTTGTCCCTTGTTCTACTTTGTTAGACCTTGTGAATGCTCGAACAACAAAAGTTATCATCCAATCTGTATGAAATTCATATGCATCATTAGATTAGTGAACCGAAGATATGCATTGAAGTTCAGAAATATTCGTTAATTACTTCTAGAGTTATGGCTCTTGTTTCACTTTGTTGAACTCCTGTGAACGCTCAAACGACAAAAGTTATCTTCCGACCGGTATGAAATTGATATACATCATTTGAATTCAAGAAACAAAACAAATGATGGAATTTCCTTTAATTACTTCTTGAGTTAAATGGTCCTTGTTTCGTTGTCTGGCAACCTATCTTTGAGATGTGCCATCAATTTATTTATATTGTTTAAAAATGACAAAATTCAAGAATCAAAACAAATGACGGAATTTCCTTTAATTACTTCTTGAGTTAAATGGTCCTTGTTTCGTTGTCTGGCAACCTATCTTCTTTGAGATGTGCCATCAATTTATAATGTTTAAAAATGACAAAAAATAAACTATTTGTTTTCTTGTCTTTGTCTTTAAAGATATACAATGTGTACTCCCCAAGAAACAATAATTAATGAAATCATAAATAATAATCCAATGAATACAAAGATAAAACTGCTATGATATTGCTGTTATGAAAAATACATTCAAGTACACATAGTATGGTTATTATTCCATTATGCTGACTTCTATTTTATTTTTCAGAGGGTCTAGATACCTTGGAAAAATATGTGAGAGAAATATTCTCTAAAATTCCAAATAAGTAAGTGTCTTTGTTTTGTGAAAAAAGAGAAAAATTCAAAACACTATAAACAATTGTTGAAATTATTGAATGATGGTTATTTTGATGTTTAAATAATGTATTTTTAACTAGATTTTTAAAATTATTTTCATAGCCAGAAAACGCAGCCAAGTTTTAAACTTATGAAGGTTAGTAATTGATTAACATTTAACGATACATTAGTTAAGAGTTTAATAAAGAGTTGGCCATTCTTGCTATAATAATTCAAAAATAGATGATTAAAAAAAGAAAATATTAAAAATTTCAGTCAAATTACTTTATTCTGAACGGAGTTGTCACTGTTGGAAGTTTGGACTAGAAATAGACATCAGCTGTGTCCACACCGTCTACGAAAATTGACGATCGTTTGATTAACAGATGATATAACTCCACCCACGTATTCTCGACTATCAAGTTTCAAGTAACATTCTCAATGGTTATTGTACCCTCGCTTGGTAGGCCTTTCATCAGTGACTAACGGTAAACGTTAGCTTGGTCGGCCATTTCTTGATTAATTTTAAATGGACGACTGTTTAAATCCAAGCTGTATCCAAGCCATCCGAGGGTCTACAGAGTTGATTTTGAGCATGTCATGTAAATAAAGGTCTAATTAACAATTTCTATAACATCTGAAGCCTAAATAAAGACTTGCAATAGGCAGATTTAGCTCTCGCATAAGGCCTGTTTTTGTTCAATTTGTTTATTGACTTATAAGCTTATACTTGCTTTTATATTAATGGTTTGATAACTATATTTTACTATAGTGCTAAATATTTTACATGTATGTGTTGTATTTTCCTTATTATCTTCTGTTCTAGGAACCTTTCAATACACAAGAATTCCACAAATTCTATAGAGGTAACAATATCTGTATATAGAAGAGAAAGTATGTAGAAAACCAAACTGTTAAATTTATAGATTTTAAGATAACCTCATAATAACCAGAGTCGTTTTTACAATAAATTTAATGTTGTAATATAATGTGGTGGGTAGTGTCCACCTTGCACATAATGTTTACAACATTGAGACCAATTTTATCAGGAATATAATGGTGATATTTTGAGATATTATGGATATTACGAAATGTAGATAATCGCTACCAGTGTAACACATCTTGTAACTTATAAATGATGTAATATTTAAAGGAAGGATTTAGTATGAATGACACTTTTGGAACAATTACTAAGTGCATTTAGTCATTCCATTTAATATAATAATGTAAAGTAAAGTTATTGTATTCTTCAGAGAATATTTTATTTTTGTTGTAGTTAGTTCTGTTGAAAATACACACAGTCTTGAAATATTGTGGTCATTTCCATCTTTACTACATGAGTACAGGTATGTAATATAGAGTGGATGTTTCTGAATTCTAACAAGTCTTTAAGTCTTAGAAAGTCATTTGAGGGATTGTTTATCCCTCACAGACTACAATCTTGGGATAGTTTACTTTCTAAAGGGAATATCGGCCCAGTAATGTTTCAATTTCATTCAGTATTTACAACGATATGATGAATTGAAAATCTTGCAACATTTGGCAAGCTCTGCAGACAATAAAAATTGGATATGGTCAAAACAGACATGAACTGTTCTGACCAATCATTTGTTGTTTTGACTTAAATTTATTCTCGTTTTAACCAAACATTTAGGTCTTTCTTATCTAAGGCCATTATGTCTAGGGACAGGGGTTTTACATTCCCATTCGAAATCCTGAATAGAAATACTGTTTACGAAAGTTCTAAAGTGTGAATCCAGTTGAATTCATGGGCTTTTCTTGTGTGATACACACAGTGATCGAAATAACGACCTGCCCGTAGCTGGTAAATTTCACGTCGGGCTGCCTGAAAAAATTCCCCACCAGCCCGGTTGATAAAATTGACAGATATAATCTACTAACTCACTCATTCTAATCTATCACTCACTGAAGTTTACTACTTTGCCTTTGCCATGACTTGTTTTGATAATAAAGTTTATGAAAGCGAGATGCGAGTTTGTTACCGATGTTTTCTATTTATAACAGTGACTGATCTTCAGAAATTACTCTAGTGTATCTGCCTAAATTTAAGTTATCTTTGCCGTGATTGGCCATACTTAGTAACATGGACCAATAAAGACCAATCAAAGCTAGTGTTACAATCACATTTAGGTTATCAAACAAAATGGCGTCATAAATACGTATTCAGGTTATTAGAATGTCACAATTAAAGATTTTGACGTTGTTTTTTTTTTATCAAACTCAAAAGTTGAAAGAAAGACACAAGTTGAAAAAGACATTGAGAAAAGAATAAAGAATATGAAAACAATAAAAGAAATAGGAAGTATCAGATTAAGTGGCAGATCGAATTTCCGTGGCTGATTACCGACAAAGAATCTCTGTTTTGTCGGATATGCATATCATGTTACGGGCCACTAGGCATATCCCAAGCAAACATTCCTGCATTATTCTAGTTTGTTTTTTGTAAAATATGTTACAAAATATGGGCAGGCAACATTCTAGATGGGCAGGCAACTTTTATGGGTCACCTGCCCGACTGGCAGGTTAAGTTTGAAAGTTATTTCAATCACTGGATACACAGTACCCTTCTCCCATCCTTTCTGTTAGGCATCCTAAAACCTTGAATTTATTGAGGGAAAGATGCACTCATTAAATACCTTCAATTCTTAATTTAAACTCATTTCATTATAAAACCATGAACATGTGACAGATACTATCCCAGTTACTAAAGAATAAACATATAGACAGAAAGGATTGTGCTTTGACATGCTTTTAAAACCAATTTGATTTAATTACAGAGTTAAACCATTGGATTATTTATCAACTTTGATAACTCATGAAGGAAAAGGTAGCATTTTATCTTATCTAAAGAAGAGGTAATTAAATTTAATTTCTAAACTTCTTTCCCAATCCATATACTATTAGACAACAAATCAATACTATATCTGTCTAAATGATCAGATGCAAAATGCTAAAAACTACTAGAATAACAATACTAGAAACTATTTTTATATAAAATTTGATACCAGACTTCATAATTCTTATTTTATGTTATTTATGTTTTTTAGAACACTGGCACTGTCTTTGTCAGGTGGCAATAATTTTACTGGTACAGAAAATAATTCTACATGTTCTACATTCTACGTCAATATAACTTTGACTGATGATGGTCTACAACAAGTTTATCAGGTAATAGTTCTATAACAATTAAACTTTAACTACCATAAAGCATGGTTATAGTTTACAATTATTCATCACACCGTATTCCACACTATGATATTTTGTGTCTTATTGCAGTGTGCGTATGTTGTCTGATTCAACTTAAACTATTTATTGTTTTATTCAAAAGATGCTACAATTACATTCTGTTATTTTGTTAATTGTCCCCCGCCTTTCGAAGAAAGCAGGGGACTATTAAAATGGGTACGTCCGTCTGTCCGTCCGTCCGTCCGTCCGTCCGTCCGTCCGTCCGTCCGTCAGTCCGTCTGTCTGTCTGTCCGTCACACTTTTTGGGACACAATAACTCTCCTTCTAATGGACCTAGAATGTTCAAACTTGGTGTAGGTGTTTATTGTCCCCCGCCTTTCGAAGAAAGCAGGGGACTATTAAAATGGGTTCGTCCGTCTGTCTGTCTGTCTGTCTGTCTGTCTGTCTGTCTGTCTGTCTGTCTGTCTGTCTGTCTGTCTGTCTGTCTGTCTGTCTGTCTGTCTGTCTGTCTGTCTGTCTGTCTGTCTGTCTGTCTGTCTGTCTGTCTGTCTGTCCGTCTGTCTGTCCGTCACACTTTTTGGGACACAATAACTCTCTTCCTAATTGAGCTAGAATGTTCAAACTTGGTGTATGTGTTTATTAGGTCAATGCCTTGATGGAGTTCGAAGATGAGCATTTTCCGCTTAGGGTAAGCAGAGATAAGCAATTTGATTGGTTGATGCTTTGGGACACGATAACTCTCTTCCTAATTGGGCTAGAATGTCCAAACTTGGTGTATGTGTTGATTAGGTCAATGCCTTGATGGAGTTCGAAGATGAGCATTTTCTGCTTAGGGTAAGCAGAGATAAGCAATTTGATTGGTTGATGCTTTGGGACACGATAACTTTTAATTGAGCTAGAATGTTCAAACTTGGTGTGTGTGTTTATTAGGTCAATGCCTTGATGGAGTTCGAAGATGAGCATTTTCCGCTTAGGGTAAGCAGAGATAAGCAATTTGATTGGTTTATACTTTGGGGCACGATAACTCTCTTCCTAATTGAGCTAGAATGTTCAAACTTGGTGTATGTGTTGATTAGGTCAATGCCTTGATGGAGTTCGAAGATGAGCATTTTCAGCTTAGGGTAAGCAGAGATAAGCAATTTGATTGGTTGATGCTTTGGGACACGATAACTTTAGTTCTAATTAAGTGAGATTGATGAAACTTGGTGTATAGTTTCATTACAGTAATACCTTGACTAAGTTTGATAATGAGCATTTTCTGCTCAGGGTAAGCAGAGCGATACGCAATTTGATTGGTCGAGACTTTGGAAAACAATAACTCTCCTACTTTGATTGTCCCCCGCCTTTCGAAGGTTGATGCTTTGGGACACTATAACTTTAGTTCTAATTAAGTGAGAGTGATGAAACTTGGTGTATAGTTTCATTACAGTAATACCTTGACTAAGATTGATAATGAGCATTTTCTGCTCAGATTAAGCAGAGCGATAAGCAATTTGATTTGCTGAGACTTTGGAACACAATAACTCTCTAATTATTTTCCTATTTCGGCGGGGGACATCAGCCTCACTGTTGGCTTGTTAGGTCAATGCCATGATGTAGTACGAAGATGAGCATTTTCTGCTTAGGGTAAGCAGAGATAAGCAATTTGATTGGAGATAAGCAATTTGATTGGTTGATGCTTTTGGACACGACAACTTTAGTTCTAATTAAGCGAGAGTGATGAAACTTGGTGTATAGTTTCATTACATCAATACCTTGATTAAGTTTGATAATGAGCATTTTCTGCTCAGGGTAAGCAGAGCGATAAGCAATTTGATTGGCCGAGACTTTGGAACACAATAACTCTCCTTCTAATTGAGCTAAAATGTTCAAACTTGGTGTATGTGTTTATAAGGTCAATGCCTTAAAGGGGTGTGAAGATGAGGATTTTCTGCTCATGGTAAGTATAGATAAGCAATTTGATTGGTTGATGCTTTGGGACACAATAACTTTAGTTCCAATTCAGTGAGAGTGATAAAACTTGTTGTATAGTTTCATTACATCAATACCTTGACTAAGTTCGATATTGAGCATTTTCTGCTCAGCGTAAGCAGAGCGATAAGCAATTTGATTGGCCGAGACTTTGGAACACAATAACTCTCCTTCTAATTGAGCTAAAATGTTCAAACTTGGTGTATGTGTTTATAAGGTCAATGCCTTAATGGGGTGTGAAGATGAGGATTTTCTGCTCATGGTAAGTAGAGATAAGCAATTTGATTGGTTGATGCTTTGGGACACAATAACTTTAGTTCCAATTAAGTGAGAGTGATAAAACTTGTTGTATAGTTTCATTACATCAATACAGTATGTGCATCTGTCATCATCCTCGGCTTTCGTCAATTAAATCACACTTTCATCTTCCTCTAGTCGTGGGAATGGGGGTTTGGGAGGGACCTCATAAGTAGAATAGCACAGGGCCTCTCATCTGATTTTTAAAATGACTGATTCTATGATAATGAAATATAATGCTGGGACAAATAGAAAAAATTTCAAGTACCAGTAGCTTGGTTGCTGTAAATTCCAACCTGATGCCCAGGGCCTTTGGGGCAGTTTAACTAGGTGTTTGTGTGGGTAAGGGCCAGAAGAACCCCCTGTTGAGTGTAGGCATGGGAGGGGGCACCCCAAAAGGGCCTAAAACTAGGTCTAAAATAGTTAACTAAGGCACCACTTGAAATCACTATCATTTTATGCTTACTACTGAATACATTGAAAGCACAGATGACACACTTTTCCTTGTTGCTATGACCCCTGACACCTTTTAAATGAAATACAGCCCTATTTATTTCATCTCAGAATACAATATTAAATCATATTCTGCTTTTAAATGTTCATATTTCCATTTCGTTTTGTTTGTAGCCATATATTATATTAATTATGTTGTTAACAATAATATTTGCATACTGTGTGGACTAGTGAAAATTATCACAGTGCCTGGGACCACTTCAAATGGCCACATTAAAAGTCAAGTGATTATCAACAACTTTTGAGCCCAGAACAGGATAGTGAAATTTAGCACATGTTAGTAATGTGCTTCAACTCCTAAGCCTTTTGACAGATTATTTATTTTTTTGTCCCCCGCCTTTCGAAGAAAGAAGGGGACTATTAAAATGGGTTCGGCCGCTTGTCTGTATGTCTGTCCGTCATACTTTTTGGGACACAATAACTCTCCTTCTAATTAAGCTAGAATGTTCAAACTTGGTGTAGGTGTTTATGAGGTCAATGCCTTAATAGAGTGTGAGGATGAGCATTTTCTGGTTATGGTAAGTAGAGATAAGCAATTTGATTGGTTGATGCTTTGGGACACGATAACTTTAGTTCTAATTAAGTGAGAGTGATGAAACTTGGTGTATAGTTTCATTACATCAATACCTTGACTAGGTTCGATGATGACAATTGTCTGCTTAGGCTAAGGAGCAATAAGCATTTTGATTGGTCAAGACTTTGGAACATAACAACTCTGCTTCTAATTGAGGTAGAATGTTTAAACTTGATGTAGATGTTCGTCTTGACTTAGTTCAATGATTTACATATCGAGCTAAAGCTAAGCAGAGATTAGCAATTTCCTTGGTCGATGCTTTGGGACAAGATAACTTTGATTCTATCTGATAGAGAGAGTGATGAAACTTAGTGTATAGTTGATAATCAGTTTGATTGCTCGATACTTTTGAAAAAAATAGATGTGCGATTAATTAATATGTGTCATCTATTTATTTGGGGATTTCGGTGGGGGACATCAGCCTCACTGTTGGCTTTTATCTGATTTTGACGCAACTTGAAATACAGGTCTATCTCCCAAAGATCTTGGTTCCTTTCGATATTGGCATGTATTGGACCATAACTTCATGGATTATGGCCCCTGATTGTTCGTAAAATTACGATTTTAGCTTTTGGACACTCTAGAGATAACAATTTTCATCTGATTTTGATGAAATTTGAAAAGTATGTTTATAAACCAAAGATCTTGGTTTCTTTCGATATTTGCACATATCGGATTGTAACTTCCTGAATTATGACCCATGATTGTACGAAAAATCACATTTTTAGCTTGTGGTCCCTCGAGAGGTCACAATTATTATGTTTATATCACAAAGATCTTGGTTCCTTTTGATAATTGTATATATCCAAACGTAACTTTTTGGATTATGGCCCCCTCGAGAGGTCACAATTATTATGTTTATATCACAAAGATCTTGGTTCCTTTTGATAATTGTATATATCCAAACGTAACTTTTTGGATTATGGCCCCAGATTTTTTGAAAAATCGCATTTTTAGCTTGTGGCCCCGCTAAAAGTCAAATTCTATTCAATTTTGAAAAACGTTTTAATATATCACCGTTACACATTAATGAAGGTTGAGTTCGAATTTCGTAAAAATCTGACCCAAACTACCGGACAAAATAGCCGCTTCTTGTATGCAAATATTGTAAAATTATGTAATACCCAGGTTGTAGAGTGTGTACCCTCTAGTAGAAGTCACAATTTCTATCCGATTTTGATGAAACTTGAAATTTATGTTTATATCCCATTCCCTTTCGATATTCACGCATTTCAGACCCTTCCTGAATTATGGCCCTTGATTGTACAAAAAAACGCTTTTTTTTATTTTAGCTTGTTTTCTATCCATCTCTTGCAAAATGTGGTCGTATCTTGCCTGGCAACCACTGGTTGTAGTAGTAGTATATTTATTGATAGGAGACAAATTAATTATAAGCCTTTGGCTTGTTTTTGAATTCTTACCTTTGACAATGTATGTATCTTTTCATATCAATCTTATTTGAACAAATATTGTTTAAATCAACTAAACTAGAGTCTGTTATTAATATTATTTCAGGAAATACAGCACCCTGTAATATATAATAATATTTGCCTTGTATTATTTTTAGATTCTTACTGTTATATTTGAATATCTTCATCTACTACGAACTGTTGGTCCACAGAAACACATCTTTGACGAACAAAAGATAATAGAAGACAATAAATTCAGATGGAGAGAAAAAGTAAGATAACCTGTCCAAATATTGCAAAGCAGAAATAATTGTCGATGTCAAAACAAAAATTATGTAACATAGATATTTTGGTTTCAGTTTCTTGGAAAATGTTGAATAATGAATTAGAGAACATATAGCGGTGATTAAGTTGTGGCAAATTATATATTTTCCGACAGTCATGAAATCGTTATTGCATATTTATGTTTAAGGGAGAAGCTGTTGATTATGTGGAAGAATTAAGTGAAAATATGCAGATATTTCCAGTAGAACATTACCTAACAGGAAGACATTTGATATATGACTATAATGAAAAGGTCAGTTCTGTTTTTGGAAAACTTTCGGAATATTGGCTGAAGGACTTAATTTTAATTGATATTTAATTTATTTTTATCCAAAAAGGATGGACTAAGAGTATTGCTTCAGCAAATTAAGCAGATTAACAAGATTATATTAACTTTTAACCTTTTACTCTATAAATGATATGCAACACACACACACACAAATCTCTAATGGTATTTAGATCAACAATTGTAGTACTTGTGTTGAATGTACATTCAGCTCAGGAATATTAATTAGCTGTTTTTTGTCGGCTTTAGCTGCTTGAAGTCCAGTCAAGCCGATTGGTAAAACTATGAACCGGCCACTATGGTATCATAAATCAATCTACTTTCGGTTAAATTAGAACGGGTTAATTATTACTTGTTGATTAATTAAGTAGTTTGTCAGGTCGGCTACAACAACAGTCATGCCTTAGTGAGAATTGGCCATTGGTTCATGATCCGAGTAATTAGCACACATGTAGGTAATTTTGATAATTCGGTTAAAAAAACCAAAACAAGCTTGCTGATTATTTATAATAGGTCGAGTAAGTTGCCTTTGTGGATTGCCATGTGGCGATCAAAGGAACTTAGGAAGATGATGAACCGTGCGTCTTCGATGAACTGTATGAATTCCAGGAACCAGTAGATATTAAAATAATAATTAGATCATACATTCAAAGGTGTCGCTGACCAGTTCTTAGTTAAATTTAAATAACCTTCAGATAGAACACAACGAATACACCAAGAAACAGTCATTTTAAATAATCTATTTTTATGACAGAATCTCCATTGCTGAATCCCCCGATGACATGTCACATCGGTTAGAATTAGGTCAATAAACCAGTGATGCTAGTTTTAGTTTTAGATAGCGTTTACTGCTATGATTTTTATACGCCCACATTTTCATGTGGACTTATATTGTCGTCGCCCCTGTCCGTACAGGTCACAATTTTTATCCGATTTCAATGAAACTTGAAATATAGGTTTATCACCCTAAGATCTCGGTTCCTTTCGATATTGGCATTTATCGGACTGTAACTTCATGGATTATGGCCCCTGATTGTACGAAAAATCACGTTTTTAGCTTGCGAACACTGTAGAGGTCACAATTTTTATCCGATTTGGTTTAAACTTGAAATGTATGCTTATAACCCATAGATCTCGGTTCCTTTCGATATTTGTGCATATCGGAACATAACTTCCTGAATTATGTCCCCTGATTGTACGAAAAATCGCATTTTTTAGCTTGTGGACCCTATAGAGGACATAATTTTTATCCGATTTAAAAAAACATATTATTGTCCCCCGCCTTTCGAAGAAAGCAGGGGACTATTAAAATGGGTTCGTCCGTCTGTCTGTCCGTCTGTCTGTCCGTCACACTTTTTGGGACACAATAACTCTCTTCCTAATTGAGCTAGAATGTTCAAACTTGGTGTATGTGTTTATCAGGTCAATGCCTTGATGGAGTTCGAAGATGAGCATTTTCCGCTTAGGGTAAGCAGAGATAAGCAATTTGATTGGTTGATGCTTTGGGACACGATAACTCTCTTCCTAATTGGGCTAGAATGTTCAAACTTGGTGTATGTGTTGATTAGGTCAATGCCTTGATGGAGTTCGAAGATGAGCATTTTCCGCTTAGGGTAAGCAGAGATAAGCAATTTGATTGGTTGATGCTTTGGGACACGATAACTTTTAATTGAGCTAGAATGTTCAAACTTGGTGTATGTGTTTATTAGGTCAATGCCTTGATGGAGTTCGAAGATGAGCATTTTCCGCTTAGGGTAAGCAGAGATAAGCAATTTGATTGGTTGATACTTTGGGGCACGATAACTCTCTTCCTAATTGAGCTAGAATGTTCAAACGTGGTGTATGTGTTGATTAGGTCAATGCCTTGATGAAGTTTGAAGATGAGCATTTTCCGCTTAGGGTAAGCAGAGATACGCAATTTGATTGGTTGATGCTTTGGGACACGATAACTTTAGTTCTAATTAAGTGAGATTGATGAAACTTGGTGTATAGTTTCATTACAGTAATACCTTGACTAAGTTTGATAATGAGCATTTTCTGCTCAGGGTAAGCAGAGCGATACGCAATTTGATTGGTCGAGACTTTGGAAAACAATAACTCTCCTACTTTGATTGTTAGACTATAAGTAAAGATATACTGTTTGATTGTTCAATACTTTGTAAAAGATAATTTGTGATAAATTTATATGTGTCCTCTAATTATTTTCCTATTTTTATATCACCGTTACACCCTAAGGACGGTTGGGTTCAAATTTTGTGAAAATCAACCGAAAACTGACAGACAAAATGGCCGCCGTTCGTTCTCAAATAGCGTAAAAATATGGTATATCAAGGTTGTGGACCCTATAGAGATCACAATTTTAAACCGATTTTGTTGAAACTTGAAATGTAAGTTTATAACCCAAAGGTCTCGGTTCCTTTCGATATTCGCGCATATCGGACCGTAACTTTCTGAATTATGGCCCCTGATTGTACGAAAAATCACGTTTTTAGCTTGTGGACCCTATAGAGGTCATAATTTTTATCCGATTTAAAAAAACGTATTATTATATCACCGTTACACCTTAAGGATGGCTGAGTTCGAATTTCGTGTAAATCAGCCCAAAATTGACAGACCAAATGGCCGCTGTTCGTTCTCAAATAACGTAAAAATATGGTATATCAAGGTTGTGGACCCTATAGAGGTCACAATTTTTATCCGATTTTGTTGAAACTTGAAATGTAAGTTTATAACACAAAGATCTCGGTTCCTTTCGATATTTGCCCATATCGAATTGTAATTTCCTGAATTATGGCCCTTGATTGTAGGAAAAATCACTTTCTTTTTAGCTTGTTCTCTATCCATCTCTCGAAAATGTGGGCTTATCCTGCCTGGCAGCCGCTGGTTTATTTTATACACATGCTGAAAGAGGCTTAGTTTAAAAAATATTGTCGTTATTATTATTGAAAGCTATATGGTATAGTCGCACAGAATTTTATTTTAAAGCAATGTCAATTATGGTTGTCACGTGATCAATCATGGATGAATGAATAAAAACATTTGCAAGTTACATGATAGACAAAAACTACAAATTGTGTTATGATGAAATACCAAGGTTCCATATCAGATTATATCCATCGAAAGGACAATAAATTATTCAGGAGATATTACTGACATGAATTTCAAGCGGGTACATGAATTAAATCTGGAAAATTTTCTGAACGATGTACCTATTTGACGTTATTTTTGTGGTAATTACATACATGTACTCCATGTACATTAGAATACGATATTCCTCATAACAAAAATTACCCAGAATTATTTTTGTTGAAGTCTGGTTATATTAAAGGGAATGGAATATTATCATTTTAAAATCCATATCCTACCGGGACCTCATTTGACCCAATTCTGGCCGGTTCATTTCAAAATGGATTAAGAACCCAGGTTCAGCTTCATTGCTGTACTTTTTTCAGTTAATTAAAGAATGTGCCGATGTATTGAAACCAGACACAGCTAATATAGTTCTACGTTCAAAATCATTTGACAGTCAAGGTATCTTAGATAAAGAAGAAAAGTGGTATAGTACAAAATATAATGTGCAAGGTAGGTACATCTTCTGGTTCAAATTGTTGAAATTCACAAGTACAACATCCTATCATGTGAAACAGCTTGTCATAAATTAGACTATACATAACGATTAGGAACAAAGTAAAGGCAGATATATGACAAATATTTTTGATTATATCCATCATTCATGAACACAATATTATATCGGGTTTACCATATATTTATCATTGTTTATTTATTTGTTTTTGTAGATATTGATCCAGAATGGGTGGAGAAGTGGAGAAGTATGTTTTGATTTTTGTTTTGCTATTTGTGTTAATTGAATGTTTTATAGGAAATAATATTAGTACCGCAGATTTTAAAGAAAATCATGACTTACTTTATTTGGACATTTCTATTGTGCCTGAATTCCGTTATTGCATACCAGTAATAACAACATTATATGTGCACGGGATAACTAGCTATTAACCTCCTTAGTTATATATTGACCATCTCTATATTCTGATAGTACTAGCATTGATGTGGTGGAATTACTTGTAGTCATATTAATTTGTAATAATTATTAATTTAGAAATTACAACAGCTTCAGCTCTTTTAAATGCAACCCTCTTCTGTTCATCACTCTAAAACTTTTAACTCAATGTAAACAAAAAGCCTTTTGGCGGTCAACTAATTTAAGAAATTATGTTTTTGATTAGAAGTATGCAGTAAACTGTAGATTGATGTTACATATAGTTTGTTTTCCCTATGCAAAGATTTTTTTATCCATCAATAACAAACTACTACCAAATGACCATGTGATTTATTTCAGCTTCTGATGTCTGCCTTTTTTTTCTATTTTAAAGAAAACCCATTGATAAGAACACAATAATTTTATTGCAGATGTACTTCCAAATGATGAATTATACCTTCCAGAACCAAATAAATTTATCTGTAAGTTAAAATAAATTATATTATGTATATTTTCGTAAATTACAACTCAAGTAAATATATAGCCTCAGATCAAATATGAAGTAGTGCATATCAATGCTTACTGCATCAATGTGTAGTATGGGCTTTTGGGCATATTAATACTTTCATATAATTTTATTTTTCAGCTACAAACTTTGAAATATTAGATTCAAATGTTACAGAGGTATGTAAGCGATTTATTTTATTTGCACTTATTTTGAATTTATGCTGATGATAATTTGTCTATAATATAACAAAGAAATAACTAAACTCATAGTAATAATTTTCTAAATGATAAATTATGTATATATTTGTATTATAACACCAATATATATATTATGTGCTCATTTATAAATAAATACATTTCCTGTATCAAATTTATAAGGATCTCTACTATTATATTGAAATATGACTGCCTTATTTGAATATGTCACAATTCTACTTGCAATACATATGTTATCAGTTGGTAAATAGATTTCAAACCACTCACTTTCAATTGGGAACACTACAGACTAAAAATTGAGATACCTCATAATGAACTGTGTTTTAATAACATATTGTCAACTGACAATAAGATTACCAGAGATTTATCTTGTACAATGGCAATTGTCGATCTTTTCAGCATCCCCAGATAATTTTAGAAGAAAATGGTTCTCAGTTCTGGTTTAAAAAAGATAACAAATTTAATGTTCCTAAAGGTAAGAAACATGTACTGCGATCTCAAATGCTAACATTTTTATACACCCACATTGAAATCTTTCGTGTAAGATTACGGGGTAAAATCGTCGTAAATATGAACTGCACATGTCCCCATACTAATTTTAGAATATAATGCACGTGGATCTGTTTACCTTTATAACGCGATCATAAGGCCCAATACATTTACCCACGAAACATTCAAATTTAGACTCTTTTCTTTTGGAGGGATAGTAATTGATGACATTTTCCCCTAAAATTGACAGATGCCATTTTCAACATGTGGTTAATCACATGACCAATGACATCTAGGTCAACTGGTGTAGTGCGCGAGCGGAGGACAGAGTCAAATGCTGGATAGTGAGACTTGTATGGAGAATGAACTTAAACAGCTTAATCTATGATATTAAATGTTTTGTATACTAAACGTTAGCATGGGACAAACAAATTCTAATGAATAATTACTTTCTGATAATTACTTACTCGTAATCAGATTTAAGTGTATTATATATGTTTCATTACCGACAAAAGTAAAAATATGTTGACTGCCTGGATGATTGAGCTGCTGTGGGTGTATGTTTCATTGCCTAGCAACCTGTCATTCAGTTTAGAGACAAAAATAATTTCAGAATGGGTGTATATATATATGTATTTCTTTTTGTGGATTCTAATAGGTCACAAAATGTGTGATTTTAACATCTAGAAATTGTAATTCACTTTTTCAGGTGTTTGATCACTGCATTGGCCGAGAATGTTCATGGGATTTTCCGATGTGGTTTACCCTTGTCAGTGGTCCAGGAAGGGGGACCTGACAAAGACAGCTGTCTAGTCGTTCGGAAGGAAATAAAACCATGGTCCTGTGAATACATTGGCATGCACGTAAAAGATCCCTTGGCCTTTGGAATTAATATATGAGTAGGCCATAGTGCAGCTGCCCGAGCAAAATTTCTCTCATTGCACACAGTATGGCGTTTACCCATCTTCATTAGCCCAGTCGGAGCAGAACAGTAGGACTTTAAACCCCCATTTCATTTCATTTCACTTTTTCAGGTTCTGTTTACATTAGACTTACAAGCCCTGTTGTAATTGAAAATCTCTCGAAGTAAGTCTGTTCAAACCATTTTCATAATCAAATTTTGTTTCCTTATGCTGTCTACTATTACTAAGAAGGTCATTGTCTCTCAAAATGTTATTTGTCTATTTGTGTTGTTTTTCTCTTTCTAGTTCTATAATGAATGACCTGTTCATCAATTTATTACTACAGAATATAACAGAATCTGTTTATCCTGGTGTTTTAGCAGGCTATGAGTAGGTTATTAACCATTATATTTTGCCTAATTTTATTTGATTGTGATCAACTTAACTTAAAATTGTTCGTTGATATCTGTTAATTGGTCATAACCAGTTTAATTTTCCTAAGATCACAACCTCTAATCATTATTGGTCCGAGTATAACTACCGGAGGTCTTTTAGTATTTAAATCTCATATTGACTGTAACAGGATTTTTGTGAATAAGCCAAATGATCATACACATCGGTTAGAATATATTTCATAATGAGCAGTAATTAACTCTTGTTATTTTATTATAGATATTCTATAGACAGTTTTGCAACTGGTATTATTTTAACAGTGACCGGTTTTAATCATAAATTATCTGTAAGTACAGACATTTCATCTATAATTTGTTTGGTAGGGCAATTTTACACAGATACAAAAAATAGCTATCCTGCTGATTTTTTGCTCAATTTTACACAAGTACAAAATGTAACTATCCTGCTTATTTTTTTACGGTATATCAAAGAGTTCGTCCCAATACCGAAGGTTGCAGAACGTTGAATATCGATAGGGTTTGTCATTTCATGAATATAATGCTTCACTCAAAATTTGAAAAAAAAAAAATTTTACAAACTGTAGCCTCTATTGCATTCAAAAGGTTTTTATTCGCCCACATTTTCATGTGGACGTATTATGCCATCGCCCCTGTCTGTCCACAATTTGTTTGTGGACACACTACAGGTCACAATTTTTATCCGATTTTGATGAAACTTAAAACATATCTTTATATCCCAATGATCTCAGTCCCTTTTGATATTTGCGCATTTATGACCATAACCTTCTGGATTATGGTCCCTGATTGTACAAAAAATTGCTTTGGTTATTAGCCTGTTCTCTGTGCATCTCTTGCAAAATGTGGGCATATCTTGATGGCAGCCGCTAGTTAACGCTGGCAGGCGAATCCGGAAAAGAAATACAGGGTGACAGCACAATACACACACACTGAAATGTGGCCATATGAAAATTTTTGCTAATTATTTACAAATACAGAGCAATAAATGGAATATAACTTTTTAGAAAAAATTGAGGCATTTGATGGTTATTATAGACTGTCAATTGAAGTGATTATTCTGTGTGAATTATTTGTAAATAAAGGGGAGATGTTAAAAAAATAAATTTATTTTCAGTTATTTCTAGACACCATATTAGAACATATAAGAGATTTTAAGATTGATAGTGATATGTTTAAAGCTGTACAAATACAACTAAAGAAAGCATATTATAATGACATGATCAGACCAAAGGAATTAGCCAAGTAAGTACATATAATTATTTTTTTGTGATTTGACTGGAATGTGATAACATTTGGCATGTCCTTATCAAATGATGTGCACACTGTGTTAGTCTATTCCTGCTATAGTTTTGATTATATTGGAAATTAAGTGTTATTTATTTGTTTTGTTTTATATTTACAGTATATTAGATATGGCAATATTAGATCCTCATTATTATCCATTACCAGACAAATATAAACATATTATGTCTATAACAGATACAATGTTACAGACATTTCTACTTCAACTAAGAAATAGTCTATTTATAGACTGTTTTACACATGGTAATTTTATTAAACAGGTTCGTTTTACATATCAAATTTTATAGTTTGAAAAGAAATGAGTTGAATTGGGGGTTAATGTCCTACTTTTCTGCACCATCTAAGCTAATGAATATGGGTATTATGAATTCCAATTATCAAGGGTTCTTTGACAAAGTGTACACAGGACCTTAGGTTTTTTGTCCAATTTCTGTACGACTAGACCCTGTCCTTGCCAGGCTCTTCATTCTGTACTACTGACAAGGAAGAGGGAATCCCGTATGAAAATCGTGATGAACTTTATTGGCTTGCTCTGGGATCCAAAACAGGACTTCCTGGTCAGCGAAACAGTGCCATCACTCACTGAGCCACCACTGCTCCTTGTATACTTGTAATTTGAACTTTTAAAATTACTAAGTCAGGGATATATTCCAGCCTGATTAAAGTCGACATTAAAATATTTTTATTGTTTATTGCTAAATTTGATCAAAATTGTCTGTATGATGTTGTGTTTGACTGTTAGGACCTACTTTTTTTCTTATATATAGTTAGAAAACAGATATTGTTTCTTATTCAACGATGCAAGAATTTGGCACCCTGTTTCAAGTTGAAATGTTTAATATTTTGGATCACTTAGTTGCTTATGTTTTCTAATTTAGTAATACATCTGTTGTTACAGGATGGGGGGTGGGGGTGGATGGCTGAATGGTTAGCGTGCGCGTGCTGTATCATAAAGTCTGTCATTGAGTCGACTGGTGTGGTTTTGAATCCCCGGTTGTACGTGGCAAGGAGTAGGGTCGCCTGTCAAACCTCGTGGGTTTTCTCCGGGTCCTCCCACTGCTAAAGACCCCTACGCGCAAGCGAATTATGTAAAAAGAAATTAAACCATATGTTAGTATGAAATCACCTAGTTTGTGTCGAGTGGACGTTAAACCCCATTTCTCTCTGTTACAGGATGTTACAGATATGGCTGTGATGATCATGTCTAAACTAAGGTTATCAAAACCTTCAATAGATCTTAAACCAAAAGTAAGTGTAACGTATACTGCATGGAACCATGATTTTTTTGACTAAGGTTTATTTTCCATACACATTAATCAATGATTTAAAGCTAAAGCAGGGCTTATGTTGAACAACACAAAGAGAATATTGGAAACCAAAGATAAGTAAAAAAAACAACTTTTCAAACCCTGTTGTGACAGCACTAATGGCCACTTGACTTCCATTGTCAAGAAGTGTGGAAATGTTTTTATTTTTTGTAAAGTCTTATTCTGTCCTGCACTTACAATTATTAATAGTACATGGATTTTAAACAATGAAGACGCCAGTTATCAATTTCTCTAACGTAAAATGTTGGTCTTAAGATCACCAAATAGTTCATTTCATTTGTGTATTTTATTTTGTAGAGATGTTACTATAAAATACCAGAAAGTCAGACATATTGTCGAGTAAATGGAGTAAATAGAGAAGACAGTAATTCATGTGTTATGAATTACTATCAGTCTGTACCTGGAACTATATATAATAGTGTTCTTAATGAAGTATTAGTGGTTAGTATTTAAATTTATAATCAAATCACAGGTTCATTATACACAGTCACAACATTTCGTAAAGTATAATCTTATTTCTATTAAGCACAAATTCATTTATTATACACAACATGTATTAAATCATACCTGTGTATAATAAACCAGTGATTGTCGTCTCAAATAATTGTTCTGGTTTTGTAGTATTTTTGTTGGAAAAGGTGAGGGGATGTTTTCTTTCTGTGCATCTTCTTGTTTTGTTTCAAATAAAAGAATCAAGATATCCTTGCAGCCATTTGACATTAATGTGTTTATTAAATACTTTCTGTTTACAGACACGGATGAAGGAGCCATGTTTTGATATATTAAGAACTAAGCACCAGTTAGGTTATAGTGTTGGTGCTAATTCAAGAACTAATAATGGTATATTGGGTTTACAAGTTTATGTTCAAAGTCAGGCAACTAAATTCAGGTAATTTATTGTCCATCAAAACCTGCTTATTATTGCAGGTGCTGTGATTAATAAGTAGCTTGGTCCATCTATAATAGTTCATATAATTGTGGTTAAATCTGCAGTAAATGTATTGTCTTTAAGAGAATACATTATATTTTATTAATTATCTAGTACAAATTGCTCGGTCTATATATAATCCATTGCTTTAAATAAACAAACACGTGCTAACTACTCTACATATGGTTGAGTCTGTAAGTGAAAACACAGGAAGTTCTTTGATAGAAGACTATTATTATAGCATGTGTCAATATTTGAGCATTGTTGGAATTATTTTAGTACAAGATAATAAAAAAAAAATATTAATAATCTGTAACAATCTTGGTTCTGAAGCAGTTTATGTAGGTATTTGAATAAATGAACAAATGATTTCTATTGTAGTTTAACAACGATTGATGACCACATAACATCATTCCTTCAAGAGTTTCAACATACATTAACAAATATGACAAATGAAGAGTTCTCTAGTCTGGTGAGTCTTTCTCAAACACAATATTACAGAGATTTTTTTATTTTGTTTAACATATAGGGATAAAAATCTTAAACCTAAAATAAATTGTTTTCTCTTATTTGAATTCAAGTCGGCTCTAAATAAAAATATGTATCCCAGACTCAAAAATCATTTATTTGGTCTAATGCCAAGGAAAATGTTCATGTATTCTATCTTCATTTGTAGGTGAAATCTGTTATAACTTCTAAACAACTAGCAGAAGTTAGTTTGGAAGAGGAAACAGGACGTCTATGGAGAGAAATTAGTCGAGAAAATTATGTTTTTGATAGAAGAGAGAAAGAGGTAAACTTTAAAGTCCTTTGATTTTATAACCATCGCATCAATAAAGTTGGCTTTTGTTCTGGTTTTTTCCCCCTTAAACATAGAATTTGGTTATCTGTTATCAATTTGATTTTCTAGATTGCTCTGTTGGAAAAGTTAACTCAAAAGGAAGTCATAGACTGGTATCAACAATATATTAATAACACACAGAGGAAACTCAGTATACAAGTAAGTTAAATACTTTTTATCTTATGTTATTGTTATAGTGTTATTATATTGACAGAGGTCTGATATTCAAAATGATTAATGCCAAAAAAAAAAGAAATAAGGAGGCATTCTGGCCTCAACAGACTGGCAAGAAGAAACATGGTTACATATTTCGTAGTCTTGATCTCATTGATATTTGTAGGGATGAACCATTATAAAACTATTTCTAACAACAAAGTAGAGAAGACTCTTGTAGACAAATAAGATTTATGTACAGAATGATTCAGATGTTCTTGCCCTTGATCATATTAACTTTTTTAGCTACAAAGAGTTTTGCTTGAGATTATTTTGTATGGATTTATTTGGCAGAATGTTGGCACACTTGCCTCCACTTAGTCCACTACCCCATACACAACCCTATTTCATTTAAAAAAATAAATAGTTTTTCATCAGCTTTTTCTGAACACCAATCCCTGTGCAAAACATCATCGATCCAGACTAGGATCAAGTTTAGCAACACTGGATGCATATACTGATGATCAGTTTATTGGGTTTTTTAGATTGAAGGTAACAAGGATGATACAGATAAAAAGATGTGTACTGATGATGATGATATAGATAATATAGATGGTATGGTTACATCATGTGATAATCTGGTATTTAAAGGTCAAGGTGAACCAGATAGAACATTTATAATAGACATTGATCAATTCAAGAAAACACTAGTTGTTTTACCTTATGCATTTATTAATTCTTGACTTGGATGCAATTTTATGGATAATTAGCAATAAATTATTTTAATTGTAATTAATTTTTTCTGTTCCAAATGAATATTATCAAGTGACTCAGTATAAATTATAAGCAGATGTGATGCGAGTTGAGAAGAATTGTGACATGATAAAAGAACCTCCAAAATTAGCTGACTTGTTATCAGGATTATTATTACTTAATAAACCTCGGATGCGTAAAGATGGTGGTGTAAATTTAATACAGTAATATATCAAGTTAGAATTGATTCATTGAGATTAGAATTACTAATTGTCTTAGAATTTGTTATCATTGTCTAAGAGAAAAGACTTCCATACAATATAACACTCTAATGGTCTTAGTTACACAGGACAACAAACCTGCTGGTAGGCATACGTTTTGCAACTATGTAGGAGGCTTATAATGAGTAAATATTGCAGATTTAATTAAGTTAAATAACCATCAAAGCAAGTCCCAGACAATTGTTATGATTCACAATAAATTGTACTGTTGGGGGTAATAAATGTTAGTCTATGGAATACTGTCTTCATCAGCATTTTGGTACTAATGTATGGTCATTTTTAATTCTATGCTTGCATGCATGTGCAATGCAAAGGAGGAAAATTAGAACTGAAGTGGTATTTATACCTACGTAAGTGGTTTGTTTTCACACATGCCAATGTGTACATGCATGGACTTTGGATTTTAGTCCTAGTTAAACATGCATTATGCAAGAGCTAAATCTGATTATTGCAAGTCTTAATTTAGGCTTCAGATGTTATAGAAATTATAAATTAGATCTTTATTTAAACAACAAGACCAAAATCAACTCTGTAGACCCACGGATGGCCGGCTACAGCTCAAATTTAAATAGGATTTCACTAATTGATTAAATCAAATAAGGGGTGACCTGATGAAAATACGTCAGTTAGATCGAGGCTAAATGATAGAGTGTACTTAGCGAGGCCGCTGTAAAGCGTTTCCGTATGCCATTGAAAACTTTACTTGATAATCGAGATATGTAGGTGGAGTTAACGCCTGTCAATCAAACGATCAGCGAAGGTGAAGACACAATTCGCTACCATTTCTAGGCAAATATTACAACGATGATAACTATGTTCAGAATAAAGTAATTTGACTGAATTTTTCAATATATTCTTCTTTCATCATCTACTTTTGAACTGTTATAGCAAGAATGGCCAACTCTCTATAAAAATCTCCCATAATGTATCTTTAAATAAGTAAGCATATTTTTTTGATAGCTCTGTTGTAACCTTAAATAATGAAGACAGGGCTCGAACCGATTACAGTTTTGTTAAAAGTCCTTTATCTGAGAAATGATGTTCCCAATCTTGTGATCAGTTTGCTGTAAGAATTATAACAAACAAGAGAATTTGACTATAAAATAGCTTTACTAACATTAGAATATCCTACACCAACACATGTTAATAATAATTTCTCTCCTCCTGTATTTAATTCTTCTTCTTCCTCAGTGACTGGCACAGGATCAACTTTAAACATCAGTTGAAAAAAATCTTGTACATGTCGTAAAAATTGAATTCTGTAAAAAAAAAACCCAACCCAAAACAGTAAACATCACATCAGACAAGTCAACTTCATGAATTCATTTATAGTTTGTGTGATCTTCATGAATTCATTTATAGTTTGTGTGATCAATAGCAACTGTTTTACAGCTCAATCAAACATGATTTACAGCTCTATCAAACATAATCTGTGATGTGACTAAAGGAACCGTATGGAAATTCCATTTGGCTATAATCCAGTTTATTATGTTCAGTCTTTACAAATGATAAAGTATGCAGCTTTGAGAATGATTAAATTAAATGTCGAGGTACAGCCATTTGGAAATGAATGGGAGTCAAGTAAGAAGGTATTAAATATGAAATGATCCCTCGCCAGTAAACACTCACAAATTATTGAGCAAATATTTAAAAATGCCAAAATACGCCCCAAAAATCTACCTCCAGTCCAATCACTTTCTTGATGTACACATACAGAAATTGTAAAATTATATCTTTGGATTGCCTACAATTAACATTAAACAGTCTGGGCTTTCAGTATTTTAAAATAACTGTAGGAAAATTATATTCTTTTGGTTACGAATGTAAGCCTGTGAGAGAAAGATTCACTATTGTTTTGTGTTTGACAAGAATTCAACTTATAAACTTACGTGTAAGGTGTCAGTTCTCCTATTAAAATTTTTGATACATCTTGCTGCCCTAATGCCATAAATAACGCTGTTGTACTTTGATTAGTTGAATCTACACAACCTCCCTAAAATAACAACATTGTACAATGTAGTAAAATATCTAGGTGTGGACATAATTTGCCAGATATAACAAAGTTTATAGATACATTATGGAAGATTAGATAAAGAGCCGGCAGTTCTCACTATAATAGTTAAAAACTAGATAATGTAAAGAGAATTTGCTGAAAATTTCAGTCAAATTGATCCACTCTGAACAGAGAATTTAGCGATTGAATTTTCGGCCTAGCCTCGATCATCATTACTAAAGTCAGTACGATAAAAAACATAGTCTCGATTATCCATTTTATGATTTAATCATGAATGAAATGAAATGAAATGGGGTTTAACATCCTACTGTTCTGCTCCTATACTGGGCTATTGAAGACGGGCATATGCCATACAGTGTGCTATGACGGAAATTTTGCCCTAGCAGCGGCACTATCGCCTACTCTTATATCGAATTCCAACTGCCAAGGGATCTTTTACGTGCATTCCAATGTATACACGGGACCTCGGTTTTTCGTCTTATCCGAAGGACTAGACAGCTGTCCTTGTCAGGCCCTCTGTTCTGCACCACTGACATGGGGAAACCACGTCGGAAAATCCCGATGAACTTTCTCGGCCAATGCAGGGATCGAACACCCGACCTCCAGGCTAGCGAGCCAGCGGCTTATACACCTAGCCACCATGGTCCCCATCATGAATGAAAGTTAAGCAGCAAATCAGATCCTATCCAGTAAATATCTCAGGTTAGCGATGACATCGAGAGTTGATTATGGTCTGGATAAGTTAATTAATGTCTGATTAATAATTTAAATAACATTTCAGGCCTAAAGAAAGACCTGCAATAGGCAGATTTAGCTCTTGCACAATGCATGTTTAATGTAAAAGGAATGATAAACAGCTGGCTCTTCGAGAATCTCTATGATAAAATAAAATTCTTTGGAAGTCTTGGTAAAATTATAGTCTATTTGCTTTCACATAGGATATTGGAGAGTATATATGCAATAAAAGGTTATGTAACTTGTTGGCATATTGGGGGCAACGACTATTGGTTGGCAATCAGACAATACAAAGCAAAGTGTAACAATAACAATCGGTTTTCATACCAGGCTCTGTTAAAATTTCCCCTGAATGACAGTTTATAAGTAAATGAAATATCAACAATAATGAACCACTAACCCTATATATTTCTTCTAATAAATTTTTAGCTGTTTCTTTCCCTAAATCCTCAGGAACAGATGGTTGATCCCCTGATCCTCTTGCGCTTGATGACCTTTCAGCCCCTAAAAAAGCCCCATTTGTTGTTTCTGCTACCAACGTTAATCCAAATCCCGGCGATCTATTAAATAAAAACAAAAGGATGAATATACATACAGGAAACACATGAGCATTCCATAATTATTCTTTTATGGTTGTTTTTAGTTTCATAAAGGGTATTTTTGATCAGTATACAATAGACTGCACTATCAAATGTAAGAATACAACACAAAGGGAATTTTGTTGACAAAATACTTTAATATCTACGTAAAATATAACTTACTTTCCTGATTGACTGCCTTTAACATGGTCTGTATAAATATATATGTCTGTTAAAAATTTGTTCAGTATACTTCTAGCAGAATCTACCATTCTATTGGTTACAGCTGGAGATACACGAGCTGCCCAACTTGGTCACGTTAAGTAAATCATAAACAAGTTTATATAAAATCATTATTTAAAGATACATTATGGAAGATTAGATAAAGAGAGGGCAGTTCTCACTATAATAGGTGATGTAAATGGAATATGCTGAAAATTGCTTCACTCTAAGCCGAGAAAATCTTATTTGAAAAACACTGTAGCCTCGATTGTCATTGTTGCCACTGTCATGATAACTAACAAATTTTTGCATTTAATCATCAACAGACGTTGAACAGCAGATCTGATTCAAATCCAAAGAAAACCGGACACATAAAATGGCACTGAGAGTTGATTATGGTCTATTCCTGTTAATGTTAATAAATGTCTAATTAATAGTTTATATAACATTTCAGGGCTAAAGAACTCATAATTAATTCTGGATATGGTATACATCATGCAACTTTTTACTAGATAGGTGGACACGTGTTACATGTTATTGCTATTCACAACTCCTTCAAGACTAAGTAATACCTGTATTACTAAGCCAAGTCAGTAAGACTTAAAATCAAAGGATACGCTATTCCTCTGATTCGTTTTATTTTTCCAGGATCTATGAATTGTATAGGTCGTAATTTCTGTCTGCATGGACATGTAAAGAGAACTTCTCCCCCACCATCAGGAGCTGCTCCACGTTTATTGATCTAAAATAAAACCCAAGAAATAATCCATGTATATTTGCCTTATATCAATAGGTATTACGGGATACATCCCCTTATTGCAGGGTACTATTAACACTTCACGCTGTTACTATGTAATACTGCCCCTGCTAAATAAATTTCTCCAGCCAACTACCACCTTGATTTCATGGACAACGGTTTAATTTAAATCATTGGTTTCAGAATCATGTTAGTTCAAACTAAACAGAAATTTCTAACATTTTTGAAAGCCTTTTAGTGTGCATCTTCAATAGAAGGCTTGATCTTGCTTTAACTACGTACGGCCTTCACATAATACTCTGCATATTTCGGCACTAATTTCGATTGGGTTAAGCCCAGCTAGTGAGCCTATCAGATTCCTTGATCGTCGTGAATACCAAGTCTCGCGCTTTCAAGCTAAAATGTCTACCTGTGATAATCAAGCTGGAAAGTTCAAGGTTCGTTCAATGTCAAGGTTTCTGTGGAGGTCGCTATGTCACAACCTCTGATTGGACGCTACTGTCTGTAGATAGCGTAGCTATAAGTTTGGGAATTGTGAAGTAATCTAGCAATGTCCAGATGTTGTAAAACTTGCAGTCGTTGCTTCAGGAACATGATTAGTTTCATTGGATAACTTCAACAGACTGCAGCCCATAGATGACATCAGTCAAGGTTATACATACATGTATCTTGCATTGAAATGTACGACTGTGTTACCTTGACTGCCAGATGATGCACAACATAGATATATAACAAACTGTACCAAGTAGATTGAAATAAATATATACCTTGATATCAACTCCTTCGTCTGTACCTAGAAATTTTTTTAATGTTGGCAGTGTTGTTAACCGAATCAGATCTACCTGTAAAAATAAATACCTGTATATTTTTGTCTTGTACTTTCACTAATAAAATAAATACCAATTCAAAATAAACCTAAATTCACCTGATTATCGAAAATTAAAGCACTGACCTACTTAGTGTAAAGCATAAATAATGCAAATTTGTGATTTGTAAATTAGCTGATGAAAATAGCAGGAAGATGAGAGATTAATAATTGAATGTACATCTAAATAACATATCAAAAGTACATGTAGCATAGCTTTCTCAGAATATTATTAATGACATAAATCTCCTCAAGCATCAAAATCATAAAAAGCTGTACCTACTGCATTGATCAACTGTATTGTAATAAGTATTTAAATGACATGATAACTTACAGTGGGATCAATTTGGTCATTCGTAACACCTCGTAGTATGGCTTTAATTGGTTTCTTAGTAAATGGTGCTAATGCTATTATTGCTTCTAGAAAATAGCCAATGGACCTTTGAGGATTACATTCATGTTCGAAATTTCCACCAATTAGAATTCCTGGCTGATATAAAAGATTAGTACCTGGAAACAGACTGAAATCTTTTAATTTCCTTTCAAAAAGAAAAGCAAATCATTTTTACATCAGGTTAAAAAAAATAAAATTGAATAATTGATCTGGATACGACACGTCAAATCAAAGGCCAAGGCAAATCTAGAATTATGAGTTCTGTAGCCTATGCTATATACATTATAAAGACAATTGTACTCAGATACCTGTTTCACTAACAACTATTTTGGATCCATTTGTCAATGTATCTAAAAGTCTAATAAAACTTGCTTCAAAATCTGTAAATAAAAGAAAATGAATCAGTACGACAGTAGGCCTATTATTGACTGAATGGAAAGATATAATTTAAACCATGTGTAATAATATCCTCACTGATCAATAATAAATATATACACATACATCATGACTATTTTCATTCTATGATTCTGTAAGAGTGTAACATCACTATGACTATATATGCTCATTCATATTCCTTATTAGTATTATTAGCAAGCAGTAAATTACATTAACCCAGAGGCAATATGCATTATGTTTGAACTGACTCCCTTTTCTATTTCCATCACTTTTACATTTTAGGGTTAGGGTCAGGTATTTAAGATTAAAACCTATAAATTCGGGGTTAGGGGTTTAAGATTAAAACCAATGAGAAAGACAAAATCTTCAACAACAATGAAATATTGAGACATAAAAATGGGAGTCACATCAAACATGAATGCCGCAATTGAGAATAAATATTATGTCAAAACAATTTGGTTATTTTGAGATAAACATAATCTTTAATTTTACGAAGAAAAGAACATTTTATTTCTTTGGGTGGTGATCATCTATGATCTATATTATTTGCATAAAATAGTGTAGGGTAGGCCTACACTGTACAGGTGGGCCTTAATTTATATATTACCTTTAAGCCCTGGGTCATCCTCTTTGGACCTTATTTTCTTTATCTTAACAGTTCTACCGCTTAATGTCGCTAGAATTAATCTTTGTCGCAAGAAATTGCATCCTTCGTAATTCAGAGAGTTTGTTGACATTTTATTTTCACGTGTTTTAGATTTTTGGTTTAGAGTAGTTTCCCCTTGAGCGGCGAATAAAAATTGTGGAAATAATAACCGAAACGATCCAGGGGTAATATATTTAAAGAACGCACAAATAATTCAGAACGAAAATCAGTTTTTCTTTTATGCTTTCCTACATGCAAAATATCAATAAAATTAATATGAAAATATCAGTCTTTCGATTTGTAAATATAAATCTGTTAAATCGTCTCGATTTGTTAGTAATCATTGACACAAATTTGCACGATTCCATACCTTTCCTTCCTTTATATCAAAGAGTAAAACCAATATTTTGTAATCATTTGTAATAATCCACCACCAATGAATTCATACTTTAAATAGATTTCCGTCTGTGAAGATTAATATCTCATAGTAATGAAATGTTAAGCTTTTTAGCTGGCCGTGAATCGGGTTCTACTAACCCCTTTCTCTTGAGGCGAGCTGAAATAACAAGAAGAATATTCAGTTTAGATCTGAGTAAACACAGAGATGTAGAACGGATTGACTCACTGGGTGGAATAAATTCATTAAACATTGATACCATTGAAAACAGATAGTATGTTTAGTAAACTTTAATTGATAACAGTGATTGATCAGCACGTTTTGTTATTAAATTACATAAATGATATGTACTTCAGAGATTACACGTCATTTGGGACTCGCGTCATTTGGGACTCAAAAAAATATGACCACGACATTTGGGACTCGGGTATACGACGTTTGGGACTTTGGTATACGTCGTTTGGGACTCGGGATAATTTATTAGAAATAGGCCAATTCAAAGCACAAAAGAAAATATTTATTAACATGAAACACGTGGTTAGTAAAAGGCTCAACCAAACGATAAAACATTACCGGTAGTTGCACTTACGGTTCTTTGATAATCATCAATTCTCATATAAGTTATATATTTATTTAAAACGAATAATATGCTGATGAATTTATTTGAAAATGACCTACACAAAAAACAAAATAAATGAAACACGTGGTTAGTAAAAGGCTCAACCAAATGATAAAACATTAGTTGCACTTACGGTTCTTTGATAATCATCGTTTCTCATAAAAGTTATATATTTATTTAAAACGAATAATATGCTGATGAATTTATTTGAAAATGACCTACACAAAAAACAAAATAAATATTTACACGACATGCAATCTTTTTTTACAAGCCCCTAGAAATTGTTAACGATAATCCGTGAGCTGCACGTTGACACGTTGATAAATTAGTGCGTACAAGGCAAAGTTTTTTTTGTGGAAAATATAAGAAATGGCAACGATCAAAGCTGGATAATTAAAGCTGATTAACTGATAATCCCAATGTTATTACAGTATGTTCAAAGAAACCTAACGGTTCTTTGGTGGATGAGGAAAAACGTGAGTTGTCAATCATCGAGAATGGCGGCCGTGTGTTGATTGCAGTTATACCGTTTCACGAAAAAACATTAGCAGTGGTCGGTCAATCAAGCTCGTTTACTATTTGATAAAAGAAAAACACAAATTTTCAACAATATATTATTGTCAAGTTTTATACTCGCAGATAAAACAAAACAAAGGAGAACTAGCAGTGTTTATCGCGGTCTCAACAATCGCCGATCAACTAAATAAAACGAAAGACAACTAAGACAGCTGTTACTATATATCTCATAAATAAATAGTCCCAACTGTCGTTTATATTGAGTCCCAAATGTCGTTTGTGTTGAGTCCCAATTGACGGCAATCAAGTCCCAAACGTCGTCAACTGAGTCCCAAATGTCGTTTATGTTGAGTCCCAAATGACGTGATTCTCAAATGACGTGATACCACTTCAGAGAAGTCTTACTCTTATTTATTACTAGATAAATTAAGAAACTTCATCTCTCAACCCTCCGTGTTTCGAGATAAGAGATGGTGCTATATAGTTCCACCTGGCAAACCCCAATGGGGATCACATTGGGCCCCAGTAAGCAAAATTCACAACATTTTTCATCAAAACAACGATTGATTATTGTTATTCATAACATTTTTGCCACATTCAACTACAATTAAGCATATAATCCTACCTGACACAGGTACAAATCAAAGCGAAAATAGCCTGGCCCTCCGGTATTTTAAATTTGACATCTTTGACGTCATGAAGGCGGGTCGGCGTGTACAACAGCCAATCAAAGTACTAACCAGTATTCTAATATGAGTTGCGCAGGAATAATACACCGTAATTATGAATGTTGTATCAATTTTGATAAAAACAACACTTGATTAAATTTATTGACAATATTTGTAGATAAACCAAAGTTGTTTTACTAGAGTGGGGTGCGTATGTTTAATAAGTTCTAATAGTATAAAATACATGCATTAATAATAAAATTAAGTTTGCCAGGTGAAACTAAAGGCACCCAATCGTAGCTAAAAACAAGCACATCAGTAATATCTTAACGTTTTTAGCTATGTTCTTGTAGCTAATTTATTTCATCGTCAAATATGATAATTATAAATACTGAGAAAAAAAAATACCTCAAATCACCTTTCCTTTAGTAAGACTTCTACAAAGAGTGCAGGAATACAGGTAGTGTCAGTGATGGACAGATAACATAACATCCAAATTTGTATAGCGCAATAAATACTTGTGTATTAGGAGTACCAAATGTGCTTGCAAAGTTATACATTTTGGTTCCAGTGTTGTATAAACTCATGATATTTCAGTCATGTTTTGAAAATACAGACAGACTTTGATTTATTTATATGAAGGGGTAGTGAATTCCACAAATGAGCTGACCAGTACTGGTCTATGTATAATATGTCTACATATATAGTATATGCCTACAAATTAATATTATGTGAAGACTATTATAAAGAATTCAATAAATATTAAACAGTGCACTGTAATAGAAGTATTAATCTAAACTGTCATACAATGAAATTAGAATTTCAGAAGTATGGCTCTTTCTTTTTAAATTACTGGCCTGTTTAGCACATGCAGAATCTATTTATCGATAAATCTGCTAATCACATATAAGCAAAAATTTTATTTCTAAGGTTGAAGTCTCAACATAATCAAATTGTATTTTGTAACATTTTATTTGCAGTCTTTTATCTGGTGGATCAAATGGTGGCATAGCTATTCATGATTTAGACAATTTTCAAGGAGAAACAAAGTTTACCTGTCGTCAGATTTGCCACATACCCAATTCTGACAACAATGCTCATCGAAAAAGCATAGAGACAGTTCAGTGGTATCCATTAGATACTGGTTTATTTACAACAAGTGGTACTGATAAACAGCTAAAAATATGGGACACAAATACACTTGTTGTAAGTAGTACAGTCCATGTATTGATATATTCTCTTTTAATTTTTAAACACATTTATTATGGATAAATTATAGAAAGAAGCTGATTCATCTTTCTCCAAATACATTCAAACCACCAAGGTTTATAAAAACATTTACCCATGTGTTCTTTTTATTGTTTATGTGTATTTCAAAACAAGAGCAGCAACTAGTATAAGACACCCATCATGGTTTTCTAAGCAGCAACAAGGCCAAGTTGATTTATATTATGGTTAATCTTTAAGATTATAACTTATCCTATTTTAAGTTTGAAAAACATTCATTCATCACTTTTCTGACAGCCATATTAGGCCATGATAAATGTGGGCTCTTAAATTGTGGTAATTTGTTCATTCATACATGTAGATGCACCGATTGCATCGTTTATAACAGAAGTTAATTTTATATTTCAGCCAGCAGATACATATAGTTTTGATGGTATTGTTTACAGTCATCATATGTCACCAATAGCCACAAAACATAGTCTTATAGCTACTGGTTGTGATAAGTCCACTATAAAACTTGTTGATTTAAGAGCTGGATCATCTACACAAATGTTAAAAGGTCACAAAGCAGCAGTATTATGTGTCCAATGGTCAACAAGGGATGAATTTATTTTAGCATCTGGAAGGCATGTATTATAAATAACACTAAAATGTAATTTTAACTTTGAAGACTTCAAGTCCAGTCAATAATGCTATTTAGGAAACACCCAGCAAACAGATTTCCACTAGAGATGTATTTGCAGTCATAAGCACAAATCTTAACGTGTACATCTGAATACTTTTCTAGAAATATTATGTACAAAGAATATGTTTCTCTATTTAGTATTAGCATATGACTAAATTAGGCAATGACTAAATAAACAACCTCACGTGTACTAGGACAGTGTTGATAAATTAAAAACATTATCATGAATGATATTTTTTTCAGTTCAGATAATGGAGTTTTATTATGGGATATCAGAACTGCTAAAGGATGTTTGATGTCGCTTGATCAGCACAATGGTGAAGCTGCATCTGCTGCAAATAAAAGTAAAACAAATTTGTTTAAACGTTTTCTTGTAAATGTGTTTTTTTACGTTTAATAACAAGGCCTGTGTTTTATTGCGCTGTCTTCAGTTGAATGATCTCAATACCAGGAGTAGTGGTACACCATGTACCGGTAATTATAAGGAAATCATGCAACTCACTCACCATCTGCTACAAGACCGATAGAACTCAAAATTACCCGTAATCATTTACCATATGAGTAGACAATATTTTGTGTAGATACACATATTTAGGAACAGAACTTCTGTATGGTACTTATGGTATATCCATTGTAGAACTTAATTTTATTACTTTTATTATTTGCAGTTAAAACAGCCCATAACGGTCGGGTGAATGGTTTGTCATTTACAGCAGATGGTCTCCATTTAGTTACATTTGGTACAGATAGTAGATTAAGATTATGGAACACTACTACAGGAAAAAATTCATTAGTAAATTATGGAAATATTGAAAATGATGGACGTAAATCAATCAAATTTTCGTTATCATCTGGGGGATGTCCAGATGTAATTTTTGTACCTGATGACAGTAATTTAACTATGTTAGATCTTCATGGAGGTACTCAAATCAAAACACTAAGAGGACATTATAATCAAGTGAACTGTTGTGTTTTTCATCAAGATAGACAAGAACTATACAGTGGAGGTAATGATAGGAATGTACTGGTTTGGCTTCCACAAACTGATCATGCATACGATGATTTCCTTAAAACGGACAGTAAAACAAAAGATAAACATAGTTTTACTAAAAGAATTGCTGCTACAACAGATACTTGGAGTGATGATGATGATTAATCAGATACAAAACCTCAGGGATACATATTAAAAATACTGCCTTTATCAAAGTTTACATGAACTATCCCATTTAGTTGTACTCAGGTTATTTTATTACCATTGTTGTATCGTAACTTGCTTTCATAATTTTGAAATGAAACAGATATTTGTCTGAATGTTTTAAGAGTCCAGTAAAATTATTGTGCCTCGTTCAAAGAATTTGGCTAACTAAATTTCTGGCCAATCTTTGGTAAAAAAAAATGAATGAAGTAGTGATAGGCCAGTTGTAATTCATTCATTCCCATTCCCATTCCATTTTGTAATTATCATTCTGTCTAGTAGGCCTATTCATTTGCATCCGATTACAAACTAGCTTCTGGAGATCTGGGCATTGTCATAAATTATCCATGTAAAATGGTGTTAATGTATTTATGTTTGTTAATTTATTTACATGTCGCTTGTATTTTTTTTATGACTGAATATATACACACATCTATTGTATTATATGTAAATAAGGAAATACACATTTATTTATTTATTATGCATTGTTTAATATTATGTGATATAAGTTCACAAGTAACCCTTATTTTCTTGCTGTTGATTTGATTTGGGAGAATTGAAATAATTTACCAGGGTAGTTGTTATACGCCCACATTTTCATGTGGACGTATATTGTCGTCGCCCCTGTCCGTCCGTCCACAATTGTTTGTGAACAGTCTACAGGTCACAATTTTTATCCGATTTCAATGAAACTTGGAATATAGGTTTATCACCCTAAGATCTCGGTTCCTTTCGATATTGGCATCTATCGGACCGTAACTTCATGGATTATGGCCCCCGATTGTACGAAAAATCACGTTTTTGGCTTGTGAACACTGTAGAGGTCACAATTTTTATCCGATTTTGTTGAAACTTGAAATGTAAGTTTATAACACAAAGATCTTGGTTCCTTTCAATATTCGTGCATATCGGACCGTAACTTCATGAATTATGGCCCCTGATTGTACGCAAAAACGCGTTTTTTGGCTTGTGGACCCTATAGAGGTCATAATTTTTATCCGATTTAAAAAACCGTGTTAATATATCACCGTTACACCATAAGGACGGCTGAGTTCGAATTTCGTGAAAATCGGCCCAAAACTGACAGACAAAATGGCCACCGTTCGTTATCAAATAGCGTAAAAATATGGAATATCAATGTTGTGGACCCTATAGAGGTCACAATTTTTATCCGATTTTGTTGAAAGTTGAAATGTAAGTTTATAACACAAAGATCTTGGTTCCTTTCGATATTCGCACATATCGGACTGTAACTTCATGAATTATGGCCCCTGATTGTACGCAAAAACGCGTTTTTTGGCTTGTGAACCCTATAGAGGTCATAATTTTTATCCGATTTAAAAAACCGTGTTAATATATCACCGTTACACCATAAGGACGGCTGAGTTCGAATTTCGTGAAAATCGACCCAAAACTGACAGACAAAATGGCCACCGTTCGTTATCAAATAGCGTAAAAATAAGGTATATCAAGGTTGTGGACCCTATAGAGGTCACAATTTTTATCCGATTTTGTTGAAACTTGAAATGTAAGTTTATAACCCAAAGATCTCGGTTCCTTTCGATATTCGCGCATATGGGACCGTGACTTCCTGAATTATGGCCCCTGATTGTACGAAAAATCACGTTTTTAGCTTGTGGACCCTATAGAGATCATAATTATTATCCGATTTAAAAAATCATATTATTATATCACCGTTACACCCTAAGTACGACTGAGTTCGAAATTCGGGAAAATCGGCCAAAAACTGACAGATAAAATGGCCGCCCTTTGTTCTCATATAGCGTAAAAATATGGTATATCAGAGGTTACAATTTTTATCCGATTTTGTTGAAACTTGAAATGTAAGTTTATAACCCAAAGTTCTTGGTTCATTTCGTTAATCGCGCATATCGGACGGTAACTTACTGAATTATGGCCCTTGATTGTACGAAAAATTGCGTTTTTAGCTTGTGGACCCTATAGAGGTCATAATTTTTATCTGATTTAAAAAAACGTATTATTATATTACCGTTACACCCTAAGGACGACTGAGTTCAAATTTCGTGAAAATCGGCCCAAAACTGACAGACAAAATGGCCGTCCCTCGTTCTCAAATTGCGTAAAAATATGGTATATCAAGGTTGTGGACCCTATAGAGGTCACAATTTTTATCCGATTTTGTTGAAACTTGAAATGTAAGTTTATAACTCAAAGATCTTGGTTCCTTTCGATATTTGCGCATATCGAATTGTAATTTCCTGAATTATGGCCCTTGATTGTAGGAAAAATCACTTTAGTTTTAGCTTGTTTTCTATCCATCTCTCGAAAATGTGGGCATATCCTGCCTGGCAGCCGCTGGTTTTTGCACATGTGTTCAAAGGTATTTCAATGGCCTTGGCATTCCAGCCATTCCTTGAAATTTGCTAATAAGAACTAACCAAGGAACTGCCATTTTAGAATTCTGAGTGTGATATTCGTGGCGTCTCGATATTTTCATTATGCTATGAGGAATATAGTGGTTGTTTCTGTTTACTTGTGCCTAGACTCGACAAAATTTTAAAATAATTAGATTGAAAATACTGCCATTTTCCAATGACTGGGGACTTAGTGATTATTTCACAAACTTGTGCTTTCCATGTGTGAACCAAAGGTGATGTAAGATCAGACTGTGTTTAATATGTGTGCTACTACTACTTGGAAGGTCACTAGTCATCATGAGGGACAGCTGATTACGGAAACTAGACTATAATGTCCAGTTTCAAATCCCAGGGAGTATGTGTAGAAAAGTGTGAGTTGATGGGAAAAGCCAGTGTCCAATATTGAAATGTAAGTGGTATGGGAGTGGATCTCTTTGATTTTATTAAAAAAAAATATCCATTTCATTGAATAGTGATAGGTTTACATTGGTTTGTGTTTTCATAAACTCAACTGGACGAAATAATTGAAAACAGTTATTGCCTGTAATTGGCTGAGGAGTCTAATCGTCTAAGAGCAAAAAATTTATAGAAATAAAATAGTACAATATGCCAATCCCGAAATGAGCTAGTGGACATTGAACCCAATTTTAACCTTTCTCTGTAATCAGCTGAATCAACAGATATAGACAGAATATCTATTCTAATCAAAACAGACCCTTCCACTTTTCAATGATTTCCCCCCCGTTTTCCTTTCAAGAATAAAAATGATAAAATTTGTACATTGATTTTACTACATTAATGTTTTACATGATTTTTTCTTACCAAAGATTATTTAAAAATCTTCATTACATGTGATATACAGAATGTTTTTCAACTACAATTTGTAAACATACATACAAACAAGACAATTAAAACCTTTTACAACATGAAATTTCTTTTTCATGCAGACACCATATAGATTAGTATATGATATATTTACCAAACAGGTAATTATCACTTAGAAATACCAAATGTTTTCATGTGTCAGTATATAGTACCTATTAAATAGATAAAAACTTTTGTATCAAAGTCAAGACCAATCGTTCGTAACCAGTAGATAAAATACAAACTGTTGTAAAAGGTTTAAAGCCGGTGATCGTCATTAGCATTTCTTGGACAATATCTATTTTTTTCCTTTTTATCCCTGGCTAATATGTGCTCAGATTAACGGTAGATGATCTCCCGCCCTTGATTCAACTGGATTAAAAGAAAACCCTTCAAACAATTTCAGCAAAAATTATAAGTGGTTCTGGCTGTTTTTTTACTATTTTCAATTCATATGTAGAAATACAGAACAGAATTGAACCATTTGTGGACCAATATTTCTTTTAGAGAATCAACTTTCAAAATATTGTAGTTTACATGGGCTGAAAAATCCTGCAAATGATGATCAGATATTTAGTCTTGCATGTGTTCCACATTGGGATTGCGTAATCTTACCTAATTTTTTAGATTATCAACAAGAAAAAGTCCAAATAAATAAAATGGTAATATGTAATTAGAAATTTTGCTGTTCGATGTACCTTCGTACTAGTAATTATGAATAAATGCGGGAATGAAAGTATGGGATAGTGACAACAATTTTAACAATGAATGTATGAAAACTGAAATATATATGAACATTAAATATGTGACTGGATGATGATATATTTACAATGTTAATTATATTTTTCATGAAATGATATAAGCTGCCATTAAAGACAAACATTATTTTGATTAAACATCGATAAATCCATCACTTTCTTTATCATTATCCTTCTCTCCATCATAGAATTCATTAGCTGGTTCAACCCTGAAATATAGATAAAATAAAATTGACTAAAAGACCAGGATTAAATAAAATGCATTAAAGATAGATTGTCAGGATACAAACCATACGCCCACAGCAGGTAAGTGGTCCAAGCAATCAACCAGGATTGTCACATGTTATTTCTTTTGTGGGTAATGAAAACATGTGTGACCCATGATGGCAAAATGAGTCGCAATAAGGAAATTTTGAAAATTGAGTTATTGTTATTTTCATATTCTCCATCAAAATACCTTGAAAATGGTGTATGATTGGTTTGAATTGAGCAAAAATTGACTGAGCTGTGTCAGGAAAGTAAGTATTGAGAAAAAGCAAGTTAAAGATGTCAGTATGTTCCAAAACAGAATCACATAGCAACCATGTGCTGTATCATAAGGTCTGTCCAACCTCATGGGTTTTCTCCGGGTCCTCGATTTGTTTTTTTCACACTGGTAAAGACCCCTACGCACATGTAAATCAATGAAATAACCAGTGCTTGCCAGGCAAGATACGCCCACATTTTGCAAGAGATTGATAGAGAACAAGCTAAAAACAAAAGAGATTTTTCACACAATCAGGGGCCATAATCCAGAAAGTTATGGCCTGAAATGCACAAATATCGAAAGGGACTGAGATATTTGGGATATAAAAATATATTTTAAGTTTCATCAAAATCGGATAAAAATTGTGACCTCTAGAGACTCCACAACCTTCATATTACATACTTTTACACAATTTGTGTGTGTGTACAAGGAGCGGCCATTTTGTCACTCAATTTCGTTTCGATTTTCCCGAAATTCGACTCCAGCCTTCATTATGGTGGAATGGTGATTTATTTAAACGGTTTTTAAAATTGGATAAAAAATAGTGATCTCTAGTGAATCCACAAGCTAAAAAACCTCCACGATTTTCATATAATCAGGGGCCAGGAAGTTATATGCGCAAATAGCGAAAGGAATTGAGATCTTTGGGACATAAACATATATTTTAAGTTTCATCAAAATCTAGAAAGTCCATAACCTTGGTATGACATATTTTTACCTTATTTGCATACAAGGAGCCCTCATTTTGTCAGGCAATTTGGTTCGATTTTCACGAAATTGGAACTCAATGGTCATTAGGGTGTAATAGTGATAAATTTAAACATTTTTTAAAATTGGATAAAAAATGTGAACTCTTGGGGGTCCACAAGCTAAAAACATAATTTTTCGTACCATCTGGGACCATAATCCAGGAAGTTACTGTCCGATATGCACAAATATCAAAAGGAACCACGATCTTTGGATTATAAATTTCCAGTTCCATCAAAATTGGATAAAAATTGTGCCTTCTAGCGTGTCCACAACCTTGGTATTACATACTTTTACATTATTTGCATACGAAGGAGCAGCCATTTGGCCTGGCAGTTTGGGCCAGATTTTTACGAAATTCGAACTATTTGCGTACAAGGAGCGTCCATTTTGTCTGGCAGTTTTGGTCGGATTTTTACAAAATTCAAACTCAACCTTCATTGACAAGTAACGGTGATATATTTAAACTTTTTTTTAAAATTGAATACAAATTATGACTTCTAGCAGGGCCAAAAGCAAAAAATGTGATTTTTCGAACAATCAGGGGCCATAATTCAGGAAGTTACGTTCGGATATGCACAATTATCGACAGCAACCAAGATCTTTGTGATATAAAGATAAATTTAAGTCAATCTGATATTAACTGTAGCCTTCAGAGTGTAGCTTGTGGTGCTGGACGGACGAGAATATACAACCACATTTCAATGTTGGTGTATAAAAAATCAGCAATATCACCTGCACATTTGAAAACAAAATGTAATAGAGGGAGTGAGAAATGGAATTTAATGTCCACTGGGACTTATATCTCGTGTATCTTTATTTCATTAAAAAAAGCATTATGTAAGATTTAGATAAAGAGTTTGTCATACTTGCTATAATAGTTCAAAAATATATAATGCAGAATGAATATATTGAAAATTTCATTAAAATGACTTTATTCTGGGCGAATATATTAGCCTTTGAAGGCTTGACAAGATTTGTGCACTGACTGTAACCACTGTACTGGTTGTTGGAGGCTTAGCCTTGCTTCACTATTTTTAAACTAAATCGCCCGAACCCTTCTAATCTACTTAAAATCGGATCCATCCGATGACACCGATAGTTGATTATCGTCTTGTCATGTTAATAAATGCCTAATTAATAGTTTATATAGCCTTTAAGGTCTAAAGAAAGACATGCAATATGAAGATTTAGCTCTTGCATAATGTCTGTTTAATATACATGCACACAGGGCCCTTCAGTATAGTGAGAAGACAACAGAAAATCATAACAAAAGCCAAGAGGTTAGGCAGCTGACCTCACTCCTTGCCACATTCAATCATGGGACGAAACTGACAGCTAGCATAGATGTGAGACATATGCAGTGCAATATCATGCCTCCATCAGCCATCCCCCACACACCCATGTGTCTAGTATAATACAAATAAGTAAATAATACCGTTTGTCTACTTCATCCTGATGATTGCGTACGTCTGGATCGGTTTCTTCTGTATTTTCTAGACTGAGGAGATCTGGGGGGACATCCTGTATTTGAACACTAGGAGCATGACTTAGATTTTTTAATGTGTCATGAACTGTCATTCTGATACTATCTAAATACTGAAATAAAATAAAATTTTGCAATCATTAAAAAAAAACACTCAAGGAGAAACTAAATATTCAATAGAATTTTCATGACTGACCGCCTAACAGGAGTGGCCTCTTAATAAAATCTCAGTGTTTGCTAATGCTAACTTGCTTGGGACAAAAATTCTTTGACTCAAATCTCTGATATAACTTCTGTAAACTTGTCAGTTTGTACCAACATTAATACTACTGTCTACCATTGTGATGTATTCGATAATATTTATTTTTGTGAAGAAAATCCATGAATTAATTTTATTTTATCAATAAAGCACATGTCCAAAAAATAAAACATTTTCAGGGGTTTAACTCTGTATGTAATATAGGATGCGCTAAAATGTAAGTTTAGCAATTAAGTAGCAATAGAAAATATATACTAGATGATCGTGACATAACTCGCCTTTGACTGTACTTTTAGTTTATTCAATCAGTATCAAATAATGTTTTGTTACATGTGAAAACAATGATCAGGGTTTGTCATTTAAGAAAAGAAAAGATTAATTAACAGATAATCCTGTGTTTATTGTTATTTTCAGTTCTTTTTACCGGATGAGTGGGGGTCCAGATAATAACTATTAATCACCGGATTAACGTAGGTGCTACAAAGTACGACAATATGGTGTCATTCAACAATGGCCGTTGAATGGGCAATGTTTTGTTAAATCTTTTAGTACAATCGTGACCGCTGGCTGTGTTAGAGGAGTGACGGTTGATTAAAGAGATGTAACATCAGAATTTCTACGGGGGGAATTTATCGCTGAATAGGAGTGGCTGCTCATATAGATTCTACTGTACATTAAGTTATAGCTACATTTATCCACAATTTGACTGTTGAAGATATATTCTCATTTCTACCGGTACTTGTATAACCATCGATTGGACCTATTTGTAAACTACCGGGAAAACTATTTCATGCAGGGTTATGACCAGGAAATTCTATTCTATTTCCAATTTAAAAATAATGCCATTATGCCAAAAATGTGGTTGAAAGAATAGGATATCGTCAGTCTTCTATTTAATGTAACCTTTTTAATCGCTTTTGAGTTGTAATCATTTTCATATTCTATTTTTGAAATGTCACACTTGCCGTTTAAATTATTTTTTAGGGAGTCATATATATGACCCAATTATCTTCATTAATAATACTATACAGTTTTTTTAATCTTAAGGTTTTGAGTCAGGTAAGAAAAAAAAAACTATGACAATAGTTAAAAGAAATTACTATCTAAGATAATTTAATGATACCTGTTTTGTATTGAGATTCTCCTGCTTTGTTGATATGTCTGGATGCAAAGAAAAATCAGGAGCAAAATATTCTAAATATTCTGAAAAATAAAAGGATTACTTGTTGTATTCATTTACTAAAGCATATTTAACATTCTTTCTGGATTTCTGTTAATGGCATATCATTGATATGTTCTTAAATAGGCTCATAATAAGCTTGTTAAACTACACTGTATAAGAATGAATGAAATGAAATGGTGTTTAACATTCTACTTTTCTGAAGCGACTGAGCTAATGAAGATGGGCATACGCCATATAGTGATAGTGTGCTATGAGCGAAATCTTTCCCGGACAAACAAGCTACGGCCTACTCTTATATCAAATTCAAAATTTCTTTTATGTGCACGACAATGTGTACACAGAATCAAAGACCAACAGGCTTGCAGGCCAGTGTCTTACTCCCTCAGCTACCATGGCTCCCCAAAAAGAAAATAATTTTTACAGACTACTTAGATATACATGTATATACATCCACATCACTGTTCATGACTATAGGCATGAAATGGCGACCCACTGAATTGGCCATTGCAGTAAAATATTAACAAACAAACCTACCACAGAAAGGTAATTCACTACTGATTTGTTCATCTAAAAGTACTGCTGTTTCATGAGTCCAGCACCGAGCAACATTTTTCTTAGTATATCCACCACCCCCTAGCACTAACATAGGTATACCTAAATCTTTTACAAACTTTACACATTCACTGAAATAATAACAGATATATAATAAAATTGACAAGAATAATAACTAGGACAAGTTCCATTACAATCTTTGTTAATTGTTTTATAATATCACAAAGCTCTGGATGCTATGAAAAATATTTCAGTGGAAAAATTTGCTTCATTAAGCTTATCACTGTTCGACCAAGCCCAATCATAATGAATTCTCTTTGCAATTACAGCTGTTACACACAATCAGCGATTGCAACATTCATCTTTATCAGAATTGCAGGGCAGAAAAACCCAGCACCACCTATTCTGATCATTAGATCAGGCTGATGTGATACACTGGAAAATACAAATCCATGGTTACTCGCAAGATACACCCACATTTTGCAAGAGATGGACAGAAAACAAGCTAAAAAAAAAGCGGTTTTAATCTGGGGCCATAATCCACGGATTTATGTGGGCATATAAAAATAACAATTTAATTCTTAGGAGATTCATCACTTTTAAAAATACATACCCATGACCTTTTATACTGAGATTAAAACAACCCAATCTATCACTTCCTAATGAATCTGCTCCACACTGAAAATTATAACATATTGCTTTATGTTCATTGTGTGTGAATATAGATAGGGCAGAAACAGGGTACCAATGAGAAGAAACAAGGTTTAACATCTTAATATTAATACACAAATTTACTATTTTTTAATTTCTATCATCAACTTTGGCCAGCCAGAAGAAATTTTGGCCAGACAGTAGCACTATGGTCTACTCTTATATCGAATTCCAACTGCCAAGGGATCTTTTACGTGCATGCCAATGTGTACACACAATCTTGTTTTTTTTGTCCTATCCAAACAATTAGACCTTGTCCCTTGCAAGGCCCTCTGTCCTGCACCACTGAAACTGTGGAACCACGTCAGAAAATCCTGATGTACTTTCCCGGCCAAAGCAGGAAACGAACATGCAACCTCTCACTTAGCCACTGTGGCTCCCTACTTTGAAAAAAAAGATAAAAAGATTAAAGTTGAAGCGAGGTAGGGGTGGGGGTGGATTATGTGGGGTATGCATGCTAGCTCGATTCGCCCTTATTAAATGGTAAGTCGACTTTTTGTATGGTGACTTATTGTATGCCAGCTTGATCTCAACAGTGTGACATTGGTATTGTGGAGCGATGAACATTGCACATTGTAAAACTAAAATACATATTTTGAACTGCTGACAGTTTGCATTGTGAATATTGAAATAATATTGGCAAAGTTATTCCGATCTTGCTCCAATCATAAAATAAAACATGTGGATAATAAATTAATATATACAATGAAAATGAAAGATAAATTATTTAATAAAAATATAAAATAACTAACCTGTAGAACGACACAAGTAGGTTGATAGAATTCTACAACTGTTTGTATAACCGGTTTAAAAATCTGCATGTATGCTGTAACACATATCACAGATTATTTTCAGTTCAAATACAAAAAAAAAAACACTCTAGAAAATAGCATTTTATTGTAACAAGAAACTAAAAAAAAATATTGTAAATACTTTTTAAACCAGCAGGATTATTTTCATCTATGCTGAAACAAAGTATTTATTTAACAAGATGTTACGTAATTAACTCTACATTCCTGCAATATTATTTTAACTTTTGTTAGATGAATTATTTGCAGATCTATCTAGAGCTGGGCTTATCACTTATAGATAGCCAACATAAAAACAAATGTACTCACTCTGATCATCTATACCTTCCTTCAATGGAACATTAACAGAATAATATCTACCACTTTCTGATCCCCATTCATACATATCACCTACAAATAACATGAATAAATCTATGAAAAGTTGTACACTGTGTGCATCACACATTAACATCATCAAAAATCTGCCAAGCTCCTTCAGAGGTCCAAATATCTTTCAATTTGCTTCTCTGTGGTAACATTGACCTGCTACAACCGTATGGTGTCCAGCAGCAGCACTTCTATTTGAACAAACTGGTAACAAAGATTTTTAAAATAACCTAAATCTGTTACTCAAAGTGGCCACTGCCAAGTTACTACAAGGGCTGACTTCTTCATTTGAGTAAATCTGAATAAACACCATCATAAAGCAGTTTAGGATAAGAAGTTAAAAATGACTAATTGTTTATACTGGACGAACAAACAAAAATGACACCATAACACTTTGTCAATACTTTTAGAAAATGATGTCTTCATACCTGTGCCAGGGAAGAAAAAATTTCCATATTTATGAAAGGAAACTGTCATGACTCGATCTGTTAAGTAAAATGCTTCCTGTACGCCATCCCCATGATGTATATCAATATCTATATATAAAACTCTAGGATGGTATCTAGAAATAATAAATTATGAATTAAATTTTATTCATCCACTTCACAGAGGTCATCAATTACATTTTTTCATTTAATTCATCAAATTAAACAAAAACTGTCATTCTAATGTGATGTTCTCAGATTGATAATTTAAATTAAGAAAACAAAATCTAAATATAAACGTTAGATAATTTCCAACCCTATAAATTAGACTTTGTGCCATTTACATAGAGAGCAGCATATATCGAGGGACTTTCAATTCATCATATCTTTGTAAATACTGAACAGAATTTAACACTTTTCAACTGATATTCATATTAGAGATTCAACTTTTATTAGCACTGTAGTTTGCAAGGGATTCCTATATTGCTCATATCACACTCGGGGGCTTTAAATGTTCATTAATGCTATTAGTTGTAAAAATCTTATTATAAATAATTATGTTTGTTTTATTTTCAAATATACATATGCCAATAAATGTTCTGTAAGATATGAACAAGTAAACATTACAATACTTTATAACTAACCACCTATTTTTCTAAGCAACTTATTGGATTTTTCATCAAACAGTTGTAAAAAAAATCAATTGTTCTACCATCTGTTATCAGATTATTGACACATCTCAGTACAAAAGGTTGTACCAAAACATTTCACACAGCTTATTTATGAGGTCAATGCGCAATACCAAAGCTATATTAAAATCTTGATATTATCAACCTCTTAATAAACAAATATTGACCTCCATTTTGTAGTTATATCATGATTTTGAATATTATGAACTTGATTACTTCTTACATGTATATTTACTCCACTACAGATTATTTAATTTCCATAGAGACTTAAACTAAGTGAAAAATATATGCAAATGCTTCATAGCAGAAACAAATTTAATTGTTTGAAGTAAAAAATAATAACAAAGAAACTGAATCCAAGTAAATGATATGCAATTCAACTTGGGGTGGTACTCAGTCCTTGCATAGTCTAGATGACGTAACATTTAAAGTCTCAGCGCGCCTGCTTATTCCTGAACATTTTTAATGAATATTTTGGAGTTTAAATACTTACTTTAACAATTCTAAAATAGCTATAACAATATCGTTGACATAACAAAAACCAGATGCCTGAAAAACAATAACAAACTTCCTAGAATGCATGGAAAAAATATTTGAAATTCAATATATATGTACAATTATAATGGCAAAAGGATTAATATAAAAAGACACTCAAGTATCAGTATAATATATTCTAGTTTGAATAATAAAAACAACTGCACTTTGCTTATAATTGAAATGGTCAACAAAGTTCAACTGATCTCTTTAATAAATGATAAGTAATATTACCTCATATTTTTTGGCATGATGCAATCCTCCAGACCAGTTAACTGCTATGTCACAATGCTTTTAACAGAAAAATGATATGTCAATCATTATCATATACAAAAACATACAATATAAAAGTTGATATGGAATATTTCTGTTTTTTAGATATGTATTGCCGGTTCCATTTTAAATTAAATTGAATGCTAAACTACACCCTTTTTTTTTATTCTTAGTTCAACATTAGGCCACGCAAAAAATATTCTGATTCTCAGACAATCATTCCTAAATATCTGATGCCGGTTGGAGGTTTTTGTTTTTGTGTTTTGAATTTGTCAAAGAATGATCATAACTGTGCTAAATGACATCTCATATAAACTTCAGGTTTCAAGGCACTACATTTATCTCATCACATTGTTGAATTCACCAACATCTATCAGGGTTGCATTTTTGATAATTGAGCCTATGTACATTTCCACTTCTTTTTAAAGAGTTAGTACCTAACCTGAAGAAAATATTTATGTGCGTTAATGCAGCTCTTATTTTTATTATTTAGCTTACTACATGACAGAATGTGACAGTCTCCTTGGCTATAATTTGTACAAGAAATTGAAAGATGGATTGACATAAAGTGACCATATAAAAATATATATTGAACCAAAAGTAGGAATCTATACACAGAATGTATAAATTAATGTTAGGGTGCCCCACCATAAATAAATATCTCCAAATAGTTTGACAATTACACCACAATATTTATATATATATACCAATCCTTAAATCTGTTTGGCACATTTATAGTCACTAAATAAAAGGTCATGTTGTACTTAATAAGCTATGACCATTTAACCATCCATAAATATAATAATACACTGAAAGATGGTTCCGAGTATCATCCATAACAACCAGGCACTTTTGAGAAAAAAAATAGGTTATGTGCCCTTGTTTTGAAATTAGTCTTGCTTAACTAGTCTACCGACCATTCTCCGTCTGATTGACAGGCCGGGATAACCAAGACTACTTTTATACGAAACATGACAGAAAGCTGGAACAAGAAATTGAATTTAGAAACACGCACGGTAGGCAACTCAACAAATGTTTTAAGAACCTTATAAAAGTTAAATGAGACTACTGCTAGTATCATGTTCCTGTCTAACCCAAGTTTTTCACACATATTATTTGTACTAAACCAAAAGATGCTGCTCCTAACAGTATAGTTAATGATAAAGCAATTTAAAAAATAAAACAAACGTAATTTCTAAAGCTGCTGTAATAACCAAAAAGTTAAATATTACTGCTATTCAGAATCGTCAACAATAGATTTTTTACGGCTGTAATGGTTGATAGATGTGTTGAGAATTTCACGTGCAATGGCTATTTATAGACTCAAAGAGAGTTTGAGACTAGCCACTGAAGCATGTGCATTCACCGTGTTGAGTACCACTTTTAGTAAGGAAAAATTTTGGCACATGGGGCACCCTATCAATTTGACATTTGACACAGAATATATTACTATTCACTACTTATATACCCAATATCGAAGTTTTACTATCCATGCCTTCAAAACAACTATAAAATAATCTGTCCACAATGTAATTCAGGAAGATATTGTATAATTTCCAACACATAAACTTACTTCATTGTTTAACTTGACAGCTCCCTCTAAAGATGCTCCAGTATACATTGAACAGAAATCAAACATACCATCAAATACAGGACTGAATATCACAATAAAACTTTTTATTAGAAATAGTAAAATGAGAAACAAGCATGTTTATTAGTAATTTATTAATAGTCTATACATGTATGTAAATTTTTAAAGGGCAAAAATTTAGAAAGTTTCAGGATATTGTGTGTATATACTTCTGAAAACCCTTTGTTTAAGAAAACGCATATGATATGTAAGCGTAAATTTCATTGAACTGTTAACCTTGTGAGTTTGAAGATAAGGAGCAGAAGAAATAATTACCAGTCTTCTCCAACATTAAACATACTCAGACATTTTGTAAATTCTTGAACATTTTGAGGAGTAATTCTTCGTAAAAAATCAACATATTCTTCTGAATGGAATCGACACATATCATGAAAAGTTGCCCTGTATGGTCTGTAAACCTAGAAAACATAATTCTAAATTCAAAACAACTAAAGGAAATTTTATCTTTTTAACACAATATTATACAGAGAGGGAGAGAGAGAGAGAAATGGGGTTTGTTTAACGTTGACTCCACACAAACTAGGTCATTAGGGGACTAACATACGGTTCAATTTTATGTCAATAATTTGCTTGGGCATAGGTGTCTTTAGCAGTGGGAAGAAACTGGAGAACCTTACTCCTTGTCACGTATAACCGGGGAATCAAAACCACACCAGTTGACTCAATAACAGACCTTATGATACAGCGCTCAATATTATATATATAAATAGCAGAAAAGATAATATAAATACTATTATTCTCTGAACACACATTCTAACAAACGAGCTAAGGCATTTGCTGATTTGTCTTCCTATGGATTGGAATAATAAAAACAGATTGTCATTGCGCTACAATATTTCCCAAAGTCATTTCTAAGAATTATACAGTGAATGTTTCATTTTTCCAGATCATCCCAGATGTTTGCACCATGAACAACTGATAATGAATATTTTAGTTTATATTTTAGAAAACACTGTAATATTGTATCAGAAAATGATCTGAGGTTAAGGATGCAACAAAGTTCTTTCAAGCGCATATAACCAAGGATGAAATCTAAGCCTTTAAATAAGCAAAGTGTAAAATAGTGTTACCTTCATTTTCTTATATAAACCATAATGCAAAACTAGTCCATGGGTTAATGTTATTCTGTAAGGTTTCATTGGATGACCTTGGCCTGAAATATAACCAGCAGTTGGCAGGCAAGATATGCTCACATTTTGCAATAGATGGATAGAGAACAAGCTAAAAACAAAAGCGATTTTTCGTACAATCTGGGGCTATAATCCAGAAAGTAATGGTCTGAAATGAGCCAATATCAAAAGGGACTGAGATCTTTGGAATATAAAGATATGTTTTAACTTTCATCAAAATCAAATAAAAATTGTGACGTCTAGAGGGTCCACAACCTTCGTGTTATATACTTTTACACAATTTGCGTACAAAGAGTGGGAATTTTGTCAGGCAGTTTTGTTTCAATTTTCCCGAAATTCGAATTCAACCTTAATTACGGTGGAATGGTGATATATTTAAACATTTTTTAAAACTGGATAAAAATTGTGACCTCTAGAGAATCCACAAGCTAAAAAACAACATTTTTCATACAATCAGGGGCTATAATCCAGTATAATATATGCACAAATATCAAACAGAACAAAGATCTTTGGATTATAATCATACATTTCAAGTTTCATCAAAATCGGATAAAAATTGTAAACAACCTTGATATACCATTATATTTCTATGCGTACAAGGGGCGGCCATTTTGTCTGGCAGTTTTTGTTCGATTTCCACGAAATTTGAACTCAACTTTCATTATGGTGTAACGGGGATATATTCGAACATTTTTTTAAATCGGATAATAATTGTGACCTCTAGAGGAAGTTACGATCCCATATGTGCAAATATCAAAAGGGACCAAGATCTTTGGGTTATAAACATGCATTTCAAGTTTCATCAAAATCAGATGAATATTGTGACCTCTAGAGTCTCCACAAGCTAAAACCGTAATTTTTCGTACTTAGGGGTCATAATCCATGAAGTTTCGATCCAATACATGCCAATATCGAAAGGAACCAAGATCTTCTGGAGATAAACATACATTTCAATTTTCGTCAAAATCAGCCTTCCACCCTGGAAAAAATCGGTGCCCCCCATTGCTGAATGCGTCTGTTGGGGGCCCTTTGCCCATTGGGGGAAAAATCAGCTCCCTCCAGTAGCGCCTTTGGCGTCCTTTCCATTGGACACAATGCTAAACCAATGACCAACATGCCCATATCAGTATATGATCGCCCCATAAAGCTGAATGTCAATTGGTTTGATGGCCACATACATGTATCATTATATATGAGGCGCACCCCAAATGGTGAGGCGCCTCATAATAAAACACACCATCAACACCATGTGCAACTTGAATGATGGGGAGCCCAAAACGTTAACAGGCAAGGTCTTTTTTTCTCTCACTAAAAAAAATGTTCCTTTACTTTACAATGTACAGGCGTTTACACAGGGACTGACGCGCGACCATTTAGCAGTAAAAAGTTCCCCAGTAAAATTGACTGGGGTTATAAATATTTTCGACGAGTATTCAATAGGGCGGTTCCTGAACGTACAGGGCGAGTGTAATGAGACCTACGTTCAGAGCTGGACTAATTGATTATACTATCTAGCCTATAGGATTTATATTTAATTCATAGGCATAAAAATAATAATAAAAAAGTCCAACAAAAACCCAAACGTCAACGTTTTTAGCGATTTCTCGAAGCTAATCTTTCTATCGACTTACCATAATGAAAGTTTCCAACATCCTGATCATAAAAATATGCAACAGTTTGTTTAGACATTGCAACAAAAGAAAATTAATAATGTTTCAATTAGATCTAGACATCATATTTCTAATTTCTTTACTTTTAGCAAACAATTTTCTATACTTCAACAACAAAGGTTATAAAAGGGAGATAATTACTCTGACCGAAAGTAAGCCCTGCTTAACCAGACACTATTTATTATTCATTGATTTTCTTTAAAGGACAATATTGGTGCCAGTCATTATCATATATGTGATAGAACTGGTTAAACACGTTCCAAATATTATTTTATCACAGAGTTCATTGCTACGATAGATGTGGAATCAATGTTTCAACAATCGGAAGTGACGAACGCAAAAGGAAAACACGAGTTATCCCTCTATATAACTGATTGAAGTGACGGGTGATATCAGGTACATGGGCGAATTTCTGCCCACTAATAATTCCTTCGAAGACCAAAAGTTGTTGTGTGAGACAGTGAAAGGATATCTGACAATTCATAAAAAAATTGACTGTCACTATAGATAAGAGAACATGAAAGAAAAATAGAAAAAGTCTGTGCATTACAATGTTTTTATAAGGATAGAATGAATAAACAGGCGTGAATGTACGGACTGTTTCTATTTTATTCGTGTTCTCTTATCTAATGACATTCAATTACTTTTTTGAATTGTCAGATGTACTCTTACAGTCTCATATAACAACTTTTGGTCCTCGAAGGAATTATTAGTGGGCAGAAATTCGCCCATGTGTCTGTTACCACTCGTCATTTCAGTCAGTTATATAGAGGAGTAACTCGTGTTTTCCTTTTGCGTTCGTCATTTCCGATTGTTGAAGCATTGATTACGCCTCTATCGTAGCAATGATCTCTGTGATAAAATAATATTTGGAACGTGTTTAACCAGTTCTATCACATATGTGATAATGACTGGCACCAATATTGTCCTTTAAGGGTCAAACAGTTTCACAGAGGATTACGAAAGTCTTCTAATATCTCTGTAAAAGATGACTGCCTTCAACACATGACGTTATATCACGCGGCTTCAATCCAATCATCGGCTCAATGGCATGTGCATTGTTTACATAAGACCATGTTGATTCGGGCAGAATGGAGTCTTTTACCCATTTTAAATACCCATTTACACTAAATAGGAAATAATTTTTTACCTACAAATACGTCAAACGTTTTTATTTATTTTTCTAATCCATAAAAAAATGTTTTAAAATTTAATTTGTCGGAGGAAAAAAGTTAATATTTGTGGCTCATCAAGTCGCATCGATGTCATCCTTATCAGTGATTGTCGCGGCCTAGCAAATATTCACTGCTGATCATGCAGTGTGAAGAAGGGTACGTTTCCATTAATCCACAGCAGGACCCTTTATTCATTGCACGAATTACGAGTCGGTCTAGTAATCAACTAATAAAAATCCAAGCTTCTAGTTATTAAAACAAACAACCAAAACTAAAGAAATATTTTCTAAAAATTTAGTTCTGTGGACATCGGAAATGTGCCCTTAGACCCACATAGATAAGATACATTTTATATGACCATATATGACAACTAGAGTATCAACATTTTTTAGAGTTTTATTAAAATTTTATTAATAATAGGCTACATTATTAATTTCGTTCTACCGGCCTTTTCCATTGGACGCAATACGAGGCCAACGACCAACGTGCCCATATCACCATGGGTGCCACATAAAGCCGAGTGACATTGGTTGGGCGCCCACCAATTATGTCGTTATATAAGAGGCGCCATTTTCAGGTGCAAACCCTATTTTCCAAAATTTTCTTGAGGGGTGGGGGAGGGGGCACCATATAGGCGTACGCGCCAGGCTGTCCTCCCTAATTTTAGGGCAATTTGACTCTTCGGGCAGACGGGTAAAGTGAAAACAAAAATTATTATTTCATCTAGTTGGCAAAATAAAGCGCCCGAAATCTAATAAAACGCTAATTTTACTTTTCTTTTAATTGAATACCACGAATTTGTACTGAATTGACTATGGATTAAAACATTTTGTCTAGAGCCACTTTACTTTGTGCCACATTTTTCCTGCATCGATTATTATTTGTGAAAGCAGCTGCAACAGTGTGATTGGATGGTTGGAATTCAGGTCGGCATAGGGTGCCTTTGGAAACTTTGAAGTTGCTTAACTCATGGGCTAGAATAGCAGGAAAACGCATGCATGCGGCGGTCAAAATTTCATGAGGCGCCCATATCCCCGTGACGATCGATTGCTTGTTTGGGATTCAGGTAAGCCACCTAATAGTAAGTGCGGGGGGACTGCACCATACAAAATTTACACAAAAACAAATACGCGGACAATACATCATACTCAGAAAAGCACAAACAAGCAAACAATTCAAAAAGGGTGAATGGATCCGGGGGCTCGTCGTAAGCGTCCACTGCACTGTACAGTCCCGGGTCTGTTACGTAGTAGTGACACAGACTTCACTCAAATAACATCATTAATTTTGAGACCGACGGCAGTGAATGCACTTATTTTGAGACAAACTATTTTTCTCCCTGGGGGAAAACATTTTCTTAGAGCAACATATTACTCACAACAGAATAAGAGTGAAAACATTTATTCAAACATGATAAGATGACAAGGTTATTTTATACTATAGTTTTGCGTGAGTAGCGTGACGTATGCAATTTAGTGCACGGATTCACACAAATACGTATTTGAAATTTTACCTTCTATTTTGGCACTGTTTGTTTACCCCATTAATTCATTTAGTCTGAGACCGACTTCAGTGAGCACTTATTTTGACACCGACTGTTTTTATTCCCTCGGCGGAAAACATTTTATAGACCAACATGGCAACATACGCACAACAGAATAAGACATGACAAGTTGACAAGTTTATTTTATACTACAGTTTTGTCATTGTTTAAGTCATTAATTCATTTAGTCTCCGATGAATAATTTTGCGACCGACTGCACTTATTTTGCGACCGACTATTTTTTTTCGCCCCCCCCCCCCCCATTTACACCACCGAAGACATCAGTAGTGGAACCATTTCTAGTTGTATGATTTCTGATATTGGGTTTTTAGAATGAAAATTGTTGCCTATGTTAAATAATGACTTTTCTGTTGCGACGTCATCCTTTTGACGCTCATGAATCCATGTGGAAATATCGGAATAAAAACAATTTGAAGAAGATATCGTCTTTCGTATGAAGCATACTTTATATTTAAAGTGACCATAAGCTAAAATAAACTATGCTTCAGTTGAAAGACGATGGCCTTCCGGTTCCAAATCTGGTTTTGACTATTTTTTGCGATTTTTCCACAAGGAGCTAATAAATTTCTCGCAGACCGATTGTCGAAATGGTCACGTCCACGCACCATTAAATTTCATGTCTGCTACATGGAGAGATTGTTTTATATATACATTAGGTTTTTGTTAAAAATATATAATGTAACATTGGCCTGAAAAATAGCAGTATCAGATATTCAGATCTATAGCTACGAGAACGTAGCTAAAAACGTTGAGATATAATGATGCCCTACTTGTTTCGGAGGGTTGAGGAGGTTTCTTATCTATATCAGATCAAATCCCTATTCTTCTACATCTTATTTGGTAGTGCTGTGACATCATAATTTTGTGCCTAGATATATGAGTAATCGATAATAACTTCTTGAAGAAAAATCGCAAAATTTTTTAAAAACAGTTTAAAAACCGACTGGACATCGTCTATCACCTGAAGCTTATCTTTTGGAGCTATGTTCACTTTAAGCTAACATTTGCCCTTAACTCGAATTTATTCGTCGCAACTAATGCAGCGGTTGGGTGCAACCTTAAGCTCCAGTCAGATATACCTCTTAAGCTCCAGAAAGATCGAACGAGACCAGTTAGTTAAGCGTGAGTTAGGTGAAAATGTTTCCACCTAGGCGAAAAGTTTGAGAACTAAAAAAACAAACCTAAAACCAAAATATTTAATAAAAAAAAGTCGTATGGGCCACCGTACCCTACCATTCCATTACCAGTAGAAAGGGGGGGGGGGTCACGGTGGCTAAGTGGGTACGATGCTGGCTCGATGAAGGTCGGGTGTTCGATCCCTGCCGAGAAATTTCATCCAGATTACCCGGCGTGGTTCCTTCCCCCTTGTCAGTGATGCAGAATGGTACGAAAAACCGAGGTCCAGTGTACACATTGGCGTGCACGTAAAAGATCCCTTGACAGATGGAATTCGATATAGTAGGCTATCCGGGCAAAATTTCTCTCATAGTATCGTGTATGGCGTTTGCCCGTCTTCATTAGCCCAGTTCGGAACAGAACAGCAGGACGTTAAACTCCATTTCATTTCATTTCCATTACCGATAATAGTTTAACTCAACTACATGTACAAGCATGAGTATGGAAGTTATAACAAACATTTCACATTGTGATGCATAACAATATCTAACTACATATCTTACAAAATAACATTATATTCCTCTTTTCTTAAAGACATTCAATACAAAACTTCCAAAATTCTCTATATACACTCTTCATTATTGATTAATATATACTGAGCGCCATGGAAAACGCATCACTTAGTTTTTCGTATAACAAAATGATCCTGTAAACATATCCTATTTATTTTGCTTCTTATTGTGAACAATATTCAAATGGGAACACATCAATAACAACACATTTGTACACTTATGGATGTTTAATCTGTAATCAACGGTGCAAAGTCAGAGGGGTCAAAACCAAAAGTACGACACAGATGTCAGTAGCGGGTGTGTCCTCCACGGGCTCTTACGCACGCTGTGCAGCGACGTCGCATGGAATTTACCAATGTTTGAAAGAAAGTGATGCGTTTTCCGTGGCGCTCAGTATATATTTCACATTAAGAGAGAAAATCTGCCTTGTTCAGCAAGAAGAACTGAGTTAATTTACTATCAGCGATACTGCAATAGTCTGGTTAAAAATGACTACTGATCAATGTTCGTGAACAACAAGACACAAAACCGTAAAAGATGATAATCACAGCGAAAGTAGGACACCAAGAAGTGGATGGTAAATAAATAAGCTCGGCAGAGGAATAGACTTCACAATAATTCCACTGTAAAGGCAGTCCACTTAACATGACGCATAACCTGAGTAAAGATGTTCCTGATATAGAGGTACACTATTTTAATGTATTATGTGCAAAGACTGAGCAGTTCAATTAACAGATCGGTTGTGGAGTGTTGTTTTGCAGAAAGTTTCAGAATCAGTACCAACCAGGGCGCCTGGAAGGTTTCTCGTAAAGTTTAAAGTGACACTTTTGCTGTTCAAATAACTTTAATGATGGCTTGGCGTCTTGGAGATCATCGCCGATATGAAATTTACAAACTATGATTTTTATATTCTGCTTGACATAGTTTTGCAATAGAAGTGATAACCGACAGGTTTATAACTTATATGTTGTAACCTACATTGCAGTGATTCATTGAGGGGTCGATTTCCTGACAGTATTGTTTATTTATTTATGAGATTACAAGATTGCTAGCTGTTGAGAATAATACTGGTAACATAAGACTGTCTTTGAATAAAATAACAAACTTTTAATAAGCTGTTGTAGATATAAGACAAATAGGAAATTATTTTTTTCGACAATACTAATATATACGAAAACACCGGAAAACACCATGTTATACTGAATACCGGAAAACACTGGAAAAACATTAAATACCGGAAAACACACTAAATAGGTAACCCGGAGACTGGCACCCTAAATAGGTAACCTGGAGCCTGGTCCTCTGTGCCTGGGTTAGGGTTAGGGTTAGTTTCCGGTTTATAGTATAGCCCTTCTCCAGGTTACCCAATCTGATTAAAATACAGATCTATATTTCGTTTCGTATTTTTATACTTTCGATGGCCTACACTACATGAAGATCTGACAAGTTATAGCGATAGGTCACTTCAGGGGTCAAAAGACCAACTTATGACCCTATGACATCAGACATTTGATTAACCAATCAGCATTGATGTTACTAGTGGATTACCCACAGTTCCGTGAAAAACACGACTAAAGCTCGCCGTAACACACTGTTTCATTGGCTTATACCTGACACCATTCAGAACACCAGTTAAATAACAACTCTTCCAGATCCAATTGTAGTAAAGACAAGTAAAACGAAATTTTAAACTATAAAAACGAAACGAAATAGGATCTGTGTTTTAACCAGATTGTCAGGGTATCTATTTAGGGTGTTTTCCGGTATTTAGTGTGTTTTCCGGCTTGAAGATTTGGTTTGGTGTTTAATTTAATGTTTTGTCAAAGTTTGATCAATTTTGAGCTGATCCTTAATTTCTTCAATTCTTTTGTTATTGCAGAATATCCTGAACTTAAATCCTAAAGTCAGACATCATGCAAAACTTGTACCAAGTGCACAAACAAAACAAAATAAAAGGCATTGGAAACGGAATACAGACAAATCTTGCTCCGTAAGTACGATAACTGTAAATCTTTACATCTGAATATCTTCAGTAATATCAAGATAGTCAAGATAAACTTGAACTTTCCTTAAAGTAAAAAATAGCACAAGAAAGAGTAGAAATACGCTCACACTTTACACAGTTGCTTTGTCTCAAAAAAAGATAGTTATAGACAGCATTCAAGCTTATCCTAAAGGAAAAATTGTTGACTCTGGAGAGTGGACAAGCAAAATTATGCTATGTAAAGGGCCATAATAGTACTAGAACCAAAATTTCAGTTCCAAATGTCATCTACTCATATGAATCATTATCCTAAGTTTTGAAAAAGATTTGTCCAAAAACGTGGCCTGTAGAGAGAGGAAAAGCAAAATTATGTTAATTAAAAGAGCCATAACTCTGGAGCAACAAACAAAAACGTTTAAATTCAATCCTAATTGCCGTCTACCCATCAAATAGATTTGTAAGAAATTGGGGCCTCTATAGCAAGCGGACAAGCAAAATGACTCTAATTAAAGGGCTATATAACTGTGGAAAGAAAAAAGCAATTGCACTCAAATTGTACCTGTAAATATGTTATCCAGTATTAAAATATCCTTCTAATCAAAAAGAGCTATGTGGTTATATTACACTGTTGTAGATTAGTACTAATTAGTATTCAATCAATGAATCAGTTAGATGGTGCACTAATCTTGACATCAAATTAAAGTATTTAAGTTATAGATTATGCTGAAATTTTAAACAATAGCAATTGGCTTTTCATTGTGAGACATTTTATACAATGTTGATCAATATAAAATTTAATTTGCAAGTTATTAATGCATGTACCTGAATTATGTAATGAAATCACATATAATTTCTATGCAAAACATAGGCTTGGTCTAGGGGACTTGAAGATTTACCCAATATTTTATAACACAAGAACTGTGTTTGTAGGTCAATGCTTGCTCCACAGTAAGGTCACATCTGGTAGATTAAACTGTGTTGGTTTGTTTGTAGGTTAACTTAAGTAGAGTATATGTTATAGTTACATAAATATTATTTATATACATTCTTATGAAGCTGCTTACTAAGGAATTGATGTTTCAAGACCTTTGTTTTAATAAATTGAAGGGCAAATAACCTACCTTTTTTCAATCTAGTCAATAAATACTAATGGCCAGAAACAAAAGTTCTAAACCATGCCTGTTTCTGTTTATTTTTCTCCAGTATCAACAAATTTTACTTGCCTGTTCTCCAAGACATTGTGGTTAAACAATTCCATGGTTTTAGACAACACAGGGAGGGGAAGATTGTGGATAAATGAGGCCCATGTTACATTATCCAAAATCCAATGCAAGTCTCTGGATGCTTGGGAGAATGATTATGTTAATGTAATTTAAAACTTTTACTGTTGTGTTATCTTTTGGTTGTTCGAGTGCCTGCTTAAGTATTCATACAGTTAATTTTGCTCTTCTGTTTTATTTGTATAAATAAAATGTTTTTAATTATTTTCAGAAATGTGAACCATTAACTCAAAATTTTGATGACATTAAGCACACTACACTTAGTGAGAGAGCTGCTTTAAAAGAGGCTGCAAGATGTTTGAAATGTGCCGATGCACCATGTCAGAAAAGTTGCCCAACACAACTTGATGTCAAATATTTTATCGGATGCATTTCTAATAAGGTTGAGTATTAGGAAATAATAGTTTTTGTGTGTCTGTAGTTGGTATGTGTCATTAGCTCAATTATCTTCTGGAGGGTTGGATGGCTGAATGGTTAGCGTGCGCGCTGTATCATAAAGTCTGTCATTGAGTCGACCGGCGTGGTTTCGAATCCCCGGTTGTACGTGGCAAGGAGTAGGGTCGCCTGTCCAACCTCGTGGGTTTTCTCCGGGTCCTCCGGTTTCCTCCCACTGCTAAAGACCCCTACGCGCAAGCAAATTATGTAAATAAAATTAAACCATATGTTAGTCCTGAAATGACCTAGTTTGTGTCGAGTGGACGTTAAACCTCATTTCTCTCTCTCTCTCTCAATTATCTTCTAATTGGTTGCCAATGTGAATGACCGCCGATTGTTCTCAAAATAGAAGATATTATTAACACGATTCAAAAAAGGCACTATTACATTTACATAAATATAAAATCTATAAAATATAAGACCGCTGATTCCTTTCAATTTCCTGCCTATGACCATCGATTGTTCTCAAAAAACAACATATGAACACAATTCAGAGTAGGGACTATTACATTTGCACACACATAAAATCTCCCAACATTTATAATTATATTTTCCATATAAAATAGGAAGGCCAGTAGCAAACTATAGCAGAGGCACCAGCTTCAGGCCCGAGATTTCTGTTTGAAAATCTCAAACAATAAAACTGAAAGAAAGCACCAAATCCAGGGAAAACAATTGATATGAACCACCTGAGGCAGGGCCCACAAGTCCAGAGAAGGGGCCCCCTGTACAATAAAAGGGCCTCCAAGTCCAAGAAAAGGGGCAGGTTTGTTTTATTGGGGTTTGTTTATGTTTGGTGCACTTACTATTATCTCTGGGTAGCATTCTTTCTCCACTCTAGTGCGAATCATGCATCACTTGCATTCCACTGGGGAGCCGCGGTGGCTCTGTTATTAAGGCATTGTCTCCATAACCTGCTGGATGTCCTGTGTTCAATCCCTTTGTTGGTCGGAAAAGATCATCAGGATTTTGTACCGTCGTGGCTACCACTGGTGTTGCAGAGTGGACGGCCTGGCAATGGACAATGTGATGGAGGAGAAAGATCACAGGGACGAAAAACCGAGGCCCCGTATACACATTGGCGTGCAACTCAGGCAAATTTGTCCTCATAACACACTGTATGGCACATGCCTCGTCTTCATTAGCTCAGTAGGATGTTAAACCTCATGTCATTTTTTTCATTGTTTTCCACTATCAGATCCGGATTAATATTTTATCAGCTCCTGGGCTGCAGGTAGTATTTTCGATAATTATTATCAAAATTTATACATTTCTTTCAAACAAATTTCTCCAGATACTTTAATTCAGCATTTACAATTGAATTAACTTAGCACTTTGTAAATTTTGTTTCTGTGAACTGGGTGATGTATCAGTAATGAGTTCAGGAAGCTGTGACAATTAAATGTATGGTTTGAATAACTTCAATAAGCTTCCTATATTCTTTTTAAAATGTGAGTTTCATCTCTGCTTTGCCACACAGAAATGTCAGATGCTTGTAGTACTATCAAGATGTCCATAACATGGAGGTTAATGTCCTACTTTTCTCTACCAACATTGTTAATGAAATGTGCATGATACGGAAAATTTTGCCCTGGCAGTGGCTCTACGACCAATTCCATGTGCACGCCTCAGTTTTTCATTTAAACCAAACAACTAGACGCTTACCAGGCCCTCCGTCCTGCACCACTGCCAACTCGAAAACTCCCCAGAAAAATCTTAGGAACTTCCAAGCCAAACATCATGATCTCGAAGACGAGTTGGCGGAAACAATGCTGTTCGGGTAAAAGGACCCATCATAAAGCACATTACCCATCTTCATTAATCCAGTTGTTTCAGAAGAGCAGAATGTTAAACCCAGTTTCATTTGTTTTTTGTTAGATATGGGTAACAAAATCATCGGTTCCAGTTTGTATCTAAATCGACATGAAAGTATGCTAAATCTCATCTACCCAACATCGTGTTCTCGAAGACGAGTTAGCGGAAACAATTCTGTTCGGGCAAAAGGCCGGTCATATATCACATTACCCATTTTCATTTATCCAGTTGTTTCAGAGGAGCAAAATGTTAAACCCAATTTCATTTGGTTTTCGCTAGATATGGGGAACGAAATCATCGGTTTCAGTTTGTATCTAAATCGACATGAAACTACTCTAATTTTCAAAATTTTCTTTGAGAGGACCCTCGAACCCCCTTGACTTACGTCGTTCGGAACGTGTTGCCTCTTCTGAATGACGATAGTTGACATCATGAAAATTATTGTCATATCAAACATATCTTTAAAGGGCATTTAGTGAAGTGATCTATAATAACAGATAGCTTTATTGATAACATTAACTAGGTTTATTAACTGCAACTTTTCAATGAGGGTACTCCTCACCGTTATCAAGCAATGATACAATGTTACAGAAGGTTATATACAAACGGGTAACAATAAACTAATTAAAAAATTAAAAGACGGAAGCCGTACAAAGACACAGTGATAAACATTATATCAAACACTATGACAAACATGCGGATACGACGATAGAACATCATTCAGTACATTTAATTGAATAATATCCATATCCATAACATAACCAATGCCGTGTGCACGAGTCAATGCCAATATTTTTTATATTTATCGAACACCAGCTGTTTAATATTATATGGAAAATATAATCATAATGGTTGAAGATGTTATGTTTGTGCAAATGTAATGGTCCCTATTCTGAATTGTGTTAATAATATCTTGTATTTGAGAACAATTGGCGGTCATCGGCAGTCAATTTAAAAGAATCGGCGGTCTGTGGTGGTCATCGGTGGTGAAAAGACACACTGCTTATAAACATTTAATGTAATTGCAATAGAAAATAGGCAACTCAACGATTGTTTTGAGAACCTTATAAAAGCAAAAGGAAAATACTACTAGTTTTCTATTCTTGCCTATCCTGCATGCTTCGGAGATATTAATTGTACTAAACAAAAAGATGCTGCTCCTAATGGTATAGAAACTTAATAATAAAACAAATAAAAAAAAAAATGAATGTAATTTTCTAAATCGTCTGTAACAACCAAACAGAGCTAAACAGTTGCTGTAATTCAGAATCGTTAAAAATAGATTTTTTAGGGCTTTATTATTTGATAGTGTGTAGGAAATTTCAGGTGCAATGGCTATTTATAGAGTAATGGAACTTACTGTCGCCCTTTCAATGACCATCAAAATCCTTAAATGTATTCTTTAAAGTAGGATTTATGTCAAAATAACGTCTTACTAAGTTTGTCTGATGTATTTTCTCAATCACTGATGGGATGTGGCTGGTCAGTTTCACTGCCTATTGAAAATTGTCCCTGGATACAATCTATATGTGAAATATTTGAATTATTATGTAGTCTAAAAGTTTGTTAATGTTTTATCTTTTCAGAATTTCTATGGTGCTGCCAAATCCATCCTTTCTGATAATCCATTAGGATTAACATGTGGAATGGTTTGCCCTACAAGTGATCTTTGTGTAGGAGGATGTAATCTATATGCATCAGAGGAAGGTCCTATAAATATTGGAGGTTTACAGCAATTTGCAACTGAGGTTTGTAACTTACCTTAAGATTTTTTATATGCTTACAATTTAATGGGAGTAAATGTTGCGGCAACTGTTGGTCAGTCTATCATTCACGTGATGTGTTGTATATCTTGTTGTTCCACCTTTATTTGAAAAATATTGTAACTGAAAGTATTATTATACAAGAAACCATTGTGTTCAGAGCTCATTCCAGCGATTAATCTTGTAAGAGCCACCAATTCACAGTCCTGTCTTGGCTAAAAATTGTTTATACATATTTTAGAGGATTCAAAACATGTCACTCTTGCATGCACTCAAAGTATTAAATTGCATCGCATGTAGTGTATAATTGATAAGATGATTTAATTAACAATGTGTCATAATGATGTACTTTCCTTTCTTTTATAGATATTTAAAGCTATGAAAATTCCACAAATACGAGATCCAAACCTTACTCCTAGAGATCAGTTACCTAAAAGCTATGGGTCAAAGATTGCCTTATTAGGATGTGGTCCTGCCACCATCAGTTGCGCCACTTTTCTGGCACGTTTAGGATATTCAGATATCACAGTTTTTGAAAAGAATGAATATAATGGAGGATTGAGGTATTAGGATTTTGCATTCTATCAACTGCATTTTTTTACAGAGTAAAAAATACTTCTAAACATACATATACATAGAAATATAGTTTTGAAAGAGTTATCTCCCATTAATGCACAGATATGAAAACTGAAATTGTGACAAGGGATCGATATCGATTATGTCTGGATATTTGGTTTTTCAGTTCCTCTGAAATCCCTCAGTTCCGTCTTCCATACAGTGTTGTAGATTTTGAGGTGGCATTGATGAAAGATTTAGGAGTGAAGGTTTGTATCGTTTTATAAGTTCAATATCAGAATTTAAATAAACAGAAATACTGACTTGGGCAGTAATTCATTGTAACCCGGGTATCATTTAATCTTGTGTATTTAGCACTAATTTCTTTCACATTCATTCATTATCAAATCTTTCTTTAAAAAGTCATAAAAATCGTTTAAAATCACCAAAATTTATCTAAAATCATCTAATTTGTACTTGTGTCCACTTTAAAGCTGACCATTCAATTTTGATAATGAGCGTCCAATTTACAAGCGTTTAATTTCTCGATCAATGTTACAAAATGAACAACCCAATTGATTATTGATGAATAATGATTAATTTTCGAACAGTGGTCAGGAAATTAAATACTTGTAAATTGGACACTCGTTATCAAAATTAAGTACAAATTAGATTATTTTGCATGATTTTAAATGATTTTTACAAATTTTTAAACAAAGATTTCATATTAAACGAATGTGAAAGAAATTAGTGCTAGATACACAAGATTAAATTATACCAGGGTCACAGTGAAGAAGTCCTTATTACTGACTTGGTTGTGTTAAAGCCTTCTATACTGGCACCTTCCCTACCATATTCACAATCCGTACACTTTATTAATTGTCCAATCCACTGCCTTTGGGATCGTCTGTCCATTTGTCTGTCAGTCCATCTGTTACATTTTTTGCTACCTATTAACTCTGCTTCTAATTGGGTTAGAATGTTCAAAATCCAGGCGGATGGCTTGACTAGGATTGATGATGAATCTAAGCAGAAATAAGAAATTTGATCGGTCGTGACTTTTAAGCATGTAGATGTTCATTAGGTGAATATCATATGTGACTGAGTTAAATGATCATGATTTCCTGCTTAGGTCAGGCAGAGATAAGTAACTTTGTTTCAAATTAAGTGAGAATGGTAAAATTTGATATATAAATTCATCATATAAATACCTTAACTGAGTTTGATAATGAGCAGTATCTGCTCAAGTTAAGCAGAGTGATAACTGATAAGTTGCTTAAGTAGAAAGATAAATATGCAAGTTTTTAATGAGTGTCATCTAGCTATATTGGGATTAACAGCCTCACTGTTAGTTTGTTAGTCTGATAGCATGATATAGCTAGCAAAGATTTTACATTTATTAATTATTTCAGATTGTATGCGGTAGGTCATTGAGTAGCAAAGACATTACATTATCATCATTAAAAGCAGATGGTTATAAAGCTGCATTTATAGGTATAGGTAAGTCTGTATGAAATTAAGCATTAAATTAAAAATGATTTAGCTGGTAGAGTTGGAAAGGTAATTTGGATAGGTGTATATGACTATAAGATTTTGCTCCGTTGTCAAATATACTTTTTGTTATTTTGTATTATTTTTCTAAGAAAACAGGCAAACAAATCAGTAATGTAGATCACATGTTTTGAATTGTAGCTTTAAAAATATATAATATAGCAAGATTGGTAGAATTTTTGCTCTCTAAATTAGTAGTATTGTATTAATTAATATCTTGGGCTAATTATTAGATTCACACATTCTATAGAAGTCAGATCTAATGCACTCAAATGAATGCCTGATAGTTGATACATAAAAAGAGTTATAATTTGGTAAACATAAGCTGGTTCCATGGGAATGAGAATATGTTTAACACGTGATTGGAAATTTATTAATTGCTTCATTTGGCATGAGTAACCAATCACTATACTTAATTACGTCATGTTTGACCAATTAGATAATTTAAGGTCCAAAATATAAAGCTACAAGACCATCATATTTTGGGGCATTCGTCAGACAAGGCTACTAAGATATGTAGTAAGAAAAGATACATGGGTTATACGCCGGATGGTGCGACCGGTATTAGTATGTGGGCTGCTTTCCACGTCTGACAGATGACCCATGGTACTACAATATGTAAAGAAAAATTACAAATGATTGGCTAATTATCCTAAATGATACAGAATTTAATTATGGTATAGTACAGTTATATTTTATATTCATATTTGTGTTTTTAGGTCTGCCAGACTCCAAAAGAATTCCTATTTTTGAAGGACTTACAGTTGAACAAGGATTTTATACCTCAAAGACATTTTTACCAGTTGTATCTCAGGCTAGTAAGGCTGGTTAGTAGGCATACTTTTTAAAGCAATTTTATGTTTAGGGAAAAATGATTTGATAAGATATTAAATAAGTCGTAATTTAATGCAAAATAACAATTTATGTCCAAATATTTTCAATGTGTCAATGATTCATAAACTAGTTTCTATGTTCAGGTATGTGTAGCTGTAAATCTGTATTACCTCGTCTAAATGGAAATGTGATTGTGTTGGGAGCTGGAGACACAGCCTTTGATTGTGCAACATCTGCTTTACGGTGTGGAGCCAAAAGAGTTTTTGTTGTGTTCAGAAAAGGTTTTACAAATATTAGAGCTGTACCAGAAGAGGTAAGTCATTGTAAAAAAGGAATTTTATACAAAGTTTTGATTTATTCCAAATATGTATTGAAGAACTTGCTGTGAATTCTTAATTCTTGGGATATTTTGCAATGGGGGGAAACTGAAGATAGCACATTTTTGTCCACTGCCTTTCAAAGAAAACAGGGGACTGTTAAAATGAGTCCGTCCGTCTGTCTGTTTGTCTGTTCATCATACTTTTTGGGCCACAATAACTCTCCTTCTTCTAATTGAGGTAGAATGTTCAAACTTGGTGTAGGTGTGTATTATCTGAATGCCTTGACGGAGTTCAAGTTTAGCATTTTCTACTTAGGCTAAGCAGAGCTAAGCAATTTAATTAGTTGATGCTTTAGTACACGCTAGCTTTGGTTGCAATTAAGTGAGAGTGGTGAAACTTTGTGTATAGTTTCATTATATCAATACCTTGACAATGTCTGATGCTTTCTAATTGAGGTAGAATGTTGGTGTTGATGTTCATTAGGTGAATGTCTTAACTAAGTTCAGTGATGAACATTTTCCGCTAAAGTTAAGCATAGCTAAGCAATTTCATTGGTCAATGCTTTGGGGCAAGATAACTTTGATTCTAACTTATGGAGAGTGATGAAACTTAGTGTAGAGCTTCACTACCAGGTATACTTTAAAACCTTGACTGAGTTCCATCATTTGATGGCTCGATACTTTCCAAAAAGATACATGTACACTGCGGCGGGGGACATTAGTCTCACTGTGGACGTATATTGTCGTCACCTTTGTCTGTCCATCCACAGTTTGTGGACAGCCTACAGGTCATTTTGACGAAACTTAAGATTTAAGTTTATCTCCAAAAGATCTCGGTTCCTTTCAATATTGGCATGTATCGGACTGTAACTTCATGGATTATAGCCTGTGATTGTACGAAAAATCACGTTTTAAGCTTGTGGACACTCGAGAGGTCACAATTTTTATCTGATTTTGATGAAACTTGAAATGTATGTTTATAACCCAAAGATTTTGGTTCCTTTCGATATTCGCGCGTATGGTACCGTAACTTGGTTGAATTTGATAAGGACTGTAAATTTTATTTTTGAATTCTGTTTTTGCAGATGGAGCTTGCACGGGAGGAAAAATGTGAATTTCTGCCATTTATGTCACCGCAAAAAGTTTTGTGTTCTAATGGTAGAATAAATGCAATGGAATTCGCACGCACGGAACAGGATGAGGAGGGAAACTGGGTTGAAGACGAAGAACAAATTATTAGAATTAAAGCCAACTTTGTTATTTCTGCTTTTGGCTCTGGCCTTGTTGACAAAGATGGTATGACATTGTTCTTATTCATGTTGTCATTGCCTTGTAAATATTGTATTGATGAAACCGGTGACAGGTACCTGTATATGTCCATCATCAGTAAAGTTTACTGTACCTTGTCAGTCTGATTAATCACTATAGCAATATATATGAATTATTTATTAATTTTTTTATACACCCACATTTTCATGTGGATGTATATTATCGTTGCCCCTGTCTGTCTGTCCATCCACAATTTGTTTGTGGACACTCTCAAGGTCTCAATTTTTACCTGATTTTGACGATACTTGAATTATAAGTTTATCTCCCAAAGATCTTGGTACCTTTCGATATTGGCAGGTATCAGGTGGACACGCTAGAAGTCAGGATTTTTATCTGATTTTGATGAAACTTAAAATATATGTTTATAACCCAAAGATCTCGGTTTCATGCAATATAGTGTAAAAGTATTTAATACTAAGGATAAGGATGTGGACCCTCTAGAGGTCATAATTTTTGTTGAAACTTGTTTATATCCCGAAGATCTAATTGAACACTAACTTCCGATTATGATCCCTTATTGTACGAAAAATCGCTTTTTTGTTTAGCTGGGATTATGGCCCCTGATTGTATGAAAAATCAGGTTTTTAGCTCGTGCTCCCTCTAGGTCACAACTTTTAACCGATTTTAAAAAAACCTTTAAATATATCACCCTTATACTCTAATGAAAGTTAAGTTCAAATTTCGGGAAAATCGAAACGAAATTGCCCGACAAAGTACCCGCTTCTAGTATGCAAATAGTGTAAAAGTATGTAATACAAAGGTTGTGGACCCTCTAGAGGTCACAACTTTTGTCTGATTCTGATGAAACTTAAAACATATCTTTATATCCCAAAGATCTCGGTTCCTTTCGATATTCGCGCCCTTCAGACAAGAACTTCCTTGATTATGGCCCCTGATTGTACAAAAAATTGCATGGCAACCGCTTGTTACATTTCTTCATATCTCTGGTTAAATGATTTCAAATGATTACTGTTATTTTATAAATTTCCATAAAATGGTTACACCTTTTTGGTGATACATACAAATTTTGTCTCCTGTTAGTGTATATTAAGTATGTTGGCATCAGACACTCATATTAAACATTATATTCATATTTTTCAGTTATTAAAGCTTTAGAACCGATTAAATTGAACAAATGGCAGCTACCAGAAGTGAACACTAACACAATGGAAACAAGTGAATCCTGGGTATTTTGTGGTGGTGATATTGCAGGTGTAGCACAAACAACTGTAGAAAGTGTAAATGATGGTAAATGTGCATCTTGGTATATTCATCGATATTTACAGGTAAATAATTTAACCAATTAAAGTTGTTTATCAACATTACAAAATTACAATGAAATGTGGGATCCTAAATGAGAACCAAATCAGGTATATATTCTTACTGTAAAACTAGAAAACTGTGTACATGAGTGCATGAAAAGAAAAGAACATTTTTTATTTACAATACCTCATTTTATTTTATGCCACTTGTAAAAACTATATATAGTTGGTTGTCTGCTTAAGTAGAGTAACATCCCTTGTGGCATATCAAATTACCAGGAAAATGAAGGTACATAGCTGTAGTATACAGTGGTAATTTGATAAACAAATAAACTATATTGATCACTGTATCACTCATTTTCTTGCATATTTATCTTGAACAAACAAAATATAGCTTCAAAGTTAAAAAAACCACTATTACCGTAAACACCCACGTATAGCACGCCGCCAGAACATGCACCCACTCTGATATTCTTTGGTGTGTACGTAAAAGAACCCATGACAATTGGAATTTGAAATAAGAGTAGGCCATGGCACTGATGTCTGGGCAAAATTTCCTTCATAGCACACTGTATGGCGTATGGTAATCAAGATATCTCAATAAAACGTTGTCTTCAAACATATGCTGAATGTTTGAAATCAGTACGCATGTGCAATCCGTAACCACTGTTAACAAAACAATGTCAATAGAGTTTTTTCACACGTGTTCAAAATGGATATTAATCACTGTGGATCTTCAAATTTGGATTTAAGACTGTATAAGTGATATTTTTATAAATTATGATAAATATATTTGCATAGCTTCGTAGTTTGGATCATTATATGAGCTGTACTTATGTCAAACTGTCAGCGAAAGGCAATTCTGAAATTGGTCATACGTGTATGGGTGATGTTTTAAAAAGGACATCGATCTTTTGTGCATTGAAAGTGATGGAAAAAGTTAAAAATTTTCATTCCCCTAAATATCACGGACCCCTAGTTCAGGGTGGACAGTACAGGGGGAAAAAGTGTGTGTTAAACGGTAATTATATAATCTCATTATCTCTCACAGAGGCTAAAGTAATTATCTGCCCATATACATTTAATATTCGCAATAATTTCATGTCACATTTATTTTATTTGCAAAGTTTTCTTGCTTTACAGTAGCTAAATCAATTGGTGTGGAAGTTTTGACTTGGGGCACAAAATGATGCTATTTGTATATACTTGTATTCATTTAATTATGTTTTATTAGAGTTTAGATAATGTGAATATTCCAAGTGAACCTAGTTTACCAAACTTTTACACTCCTATTGATCAAGTTGATATCAGTGTGGAAATTTGTGGCCTTAAATTTTCTAATCCATTTGGATTAGCAAGTGCTCCTCCAACAACTACTAGTGCCATGATACGTAGAGCATTTGAACAAGGTTGGGGTTTTGCTCTTACCAAAACATACGCTTTAGATAAGGTAAGTGAAAATGTTTTTTTTTTTAATTAACAGTAGGTGAATCTTCCTATTGACGTTTTTATGCTCATCAACCTTCCACATTGTTTGTACTCTCTCTACAGACTTAAGGTTGTTGACAGATTTTCAATGATAATTAGTATGCAGTTACAGAAGATCTCTACAGGTTTGGAGGTCTATGGAAAAAATTAATTTCGGAGTTATGGCCTCTGACTGATTAAATGTAAATTAAAGTATATATATATACAGGTTTGGAGGTCTATGGAAAAAGTAATTTCAGAGTTATGGCCTCTGACTGATTAAATGTAAATCAAAGTATATTAAGGTACTGAATAGTTAGTAATGAATGGGTAGAGAGGATTCCTGTCAATTTTGAACATTTGCACAAAAATAGTTTGATAGTTATTTCACCTGATACATATTTGTCGATAACATATATTGTCATATATTACCATACTTGTATGCACTCCAGAGAGCACAGTTCTTGACTATGGATTTTCACAAATTGTAAAAATAAACTTGATCAATTTTTTAAAGATTATGGGCAGTACTTACTACTTCCATCCAAATTCTTTTAACGACTCAATAGGTCAGAGTTCTGGAGATACCTTTTTAAACGCATACTGGCCTAGTTAACTACTCATCATAGACCTGGACCCTATCAAAACACAGATACATGTATGATAATGTATCAATTTTTTACAGAGTTATTGTCGGTGCCGTTAAAATCTAGTAATCACTGAGTGACTGAGTTTGTGAACTAACTCCAAAGGTCAGAGATTGGGAAAGAATTTCAAACTTAGGTAGTTTGATAAAAAAAAACCTGACGAACTCTATCGAAATATAAATTCATCCATCAATTATTTGCAAAGTTATTGCCCTTGTCACCCAAACCTTATAATGCTTTAACTACTATGTTTTCAACTTGCTAGTATTATTTGCCTAATCATTCGATTTTTATTTCAAAATTGCTAAATGATTGTTCTATTATTCCATATAACTGTATTAAGTTTGACCAACAAAGCTTTGAAAAATTAGAGCCCTTTTTGTCAGGGATGATTTAACCATGCAGCCCATGTCCAATAATTTGGTTACATATATCACTGTCATAAAATATTTAATCGTGGATTTTACTCATTTTTCTCAGAACATTGTTACAAATGTGTCTCCAAGAATTGTCAAAGGTACCACCTCAGGTCATTTGTATGGACCAGGGCAAGGATCTTTCCTAAATATTGAACTTATCAGTGAGAAAACAGCAGCTTATTGGTGTCAGAGTGTAACAGAACTGAAGAAAGATTTTCCAGATAAGGTGGATTTTAAAATGTCATAGCCATAGAATATTTGAATAAGTGAATTAATGAAAATGCTATTTATTATTCCAAGCCATTCTCATGAAGGCTTCTCATTTTAAATTCATAATCAAACCAAAAGTATGTTTATCAAACTCAATGTTTATTGCTTATTCCAGTTTTAATTGATTTTCCAATCCAAGTTTTGGCTTTATTTCGATTTTGTTTGAATAAGATGTTTCATAATATGATTTTGTATTTTTATATGCCCACATTTTCATGTAGATGTATATTGTTTTTCGCCCCAGTACAAACGTACATCCGTTTGTCCACAATTTGTTTATGGACAGTCTACAGGTCACAATTTTTATCCGATTTTGAAAAAACTTGAAATCTAGGTTTATCTCCAAATGATCTTGGTTCCTTCAGATGTTGGCATGTATCGGACTATAACTTCATGGATTATGGCCCCTGATTGTGTTTTTAGCCTGTGGACACTCTAGAGGTCACAATTTTTATCTGATTTTAAAAAACGTTTTAATTTGTTTTTGGATAGTCTCTACAGATCACACTTTTGATATGACTTTGATGAAACTTAAAATATACATTTATATCCCAAAGATCTTGGTTCTTTTCGATATTTGCGCATATTGGACTGTGACTTCCTGGATTATTGTACCAAAAAAAATGTGATTTTAGCTTGTGGACCCTCTAGAAGTCACAATTTTTATCTGATTTGAAAAAACCTTTTAAATGTATAACCGTTATACCCCATTGACAGTTGAGTTAGAATTGCTTGAAAATCGAACGGAAACTGTCCAACAAAATGGTCGCTCCTTGTACGCAAATAGTGTAAAAGTATGTAATACCATGATTGTGGACCCTTTAGAGGTCATAGTTTTGATCTGATTTCGATAAAACTTAATATATATGTGTATATCCCAAAGGTCCTGGTTTCTTTCGATATATGTGCATATCAGACCGTGTCCTGGATTATGGCCTCTGATTGTACAAAAAATCGCAGCTCCATGTACTCAAAAAGTGTAAAAGTATGTAATGCTAAGGTTGTGGACCCTCTAGAGGTCACAATTTAGTCTGATTTTGCTGAAACTTAAAATATATGTTTATATCGCAAAGATCTTGGTTCCTTCCAGTATTCATAAATATCTGATTGTAACTTCTTGGATTATGACCCCTGATTGTACGAAAAATTGCATTTTAGCCTGTGGAACTCCCTAGAGAACACAATTTTTATCCGATTTAAAAAAACATTTAAATATGTCGCCATTACACCATAATGACAGTTGAGTTTGAAGTTCGTAAAAATTGGACCAAAACTGCCAGACAAGATGGCCCCTCCCATTACGCAAATAGTGTAAAAGTTTGTAATACCATAATTGTTAACCCTCTAGAGGTCACAATTTTGATCCGATTTTGTTGAAACTTAAAATATATGTTTATATCCCAAAGGTCTGGGTTCCTTTCAATACTTGCGCGGATGGGACCCTAATGTGGTGGACACACTAGCCGAAAGATTCGGCCGAATCAATCGACGTCGAAATTCGCCTAGTGTGTCCACTGTCATTCGGCCGAATGATTCGCCCGAATCAAACAGGTTTGATATATTCATCTGGTGTGTCTGCTTCGCCGAAGCATTCGGCCGAATATAGAATTTATTAGCCAATCACCACTCATATCGAGAAGTCACGTGATAGATTGAAGGCATAGACGCCGCCATGTTTAATCATGTGACGTGAAAGGTGATGCAATCGACAGGTTGAATCGGGCGAAGCATTCGGCTAGTGTGTCCACCCATTCAGCCGAATAAAATTTGGCGCTGATTGATTCGGCCGAACGATTCGGCTAATGTGTCCACTGCTTTACTTTCTGGATTAAGGCCCCTGATTGTATGAATAATCCCTTTTTAGCTTATTTTCTGTCCATCTCTTGCAAAATGTGGACATGTCTTGCGTGGCAACTGCTTGTTCAACATGGATTTAAGTGTGTCTATTATTTTCAGATTTTAATTGCCAGTATTATGTGTGGTTACAGTCAAGAAGATTGGACCGTGCTAGCACAGATGTCTGAGGTATAAAATACATGATCCAAAGTGCCATTTTAAATCCAGCCGGGTGTAGAATAATATCATCTATCTATCCCCAAACAAAGACAAAATACTTACTAATTCTGATTTAATTGAAAAAAATAAATTATGGGGATTGGATCTGTGCTTTGAATTTACTTGACTCGCCCAAATATTCAGACAGTAGCATGGAAAGAAATATGTTACTCTTTAGTTGATAAATATTTTTTTTTTATGTTTTGTTGAATAGAGCTTTGGTGTTACTTCCTATTTTATTTTCATTGTGGTCACTACTTGTATTTGTTTGACTTACTTCATATTAACTTAAGTAAACAAATGTGACAAATGTGAATATTGTTTGTGTACAGGCTGCTGGAGCAGATGCCTTGGAGTTGAATTTATCATGTCCACATGGTATGGGAGAAAGAGGAATGGGTTTAGCTTGTGGCCAGGTAAATAAATATGGGCTTTACGTAACTATAAACATAAACTCTTCTTTATAGATATTATAAAGGGTTTTTTGACAAAAAAATTATAGAATGAATGTGATTATTTCAAACTTTAATGCTTTGTTGCTCAAGCTACTGATAAATTGGATTATTTTTTTATATACCCACACAGAACATGATCATATATTATCACTAGCAGCTAAATTTATCATCTGTCATCAAATTTACCTTAGATATTTTCACAGTGTTTATATTCATGAAGCCTTGCATTATTCCTTTAAGTGTGATTTTCAATAATTTCTAATTACTACTTACAGTGTTATTATCCTTGATCTTATTGACAAAATCTTTTGGAGTCTAGTGTTTATGTTAAACATTCGATTGGTTCTAACATTGTATGCAATGTTCATGTTCATGAGACAAAGCAACATTGATTTCCATTAGCTTCTGATATAAGTGTTATTGTCCTTGATCATATTATAGAATCTGGGTAGGGCAACCTTTATGTACCACTCGGACAACATAACTGCCCTGTGTGTGTTTTTCGTTGCCTGACAACTTTTCTTCTGCAGTGTACAATGTCTGAACTAAAGAACTGTAGTTAGATCACTACCAGTTGACTATAAGGGCATTTGTCTTTCACAGATTTTATTTACAGGCAATTCATTCCAATATTTTCAGGACCCGGAATTAGTGAGGAATATTTGTAGATGGGTGAGGCAAGCTGTCAAGATACCTTTCTTTGCTAAATTAACACCAAATGTTACAAATATTGTTGTTATAGCACAAGCTGCTTATGAAGGTATATTTACAAACTCAAAACAGCTACTAGTACAAGATATGGCTTTAAATTTAAATTGCGTTAACAATTACAACTTTTGACCTCTCTGCTTCAAAGGCCAACTTAATTGAAATGTGTAATTTTACTTGAAATAAAACTTAATGATTCTTAAAATAGCATGCTTGTACTATTGTATTGTGATTGGAGCTTTTTAGGGTGGTGGTGAAGAATCGTAATTTTATATGTGTCCAAGATAACCCCAGGATTTTTGACACAATTGGAAATTAGAATAATGCTTTGATGGTTAGTTTGCTTGCAGCTTCCCTGATAAAACTTTGGTCATTTCCGTGAAGAGTCCTTGATAAACCTGTGGCCATTTCCATTGAACATCTATGATAGACCTGCAATCAACTTTTGAGCAATCTAGTATCACTATTCTTTTGTATAACCAAACCAGTTTGGGAGCCCTACTAGATCATGGCTTTGGAGAATGACATCATTTACCAATTTCTTTTTTGTAACTTCAGCCATTTTAAAAGTTGGTCTGAAAAAATTGCCTGTACTTCATTCGTCCATGGCATACCACCAATGCTAAAACAAAATGCAGGAGACTAAAGGGAGATAATTCTCAAATGACTGTTTTTCATTCAGGTAAAGCAGATGGTGTAACAGCTACAAATACTGTTTCTGGTTTAATGGGTTTAAAATCTAATGCAACAGCATGGCCAAGTATTGGAAAAGAACATAAAACAACTTATGGTGGTGTTTCTGGTAATGCTATAAGACCTATAGCATTGAGGGCAGTATCAGCCATAGCTAATGCTATACCAGGCTTCCCTATTTTAGCAACTGGTGGCATAGATTCAGCAGAGGCTGGTATTCAGTTTTTACAAGCTGGTGCCAGTGCTCTACAGGTATGGAATATTCTTTGACAATTAGTCTCTTTTAATTATATTGGTCAATTTTTTCTTGATCATTATTAAGGTATTATGCAAATGCACATTATCATTTTGAATCTTTTATTCAGATTGCAAGAATACCACTCTACTTTTACAGGTCTGTAGTGCAATACAAAATCAAGATTTTACCATAGTTGAAGACTATAAATCAGGCTTACAAACTCTTCTTTACCTGAAGTCCATCAAAGAACTTCATGATTGGGATGGCCAGAGTCCCCCAACACCAAAACATCAGTTAGGAAAGCCCATACCTAAAATAAAAGATATTATTGGAGAGGTTGTTATTTTATTATATTATTAGTACATTTCGGACAATAAGATTTATAATCACTATCATGATTCTGAAGCAAAATCTAATTTTGTGGTTTAAGATAAGATAAATTAACTCTTTCAATGCCAAGATCATACATGTACAATCTAAATTTATTAGTCGAAAATTGCCAAGATCGTACATGTACGACCTAATTCCCCAAGCTCAATGTACATGCCGTAGCTGCTCCACCAGTGTCGTAGTTCATTCTTCAGACAACTTGGTTTGTCTGCTAGTATTAGTCTGCTATTAGTCTAACATCAATTTCACTGAGGATTTTTAATTATACATTGTTTACAAGTTCTCTTGTTCTGTGAAGATGGCTACGAAACGCAAAGAAGTAGCTGATTTATTAGTTGTTTCAGATAGCATGGAAGACTATTTTCTGTCAGGTAATGAGAGTGAATGTGAATGTCAATACAGAAGGTGAAAAAACCTTGGAAATTTACATCAAATTTTTTGAAACGGTCTGGGTAGTGAAAGAGTTAATTTGGTCCTTTTTCAAATCAAAATTTTTAATTTCAGTGATACATGATAATATTGAAACATAACATCAATAATCAACTCCTCTCATAAAAAATGAATTATTCAATTCATATTATTTTCAGAGTTTACCATTTTTTGGAGAGTACAAAAAGAAACGTAAAGAAGCTATTGCTAATACTAAGGTTAAAATAGATCTGTTAGATGATATCTATAAACCAGAACCAGTTAGACCAGCTAATCAACCTAAAGTACCAGTACCTAAAATTAAGGTATTTTATAAAGTTTTCCCTCAGAGAATATTTCTGATGTTTGACAAATGACATCATGAATGACAAGAAATTAAAATTTAAAACTCTTGTGGATTGTTTTCAATTCGCATTAATCGATTTTATTTCTTTTACCTTTCTATTGATAGGTAGATATAGTTTTTCTATATTTGAAAGTGTGATAGCTTCAAAATGCAATTCAGTTTTCTATTGTTACAAGCACATGGTATTTGTTTACATTTTTGCATTCTTCAGGATCTGATAGGAAACGCCTTACCTATGATTGGTAGTTATGGTGATCTAGATAATAAACAACAGGTTGTAGCCTTGATTGATGATGTAAGTTTCAGCCTATTACAGGTTTTTATTTTGGCATCAAATGTTATATAAATTATTATTTAGACATTTATTTATATGACAAGCCTATAAACTCTCTTGACATCTGATGGCACAGATGTAAATGGATTAAAATACAATTTCCTTAATGATTAAATTTAAAAATGGAGAAGCAGTAGAAGCACGTTGCTCCATTCATAAACAATCTATGTCAAAACTTCAAACAATGATAATGTGTCTCAGAATGTAGTAATTTGAATGAAATTTTCAATATATTAATTTTGAATTATCTATTTTGGAACTATTATAGCAAGAACTGCCAGCTCTTTATCTAAATCTTACACAATGTATCTTTAATTTTGGTAAATGTTTTATTTGTGTTACATGATATGTGTATTAATGGTGTTATAGTATCTTGTATAATTGTTGGTAATGTTGTATTTGTATTAATTTTGGTAAATTTTTTATTTGTGTTTCAGGATATGTGTATTAATTGTGGAAAATGTTATATGACATGTAATGATAGTGGATATCAAGCCATTGTATTTGATCAATCGACACATTTACCTCGAGTAAATCAAGATTGTACTGGTTAGTGTTTCCTTCACATATACAATTAGAGATTAACTGTGTATACATGTAAATGTGATGTTTTAATTTAAAGAAGAAAAAGATAAGAGTTTTCTTAAATATATTCAATGCAATTAAAACACAGATCTAAATTTCTTCCTTTATATTTTAACATATTATGTGGTTAGGATCTATGTCCCATATGAGCTAAACAGTTTACATTTTTAATGTCTTCAAAGTGTGGTAGATTTTAAAAACCACTTGCATTATTAGATTATGAAAGATAACTATTCAATCCAACCTTAACATCATCTTGTGATAGATAATACCACTACATTTGGTCTAACAAACAGTAATATTGTAAATATTTGATGTATTTTTTAGGTTGTACACTTTGTGTGTCTGTATGTCCAATCATTGATTGCATAACCATGGTTAAAAGAGAAGTTGAGTATGTACCTAAAAGAGGAATTCCTCTTAATACCAGTGGAGTCTCATCTACAGCTGCTATTGTTCTTAATACAAATTAACAAAAAAATTCAAAGTTAACATTGTATTTTATGAAATGGTATGTGAAGTATGATACAAATCAATCTTGTCAAATTTTTGAATAGTACCATTGAGATGGGGATAAAACATTTAATTATTTAGTTTGATTAATTGATATATGATCATCTTTTTGTATACGGTATGTTGTCTTGTCTATTTCTTAAAATGTTGATTTTGTTTTTCTGATTTGTTGATTAGTATTTTAATTATTCATAAACTATGACAGCATCACCATTTAAATATAACTTGTTAGGTGGTATGAAGATAAATATAGAAACATTTAAATCTTTCATTATTGTGGGTTATAGTAAAGATGTGTATGCTTTAAAGACGTGTTTACGAATATAAAGTAATAATACATTGATAATCAAAGAATTCTCAAGGGTACACCAGTTAACTCATCCCTCCAAAATATTCATTCATTTTGTTGGTTATGGTTTAATTTATATTGATGTAAAAATCAATCATAGTTTTATTTTTGTTATTGGCATACACTTACAATTTTTAGCATTGGTTACTTACATTTCATTATCTTATAAATTGTTATATTGTAAATGATCTTGTCTATTCAATGGTGATTGTGTAATTAAAGCTATAAATTAATGTGCATTTTGTGTTTTTTCCCAAAAACTCTCAGGGACATTTTTTTATATGCCCACAGTGAACACTATATATAAGACTACAGCAAATTTTGTCATTCAATCCATTTAAAATATATGTTGTTTACATTAGTGAGATGAAAAAGCCCATGAAATTTCAGTGATCTCTAGTAATAACTTCCAGATGAATAATGCTTGATCACACTGTAGAATGTTGGGAATGCTCTTAGAACTAAAACCGTCTGCTCTAAAATTTATGCGTTATTTAAATTACTAAAACAAAGTAGCATATCAAATCTCAGCAATTTCTGATAATATTATAATTCTGGAATGATAAACCTGTTATAGAATCTTGTATATGCTTTAGTTCAACAAAGTTTATCACATTTTTTTGTTTTCTTTATTGGGATAAAAAATGTTTCAATTTACTACTATTTCTGATAATTGCTTCAAGAGTTATATTGATAACATCATAGAATCCAATCTGAATAAAACACAGATCCTATTTCGTTTCTTTTTTTATAGTTCAAAATTTCGTTTTACTTTTTTTCACAACACTAGGATCTGGAAGAGTTGCTATATAACCCACGTTCTGGTTGAAGTGAGGGATTAGCCAATGAAACCATCTGTTACGGTGACTTCTTGGCGTGCAATGCACGGAACTGTGGGTAAACCACTAGAAACGTCAACACTGATTGATTAATCAATGTCTGACGTCATAGGGTAAAAAACTGCTTGTACGACCCCTGGCGCGACATTCCACTAAAACCAGTCCGATCTTCATGTAGTGTAGGCCATCGAAAGTATGAAAAAACAAAACGAAATATAAATCTGTATTTTAATCAGATTGCATAGAATCTTGTCAGCGCTCCAGTGATATTTAAAGTATAAAGATTTTATCAAAAGTGACAACCTTTATGGACTGCTTGGACTTGGCTGCTGTGGGCATGTTGGTTGTCTGGCAGTCTATCTTCATAAAAAGTGTCTCTTTAAAAATTGTCCCTCCGAACCTCAATAATTTTGCCCAAAATTTAATAAATATAATTATGAATGTATGATCCTATGAAATTTAATTAAATGCCTCTACAAAGTGTGCCTTTCTTTTATTATTGGTATTGAAGAATTTACTATTGATGAACTATTTTCTTCAGAATAAATTTAGGCATTTATAATGTATTTTTTGTTACAGTATTATTATAGGCCTATATATATATATATATATATATATATATATATATAGGCCTATATATATATATATATATATATATATATATATATATATATATATATATATATATATAATAAATCTATTTAATTGATTCCTTACAAATCAAGTTTTGATTATTTTAGTATGGAAATTACTTTGGTTTTACAAATCAATTATCAATGCATGATTGAACCATTTTGATATTTAATGATGTTATTCCTTATATAGATTGACTTCGTCATTAATATAGGTATAGTATATTATGATGGATATGACATTAACTTTAAGTCTTTTCATATTTAAATTAAAATACACAGGAAATGTTGATATGCAGTTGGTGTCTTCATTATACATGAATGCAATTGGCATCTTCATTATTACAGGAATTTTGTATGAAATTATTGAAATATAATTCATATTTAATGTAGGCCTAGTGTACTTACCCTAGTCTACTCATTATATAAAGCTACCATTACCATAGTAGCATAATAGTATATTATGTCTGTATTATTTGATCACAATTTAATGGCATAGTTAAAATAGTTACACAATCAATGAGTGTTTGTTTTTGGTTTTTTTATAAGCTTACATCGGCATTTATAAATTGGTCATCTATTAGTGATCTATTATATATGCACACTTCATTGTGGGTTCTGACTCTAGTCTAGAGCACACCATTCTTTGTCTGGGCACTTCTCTTAGTCTTACTTTAGTTTGATTAATTTTAAGATCTGTAGGCACTGAAGCCTACGCATAAATTTTCGTAATGTTAAAGCTAACAGTAACAGTGTTAGTAACACCAACTGTAACACTTCTTTGCACCTTGGCCTTAGACATTTCGTCTGCTAATATACGAAAATAAAATTTATATATTTATTTTCATTTTGTCTTTTTTTGTCAAGCTGTTTGATTTTTATGAACAAAATGTATGGATTAGATTTTTTAAAAATATATTGTAAAAATTAACTTTCCTTTGAAAAATCGTTTTGGATAGTTTGCTGCATTGATGAATAAAGTGGCTCACGCGAAGCCTACGAAAGTGCGGCTATATTTCTGGACAAAACATTTCTGTTGTAAACACTACTACAGCAACGAGCTGTCAAATAGATAAAGCATGAGAATAATATATTAAGTACGCGATCTTTCAAATGTAAATTATCTCTATATTCAGAACTACTTGATAGCGTGTTAGCAACACATTCATAGCTTTAGTTCCTAGATAGTATTTCAGGATATTGATATAACTATGGCTGATATAGATTAAAGTTTTAGTGCAGTCATGCCGAAACTTGGGAGACGGGTAAGATGAAACCGATCATTATTTTATTTATATTTATTCTTTTTGGTTTAGGGCTCAGGGCCCGCGACATAAACATGGACTCTAGCGTCATTTTGACGTATATCTTCGGTAACTGGAGATCACAGAAACTGCCAAATTAATGTAAGCCTAGATGTACATTTTAGTTTTACTGATTTAATTATATAATAATCAGATTATGTACACGATTTTGACAGGAAATTTTAAGCAAGGAAGCAACATTTGGAAAAATAAAAGCCATCACATAATCTATTCAAAATATCAAGAGAGCGAAAACGCATGCATGATCACTGGCAGCAGAGCAACGATTCTGGTGTGCTCACATGTAGGCCTACTGTTATAGTGACCTACCCGGACTTATAGGCCCAAATTACCTGCCGTAGTCCAGATACCTTAATTGACGGTGACGAGAGCCTGAAACGGAACGAGGATGAGCAGGTGGCTTATTATAGTTTTTAATTGACCAATTTCTCTGAAAAAATTGGACAGACAGAATCCAAATATAATCCTTCCCACGGCACTGGTAGCCTACCCACATTCAAAAAAGTCACCATTTTTTTTCTACATTATGATCAGGTAACAGTGTATTCTTTTTGTTAATTTATACCAACAAATTTTTTAAAAAATATTACTTGGCCCCTCTAGGCTCCCGGACAAGGGTCCAAGTTGTCCCCGCCCACATCTCCTCTCTCACAGGCCCTGTTAGGACTAGTCAAGATCCAGTCAATAATAGGTAGACTATTTATTTAAAGATAAATTAGTTAATATTTTAATAAAGAGTTGGTCATTCTTGCTATAATAATTGAATAATTCAAAAATAGATGATAAAAATTAAAAGAGAATATTGAAAATTTCATTCAGATTACTTCATTCTGAGCCAAATTATCACTGTTTGTAGGTTTGACAAGATGTGTGCATAGTGGTAACAAGGGCACTGGTATATTCGAGACTTAGCCTCGCTTTCCCATTTTTAAATTAAATTTTTAAATGGCGAACTTTTCTAATCTAGTTCAAATCTCGAGTATCCAATGCCATTGAGAGTTGGTTATGGTTTTGTTTTGTTAATATTATATCTAATTATAATAGTTTATATAACATTTCAGGCCTAAAGAAAGACCTGCAATAGGCAGATTTTGCTCTTGCATAATGTATGTTTAAGTTTAATTTTGACTATCCCCAGTTCATCGAATCAATAATTAATTTATGTCGACAGACAGATTTTTAAATCCGTCTGTCACACTTTTTGGGACACAATAACTCTCCTTCTAATTAAGCTAGAATGTTCAAACTTGGTGTAGGTGTTTATTAGATGAGCATTTTCTGCTAAGGGAAAGCAGAGATAAGGAATTTGATTGGTTGATGCTTTGGGACATGATAACTTTAGTTCTAATTAAGAGAGAGTGATGAACTTTGGTGTATAGATTCATTACATCAGTACCTTGACTAAGTTCGATAATGAGCATTTTCTACTGAGGGTAAGCAGGGCGACAAGCAATTTGATTGGTCAAGACTTTGGAACACAATAACTCTCCTTCTAGTTGAGATACATGTAGAATGTTCAAACTTTGTGTAGGCGTTCATTAGGTGAATGCCGTAATGGAGTTCGAGGATGAGCATTTTCTGCTTAGGGTAAGCAGGGATAAGCAATTTGATTGGTTGGTGCTTTGGGACACGATAATTTTAGTGTAGGCGTTCATTAGGTAAATGTCTTAATCAAGTTCGAGGATGAACATTTTCTGCTTAAGGTAAGCAGAGATAAGCAATTTGATTGGTTGGTGCTTTGGGACACAATAAGTTTAGCTCAGTTAAAGTGAGAGTGATGAATTTTGGTGTATAGTTTCATTACATCAATACCTGGACTAAGTTCGATAATGAGCATTGACTGAGTTCAATGATTAACATTTCCCACTCAAGCTAAGCAGAGCTAAGCAATTTCATTGGTCGATACTTTGGGACAAGATAACTTTGATTCTAACTGATGGAGAGTGATGAAACTTATATTAGTGTATAGCTTGCAGGATGTTCACCTGCCCCCACTGCAACTAGCCATCACAGCATACACGGTACCTTTGCTCCAGCCTATGCTATAGTATCCTAAACAAAACTCCCCAATATTCGGGGACAATTTTGACAAACAGTGAAATTATGCCACTTTAGTGATTAAACCAGTTTTAGTTTCTAAAGTGGAAATTTAATAACTGGGACTGAATTATTGGTTGACTGAGAGTGGCAATGTAAAATCTTCCTGGACAACAAGACATCACAGCAGTATTAGGGAGAAAATATGTCAAATTAAACATGCCTTCTACTACCGCTGTAATTGTTGTTGCAGCAAAGCGTTGTCAACTTATTGCCTTGGCCACTTTCTACAAGACACAATTGTTGTTCAGCACTATAGTAGGAATTTATAACATCATTGGATTGCAGTGTCAAGTCACCCTTCAATAATGAAAAAAGTAAACTGTATCTCCATTTATTGTTTTTATATTCCCACATGGAAATGTGGTCGTATATTGCTGTCGCCTTTGTCCGTTCGATGGTCGGTCAGTTGTCCACACTTTCTTGTATCTGCCGATTTGTATGAAATTTATACATTGTGTGCATTATTTAAATTAGTAAAATGAAAAAAGGCTGTCGAATTTCAACAATTTTTGTATATTACTTACAGAGTTATGGCCCTTGTTTCAGTTTGTAACACCTTGTGATTGTGATCCCTCAAAGGAAGAAAATTATAATCTGATCTGTATGAAATTGTCTTGTAAATTCCCCCCGTTACCTTGAAAAGATTAAATATGCGACAACCCTTGTTAATCACTCAGATGATTTAGCTGCTGTTGGCGTATGTTTCGTTGCCTTGCAACCTATTTTATGATTATTTGGGCTGAAAAAGCTGATATTCTGAATTTTAGCTCGATTAAACTAATGGTTCACCGCGATATGATCCATAGCCATTGAATGTTGGCACTTTCAGCCAAAACAAACTTGGTCGGTAATATTCTAATGACTAGAGCTCAGTAACCAATTGGTCAAAATAGCTGAAATGGGTATTTCCAGAAAGGTAATTCCACAATTAATTCCAAATCTGCCAAAAGGGGAGCATTATCATAACAATGTTGGGATTAAAAAAAATGAAAATATAAATGATTTCATTGCATAGTCCAAAATGCAGGAGTCTTACCCTGGTCTTTGTTGTATGGCTTTTATAAGGTCTGATGGCCATGGTAAAGTCAGATAGATGTTTTTTTAATTAGTTTTCAGACATTTCAGAGGTTTTTCCCTCCCAAAACACCTCGCATCAATCATCAGGTGCATATCTATGTTGTTTTTTTTAAATTGATACAGACAATATAAAGTAGAGAATATAGTAAGTTGGTGAGAACACCAGGAAAAATATTATTTGAGGGGGCTGAAATCGATGAAAAAACTGCCAGGTCATTTTATCTCAACAGTAGGCTAGATTAATGAGCAGGTATATGACACATTTTATCTCCAAAAGCACTGTGGTGTTAAAATGCTATAATATTCCAATAAATAAAGAACAGCGGTGTTGCAAGTTTCCCCTCGTTGAAACTCATCAGATAGCAAATATGGTATGCTTTTTTTGTAAAACTTTGTCATGAAATATATTGATGTATCACTTTTTAGTCTTTTGAACACTAAGAAATATGAAATAATTTTCATAGGAAACCCACAAACATACTATTCATTTGAATTTATACCAGAAAGACCCCAAAATAGGTGCACAGTAGCGAAAAAAGAAGCTGTGAATAGGGTTGGAGTTGGGGGGGGGGGGGGTCCAAATCAAGGGCACCATCCACAACCCCACTCAACAATGAATGTCAACAAAATACTGACTTGAACACTGTCTGAGTGCCCTGGTAGAACATAGATTGTATTGCCTTTATAGTTACCAATCTTATCTTGCCAAAAAGCAGTTTTATTCACGATGACATAAAGTTTGTGCCATAAGATTGGAAAATCTAAGTCAATATCTTGGCTTTTGAGGTCATTACTGGGAGCAAATTCTTGTGAACGAGAGGATCAGAAATGGGAGTCAATGGGACAAAATCTTGAGATCTGCCTGTCAGACTGTTTTGTAAGAGTTAACAGAAAATGTGTACAGCCTGTCACCCCACAGTGGTATTACTAACTGGGTGGTTAGCTATAACTATGAATAAGATAGTGATGAGATAGTATAAGACCACAGAGGAGTGGAGGAAGAATGATGCTATAATGGAATAGAGCGCTGTACACGCGAACAACCTTCAGATAGCAATGTATAATAAAAGCATTTCATTTTTGGGGGCTGGGCCTAAATTTCCTGGTATTTGAGTTCATTGGTGGAAGCAAATTCTTGTGAACGAGAGGATAAGAGCTGGGAGAGAATCTCGAGGCCTGCATGTTAATTCCGCCTGTTTTGTGAAAGTTGACAGAACATTTGTACAGTCTGTCGCCCCACGGCCCACTGACTAGTGCTACTACTAACTAAGTGGGCGATTCTCTCCAACCATGAATACGATAGTGATGAGAGAGTAAGACCACAGATCAGAAGTGGAAGCATGATAATATAATGGAATCAAGTGAAAAAATTTCAGACAGCTTCGTACTGTGCTGATGTTCCCCTGAAGTAAGAACTACTCAACTGTCTAAATATATGTAACTTCAGTATGAAATAGTGGATGTAATTTAATATATGATTGACAGTTTCAGGCATTAGCTCTGGTACAGTTGAAAAAAAAACCCCAACTCAAATACAAATGCTGAGTGCAAAAAAGTACTGATTTATCTAGATTAAAGGGAGTTAAAGTCAATTAAAAGGAGTGAACTACATGTTTTGATAAATAACCAGAGAAATGTTTACAGGTTTATTAGATAATCCTGCCTTTAATCATAACTTAAAAGTTAATCATATGAAAGTAGAATAATATTAAAGGTGAACTTCCATAGTAAACCTCACTTAGTTCTTCACGTTATTACATGTTTCTCTTTCACATTCATTCAATGGCTCCATTCTTGCCCTAATCATTTCTTTCAACGATAAATCAAACATTTTTCAATAAAGCAGAGTGTTGGTTTTTATTATCTATTTTGTCTATTGTATTCAATATAAAAAGGTTTACGCTTGGCTTTCAATAACATATCAACAATAGTTTTGTCCCCTTATTAACCATAGTATTATTAGCCTAGGTACCACTTACAGTTGCCTAGTGAATGTATTATCTAGACAAACAATTCAGAAGTACTTTATCATAGCTAATTAAATTCAGTGTGTTAGTATTTTGTAACATTTTTGTTTGTTTTAGATAGAGTTTTATTGTATACTATTTGAAAACATTTATCTTTAAGGAGTGTAAAACTAATTGTTTGTATGATTGTTCGAGATTCCTTTTGTTTAGGTTATTGTCAAGACTACTTAATTGCTAGGGGAAAAACGTATATTTACTTATCTACTGTACTGTTACATTGGTTCATGGTTGGATTAAATGTAACACATAATTTTATCTGTACAGTTTTAATAGTTTATTTGAACCAAATACCATAAGAGTAGTAACAGATATATTTGGGTTGTAGGTTTCTATGGATGGGGGGTGTTAAGATATCAAATAGCATAAAGATTTTCCACCTTTTGACATAGAATTCAACAAAGTGGTATACTTTATATTTCTCAATAGTGCTTTCTAGAGTGTATCCTTATCTTTTAGCTTATAACTTATCCATTCCTCAAAAATGATGTAAATTCAAGAGGTAAGCTTATCAATTCATCAAAAACATGTAAATTCAAGACTAAAATAAACGCCCAAACTATCTGGCATGCTCCTTTTTAGTCTGCCCCTGATATTTTTGGCAGTTATTCAGTCTTTCAAAGATTTGAATGGTCTATGAAAAAGTAGGATCAAAATTAATTCCTAGATCAAATTAGATGGATCTGTTTTAGATCAACATTTCACCGGGTTTAAGGGAACAGAACAACTATTCTAAGAGTAAGAAATTTGTAATAAGGGTCTGAAAATTTTATTGTTTAGAAAAATAACCTATCAATCATTGAATAAAGATCAATCTGATTATAAGTAGCATCAAGATTGGTAAATCAATAAATTATCCTGCCATATTCATTTCAAAATACTCACTTTATGATCACAATACTATGGTAACCACAAATGGTATTCATAAAATCTATAATTGTTCTTATACAGAGTTCAAAATTAATATTTTTTAGAGTAAGTCCTGCAGACTAATAGTAAAAAAGTAATATTTTCATGGGTCCACAACAGAAAACATTACTTTGAAATTATGTGTGGGATAAAGCACAAGACTAAGGTTATGCTGGGGAAAAAAAGACTGAAGAAAATAACTTGGGAAAAAGAAAAACCGAGGTTTATTCTGAAGTCTTTCTTCCCCAGCATAACCAAAGTCGAAGACTTTACCTTGCTTATAAACCCTCTATGTTTAAATGTACTTAAAATGAGAATATCCCAGAATTCCGGTAAGAAAAACCTTATATCATGATTTCTTATGGAACCCCACCCCCCCCAGCCCTGGAAGTATAACCCGCTACAGGTTTAAAGAACAACTTTCAGAAGAATAACCCCAAATTCCCCTGTGTATATTCAAAGCCGCCCTGACTTTCAGGCTGCAAATTATTCCGGGCATAGAATATACCCCAAAGATCAAAGAGATTTACCGTTATAGCTTTATAAGTGCAGGCAATCAAAAAACAATTTAAGTGATCTATGTCTGTATTTAACATCAATATTCAAAAGTTACAAAGTCTTGGAAAAGATCTACGATGTTGGGATATGATACTTATGTTATAAGTTATTGGAAAATACTTAAAAAGTATTAGGCTGTCAGTCTGCTGCTAAACACAGTCAAAAATGTTTTTGGCCTCCGACTAGTAATGCTAATTTCAAAATCTGGTCTTATCAATATAGTTCAAGAAGTATTATTATTAGCACATAAAATTAATCAAAAGAATTGGGATGTGAGTTCAGATAGTTCGTACCTCTTCTCCAATCTGTACTACTAAATATTCAGAAAAAAAATCTAAAAAATAAATAAATCTAAAGCTTCTGAGATTGAACCATTTTGCATTACAATCAAGAAATTAGTGGGGATCCTCACCCAGTTTATAACCCTCTTGCTCATATCACTTCTACAAGCCCCTTAATTTTTCTTTAGATCAGCATAAACTATTATTACTAAGACAACACATTGAATTTTGCTTTTCAGTGGCGTGTCCTCTTTATTTGTTTAAAAACAGATTTGACTATGTATATTAATATTATCCAAAATTTGATGTCAAGGAAATTTGGTTACATCTCAAAAAAAAATTTTGTACCCAAAAACTAGAAATCAGACAAAAAAAAACGTTATTAATAACACAATCTTAAACAGAACATTACACAATACAATTCAATATTTATCTCATATCTAAACTTGAGATTTTTGATATTAAATTTGGATGTAACATTGACGAGAAATTATTTTGAGATGTAACCAAAATTCCTTGGCATCAAACTTTGGATTATATATGAGCATTAATTCTGAAAATTCAACAAATTTTGTTTGAATTCGCCTACTCTCTGACAGGAAACTGAGAGTTTTTTAAATCCAATTTTGCGTATAGATATAGTGATACTTTGATTGGAAATCAGCTTGTCAGCTGTTTTGAACAAAAAAATCTTGAAAATTTTGTCATTGACACTTATTTCTGAATTATTTTAATGTGTGATTTATTTGAATAAACTAAAGTGTAATATTAATAATAGACTACAAACTAAATTATAACATAGAGCTACTACCTTCTACACCCTTAATCTTCCAATTGTTATATAAATTATGATCTGTGTTTAATAATTGTATGCTTATAAGTTATATATACAATAGGGATTAGCCAGTGTTAAAAACATCATATCAAATTACTGTGTAAATATAGAACAGATAAGGTAGACCCCTACCATACAATAATTATTCATTTCCCAGCAATACTTAAGTACTAATGTCAGGGATTACTGAGTGGTTTTAGGATAGAATTACCTCCCTGTTAGAGTCTCACACCTCTCCATGGTGTTATTATAAAGACAACATTAAGCAAATGGCGTGGGTCTGGCCCAGCTCTCCACAACCTCCTCATAGGAGACTTAGAAAAGGGGTTAATGAATTGGTCAGTTTTTACCATGGAATGGATGAATCAATGATTAACTGATTATACAAGCTCCGTTGATTAACTTTCTTTTATTTATATTTTCAGAGTGAACGTTCGGGATTTGAATTAATCCAAGTTCCTTTATCTTTGCCGCCACAAGATGGACCGTTTGGTACAGATTATACACCTGTATTTGCTTCCCGTATTGTTGGAGGGGTACATGTACCGGTATTGGAAAAACCGTATAAAGTGTAAGACAACTTAATGTTAATAATTAAAGTGACCAGACCTTTTTGATTGAGCCCAAAATAAAATGTTTGATTGGATTGGATTTTACGTGTTGGTTTGTTATGTAGGATAACAGTGTTACTTTTATAGCTAAATTCAATGTAGACACTGCTAGCAAGCCAATCTTGAAACTAATAGTAATACATTAGTAAAGATGTTGACTTACTGAAAAAAAATATTTAATCATGCAGTTTATCCCACCACTACAGTAATAAAGATCAACTCAATTCTGTACTTTATTTTGATCTAAATCAAAGAGGTTTAGCTCCTTTAATTTGTAACTTTATTATCGTACATCATTGTTAAAATTACTACATATCCTTTTCAATGCAAAAGAGCTTTAATATCTAGGCTAGCTACAAGAACATAGCTAAATACGTTGCGATATACTGATGACGTGATGTGTTTGTTTTCAGCTATGATTGGATGCCTTTAGTTTCACCTGGCATACTTAGTTTAATAAGTTAATTTTATACTATTAGGACTAATTGAATACTGCCTGAATACTGTCAGACTGCATTTCCGGCTGTCTATTTTTAAAAAATTCTGGGAGAGGTCCCCCATACCCTCCCCCATACTTTAGCGCTCATGACGGGGCTTCGTCGAGGTTGCAAGTCCGTTCATTTGACACTTTCCACTCTGGTCGGATAAACTAGTGGTCAGGCGACAGGTGGAATTTATCTTGACGATCAGTGCCTGAAATACTACCAGACTGCATTTCCGGCAGTCAATTTTTCATAAATTTCTGGGGAAGGCCCGCCATACCCCTAGTTCAAGCTTGCACCTTTGCCCCCTTAACCTTGGACTTTACCCCAGCTTTGGCCCTCCTACCACAGGCAGCTGGCGCCGCCACTGCCGGTTTAATGTAATGAAACAACTTTCGTTTATCTGCAAATATTGTCAGTAAAGTTAATCAAGCAGTGTTGTTAAGAAAATTGGACTAGCAGTCCCTAATTACGGATTGTACATTTGTCATGCGCAACCCATAAACGTTCTCTACTTTCGTGTATTTTGATTGGAAATTGTTGTACACAACATATACAGGCCACGAAATTTCACGCGAACGATACCAATCGGTTACGTGCAGTCACGCCAGCTCAAAAACATGCAACCGATTTCCTGGTTACACAAATTGGTATATCGGTTATGTTAACAAATTTCATTAACAAATTTATTCGCATTTGATCAATTTTTATACAGTATGACTTTGTGACACAGGTCTAAATTATTAGTATTATAGCAGTCATTGTTTTTTAAGCCGAGCGATCGCTCTCGAGCACCCACCGCTCACCTGAATGTCGACCAAGGTGAGTTTTTTTTCCCATCCTCTTAAAACTGAAAATCGCTCTCCTTTACATAGTCATAGGGGGTTCATCATCATTTATGAAACCAGGAATGACCCCATTACATGCAGTTATTGATCTTAGAACCATTTCCTATGCACATACCGTAACTAACCACTCTCCTTAATAACAGATCACTCTCCTTAATTTCTAAATCACTCTTCTTATCAAAACTGGGAGAGTTTTTTGAGGGGAGCAATGTTTTCAATTCGCTGATTCAGGGGAGCTTTTTTTGGCTCTCCTCTAAAATACGAACAACAACGACTGCTATAGCACAAACTCCATACATTCATTCTTGAATATATTTAACTCCGGTTTCTTGACCAACGAACGTCAAACCTATTCTGTTTCAAAATATCGGGCAAAGCCATATTTTAACGCTTCGATTTAAATGAGGTGATTTGTACCTGTGTCCCGTAGGATTATATGCTTAATTGTTGTTGGACATGGCAGAAATGTAATCAATCATTATTTTGAAAAAAAAATATGACAGTTTTGCTTATTGAAGTACGCTTATTTTATTGAAGTACTGTGTGAACAAGATACAGCAGGTTCAAGAGATAAAGCTTCTTATCTACAGTCTATGTTTCCCTAATATTTACTTTCATTTAATGGAAAATAAGGTGTTTATATTATCAGAAATATGATGGACTATAATTTTTGGTATAACTAGTAAAGTTGTATTGATTATACAAATTATGAAGGTGCAGTTACACGCATAAACTGTTGAACGGTGCTTTGGTAAAATATGTGGGTGAATTATTATATATTATCAATCATTATATATTGGTAATTAAGACAAGTAGGACGTAATAAATAATCTCAGTAAGGACAAGCTGAAACATGAACAAGGCTAGTTTGTTAATCGTAATGCTTAAAGTATATTATGACTAAATACATTACATTGATAATCTTATTACATATAACTGCTTTCAAATTGGTTAATACCCTTTCTACATTTTTCACCTATATTTATAGACAGCAAAACTTTTAAACCCAGTCATATGCCATAACATTGTTTGATAACAGCACTAAAATTTAAGGAGTTAGTATGAGTAAAACTGTTTCGTTCAGGTGATGGAAAATATTTTTTTTAATGAAATTGGGTTTAACTTTCTACTTAGGTTGCCAAATGGTTAGCGTGTGGGCATTGGATCATATGGTCTGTTACTGAGTCAAGTGACTTGGTTTCAATTCCCTGCTTGTATGTGACAAGGATCAGGATGACCTGTCCAACCTTGTGGGTTTTCTCCGGGTCCTTTGGTTTCCTCCCACTTCTAAAGACCCCTATGTACAAGCGAATTATTGAAATAAAATTGAACCATATGTTATTCCCGAAATGACCAGTTTGTGTTGAGTGGATTTTAAACATATTTCTATTTCTGTCTGTCTGTAGCTATAACTGGGAAATGTTGCCTGGACACTACTCTTTTTTTCAAATTCCAGCTGTAAAGGGTCCTTTTACTTGCGCACCAATGTGTACACCACACCTCTTTTTTTGTACTGTTCTGCACCACTGACAAGGGGAAACTGCTATAGAAAATCAAGAGGAACTTCTCTGCCAACACTGGAATCAAACCCTAGACCTCTTAATAGTAAGCGAGCCAGAATCTTACTCACTGAACCACTGTTGCTCTCCATTTTCTAATGACGATCACTATTAACAAAAATATTTAATTTTATTCTCTAATTAATTAATGAAGATCTATAAGCATTGAACAATTTGCAATGTTTTCATCATGAAATTTTAAACACACAAACAAAACATTTGTCAATCGTGAATCTGAAACATAATGAGCTGTGAAACACTGCAAGAGAGAATGAAAATGATTTTTTCTTGGTCATCTTTCTTTGTAATGTTCGTTCAGATATCCAAAATACAACTAGAGAGCAGAATTTTCTAATCATACTCTCCCTTTAATAAAAGCATTTATGCATATAGCTTGTACGTAATAACATGATTTTCTGAACCAGAATTGCTATTAAAACTTACTTTCAAACTAATTTTTTAGTGCTGGTGATATAAATCGTTCATCTCATACAGAGCCACTGTATCCACTGGCAGAAAAACCAAACTATATTGATCCTAAAGTGTTAAGAGAATATTCAAAAAAATTTCCAACCAATAGAGCAGTGAGTATAATTTTTTCAGTGATATTTTAAGAAAGTGATTTTAATCTTGGAATGTCAAATTTTCTGATTCCCAAACAGAAATGTTGGAATAAAGGTAATTATTAGTCCCCTGTTGTGATGTCATTATAGTTTATAATAGCGTGTCCATTAATTATAGAAGGAAATCGGTAAATCAGAAACCAAATTCGAATGGATTAGATTATGCAAAAATTCAAGTTCATACGTTCAAGACTTGTACCACAAGTATTAGGGATTTTGTTCCCTATCTTTATTATATATAATATCTATTTTTCTTTCAGTATCCAGAACAAAGTTTCTTTGGCTTACCAACCACTTATTCCAAGAGGCCAGATTCAAAAGATATCAACCGCAAATATCCAACACTACCTCCCATCAATGCCAACCGAGTCCGCAACATGGACATGTCCACAGTTTTTGAGCCCGAACCCTGGACAAAAAAATATAAATATAACGATGGATTATTGTCATCCAAAGGCAGTGAAAAAAATACAAACTCTAAGATGGATGAAGTGGATCAAAAAGAAGATAAACCTCTATTTTATGACCCTAGAAATAAAGCCAGTCTTCAACAGGCTCCTAGTTTAATATCACCTCGTAATGCTTACGAAATCAGATCTGATCAACGCAAAAGTCTCGAGCACCATTCACCATCCCCACCCCCTGCACCTGCCACTGTACATAGAAATATTAGAGAGGAATTATTGAAATATTTACCGAGAAATGAGTTTCTGCCAGAAAAAACAATTCGATTGAACGATGATGATGAATGGGAGTTATTAAAAATTTTAGGACAAGAACTGGAGGGTGAAGATCCACTCAAATTACGACATGTATATATTAGCATTACTAAAAATGGAGATAAGCAGTTATGTGGCTGGTGTTCCTATAAATCCCTAGTTTATGCATTACAGGACTATAAGGTAAATAAACTAAGCTAAAATTGTGTATACTATCATTAAAGCATACATGATTTTGAAGGGCTTTCTTTAAAGTAGCGATATTGTTATTACTTTATATGATAGAGAGAGAGAGATGAGAGGAAGAGAGAGAGAGTTTAACATCCACTGGACACAAACTAGGTCATTTTTGGACCAACATGGTTCAATATTATTTCAATAATTCTCTTGCACGCTGGGGTCTTTACCCGTGAGGGGAAACCGGAGAAATCCCACGAGGTTGTACAGGTGACCCTACTTCTTGTCATATACAAGCACGGAAATCAAAACCACCCCACTTGACTCAATGACAGACTTTCTGATTGAACAGCTCATGTTAATTACCAGTTAGCATTTTTCATGAAAATTTCATGCATATTTAAAATTTAGTATGATTAAAGACTGATAAATATTGATGAATCATATAGCCTTGCATAGACTTACTGCCTCCTTAAACATACATTATGCAAGAGCTAAATCTGCCTATTGCAGTTCTTTCTTTAGGCCTGAAATGTTATCAAAATTATTAATTAGACATTAACTGACTTATCCAGACCATAATCAACTCTTGATGTCATCGGTAGCCTGTGAAATTTACTGGATTAGGATCTGGTTTGCTGCTCAACTTTCATCCATAATTAAATCATGAAATGGATAATCGAGACTGTGCTTTTTATTGTCCCGACTTTAGTAATGATGATCGAGTCTAGGTCGAAAATCCAACTGCTAAATTCTCGGTTCAGAGTGGATCAATTTGACTGAAATTTTCAGCAAATACCCTTTACATTATCTAATTTTTAACCATTATAGTGCAGAGGTGGATCTAAGAATTTTGAAAAGGGGGGGGGGGGCGCCACAAAATAAGGGCACTGACCGAGGAGACGTGGCACGCCGCTGGGAGGGGGGGGGGGCCCCAAGAAAATTATCTGTCATTTCCTGCATCTGTAGCCATTCTAAGAGCTATTTGGCTGATATTTTCGTTCAGAAATCGTTGAAAAAGAGCCTTAAAATCGAGCAAAAAAGCCAGTTGAACACGCTACTCGAAAATGGTCAAGGCGAGTGAGGCATTATGATGGGAAAAAAGACGAATCTATTCCCTAGCCACTTCACTATTTAAGCCTTTAACTTGTACTGTTCACACATGAAACAATGCTTCATCAAGTTGCACTAATGCACGTCTGTGATGGGCATGAGTGTATAGTAGTATACGCCGCCGATTTCACAAGATGCTATCATTGATGTCTGTCTATAGTCACTCTATAGTATTAGGGCACCGTCAGCTAAACAACAAGAATTCGTTTGAAAGTGGAAGCATTAATTACACCAGGCTGGTGTGTTTGAGTCGATGGCTTGAGTTATTTGGGATCCCTGCAACGGGTTGGGAACGGACATATTTGGGTCTGAGAAAAGGCACTTTCAGCAGTAAAAAAGGGCACTGTCGAAAATTTTTTTTGGGGGGCACACCCCTCGTGCTCCCCTTGGATCCGCTTCTGTAGTGAGAACTGCCAGCTCTTTATCTAATCTCCGATAATCTATCTTTAATTTATGTAAGGATTTTATGGCTCTATGATGTGGAAACATAAAACCTATGCTCCCAGTATTGGCTGCTTTAATGTCAGACTGTAGTCTCATTTCTTATATTTTCTTAAAATTGTGAAATAAAGATGGAACAACCAGTTTATTCAGAGTATTTTATATTTCAGGTGAATATATCATCTGATATTTTAAGAATAACAGCTGGTTTATTTATAGATCCGGATAGAGAACCACAAAATGTCAACTATGAAAAATTTCTCTCATTTGTTGGAGCAGCATTAAAAAATTTTGGCAAAAGGTAACGAGAATTGTTAATAGTAAGCTTTATGTAGATGTATTATAAATATATTGTAGATGATCAGATTATGGTATATGTAGATGTATTATAAATATATTGTTGAAGATCAGATTGTGGTATATGAACCCTGATCTACAAATTGTTATTTCTTCTCCTCAATTCTCTGGCTTTTGCAATCGTAACAAAATGTTTCTATTAGCTTTCCCTTCAAACTAATACAGCCCATGAGGAGGGTCATATTCTGTTTAGGGTTAATCAGTGTTTTTAGTTGTTTTTTTTTAATATGGGGATTAGGGAATATATATATGGAACCAGCCTTTGCCACTGAGTAAGCCTCCATGTATTTTTTATTTCCAAGTCCGAGAGCAGGAAGATATAGTCCAAATGATTTTACTTTGATAGAAGATGACAGACCCGAGTATTTTGATGTAAAGAGCATATCACCGTAAGTTTTATTTTATTTTATTTTTTTTATTTGAATCAAATATGATTAAATTCTATTTGAATTCACAATTTTAAACTAATCTAAATGTATATATGTAACTAATAATTAAGACATCATATTTTAAGAACCCCAGAAAACATTTAACATTTAAGAATAATAATTTTGACAATAACGGTATCTAGAATTTTCAATTTTGTGGGACTGGCAAAACATAAAAATAGTTAACTGAGCAGGGTATTGTATTTGTAATTTTTCTCATTTAATGAACTGTTAAAAATTTATGTACTTTAGCCGTGTAATAAAATTTTCTGATGTATATAAGCTGGCCTATAGACAGTGTGTGTATGGAGGAGGGGGTGGGGAGCTTGTACTTGCCTGTAATCTGTATTCGATCCAATTTTAAGCTGCTTTAGCATTACATTTGTGAAGAAAAAAAAAATTTGAGGGGAGTTAGCCACCTGAACTCTTATTTATAAGACCCCAAGCCACCCTTTCTCATGACTTACAATTTGCAATTACATGTACCTGGGCAATATTACATTCCTAAATCTGTGCAACCGCTCCCACCCCCACTGCCTCTGTCTTCTTTAGCTGTCTACGATCCTTTGTATAAGACAGTGCAGCATAACTGTCCAGCACAGACAAGTGAGTGGCAAACCCTTCACAATGTGATAGTTTCCTTTTTTATTTCAGCCGGGCACAAAGTATGGAACATATCTTTAATGATAGAGAAGTTACAAAACTGCTACGAATGACAGAAATGCAATTAAATAACCAAGGATTCAGAATTGATTTTGAGAAATTAATAGCAGATTTCCAATTAGCCGACAGAGAATTCAGAGAAACTTTATCAGAGCATCAGGTAATTGCACATTACAAGATTCTGATTTGATATTTTATACCAATTTATTTCATGATTATGACAATAATAAAAGAGAACATAATAATATAAATATGTAGCCTATATAAGTAGTCAAATAATTAAAAACCCTTTTCATATTCAGACTTGCTTTAATATCTGTTTCAGATCAAAGAAATATGCTATGCATGTCATCTTCCCCTTACAGAATCTTTAATGAAACATATATTACATAGATGTCAAGATCTTAACAAGGATGGACAATATAAGTAAGTGAGCATTTTCAAATAACAACTCTAACTACAGATGTATATATCATTTTTGTCCATTAATGATATTTCCTTAACAATTCAGAGCAAAATTGTTTAATTTGAAAATTAAATTTGTTGTCCCTCTTACTTACGAAGAATGCAGGGGTCTATTAAAATGGGCCTGTCCGTACTTCCGTCTGTCCTTTTGTCTGTCTTTTTGTGACACGATAGCTCTCCTTCTAATTGAGGTAGAATGTTCAAACTTGGTGTAGGTGTTTATTAGCTGAATGTCTTGACAGTGTTCGATCATCCACATTTTCCACTAAGGCTCAGCAGAAACAAGCAATTTGATTGATTGAGACTTTGGAACGATGACATTGTTTCTAATTGGGTGCAGCGATGAAACTCAAGAGTATAGATTCATTACATCAATATGTTGACTAAGTTCGATGGTGAGAACTTTCTGTCTAGTCTAAATTGCGATAAGCAATTTGATTGGTCCAGACATTAGAACATAACAGCTCTGCTTTTATTGAGGTAAGACTGTTTAAACTTGGTGTTGATATACATTAGGTGAATGTTTTAAAGTTGCAATTTCATATTTTTACGTTATATTTTTAACATTTATTAAAATAAAGCCTTAAAATAGATGGTATCTATAAACAGTCCTACCTTGTTCAAGAATAATCCTATTAATCCTATAATTCACTATTGCCAGTTGAGAAATTGGCAAAAATATCATTTTCCTCTTCAAATTCAAACGTTTGAAAATCGCTACTCCTTGGTGGAGAATATAAAACAGGTAATTCTGTTATTATTTCCGGTGTAAATGAGTTTTAAGTGTGAGAATGACACCTATGATCGTATAATAGTGAGTTGACAACCTATTGAGCGAAAGACACAGAAATAATTATGTTTTGACTTTCTTAGAAAATATGAAATTGTAACTTTAAATGAGTTCAATGATTAACATTTTCCGCTAAGCAGAGCTAAGCAATTTCATGATTGTTCGATACTTTGGAACAAGATATTGATTCTGATGGAGAGTGATAAAACTTAGTGTATATTTTCACTACTAAAACAATTACTTCAAAACCTTGACTAAGTTCGATCATGAACTAGGTATGATAATCAGTTTGATTGCACAATACTTTTCAAAATGATAAATGTGCAATCAGTTAATAGCCTATGTGTCATCTATTTATTTTGGGATTGCGGCGGGCGACATCAGCCTCACTGTTGGCTTGTTCATGTTGAACCATATTGACAAAATATATTTTGAGTATAATATCGTTGAAAAAAGTATAGGTGTGGGTGCTTTTGGTTTTGTGCAATGCAATGAAAGCTTGATTCAGATTAATCAACCCTGAGAATATTCCTATTTAGGCCAACTGTTTTTATCACTTTTAGTTGGATCAAGTTTGTATATTTCCTTGAGAGAGTACAGCCTTCCAAAACTGGTTTATATATTCCCCGTGGTAAGAGACCATTAGATTATGCTAAACATGTTCCTCAACCAACTACAGAATGGCCAAAACCTAAAAGCCCTGGTTTACAACCTCCATTGTGGAGAAGAGAAGAGGTAAGTCAAGACATTATAAATCAGAAATAAGTGTAGGCACATGGAACATTTTAATTTGTATCCGGATTCTTACATGTGTTACCTGGATTGAAACACAGAGTGAACAAGAATCTGTATACCTACCACTAGTGACCAGTCGTATTAATTTCAACATTATTTTCAATTATTTAACATAACAAATTAATATATTTTGTCAAACAATAAACTAATTTTAAAGATGATTAATTAGTTGACAGACTAATCATTGTTATTGATGACAGAATACTGTTACAATTATCTGCTATTTAAATTGATCTGTTACTTCTTTGTTTAACTTAAAAGCTGCTATTCAGTCCTAAGTTTAGAAAAGGCAATGCAGTAGGTAACATTAATTTCAATACATATTTATAATGTCTCTTAACTTCTGCTGGCACATAATTTGTTGTTATATAGTACCATATTTGTTTTTGGGAGGAAGGATATAAGATGTTATGCAACTTATGCAAGTATAAGCAGTTTTTTTTAAAATCTTCAGGTAGTTAAAAGTAAAACACCAGAAAGAATACAACTACACGGTCCTCAATCAGATAGAGGTGAAGTACAAGGTAGCAGAATGGACATAGATAGAATGGATAGAGAACTTAAAGAACTAGAGAAAAATTATGAGGTATGATATTTCAAAATCATTATACAAGTTATATTTTTTAGTATATATTTAAGCCTGACATATATTATAAATTAGAATATTTTATAATAATAGGTTATGAAAAGAAATTTGAAGGCAGATGATTCCTCACCGTGGTTTAAAAGATTTATGGAGTTAGCAAATGCTTTGTATGGACAAGATGTCTCTAATTCTGGTTTGTACTTTTGTTAATTGATATATATGTCTGCTTATAAAAGGCCTATATTTAATGTGGACGTAGGTTTTTGGCACCTGCATCTGTCAGTCCCTTGTGAACGTTCTACATACAGTAAACTTCGCATAAGTCGGGTCGAAGTGGACTGACCAATTTTATCCGAGTTAGACGAAGACCGAAATTCAATCTCAGCAAGATTAGAAATAAACTGCAAGAGCCGGATAATAATTGATTCAAAGGCACATTTCAAGCTTTATTCATATGTGCAAGTAGATGGCTTCTGTTTTGGTGCGAGTAGATAACTTCCGTTTTGTAGCCATCTTTGAAAAATGTCCTAAAATTTCCTGGAAAGTATCTCATACAGCAGACAGCAAATTTCAAATTTTCCAGGAAAATTATATTATTGCGTCGCGTCAAATATGCTGATTTGAGTCGATATGATAGAGGAAAGTATTTTGGGGCTCTGTGCATGAAATACCTTACCACGTTTTAGACCATTGGAACGAAACTGAGAGTGAAATTCTGAACATACTAGGATTGCTGCCGTTCTGACTTAGACGAAGGAAAAAAGCCGGAATTAGATCAAATGGACCAAACATTTTGATCTGAGTAGAGCGAAGATATGACTTAGGAAATCTGACTTATGCGCAGAAATTTAATAAGAAAAACGTGCAGTATCAAAGGGTCCAAACGATCTTATTCGAGTTGAGTGAAGATCCGACTTATACGAATCCGACTTATGCGAGGTTTACTGTACTACAATCCTAGTCAGATTTTTTTTTCAAAGAGCAACCACTCATTCAAGCACTAATGATAATGTGAACAAAGTTTCAAGCGCAACTAAAGTCGGTGATAATGCAGAAGATAGTTTATGTCATTTAAGAATTAAACAGTAGTACTGAAAAAGTGTCGAAATGTGAATATAATTGATTTATTCGTAATACCTGAATTTTAATTTTTGTTATATTATACAGGTTTACTGCCATATGATGATGTTTGGAATTGGACCCGTTTACATAATGAAGCTTGTAACTTAAATATACCAGACTATGTGATATCCAAGGCTTTGGGTGAAGCATCGCAAAGTGGAAAAGTCAATATTCATTATTTCTTGACCAAACTCGGAAACCGAGACTGGTAAAATATATGTAAAGATGGTGTTTGAAATTAAATTTAATTTAAACTAAGCTTTCCAAAATTTTGTTTTCATTACTATATCATATTTTGTTATCATTGTAGATTGTAATTTTCTCCTTATGAATATTATTTAATTAAGCATACTGTTTGATTTATTATATGGTTGACATTGTTAAATCGCCACACAAAATTTTTAATTTGTTAAAATCAACATTGCCAGAAATTCAGTTGAATTATTCTTATAATTATTGTTCAATTGTATGAATTTAAGCTATAAATATTGTAGAGTTGTATATCCTAGTCAGTACTGATAAACAAGTGTACTTTAGTTAATCTTTAGTTTAAATCTATACATGTATTATTATTTTTTTCCTTCTGAGTAAGTGTCGATAACTTTTTACACAGATTCTAAAATTCATGTGATTCCCTTGCTCAACTAATTCTAGAATCTTTTTCTGGGAAAATGAAAGACAAAGTTTTAGTATAACATGTATTAAATCTGTTGTGCTTTATAGCATAAGGTTGACAGCATTATTTGCTTATTGTCTTCCAAATGAAATGTATTTGTTATTTTATTTTTACTTTTTATGATATATGTTTTCATTTACCATTAGATATATTTATATTTCTAGCTTGTAGTTATAAACTTTCTCTTATATAATTTTACTTTTAAAGATTTAAACTTTATATTATAGTTTCAAAGATATGTCTGTGATACAGAAATCGTTACTCATACTATTCTGTCCATTTATTTATTAAGTGTGTGTATAAATTACTGAACTACTACATGTAGATTGATATATATTACTAGTATCATGTTTATCTTTCGTTATTGTTTGTATCTCTTATTAAATATTTGTTGCCATTAAACTCTGTGAAAGGTATTTTAATCATTTATTCAACTGTGATAGTTGTATATATTTTACGCTAAAATTTGTAAAAGATTAAAAATGTTAAAATGTTGTCTACAGTATATTATGGAATTAATAAAAAATAATTTTCTTCATATTGCTTTTTTATACGTCCACATTCATAATGTGAACGTATTATGCCGTCGCCCCTGTCTGTGTGTGTGTGTGTGTGTATGTATGTATGTATGTGTGTGTGTGTGTGTGTGTGTGTGTGTGTCTGTGGTTCGCCTACAGGGCGCAATTCTTCATGGATTTTCTTCAAACTTGGTATACTTATTCCTTATACCCCAAGGAAGATCCCTATTGTTTTTGGTGCATGCCCGACCCCCCGGGGCAGAGCCACGCCCATTTCTAGTATTTGTTTGTTTGTCGTCTACAGGCCACATTTCTTAACTAATAATCTTGAAACTTTGCATACACATTCTTTGTACCCTAAGGAACATCCCTATCGTTTGGGGTGCATGCCCAACCCCCAGGGGCAGAGCCACGCCCATTTTCTTTTCGTGTGTCTTTGTGTCGCCTACAGGGCGCAATTCTTACTGGATTTTCTTCAAACTTGGTATACTTATTCCTTATACCCCAAGGAAGATCCCTATTGTTTTTGGTGCATGCCCGACCCCCAGGGGCAGAGCCACGCCCATTTCTAGTATTTGTTTGTTTGTCGTCTACAGGCCACATTTCTTAACTTATAATCTTGCATACACATTCTTTGTACCCTAAGGAACATCCCTATCGTTTGGGGTACATGCCCAACCCCCAGGGGCAGAGCCACGCCCATTTCCCATTTTCTTTTCGTGTGTCTTTGTGTCGCCTACAGGGCGCAATTCTTACTGGATTTTCTTCAAACTTGGTATACTTATTCCTTATACCCCAAGGAAGATCCCTATTGTTTTTGGTGCATGCCCGACCCCCAGGGGCAGAGCCACGCCCATTTCTAGTATTTGTTTGTTTGTCGTCTACAGGCCACATTTCTTAACTTATAATCTTGCATACACATTCTTTGTACCCTAAGGAACATCCCTATCGTTTGGGGTACATGCCCAACCCCCAGGGGCAGAGCCACGCCCATTTCCCATTTTCTTTTCGTGTGTCTTTGTGTCGCCTACAGGGCGCAATTCTTACTGGATTTTCTTCAAACTTGGTATACTTATTCCTTATACCCCAAGGAAGATCCCTATTGTTTTTGGTGCATGCCCGACCCCCAGGGGCAGAGCCACGCCCATTTCTAGTATTTGTTTGTTTGTCGTCTACAGGCCACATTTCTTAACTTATAATCTTGCATACACATTCTTTGTACCCTAAGGAACATCCCTATCGTTTGGGGTACATGCCCAACCCCCAGGGGCAGAGCCACACTTTATATACTTATTCTTTGTACCCTAAGGAACATTCCTATCATTTGGAACATCCTTATCATTTGGAGTAGGCCCTACATGCCCAACCCCCAGGGGCAGAGCCATGCCAATTTTCTTTTTGTGTGTCGCCTACAGGCCACAATTCTAAATCGATCATCTTGAAACTTAAAATACATATTCCTTATACCCTGAGGTTGGTCCCTTTTCTTTTGGGTGCATGCCCGATTTTGGGGAGATAACTCCATTTAACAATGTCAAACTCCATTTAACAATGTCAAACTGACGTGATATGCTTTAAATAGTTGTCACCCATGTAACATTCGGGTTTTTGTGAGTGGTTTCTGAGAGCCTTTGTTCAACTTATTTTTCAGAACGCTTTGTAAGTGTTAGAAGTATTTATACCGGTTATTTGTTGACGTTTCAAACCACCGTTTTCTCCCCCTTTCCTCCCACTGCTAAAGACCTTTTGGTACTGCAATGACAATGTCTCTCTCTCTCTCTCTCTCTCTCTCACACTAAATAAATTATAAATTCATGTAACTGCAAGTACATGTGCGTTTTCAGGATGTACATTTTTAAAAAGTCTTATGTTTGGGTGTCATTCGTTATTATAATTTAGTACCAAATTTATTATTAATAATTTGTCTTTTAAGAATATTAAGTACTTTTGTCAGATTGGGATTTAATTTCAGACTTCGGTTTCACTTGGTTCGGAGGAGATAACTCCGTCTAACAATGTCAAACTGGCGTGATATGCTTTAAAGAGTTGTCTCCCATGTAAAATTCGGCGTGATATGCTTTAAAGAGTTGTCTCCCATGTAAAATTCGGGTTTTTGTGAGTGTTTTCTGATAGCCTTTGTTAAACTTATTTTTCAGAACGCTTTGTAACCAGAGAAAATTAATAAGTGTTAGAAGCATTTATGCCGGTTATTTGTTGACGTTTCAGAACGCTTTGTAACCAGAGAAAATTAATAAAAGTGTTACAAGCATTTATACCGGTTATTTGTTTGGGTGTCATTCGTCATTAAAATTTAGTCCCAAATTTATTATTAATAATTGATTAATAATAAAAATAGCAAACCCCAACGGACAGTAGAAATTGAAAAGTTTAGACTAGATCAAATTACCACAGTTTACAGTATTTTGAGAAATGCAAATGCATTTGACATGTGTAGACTCCAACTATTTTTTCATGACTTTGGCAAGGTTAAGTCTATTCATTTCGTTTCGGCGAAACGTCCGGTACCCGATACTTCTAATTTTAAGCGGAATACAAAACGTGCGTGAAACCAAGGAATCTCAGTCATCAAATGACACTTTCCTTATTGTACATCATTCGCAGTTTGCACTTTTCGGCAGAATTGGAATGTGGACGTATATTGTAGCGTTAGCGTTATGTTTTCCCTATACATTGGAAGTACTCTTTCTAAAAGTTGATTAAAGATGCATTATGTAAGAAGTAGATAAAGTGCTGGTCGTTCTTGTTAAAAACAGTTCAAAATTAGGTAATGAAAAATGAATATATTATTGAAAATTTCAGTCAGATTACTTTATTCTATAGGGGGGTTGGATGGCCGAATGTTTAGCACATGCGTGCTGCATCATACGGCCTGTCATTGAGTCAACTGGCGTGGTTTTGAATCCCCGGTTGTACGTGACAAGGAGTAGGGTCGCCTGTCCAACCTCGTGGGTTTTCTCCGGGTCTTCCGGTTTCCTCCCACTGCTAAAGGCCCCTAGGCGCAAGTGAATTAATGAAATAAAATTAACCATATGTTAGTCCCGAAATGACCTAGTTTGTGTAGAGTGGACTTAAACCTTAAACCCCATTTCTCTCTCTCTCACTTTATTCTATGCGAAGTGACAAGTTTTGACAAAATGTAATGTAGATTGTTTATTATTGTGGCTTTGGTGTGAATAAATGTCTGATTAATGATTTATATAATATTTGAAACCAAACGAAAGATCTGCATTAGGTAGATTTAGCTCTTACATATAAAGCAATTTTAACAACTTCTTGCAAACAAATTTGAAGATTTTGGTCACTTAAGGGTGATAATAGTTGAACCACTTTCTCTCCTAGACAGAAATCAGGTTTGCAGAAAATCCAGTAACTCAGACAATTTTAAAATAAAAATCGTAAAAGAATAATAGGACTGGAAAATAATCATAATACAGAGAATTCATCAGAAGTTAGTCTTTTCCATACGGTAATGAATTAGAGAAAGCAACTTCTTGTATGGCATCAAGGTGTTAACAATTACAGGGGGACAACTCCGTTTAAAACAGCTCTTTGGATAAGAAGGTCAATAAGGTATTTCAGTAGCAGACGAAATTTTCCATTTTGGTGATGATTCTGTTATATGTTGTGCCTGTTAATGCCTATGATTGATATATACATAATAAAATGAACAGATGATATATCGATACTTGAAATTATAAGGGACGAACCTTTCAAACTTTTACTGGTAATTGAAGAAACATTCTCACCAGAAATTAATTAAGGAATGACAATATTATTATGACATTCACTGATTCTTCAGTGCGAACATTTTTCTTTTTTTAAATTCAAAGAAAGACAAAATTTATATTTCTAGTCTAGATCATGCCAATCATTGCGAAAAATCTTGTATTTTCCCAAGCTTAGTTAGACCAATTTGTATTATCTATGGTTAAGGGGACCTATTCTTGGCCTAAATTAAAATTATGTAATATAATATTGAAATATGGCACATTGCATGAATTGAATTATATATCTTCAATTCATTTCAATAATAATAAGTAATGTAAGCATGCACTTCAATCAAGGCAATTCGATGTTGCAACACGGTTTACTTTTTAGGTTGAATGGCTTCAGTTCAGATTCAGTTGCGAAAAAGCACCAATATTCTGATAAAATTATTAAAACAATTTTATTGCTATTTTTTTCGCCTAATAATCTGAAAACAAACATAACATTTGGTTGCTTATAAATTACTGCCCACCCTGCATGAGTCCAAATTACACTTACCTTACATAGACATCCGGTGAATTTTTTAACAAGGTGTACGCGGCAAAACTCACATCAAGACATAATCCTTTACTTTTAGTGGCATTTAGTGATTGGAAACATTACAGAACTAAAACAGTTAACTTATATATGGGATAACAATTACTGGTTTATTATTTATAAACCAGTGATTGTTATCCCATTGTGTTAGATCTCACATCAACACCATGGTCTCTGGTAATATTTAAATGAGCCAAATTATTTCTGGACTACTCTGAAGATCTTGTTACATTGCTAAAACACAATGACATTGCTTTGATATCCATTCCCTGTTACTTCTGAAGTGAAAAGATATGTATTTTCCTACTTTGCCATTTCTTCATAGGTAAGAGGAAGTGATGACTAACTTCTGACAGAAGTTCAATTAATGCACCAGACTACAGCCTGGAGTTCCATATTTTAATATAGTATGGTTGTAAAAAAATATTATGGTATTGGTATTATTATACTCTACTCGCTGAACAGAAAATGCCACGTTACCTGGGAATCAATTATTGGCAACAGGTAATAATTGAAATAAAATGAAACCAAGTTTAGTGTCCTACTTTTCTGCACCAACATGCAAATGGAGATGGGCATATATATACCATGTATTTTGCCTGGGCAGAAACATTTCCACCTTCTTCAGATTCAATCTGCCAAGGGTTCTTTTATGTGCATGTTTCTGTGTCATCTGAATAACTAGACACTTTTCTTTACCAGGTCCCTCCACCCTGCACCACTTACAAGGGGAAACTAGGCTGGAGAATCCTGAGGAACTTTCTCGGTCAACACTGGGATCGAACCCACGGGGACCTACCACCTACCGGTTAGTGAGCCAGCACCATACTCACTGAGCCCCCATGATATATTAATTAGAATATATTTACTTATATTTCATGAAGTTGTTGTATAAGCACTAGACTGTTTGGAGCTGATGTAATCTGTGATTTAGAACTGTGTGTCTGTTTGGGTAAGGGCAAAAAACGTTCACAGATGACAGATCTCTATATACATATAGCCCTCCCTTTTTTCGGGCATTACCATGTCTTACTCTATCAGTATCATTAAAAAAATAAGGGATGAATAAACTTACAAATTAATAAATGTTGGAGAAAATTTGCATGCAAAATAGTTTTGTGCATTACAAATAATTAATAATACACTGTTAAAACTTAAAGAAAGATGTATATTACTAGAACTATTTATTATATAAACCCTACAAACCTCCCCGCACTTCATAAATAACTGTACTATTTCAAGATGCAGCTCTTGTAACTTGATTGTACCAGTAGGTGATGAGTAACAGTATGACACTTATCACATTCACAGCACAGTAACAGCTGAAACTACTGCTCACTCTAGCAACTCCGGTGGTTTGATGCGGAATTGGGAACCGTAGTATCGGACGGTTTCGAAAATGAGCTACAAACTCAAAGTACAAAAGACCATACACTTTTCTCTATTTCTTTTAGAAACGGGGTACGGTAGTCAATATTTACATGTTCCAGGTGCTGTGTAATACTGACTAATAATACTTTTTATTTATTTTACTACTTTAACTTTAAGGCAATTGATCAAAGAAGAGAATTCTACAACCGATCGTTATTGACCATTCCTCACTATTTGGAACAAATTGATTTGTACGTTCATCAGGGCACCCTGAATGGTTTTTATGATAATCAAAGTTAGTATCTTTTCTAACTTCAAAGAAATTACCTTATAAAAACACAAGGAATAACAGGTTTATAAAATACTTGTCTGCGATATCACCCCAGATTTCAAGTCAAGTCAGCTTATAAAATTAGCCTTTTCTTATTAAGTATATTATAGGCCTATAATAAATTTAGAATTGAATTCAAATCTGAACATAGACATGGGCTTATCAGGCCCGCTAATACACCCCCCTACAGAAAAGTAGTCAACAAGTGAGCAAGTTTTTAAAAATTCTAACTAGGTTTTAATAATTTTTCCAATAATCACTCTGTCCAGTATCACCTTCAAAACATAATCATGGAGATAACACTGTGGTTTACCATCCGAAAATTCTTAAATGTGACACTATCTTTTTTAACTCGGCACCCGTTAGTGTTGCTTTTTTTGCTCCATTGAACTACCTCCCCAAATTTTAAATCAGCATTACATTGGGAATTTTGTCATTAGCAATCACAAGCATTAACAGTTCTTTTCCATAACATAACATTAGATTTGTAATTTTCCTCCAGGTATAAAAGGTTTGAACATTTTTGAAGATTATGATGATGATGATAAGTTTAGAAGTTTTGTGAAGATCCCATGTTCTGAAAAATATGACAAAATTGAATCTTTCAAGGACACAGGGTTAGGCTATAATATAGAGTTACATGTATTGTTTCTTTTGAAAAATTTAACTTCCGAAATATTTCTTGTATTTCAAAACTTATAGAATGGAATTGATTTTTAATCTTGTCTAGGTCATTTAGAGACTTAGCTATTTCCTTGTAAAATGAATCATGCCCAAAGAGGACCTTCTTTTTTTTCATAACATATAAATGGCCAGACAGATACTTGTAATATACTTGATCATGAAGCATATTTTTGGTGTTTTTTGTTAAAGAACAAACTGCATTTATGATGAAGACGAAATCGAAATTATTCCTAGTTCCAACCCAGAATCACAGAAATCTACACAATGGGATTCCTATAAAGATGCTTTAGAAAATAAAGAAATTGATAAAGAACATGAAACATTTCAAAGAGAGGACTTAGAAATATTTGATGCGATGTTTAAAGGTAATTTGTCAGATTATTTTTCAGGGAACCTGATAATATGACAGATTAAGCTAAGTGACAGCACACCATACTGACATTTTCTCTAAGAAAGATTCTTTTTTTCTAATTTTACATCACTGAATCAGCAAAAAACCATGAAAGAAAATGCTGGGACCATGATAAGATAAGAAATGGTTTTATATGGAATTAATTACTAATGAAAATTTGAAATCATATTTTTTCCAGATAAAGATATTCTTGAAGAGGTGTTATGTATCGAAAGTAATTATAAAGTTAAATTACCCCATTTACATCAGCTTGCTGGTAGACTTCAACCAAAGAGTATTAAAGATCCACTATGTAATAGCCAAGGCCAGCAGTATATAGAACAAATGATATTTGAGTTGGTATTAATTTCTCTTTATCTGTCATATAATTTTTACATTAAAATTTTTATGAGAAAACTGCAGTGGAATGGTGGCCATTTATCATTCAAAACAGTTCCTAAGAGAAATACTGCAGATAAACCATGGGGATTTTCTTCCACTAGAAGATCTCAATTAAGCTGCCATCTAATATAAATTAAATTAGCCTACAATACAGTTCTGTTATTATTTTTTCATTTTTTACATTCTATATTGAAGTATTGTAATCTAACCAACTTTCTATCAAAACAGTGTTCTGCCAGTTCTATATCAATCAGTTATAAAAAACTGAAGCATTTGTGTATTTTTAGGTATGAGCTCAAGCTAAATAACTATGCTGAAAATCTGTCCATCAAAGCAGATATCTGTGAACATAAGGAAACATTTAATAAACTAAAACTAGAAGATGGAGAGGTAATAATAGATGAGTATAAATTAAATTTGGCTACATACACTTTTACACTGGTCATTTAATTTGCTATGCCCACATTTAATGGGAGTCTTATATTGTGTGACTTGTATTAGTTCTTTTAGAAGTTCTTGCCAACACATCACATGGAGGAATTGTTAGCATATTTGGTAAAATTTGTCAAAATTGGGCATTCTCTTCTCAGATGTTCCTGTTTTTGATGAGTAGTAGAAACACTCATGTAAGTATGTAGGATTAGCCAACATTGAAATCAGAATATTGTCTTTAGAACAAACATAATGTTTAAGCCTATGAAAGCTTTAAATCTTTAAACATTTTCTTTTTAGAATGATTTAGAAGAACTTATTTCTCGGATAAGTTGTAAAGAAGACAATTATATGAATTCCAGTATACAGGTTTTATTAGAGAACAGTCAATCAGATTCACGGAGTCCAATAAAGTCTAATCTCCAAATATGTGGTATACATTATACACATTGCTAACATCACTAACTATATATGTTTTTATACGCCCACATTTTCATGTGGACGTATCGTGGCCCCTGTCCGTCTGTTGGTCTGTCCACAGTTTGTTTGTGGACACTCTACACTGTCTAGAGTTTACAGGTCACAATTCTTATTGGATTTTGACGAAACTTGAAATAAAGGTTTATCTCCAAAAGATCTTGGTTTCTTTCGATATTGGCATGGATTATTGCCTCTGATTGTACAAAAAATCACGTTTTTAGCTTGTGGACACTCTAGAGGTCACAATTTCCATCTGATTTTTAATAAAACATTTAAATGTATCACCGTTACACCGAACTGACGTTTGAGTTCGAATATCTTTATATCCCAAATATCTCCGTCCATTTTGATATTCGCACATTTCAGACCATAACTTCCTGGATTATTGTCCCTGATTGTACGAAAAATTGCGGCTTTTTTTTTTTAGCTTGCTCTCTATCTATCTTTTGCAAAATGTGGGCGTATCATTATCACAGGGTCACTTGCCTAAATTTGAAAATGCTATCCAGGCATATTTAATTACTGTACTGAAATCTGATTGAAATACAATAGCTTTATTCCTAGTGAACATTAACACAATCAAAGTGCAGATAATTAGCCAAGTGAGATGATGTTGTGAGCTGCTACCTATAAACCATACATGATACCCCCATCAGACAGCGGCGGCAACCTTACTGCGCTGCTAAGACGGCGGAAAATGGGCTCAGAACGCGTCAAGATCGTTATAAGCCTTGTAAAAGCGTAGTGGAAACGCCAGATATCCTGCTGTGGTCTCCATGGTCACAAATGATCGCCGAGTCATTGCTTTTTGTCTTGAGTAGGTTCAAAACAGACGCCAAGATTCTGTGATTTGACCTGGAAAGCTGCGAGAACGTGACTTTTTTTCAAGTTTGTAATTTTTTTTGACATTTTCTCGCCTTTTGTTAATGTTTGCTGGTGACCTAATTGTGCATTCTCTGGTCGCTGTACTGTCGCAGCAGCGCAGTAAGAACTCCACCCTGATCTGACGGGGGCATGAGTGAGTGGTAGTTATCATTCAAGGCTAGGTACTTCAGTGTTATGGCCTACTTCAACCCAGCTTGTAGAGACTTGCAATAGAATATATCTTGCTTTGTGAGTCTGTACTCCAACCTCAGGAGAAGTTCTTGAAGCATCTTTGAATCCATACCTAAAGCATTCTCGAAGGATCACACATACACACAATTCCCCCACCAGACTTGTGTACTGCAGTAGAGCAAGTCGCCTTTCAAACCAAGGCCAAACCCACAGAGTTATCTGTCATTTGGTCCTCTCTCCTTTCTTCTTTAGACTGAATAACTTGGTGCATCACCATGTTGTTTGCAGTTGAAGTTGCCAGTTTATTAGCTGTGGTAGTTGATAACTATATGATGTGACTCCTAAGACTGTAGTACTGACTTGGTCCTATATCATATCTCCTGGACAGCAAACCGTGAAAAAACATGAACAAACTTGTCCCTGTCAAGACAAAGCGTCACATTGTACACTTACTATGGTAAATTGTCCCTGTCGTAAACAGTCCTTGGTGACCGTATAGTGATATGTATTGCTGTGAGTTACAGGAGGGCTGCCGTGACAGACACTGGCTCCAGAAATGTTAAGGTGATCCCCGGTGATGATAAGATGCCATGATGGATTGCTTCTTTGTCATGGTTTGTCCCACTAGATGTAAATATTTTAAAACCACTGATTATGGTTCAACACGGTTCACACCTGTTTCACTACAGTTTCCACTACGGATCCCCATGGTTGGCTCCGGTTTACTCACAGTGGCTCCCCTGGGGCCAAATACCGGAAAGGTGTGGCTAGGACTTTACATTATGTAGAAAATGAGTTTTAATCCACCCATTTAAATTGAATATATATTTGCTTTTGCAGAAGAAATGAAAGAAAAATTGGTAACAGCTACAGAATGTATAGAAAATGGTTTTGGGGGTTCCAAAGAAATTATCCAAGAAAAAGAATTTAGGGAAATTAATGAAGAAGGTGTTTGTTTTTTGCTTGCATGAAACAATGTCTACATTTCACTGTAATGTAAAGTTGTTGATTTTCAGTAGTCATTATACAATTGATTAATTTGAAATATTTTTATTTGTCCCTTTTCTTCATTTAATCACAATATATCAAGAAAAGTTTGGAAAAAGACAGATTTTGTTACCGTTAGGAACATGCCGCCTAATGTTTAAGATGAACATCTTATGTTTGACCCCAATAGAAAAATGAATTAGTGGTGAACTTAATCTCCAAATGTATACTAGATTAATGCTAATCATCTGAACTGATAATATATATATCTCAGTTTATATTAATTATTAATATTTCAGGTAAAGTTCAGTCTATCTGTTTAGAGGATGCCCTGATAGAATCACCATTATTTGTCACAGAAAGCATGGATATACAAAGTTACACAAAAACACAACTGTGTAATTTTGACCATATTCACTCTTTTGCAATGCCATCACTTAAAACTATAAAGTAGGTACTGTTATGTGAACTTATACCTACTGCTTGCCTGAACAGAAGTGAAATGAAATGAAATGGGCTAACGTCCTACTGTTCTGCTCCAAACTGGGCTAATGAAGACGGGCATACGCCATACAGTGTGCTATGAGGGAAATTTTGCTCGGAAACGGCACTACTACCTACTCTTATATCGAATTCCAACTGTCAAGGGATCTTTTACGTGCACGCCACTGTGTACATGGGACCTTGTTTTTTTGTCCCATCTGAATGACTAGACAGCTGTCCTTGTCAGGTCCTCCGTCCTGTATCACTGACAAGGGGGGGCCACGTCGGAAAATCTGGATGAACTTTGTCGGCCAGTGCAAGGATGGAACAGCCAAAAACCCGACCCCTAGGCTAGCGAGCCAGTGTCTTACCCACTTACCCAACTTGCCTGAATAGCCATAAAAGATAAGCTGTTACTCTTCTAGTTCAGTAATGTATCAATATTTGTTTTTCCTCAGGTTACTTTTGAGAGATACAGAGGAAAAGTTCTTATTAAAGAAATTTTGGCAGCAAGAGAAATACCATGATGAAGATGCATGTATTCGACTTCAGGGTAATCATTGATGTTACAGTAGTGTTATACTGTACAATTAGTTAATTTTTAAGTTTGTATTACAAAAGTCTTTCTTGGTCATCCTAGTAACTTTGCTAGAGCTTTCAATCAGATAACATCCATCTACATCAACAACTTTTATTAACATAACGATTTTGATATAGCTAATCAATGGCTTACACAAGCAAGATATTACCTACACACTTCATGTTTATAAGATATTTGTACCCCAAACAAAGATTTACTAAGTTTTTATAATAGCTTTGTTATATTTCTTATCTAGTTCCAGATGTATCAAATGGCAAGTTGAATGTCTATAATGCGATGATGGAAATGAAGACGAGCATACAAATAACCAAAGAAACAAACTTAGGAGCAGCTGAATTAAAATTGTCATGGGATCCTTTTCCCAAAAATGTATGTTGCACCAGTACATTTGATGGGGACAAGCTGACATTAAATCCAAGAAAAACAAGCATGATTCCAGTGAAGTCCATGGAAGATTATAAAGGTATTTTAGAAAGGATCAAGTGACTTTTGCTTTTTTTATCTGATAAAATTACACTGAATCTATATCTTGTTGCATTTGGCTATTTCTTAGCCAGATAAAAAAAAACTATAAATGGTTCATAAACCCATCTAAAGCTAAATAAGTTTGTTAGTGTTTTCTAAGCTTAAAATATATCCTTTATAATTTCAGAAAAAAACAATGTAAGACAAGACACTACAGATGAAGACTACTTGAACACAATGCAGTTATTGACTTCACCTATTTTCTGTCAAGGACAGTATTCTGAGAACTTTGATTCAACTTCGAAAGAAGCACTTAATACAAAAGTAACATCAGTTGGTGTGCATCACCCAGTAGCAGAATCAAATGTTTGTTCTACAATTTTACAGCCATTGGTCACACAGATACAACCCTTATATTCTGGAACATCACCTCAAGTACAATACTCATCATTGAAAAATACTTGTACAGTAGAGAAAGTATTGACTACAGTTAGAAATAGCATAGCACCTGTTACGATTCCACCTTTAATTCCTAATTCATCCAGTCAAAAACTGTCATCATTAGTCAGACACACGTCATCATCATCATCAGCATCAACAACTTCATCTTTAATCAACACACACTCTGCATCATTAAAGGTTGCAAGAACACCATTGATATCCACACCAGCATTAGAACCCATCAATACAATTGTACAGCTGGGAGATCCAATAACCTCCACATCACAGCTTTTATCTCCCATTGAAGTACCAACAAACAACTCACCATCTGTATCTACATGTACATTGTATACCATACCAACATCATTTACTATTAATACATTAGAAAATAATATCAAACCATTGGCTATAAATGAAAATGGTAACACAAAGTCAATAGGCAACACAGTTTCAAAGTCCATTTCTGGAACACTTCCTGTAAAAAATAGTAACACACTACCAGTCCTGCCAGAAATGTTTAACCCATCGTTTATTCCAGGTACTGTCTAAATTTTAACAGAAATCATTTTTTATGCAACTACAGTGTTTTACCGTCATCCTTGTCCCTTGGTTGTTCATCACAGTGGGCTGTAGTAGCCTGAATGGTAACGGAACTAGATTCACAACAAGACTGTCATGAGTTTGTATCCTGGCATATGCAGAGGAGAACCTCCAGGAGTTTTCAAGTCTGACTTTAACCTCTCAGAGATCGTGCTTACGCGACTGGCGTGCGTGTGAAAGAAACCTACATTGCATTGCACACATAACCACAGAAAATATAATTACCATAGGTTTCTCCTAAAATGACTGTTTTTGTAAACTCTCTACAGGTCAGAATTTTGTTCAAACTATCTTGGAATGTTTGGCAAAACATAAGGAGGAGCTTTATTGTAATTCAGAGATGTAAACAATCTACCGGTACATGATAGAGATTTTTTTACATTGTTTATCAAACTTGGCCTAGCTTTAAAAATGAACTAGGAATCCTATCGAATTTCAGAGCCATGGATCAATTTTAAGCTCTGCAGTTCAGAGTTTTTGAGACTTTACTTTTTAAACTGTCTGAAATTCTTTGGCTGATCTTAAGGGGGAACACCATAGAAATCCAGAGTTTCTGCCCTTGAAACTGAAACCTTGTAAACAATCTAAAAATCAAAGTTTTTTGAAATTATTTCTAGTCAGAATTACAGTGGCGGTCTTAACAAAGCTGTTGATGGGCATATATTTGCTGGCTGGCAACAACTGTTATACTTTGTGTTTCTGCCAAACTGTCATGAATATTTTTAAAATTGATAGGTTGATATTCATATGGTTTATAAATTATTTTCTATGGTAGGTGGCATTATACTAATACTAAATCTAGATAAAGATACTACTTAAAGTGTATAACAGGAGGTTGATTCTATGCTGTCCCTGATGATTCATTTTATCACATAAAATGTCACTTACTCCAGAACAATAAGCATACAGTACCTACTAACTAATTTAAAGATCATTAATTATATGTTCATCTTCATAGAGACCATGTTAATTGAATGTGCATGGACTAAAATAAGTTATTAAATATCCATAATGTCATAAATACCACTGCTAATTAGATGAGATCTTCCATTAACAATTTGACATATTGCATTTGATATCTTATTCTATTTGGTATCTTGTGTCTGTATAGACTATACATATGAGCACTGAATTTGAATCCAAGATTCTAATGAGCAGTTTATATAATTTCCATTGATATAGAAAGCATTACCATGGAAACAAATGATTCATTAGATATGTTTCTAGCAATGCTGTCCTCAGGTGTTACTGAACCAGCAAATCAAGTTAATGGTAGGTACTCCCTTATTAATGGTTCTATATTGATTATATAAAATTTTAGAATTAGGTTGTAAAATTATTTATACAGTTTATTTCTGACAGGAGTTTGTGGTGACAATTTTGGGATTTTACATGCATTGAATTTTAAGAAACAAGAATCTGTGTTGTATTATTTGGATTGTATCTCAGTAACTGGCAATTAACTGATACCAAATGATTATGTTTTATATTGTATTGTAGTATTTAGTAAGTCTGTTAAAGAAGAAAAAATGAAGCAGGTATCCTGTAGACCAACATTAGAACAACCAAAACAACCTACCTGTAATAAAATGACTACCGTTAAACAAAATAGATTGGTATCTGTACAATTATCAGGTCAGTCTTTAATATTCCACTACATCTTTCTGTGATGTCATCTCAAATTACTGTTGTTTCAATTCAAAGTACATGTATGATAAGATATTAATGTGAGTGGATCATGCAGTATTCACACCGCCTATAGTAAAGTCAGTGTAGTCACAGGGGGTGGGCAGCGGTGAAGATTGGGCACACAGCGACTTGGTCAAAATCACAGTATGCACCAATATGAGACAGTGTAGGTTTAATAGGTTCAATCCATTGTTTTGCCCAGTTAAGGGAGTATATAGTCCTAGATTTATCTGTTGATTAAAGTAAAATTGTAATGAGAAAGCTCAAATAGTTTTGCTGGAAATTTCCATTGAAATTAAATATTTAGCCTTTCAGAAGTGTTAGCTAATTTCTTAAAAAGGCATTATGCAAGAGCTAAATCTACCTATTGCTGGCTGGTTTTGATTCCTCGGTTGTACGTGTACATGACAAGGAGTAGGGTTGCCTGTCCAACCTCGTGGGTTTTCTCTGGGTCCTCTGGTTTCCTCCCACTGCTAAAGAAACCCTACGCGCAATTGAATTATTAAAATAAAAATTGAACAATGTTAGCCCCGAAATGACCTAGTTTGTGTTAGTGGATATTGGCATGTATCGGACCATAACTTCATGGATTCTGGCCCCTGATTGTACGAAAAATCACGTTTTTAGCTTGTGGACACTCCAGAGGTCACAATTTTTATCCCATTTTGATGAAACTTGAAATGTATGTTTACAACCCAAAGATATTGTTTCATTTCGACATTCGTGCATATCGGACCGTAACTTCCTTGATTATGGCCCATGATTGTACGAAAATTGCATTTTTATACGCTCGCATTTTCATATGGACATATATTGTTGTCACCCCTGTCTGTTCACAATTTGTTTCTGGAGAGTCTCTACAGGTCACAATCTTTATCCGATTTTGATGAAACTTGAAATATAGGTTTATATCCAAAAGATTTTGGTTCCTTTTGATATTAAATTGGCATGTATTGAACCGCAATCTGATCATGTTTCGTTTCTTTTTTTATAGTTCAAAATTTCGTTTTACTTCTCTTTACTACACTAGGATCTGAAAGAGTTGTTATCATTGACTTGTTGTTCTGGATGATGTGAGGATTTAGCCAATGAAACGGTCTGTTACGGCAAGCTTTTGGCATGAGGTGTACGGAATTGTGGATATTCCACTAGAAACATCAATGCTGATTGGTTAATCAAATGCCTGATGTCATAGGGTCAAAGCTGCTTGTATGACCTCTGACGCGACCTGCCAAAACAACTGGTCAGATCTTCATGTAGTGTAGGCCATCGAAAGTATAAAAAAAAATGAAATGAAATGTAGATTAATCTGTATTTTAAAAAGGTCACAATTTTTATCCGATTTTCAAAACCGTTTTAATATATCACTGCTACACAAATAGTGTAAAGTATGTAATACCAAGGTTGTGGACACTTTTTGTACGCAAATAGTGTAAAAGTATGTAATACCAAGGTTGTGGGCACGCTAGAGGTCACAATATCTATCTGATTTTGATGAAACTTAAAATTTGTGTTAATATCCCAAAGATCTGGGGGGGTTTCTTTCGATATTCGCGCATCATAACTTTCTAGATTATGGCCCCTGAAAAATCTTTTTTTTTTAACTTGTTCTCTGTCCATTTCTTGCAAAATGTGGGCGTATTTGTATGGCAACCACTTGTTAACTATTATAGTTATAGCGAGAACTGTCAGCTCTTTATCTAATCTTATCCAATGCCACTTTAAAAGAGTTACATATATAACACACTGAATGAATTATGTTGCTTATTTGTATTACTATCAGTACTACCATGAATGCACTATGATATCTCTGGTAAGTACTGGGAATTCTCGTATTTAAGCCCTTGGCTTAATTTCAAATTTGACCATGTCAGTGATGAAACATTTCTTCTGAAATTAAGCGCAGGGCTTAAATTCGAAAAGAGGAAAAAGCGACAAACATTTGGGTTCTTTTTATAATTTTAAATTGAAGAATCAAATTCATCAACAAAAATGGCTTTTAAAACACAACTGTGATACACCGTCACATAAATGTTCTGAAATACAAAAAGAAACTGTCCATAAACTTTAAATTTCAAAGTTCTTTGAACAAATCAGATCTCACGGCTAGCCCTTACTTGTATGCTGAGCATCCGTTACCCATCAATGACCTCGTCTGAACTGGAATCCTCAAACGGGTCGTCACTGAGTTGGTCCTCTCCTGGCAGTACAAGACCGAAGTGTGACTGGAGAATATCTTGTAGCCTGTAGTTCACATGTGGTTTTAAAATTTAAAACTGAGACCACTCTAAAATAAATTTTAGATTTAAGCCCATGGGCTTAAATTCGAAATTTAAACTCGTTATTTAGCCCATTGGCTTAATAACGGCAGGGCTTAAATACGAGGATTCCCGGTATGTAGAAGAAATGGCTATATAGGCTCTTGGGAATAGTGATTATATTTCTTTTTTTAAAAAAATGTGTGTTTCTTTACCATTTTCAGGTCCTTTTGAGGAAATTTACAAAGAGATGGAAACATTTGCAAAACCTTATATCAGTCTTTTGAAACTTCGACGCGATTTGCCAAGATCCTTTGAATTGAAGACAACAACATCGGATTCAACAAGATTTTTACTCAAACAAAAGGAAAAACAGCTTCTTGACACAAGTTCTGAAAGTAAGGATTTAAGCATTCATTGCTGTTGGACTCCTTGCTTTAAAATGTTGACAAGATAATTAAGCAGTCTACCCGTATCAATGGGGTTCTTCGTTGTTACTTAAATCCTGTTAAATGTTTCGAAGGTTTTGAAAACAGGCCATTCAGGGGATATAACTCATGTTTGAATTGTGGATGGTCAGATATCACTCTCACTCTCTGTTGTATAAAATGGAGATCTTGTTTAACTTAGTGAGAAAGAAAAGAGATTGCTAATAATTACTTCTTAAGTTTTTGCCCATGAGCACTCTGTACAAGTTGGTACAATCCTGTTGATGCTCTTAAGACACATACATTTAGAAAATAGAAATAAAATTACCTATAATCAATTTGTAGAATCCTGTGTAAGCTTTCTCGACAAGTGACAAGTTATTCTATCTTTTGTATTTGTTGATTATAACAGGACCAGTGACCAAAAAGAAGGAGACTATATTGAATTTTCTTCCAGAGGTATAGGAGTTGATCACTTTTTAGATTTATGTTGATTCATTTTATCTTCCAACAGCACTGGATTAACCATGATGGGGGCCCTGGGGCCGTAAGCTAGTGGGGGACCCTCAACCTAACGCAGGTGAACAGAACTTAGGCAATATTATTCCACACATATGAATGTAACTACATCAGACCTAATTTTGAAGTCAGTCAGTGATAAATAACAGGGAGAACTTGATATGAGAGTCATATCCGTGAAGGCCGTAACGCTACGATAATACGAGATTCAATCGAGAAATCATATTTTTTCATATGATCATGATATGTATGCATGGAAAAATTATACAGCAAAGTATTATAACTATTACGTATGTCAATCTAAGCCAAAATTCGCTCTAGCACTCCGTCTTTCAGCATTGATATTATAGCGTCGATAGTTCCCTATAAAACTTCAATGATCAGTTGAAAAATACTCTTTTTTTCTTGTCTCTGGCAAAATTTTCAATGGTGTCTTCGACATGTATGGTGCGCAGTAAATATGGTGAGGAGAGCCACACCAAATACATGAGCCTATCCTGACCCATCGTAAAGATAATGGTTTCGAATCTTCGAATCCCTGGTTGTACGTGACAAGGAGTAGGGTCGCCTGTCCAACCTTGTGGGTTTTCTCCGGGTCCTCCGGTTTCCTCCCACTGCTAATGACCCCTATGCGCAAGCGATTTATTGAAATAAAATTAAAACATATGTTAGTCCCGAAATGACCTAGTTTGTATCGAGTGTACGTTAAACCCCATTTCTCTCTCTCTCTCCCAGTATATAATGAATGGATAGATGTATTTTTAAGCGATTTATTGAAATAAAATTAAACCATATGTTAGTCCCGAAATGACCTAGTTTGTATCGAGTGCACGTTAAACCCCATTTCTCTCTCTCTCTCCCAGTATATAATGAATGGATAGATGTATTTTTAAGATGACTTCAACGTTTGATAATGTATCTTGAATGCCCATTTTCAATAATAGTTTGTAGAATGCATAATTGGATTTCTGCTGATCCATATCAGTGTTCATCAAGATATGACGAAACTGTATCAAACTGTATCATCTCGTCGCTAATGTCAGGAGTAATATCATCAACATATGTCTGTGCAAGTCTGTCACATGAGATGGAAATTTCGCTCGGATCCATGGTATCGATTTTGCAGATGAAACCAAATAATCCAGCCATTTCATTGTAAGCAGCCGCTCGTCTCTGTAACTCTAAATACAGACTATCCAACACCACCAAGAAACCATCGACACGAAAAGCCTGTTTTGAGTCAAGCTCAGCCTCCAGGCAATGTTCATAATCGAGTGACTGTAGCCGCTTATGACTGTTCATAAAGACATCAGACCCTGAAAATCAATTGACTCCTCCAAGAATGAATCAAAATCCTCCCAAAGTGATTGAACAATGTTCAATGAACATAGTCAATGAGGAAATGGTATAGTAGTACCAAAGCTGTATTCAAGCTCTTTTTGTGATGGTAATGACCAAGAAACAAGCTTAAAAAAACAGTTGTCCTTTTGTCCTGGTATCCATATATATTGGATGAGTTTGTATCAAGTCCTAGATATCGCTTAGTCGCAGATTTTTTGGTTTGAGCACTGCAGCTGAATTTGATGGGTGCAAGGCTGACTGCCTAACTAAACTCAAGGAATGTGTGGCACATGGCACAATAAATGCGAGAGGATTCATCCACTTGATGATGGCTTGTATGCCATTATATTTGCTTGACATATTGCTAGCATTATCCTACGATTATCTAACAGGTGGAGTAATCCGTCAGCTTGCACTTGCCATGTGTGGCCAGTGTTCAGTAGAAAAGTCATGAATCGCTCGATGGGAGAATTGCCCTCCATGTATCGGAGAATCACTTTAAATTGATCTACATGGCTGATGTCCAGAGTTGAATCGAAGTCACTTACTATGAATGTATCAATCATTGAGCCCGAAATTAGCTCTGGCCAACATCTCATTTCTTTTACATCATCTATGAAATGGTGGTTGTCATTTGTAGAATGGTCACTGGTATTTTCATGATTTTTATTGTATGTAGGTAGGGATGGTGCCATTATCTTCTGGACCCTGTGTACAAGAGAAGATGCCTGGACTGCTTCACCAATGGCATACTGGCTGTCAATTTCTTCGACCAATGGCGATACTTCCTCACCTGCAGGTTCTTTGCTTCCTCCATGTGATTCAGAATCATGCTTTTCAGCGATATCATGTTTGGCCTGCGTAAAGAACGATGAGATTTTTGATGTTTTACCTACAATTGCTAGGTGGCGTTTTCCTTTTTCAAGAGAAGCCTTCCATTTCAGAGCGCCACTCTGTTACTTCTGGGCACCACGAGACATGTGTCGGTCTTTTTCACTCATCACTAGATTAGGCTGGGATGATCTGGCTACAAGTATGTTCAGAGATTACCAATGACATTTTTGACCAATTCTGTGTTCAAAACTCGAATATATATGGGGTAAAGTTACCTTGATTCCACCTCCCTGTACCACAACAAGTTGTCACCAAAATATTGCTGCTAAAGAGGAGGCCCCTGTTGTGGTGGACTCTTGGGCCTGGGCCCCACTGTTCCCCATAGTTAATCCAGAGGTGCTATCTTCCAATCAGTTTGAATGTATGCATTGTGGCTATCACATAGGCTTCCCTCAAAAAAGCAATGTTTTTGTTATTATTTTTCTGTATCAAATTACTGGTATATTTTTTTCTTGTGTGATTTGTTTTGTTTATATCCTGTTGTGCAGTTCTCCTGCATTGTCGGTTACATTAGTAGGTCTATTAGTCTATTCAATTCCAATATATATGATGACGAATTGCACTTGAGCCTAAAGTATATATAATGAAATATAAATGCTTTGATATGCATGTAGAAAGAAGTTGAACAAGCAGTTATATTTAACACTTTCAATATGGAACAAAGCAATGATTTTGAATGTTCAGCAAGCAAGATATCAAAGAATAAACCTTTTCACTATGAGGCACCAAGAGTCGGTGAGTGAACACGAGACAAAAGGTTTCATGGAATGCACTTTATGTGTATGTATTTGGTGTAACCGTATTTGCATTATCCACGCAGAATGACAAAGCCGTCAATAAGTTTTTACTGATCAGTTCCTTACTCATGTCACTACATGGAGGTTTACATGTCATTCTTGGAGACAAATAAAAAATGTGTTGGCCACATGCTTGAGGTTACTGACACCAGCTGAGTTTTTTCTTTTTATTTTATTGAAGATATATAATTATATATATATACTTGCATTGCTTGATTTTTTACAATTATATTTTTGATCAATGTATTTTGCAGAAGATGAGAGCTACAAAGCTCTGTTAGTTGTTCACTGCATTAAAATTGCAAGTGATAATGTTCTTCATGCTTGTTTAGAATCAGCTATATCTCATCTTAGTTTCATACAAGATAAAAATAATATCATATTGGGATGTAAGTGTAATTAATTGTTTGTTTATTAATAACTTCCATGTTATATATATATTTATGCATCATCAGCTATCAAGGGGGGGGTTGGATGGCTGAATGGTTAGCGTGCGCGCGCTGTATCATAAAGTCTGTCAGTGAGTCAACTGGCGTGGTTTCAAATCCCCGGTTGTACGTGACAAGGAGTAGGGTCGCCTGTCCAACCTCATGGGTTTTCTCCGGGTCCTCCGGTTTCCTCCCACTGCTAAAGACCCCTACGCGCAAGCGAATTATGTAAATAAAATTAACCCACATGTTAGTCCCGAAATGACCTAGTTTGCGTTGAGTGGACGTTAAACCCCATTTCTCTCTCTCTCTCTCATCAGCTATCAAACATTAACATCTTAGAAGAATGAGCAGTTAAAATCCATTGATTTTTAAATACCATCCTTACTTGTTCCTTACTCTTAAATCGTACTTTGAAGTTGCATTTTATACCATACCAGTAAATTTGGGCTACTGTTCTTAAAGTTAGTTACTGGTGAATAGACTTTGAACTAATTAGGTGCTGGCTCACCAAGCAGGAGGTCCCGAGTTCAACCCTGTGTTGGATAAAAAAGTTTCTTGGGATTTTTCAGCCTGGTTTCCCCCAGAACAGATGGCCCAGTTTTTCAGATGATACAAAAGAAATAAAACATTAAAGATCCGCTGACAGTTGAAAATTGAAATATAAGTAGGCCATAGCAACAAAACGTTCTTCAATCGTAGCACACTGCATATCATATGCCCATCTTCATTAGTCCAGTTGATGCCAAAAAAATAGTCTTAAACCCTGTTTCATATCATTTTGAGCTAATTTATATTAACAAACATTTCTCAAAAATATGATTTTTTGTCAGTTTTTAATAGACCCTATTGTTGATGGTATTGTAATGGTATTATATTTTATATTTTATTCTTCTTCCAGTGTAAAGTAAAAATATTTTAGCAATTTTTGTATTTCATTTGCCCTTAAACAGCAACTATATTTCAAAGAGAGCATTGAAAGAAAATAGCTATTGTTGGACGAATATCAGAAATCTTTGTTTAGGTCATATTACCCTGGCTATTGATTTTGGGGGGCTACTAATGAAAACTTTAAACTTTAAGGACATTGTTTTGTAAAAAAAAAGGAGAGTTATCTTGTATCAAATCACATGTTTCAGACACATCGACTTTGTTCCTAATTCCTTATAAATCTTTTAATCTTGTACACTTGAATATAAAATGTCTGTTGACATGACAACTCTTGAATCAGCAGACAACAATGATGTATTCAATTGTAAAAATTCAAGTCACATGACACAGTGGCTTACTTGAACATGCACTGATATTTTTTGTGAAGTCAGTGCAAATGTTTCATTAGCAAATGTGACCTGAGAAATAGATTACAAATTATTTTAAACTGACTAAAGTAAAACATGGAGGTTTTAATTTTATGGACATTTTAAAGAAAACATTTAGAAGTCTTAAATTCTGAGTTTAATCTGTAATTATTTAAGATATTACTTGACTTTTGACACATAAATTTATTTATGTATAAATTATAAAATAATATAAATTGAAATTTCAAATATTATGTGCATAGTGCTTTGTATTGGATTTATTTACTTAAATCGTTTTTTTTTTTTCTTACCTTTTATTTCCAAGCATGTCTTAATGACCTGAGACAAAGATTGTTTCATCAGCAATACAGATTTCAAAACAATAATACAGTCCATCCAAAGATATTGGCAGTGTGTCGTGAAGCTAATGGTATAATACAAACTAAAACAGATGATAAGGTAAGGGTAGAGATATACATCTTTAAAGTTACTGATCATCATTTGAGGAATGTTGAATCAATCTGATTCTGAATCCCTTGCATATTAAAATATTGTGAAAGTTGAATCGAAAATTTCACAACATTTCGCATCCTCTGCAATCGATATTGATTAAAATCTTTTAATCCAATTGAGATTATCTACCATTTTGGTTTTGTTTTCTTATTTAGATGTTAAATAATCAGTTTGTGTACATTTTAAGAAGGATTAAGCTGTGAAAATTTAGTTATCTGATAAAATCAAATGATAATCCACCACGTTAATAATAAAAACAATATTTTCAGGTACTACTAGTTATTGTTAAAAGGCCAGTATTAAGTTTAATGACATTATTGAAGGATAATTTAGCAGCTAATGGTACAATAAGACCATATATAGTTACAGACAATGATGATTGGACCTGTCTACGGTAAGCTGGATTTCTATTTTTCTTCCCTCTTTACAAAAACATACAGATGTAAATTTTACATTTTACAATTCATATGTTGATTTGAGCTGTCATTTGAAAATGTAATACATAAATAAAATTCATTTAGGATGGTATGAGTTGAACCACATATGTAATGCACATTTCTAGAATATTTTGTTGGCAAACCATTTGGTATTATTATTATTGCTAATATTTCTGATCACAACTTTACAAGATATGATCTGACAACATGTTAGTGAGGTTTCTGTTTACTGATTTTAAACTTCATTATAGGTATAGGTGTATATAATTCATGTTTGCGTTGATGTTTTTATTTTAGGAACAGCACTAATAACTGTTTGATAACTTCCCAGAAGAAATTACAAGATATAGATTTATCTGATGTAGAATGTTTATTTGAATATGAAAGTTCAAATGAATCTATATTAAAAGCAATATGTGAAAATCAAGAAACCAACTTTATAGGATTTACTATTCAAAATTTCCATAATATTCCTCCAATTAGTAAGTTATATCTTATTTACATTTTTACATGCCCATATTTTTATCATCTGTATGAAGTTTCATGACTCAGGAACCCTATTATGCACTGGGGAATTTGTTGAATAATTGTCCTTCAAGATTCATGTTGGACAAAATACTGCAGTGATTTTAGGCTTGTTATGAAGAGTTTCAGTAAAGAAATGCAGAGTTGGCAATCATTTTTTGCCTGTCATCAAAGCCTTGTAAATATTCATATGATCTGAGTTATGGAAACAAATATTTCAAACTTGCTGGGATTGTTGGACTAGTATTAACAAAGAAGCATGTCGAAATTCATAGTTTTGTATTTATTTTTATAGACTTATTGTTTCTTTCAAAACCTTTTAACCACTCAACAGGAGTAAGGGTTAGGGGGCTTTATCTAGAAAGACGTTCTACTTGTTATAACTTCCTCGCTTGCATATTGATTTTTCACAGGGATATTTTCTTTGTCATTAAAATCTGGTAAACACTACAGGTCAGTATTTTTATATGCACACCTTTATTGTGCACATGATCGCTGGTCCATCCATCTTTTTTTTGTAAATGTACTACACACTACAGTTCTTGTTAGATTTTTTTCAAATTAACAGCATTAGTCGATTTGGGGATTCCAGTGGCAAGGAAAAGCGTCCAGAAGTTCGGATGGGAGAAAAACTATTATGCACTTAAAAAAAACCATGACAGTTGGAATTCAATTGCTGTTTGAGCAAAATTTCCCTGGTAACATGTCTTTATTAATCCGGTTGGAGCAGGGAAGTAGGACGATTGAAATTCACAATTTACAATACTTATAATCTTTTAAAAGCAATACAGGACATGCAAGGTTCTGTATAGAATTTTTCAAATCTTGGTGGGATTATTTATAATTAAATTACTATTACTATTAGGGTATAAAATGTAAATTTCTAAAAAGTTTTGCCAATTTATATTTCTCGTCAGATATGGCCTTTTCAAGCTGGTGATTCCGATACAGGACAAAGTTGTGGACTAAGTACTTGGTTGAATGCTTTAAAATTGGTATTATTTATTTGGACCTAAGAGAAACCCTATCAAAATTTAGAATTTTTCAATTGCAAATTGTGGAGTTATTTTTGACTATTTACATTTAAATTCATGAAATCTTTTGAACACAATGCACAAAGAATTATTGAAAACTCATTGAGATTGCTCATTGTGGCTTAAGAAAGATACCTATGGAACGCAATACCGGACAATCTTCAGTGAGTAAGAAGTTGGCTCGCTAACCTGGAGGGAGGTCTCGTGTGCAATCCCTGCATTGGCTGAGAAAGTTCATCAGGACTTTCCGGCGTGGTTCCCACTTATCAGTGGTGCAGGACTGGGGGCCTGACAAGGGACAATGTATAGTCGTTCGGATGGGATGAAAAACCAAGGTCCCATGTACACATTGGCATGCACGTAAAAGATCCCTTGCCTTGGCAGTTAGAATTCGATCTGAAAGTAAGCCATAGTGCCACTGTCCAGGCAAAAATTTTCCTCATGGCACACTGTACAGTGTATGCCTATCTTCATTAGCCCAGTTGGAGCAGAACAATAGGACGCTAAAGTCTGTTTCATTTCATTTAATTTCTTGGAAGAATTTTAAGCCTGTAAATACTATATACAGGAAAAAGTTCTCAATGCTTTTTTGGAAAGCTTTGTGGGATATCTATAACTAATAGGGATGTAAAAAGGACCCCTATTTAAGTTCAGAATAATTTGATGGTAAATTTCAGAATTATTCCCTCATTTACTTTCAAATTCATAAAATCTTGTGATGAGTGATGCAGTTTAAATAAAGTTCTCTTGGTGAGATTGTTCATTCGGAATATGTAGGAACCCTACTGAATTTCAAAATTTTTGCCACAGAGTTATTTTTCTGTTCACATTTTCACTTTAAAAGCTTGTAATATGATACATATTTAAGCTTACTACCGGTACATCCAGTATCAACCAGCCATGTCTTCAGCTCTGAATAAAATATTACTTTTCCAAAAGTTTTTTTTTTATATTAAGGACAAAATAACAGTCATTCCTTCCTAATTTTTTTTTTAACACGATGCCAAAAGAATTAAATATCGGTTTGATATAATATTAATTAAATAAAATATCATTGGGGGTTCTCTACCAAGTATTTCATTCAGAACAACAATTACAAATTTTGTCACTTGTAGCATTGATTTCAGATGATATGACCAAAACTAAACAAGATCCAGATAATATTAGAGATGTTTACAAACACTTCCAACCAATAACTGTTATTGGTTCCACAAGTCTCACACAACATGAAGATATTCTACATATATTAGAATCAAAGTAAGTTACATCTTGACACTTGATAATATGAAAAATATACATATAGCTTACATGTAGCTTTTTATGATAACATGAAAAATATACATATAGCTTACATGAAGCTTTTCATGATATTGTTTTAAAACAATTGTACAAATTATTGTATATTCTCATTTGTTAATCAAGTTTTCTGTAAAGCACGTATATCTGTATTATAATTAATATCTCACATGTAAGTGAAAAGAATGTATTCATAGTCACATTAAAAAATTGTTAAGACTTTAATGTTAGTCACAAATGATAGTAAATGACATTGTATATTATTTTATATACAGGTATAATATATCAGTGATAGAACGAGATTACAGTGTCATTCAAGAATTAAAGAGCACATCATTTGCTGATATTGTTTTAGATCAAAATCAAGCTATATTACTTAAAGATTTACTACATTTAACAGAGGAGAGTAATATAGAACTGGTCACAAGACAACTGGCTTCATTTGCTCTCAAATACAAAAAATGTTGGATCATACTTTTTATGTTTGATAATACAAAAGGGTATGTTCTTCTCTGTCTTTAGGAAAATCCTACATATTTTATTATATCTTTCAACAAACATTCTGTACTAATTTTAGCAAATTAATCTAAGTGAGTTTTAAATTAAAAAAGTGGACCACAAGAATCTAGACATTATACCATTATTTGTATAGATATATTTGAGCTTCGAAATTAAAAACTTGTTTCTTTACATACTATTACATATATTCTACTTTCCAGTTATCCCCTGTCATCACAAGTTTTGTCTAACCTGTTCAAGCTAGAAGCTGCATTAGCCAATATGTCACGTAAAGGACAGCAAGATGTAGCATTCAAGGTAAAACAAATTAAAAAAACCCATAAATCCTGATTGAAAGCCGAACATAATTTTGTACTGTGCCTCCTTAAACATCTGGATACATTTGAAATTCCATAGGCTACAAGCAAGGGGCACATAATTATCTGATATTTTTTAAGTTTGATAGGATTCTTCATCTTGCGAATCTAACCAGTACATATCAAATTTAGATGAGGGCAATAAAGTATTTATGGTTCAGGTGCAGTATTCTGAATATATGAAATGACAGTCCAAGTTGTACATGATACATCAAAACAGTATTATGTGGGAGTTTATAAATCTATGGTAGAGGATTTATATTTTCAAAGTATGTTTATTGACAATATAGTAGAACATGTAGATAGTGAAGTACCAAAATGATCCTTTCAATAGATTATATCATTTCTACAAGATAAAATGGACAGAAAGACAGTAAATTTGTGTCACCTTTGTACTTCATACCTTAATCATAACGTATACATTACAAGGTACTACTGTGTCATCAGAAAGAAGATATATGTTGTATAGTTAGAGAAATATGTGATATGGTTTGTCAAAGTACTCTTCATGAAAATTTAGAAAGACCATGGTTAGCACAAACAATGAGTAAGGTGAGATATTTAATCTAAAAAGAATCTTAAAAAAGATCAAAATTTACTTTATTATTCAGGCCTATTTTAATTCTTAACCTTTTTAAGTGAAATTTAGACAGACTTCGTTTTAAAGTCCTACTTTTCTTGATCAACAAGGCTAATGAATCAAAAATCTATCTAGGGAGTGGTGTTTCCAGCCACTCTTTCTTCCCATTCGAAAGACTAAACACTCTTCCTGGCCAGACTGTCCGTTCTGTACCACTGAGACATGGGGAAGCCAGTCTTGAAAATTCTACAGAACTTTCTCACCCACCACACAGGATCGATCTTGGGATGTCCTGGTTAGTCTTTCAGAAAACATAGATGTTAAATCAGTAAAATTCTCAAATCTAATATTTTTAAAACATCTATTTTCTTTACAGGAAGAGAAGATGCTATTGTGTATACCTTGTTTAAACTCCTTTAGTTCCCAGCTATTACTGAAAAAAGCCAGTTTGAAAGAAATTATAACCATGTCACTGGAAGATTTACATCATTTGTTTCCAGAAATTCCATATAAAGTTCTTGAGGTACTAAAATAATATATTGTAATAATTAAGACTTTTTATGTACTTGGCGGGTATGGGTCAATATTAACTTTAGCATCTAGAGCATCCACAAGATATTTCAAAGTGATCAAGGACCATACCTCTGGCAGTAATTATATTAAAGTCAATCGGATATTAACTTTAAGTCTCTAGAGAGTCAACAAGCTATTTCAAAGTGATCAAGGGTCATAACTCTGGCAGTAATTATTGGAAATTGTTGAAAATCAATAGGCTTCTTTGTCTGATGACCTTAAACACAGTGTATAAATTTAAAGTTAATTGGATGTTAACTTTAGCCTGTAGAGCGTCTACAAGATTTTTCAAAGTGATCAAGGGCCATAACTCTGGCGGTAGTTATCGGAAAATCGCTGAAAATCATAGGCTTCTTTGTCTGATGACCTTAAACACTGTGTAAAATTTAAAGTTAATTGGATGTTAACTTTAGCCTGTAGAGCTTCCACAATATTTTTCAAAGTGATCAAGGGCCATAACTCTGGTCATAATTATCGGAAATCGCTGAAAATCATAGGCTTCTTTGTCTGATGACCTTAAACACTATGTATGAATTTAAAGTTAATCGGATGTTAACTTTGGCCTGTAGAACGTCCACAAGATTTTTGAAAGTGATCAAGGGCCATAACACTGGCGGTAATTTTCGGAAATTGCTAAAAATCAATAGGCTTCTTCATCTCATGACCTTAAACACTGTGTATGCGGATATTAACTTTAGCCTCTAGAGCATCCACAAGCAATTGTGGTGCCGGACTGACCGACAGACAGACGGGGGCGACGGACCGACCGACAGACGGGGGAGACGACTATATATGACCACATTTCAATGTGGGCATATAAAAATCAAGCAAATTATATGATGATTATGTAAAACAACATGAGCTACAGTACATTTACTTTCCGTTCAAGTTAAGGGATGCTCTACATGTAATATATAATAAAGGCTGTATTTTTAGGATTTGAATGTATGTATGTATGTATTACTGATTTTTAAAACCTTATTTTAGGCTTTTTATAAAGTATTTAACAATGATAATGGTCTACAACTCCAACCTACTCCTTCATCACAGCAACTTTCAGAAAGTGATGAATATCATATAATACACAACGGTCTAGAAAGTCCTGATATGTATAGTGAACCACAATTAAAAAACAGAGATGAACAAAATGGAAGTAGATTCACCTCCATGCATAATACTGACAACACTCAAAAACGGATAAATAATTGTGACTCGCCCCCTAAACTAAATTATCGTGAGAATGTTTACAGTGGTCAGTTAATTAGTAAACGGTCATTTAGTGAAGACTTTTTAGTGGATTTAACAAGTGAATCTCAAAATAGTAGTGTTAGTGACTCACAGGACATGTCTGATAATCCAAACCAATATGTTGTTGCTGAACTAGAAGGAAGAGAATTTTATAATAAGCTAGCAGATAATAATTCAAAGTCAAGTGAATGGCTGAACACTAAAAGTGATATGTATACTGTTCAATGTAACATACCAATTTCAGAGAAAAATTGTAAATTAAAAAAATTCCACTACCTAAAAAATGATACACAATCCAAATATGCTACAACGTATGCTAGTTATTCAGAACCAGAATTAAGAAATTTGGATAGAGAACTGGATAAAAACATTCATACTCATGATATTGGTTTTAATAAATATCAAAGTGAGGAATCATCAAGTTACACAAAGATACCACACAGTTTTCAGGAAAGACAAATATCTTCACGGAAACAGCCTTATTTTCCACACTTATCTCAAGCCTGGTCAAATTTATCAGACTATCATTCAGCCATCAATACCTACAGACAAACAAGTCAAAGAAGCCCAGAAAAGGCATTTCCCTCTAAAACATGTATACCGATAGAATCAAATCAAACTGTAAAAAGACTACAAGAGAGAAATGCTATTGATATATCAGGCATCTCAATTCGTGATAAAATACAGGTTTATGAAAACAATGACAATAGGCAATTTGATGATAGCGTGTCTCCATCACTGAAATCCCAAAGAAATAGTGCTCGACAATCCTGTTGCTTTAGCCCAAATGCTTCATCTTCAAGAAAGATTGCAAGATTTAGTGCTGACCTAACATCAACAACTCGTAATTTACTACGCCGGCCAGTTTTACATGAGACACTGCAAAATAATTTACTTCATCCATCTGTACAGAGAGTAAGTGTTGGTCTAGCTCAACCACTCAGGCGTGTCACTGAAAATCAAGGTAATAATAAATTTATGAACATCAGTGTTTTTAATGAATTGTAATTTTAAAATTTACAATATTTAAAATAGTGGTAACATTGGATTGTAAGATATTTGAGTTAGTATACATGTGTACTAAAGTTTTTATACACCCACATTTTCATGTTGACATATTATGCGGTCGCCCCTGTCCGTCCGTCCGTCCACAATTTGTTTGTGGACACTCTACAGGTCACAATTTTGATCCGATTTTGATGAAACTTGAAATGCATTTTTAAAACCAAAAGATCTTGGTTCCTTTCGATATTCCCGCATATCAGAATTATGGCCCCTGATTGTACGAAAAATCATGTTTTTAGCTTGTGGTCCCTAGAGGTCACAATTATCTGATTTAAACAAACGTTCGAATATATCACCGTAATTTTGGTTGAGTTTGAATATCGTGAAAATTGAACCCAAACTGCCGGACAAAATGGCTGCCCCTCATACGCAAATAGTGTAAACATCTGGTATATCAAGGTTGTGGACCATCTAGAGGTCACAATTTTGATGAAACTTGAAATACATGTTTATAACCCAAAGATCTTGGTTCCTTTCGTAATTTGTGCATATCGTAATTTGTGCATATCGGATCATAACTTCCTGAATTATGGCCCTTGATTGTACAACAAATAAATTTTTAGCTTGTGGTCCCTGTAGGTCACAATTTTTATCCAATTAAAAAAAAACCATGTGAATATATCACCGTTACACACTAAGATCTTGGTTCCTGGATTATGGCCCCTGATTGTTCGAAAAATCACATTTTTAGCTTGCGAATTCTCTAGAGACAACAATTTTTTTTCCGATTTTAAAAAACGTTTAAATATATCACCATTCCACCATAATGAAGGTTGGATTTGAATTTCAGGAAAATTGAAATGAAACTGCCCGACAAAATTGTGTAAAAGTATGTAATACGAAGGTTGTGGATCCTCTAGAGGTCACAATTTTTATCCGATTTTGATGCAACTTTAAATCTATCTTTATATCCCAAAGATCTCGGTCCCTTTTGATATTTGCGCATTTCAGACCATAACTTTCTGTATTATTGGCCTTGATTGTACAAAAAATCGTGTTTGTTTTTAGCCTGTTCTTTATCCATCTCTTGCAAAATGTGAGAGTATCCTGCCTGGCAGAAGCTGGTTTACTTTTGAATTGGGAGAAAAATTTGTGGATTTATATGTATAGGAATATATTTTTCAGAGACCAGTAATGATACCAAAAATTTATTATTAAATGGAAAACAAAATGATACAATAAACAGTAACCAACGAAAAAGAACAGATGTGCCATTTTTAAATAATAGAAAAGATACAATTATGGACAAACCAAATAACCATGGAAATATGTCTTTGTTTTCAAGTAACAGGACAGATATACATTTACCGTATAACAGAGACATGCAAGGACCAAATGATAAAGACGATCTGTATTCTGCAATTCACCAAAGAAATATTTCAAATAAAAGTTATGTAACTGATTACTCTCCGCCAATGGACTTAGCCTGCTTTTCTCCAACAACAGAAGATCAAATGGTAAGACTTGAGTGTTCTGAAAGAGAACTGTTAGCTTGTAGTTTATCCCTTGATAGTTTTATGATGATTGCTGTCTCAAGTAGTAAGTGCACTACACGCAAAACAATCCGATAAGACAAACATGCTGAAAAGACAAACTACACAGACATTGCAAGAAATAAACAACAAATATCAATAGTGCTAACAAAATTTTGCATCAAGATAAACATTGAGTGAAATGGTCTTCACTGCTCAAATACAAAACAAAAATTGGCACCATATTATGCAAAATATTAAATTTAATCTATTATCTATGAATATCTATTGCCAGAATGTTAATATTAAAATAGGAATTTCCAAGAAGTATTAGATTAATAAAAAAGTTTTCAATTATTCTATTACAGTCAAGAATGTTTTCAGAACAGAATTACAGTCACAGATCCAGGACAAATATCCCCACTGGTAAGTTTGAGTCTTTTCAATGGATATATTATGAAAATAGTTATGAAATTAATGCAGGTAGGTGTAGTCACAAAGCAAAGACACAACCCCTGATCACTGGCACATTTTTAATGCACACAATACAGTAACTCCGTCATGAATAAAAAGTATTAATTATTATTAAAATACAGACGATGTGAAGTCATCCTTTGATGTTCGTATACCATTTTTTCACATAATCGTACGGGCTATGTGTTAGTTGTATTTTACGTCCGCTTCCACCGAGGTGATATCGAAGCGGACGTTATTTATACTACTTGAAATATTGGAGCAGTGTGACGTATTTCATTGAAATGCACGTGCTGAATAGTATTATGCAAGACATTGCGTAATATATAGATATAACCCTCGTGCTAAATGCACTCGTGCAATATCAATATATTACTTAATGTCTCGCACTCAACCATTAAACTACACTACCCAGGAAATGTTGCTAGCTTTAATATTTCTTTATTATTTGACTAGACTGTGTTTATTAATATTACAGTTGATGAGACTAGAGTACACCATGTATCAGGAGAGAACAGTATGTCTAATATAAAACGCAGTAAACTATCATACAAACCTATACCAGGCAGAAAGGGTGGACAGACTGTTTTATCATTTAACTAATTCATTTGTTATCATTATGTTAGATAAAAACCTTATTGATTACTACTGTAATAAGTATATGATGGGTAAACTATGAGGAAACCTAAGCCATTCTTCTCATTATGAAGGGAGCTGCAGTGGCTCAGTAAGACGTTGCTCACCAACCAGAAAATAGAAAAAGTTCATCTGGGTTTTCTGGCATGGTTTCTCCTAATCAGTGGTGCAAGACAAGGGGGTGGGTGAAAGGAACCATGTCGAGTCATTGAGATGGGACAAAAAACCAAGTCCTGTGTGAGAAATAAGAGTACCACTGTCCAGGCAACATTTACCTCATTGTAGCACACTGCATGGCATATGGCCGTCTTCATTAGCCCAGTAGGATGTTTCCTCATAAAAAAGAAAAGTTCAAAATGACCATCTTGCCAACATGAACTGATGCATATGACCATCTAATTGTCAACATAAACTTTTGGCATATGATCTTATTTCAAGAATGGCACGAAATTGTTTGTACCGAAATAAGGGACTTTTCTTTTACACAAAATATACAAATGAGGTATGCACCTCAATATTTCACTTATTTTATATTTTCCAACACCGAATAGTTTAAAGATCTTATAATTTTATTGTCATCATTTCCATATGTTGTGATTAATCTAATGCTTGGAAATATCTTATTTCATTTATAAACCAGTATTTATTACCGGTATGTTAGATTCATGGTGTCCTTGTTAAATCAGGCATTTTTAAATGGTTTTTGACTGTTTTCAATTTCCATACATGTGAGAGTTGTTACAATGTTAATTATTTAAATGTTTACAGAATAAAATTTGTTCAAATGATTTTTATTTTCAAGGGAATGATGTAATGAAACTTATACATCATTCTCACTTAATTAGAATTAAAGATATGTTCCAAAGCACCGATAAATAAAATTGCTGATCTCTGCTTAGCCTATGCATCTACATAAGCATCTACACCAAGTTTGAACATTTTACCTCTATTAGAACCAGAGTTGCTGTGTTCCAAACATTGTCGGATAGCTGCTTTACCCAACAAACATACATTGTGTTTCCCAAAGTCTTGGCCAATCAGATTGCTTATCTCCGAAATTCACCTAATGAACATATACACCAAGTCTGTACATTCTACATTGTTAGAAGCAGAGTTATTGTATCCCCAATAAAATAAAATGAGGTTTAATCAAGACAGGCATATGCATGCAGTATGATCTACTCTTATAGGCCTATCATATTCAAACTCTCCAGTGTGGACTTGGGACCTTGGTATTTTGTCCCATCCGAATGACTTGACAGCTGTCCTTGTCAGGCTATGACAAGAAGGATCTACACTGAAAAATCCAGAGGAATTTTCTAGGCTAACACAGAGAGTGAACCTCACACCTCCTGGTTTGCGAGCTAGTGTCTTACTCACTGAGCCATCGTGGCTCCCTCCCCAATAGTGTGACATGGACAAACCCATATAGTCTCCTACTATCTTCGAAAGACAGGGGGCAAAAATGTAGTATCATATTCTATGTGTTTGTGAACCACATATTTTACATTTGTGCAAATGAAATATGTATAACCCCTTTAAAGATGTCTTTAAAATATTTCCATCCCTAGCTAATAGCAGCTCAAGATCCAATCAGAATGTCTTTAATTAGCACTGGGGTGGTATAATTATTTTGCCTAGAATTATTACTGCAGTTTTGACTCTTTGACAGACAGGTGAAAGACAAATAGTAATGAAAAGGGAATGTTAAGCCAGGTCACCAAAACTAAAACCAGTGTATCAGTTTGTTCTACAAAACTAACACACAAGGTAAGAAGGACAACTTTATGATCACCATACATACGTGTTCAGACAACCAGATATTAACCACTGAATAGCAAACGCATGTCTGAACAACACAAAACAGTTATTCAGACTAGATATCTTATATATTTACAAACAAAGTTATGTACATTTAATACAAGTAGTCTATATCTGTAGTTCCTTGAAATATAAATTCCTTCAGCACTGTGAACACTTCCCAAAGAAGTGTTAGTCTATCTTTAATAATCACTTTTCGATATCACATAAATAGTCACTGAATAGGGTAATATGTTTTACTATTTCAAAGTTACAACCACTAACTATTCATAACAATTATAGGTGAAACTTTCTTCTGCTTGCTTCCATTTCATGACGCTGTAAAAAAAATAAAAAATTTTAGAATCATCACATATAGAAAAACACTGTTGATGTTCATCTGTGATTTATATCAAAATGTCTTATGATTGTTAAATTGGATATATTAATCTATAAAATATTCAAACACAAGGCATGATTCATAATCCAATAACTAGGATTAAACCAGTTTTCTGATTTCTACTCAAAAGTTTATGGATTGCCACTGGATTTGAATTAAATTAACTCTTCAAAATGATTTCCAAAATATCTAGAAGAGTTCTTGCATGGGTGGAGGAAATCTATATGTTACAATATAATTATTACCGAAAAGCCTTATAAATCAAGTATATGCTATGTATTTAAGTATGATCAAAATAATTACTGAAATATGTTACCTTATGAACCCATTCATATTCTCCATATTTTGAATTGAATGTTCCTTTTTGTAATGATCTTAATTTCAGTGTAAATCTTGGACCCAATTCATGTAAACCAACACGCTTTGAATTTCGAAAAATGTATCTGTAAAATGAAGAGTAATATGTATAACTTGTTTCACAACTCTTTTAAAATGTAAAAAGTCGTTAAATCAAAATAAAGTGGGTTGCTCTAATGTGTTATTTCGATTATGGACAAAATCAATAAAATAATTGTTCGAAATAATTTTTTTTATCTATATAAATAATTTTACTTTTGTGTTTGGTTTGAACTGTTGACAGTAGAAGTAGAAAACAATCAGACATACATGTATTTTAATATTGGCTCTATTTGTGAAACTATGTAAATATAAATGAACACAACAAACCCATTTACATCAACATTTATATTTCTTACTCAAACCAACGATCTCCCCATGGTGCTTGACATTTTCATGTTGACACATACAGTCATAAATACACAGAAAGTTCCAGAATGACTTCTACTACACCCATACTTTTATTTTAAAAGTTTGTGTCTAATATCAAGCAACAGCTGCCAGACAGGATACACCTACATTTTGCAAGAGATGGATAGAGAACAAGCTAAACGAAAAGCCATTTTTTCTACAATCAAGGGCCATAATTCAGGCAGTTTCAATCTGATATGCGTGAATATCGACAGGAACCAAGATCTTCGGGTTATAAAGATATATTTCAAGTTTCATCAAAATCAGATCAAAATTGTGACTTCTAGAAGGTCCACAACCTTGATATACCTTATATTTACACTATTTGCATATGAGGGGCGGACATTTTGTTTTGGTCCGATTTTCATGGAATTCAAACTCAGCTGTCATTAGGGTGTAACTGTGATATATTCAAACGTTTTTTTGAATCAGATAAAAATTGTGACCTCTAGAGGGACCACAAGCTAAAAACAATCAAGGGCCATAATTCAGGAAGATGAGATCCGATATCAAAAGGAAGCAAGATCTTTGGGTTATAAACATGTATTTCAAGTTCCATCAAAATCGGATCAAAATTGTGGCCTCTAGAGTGTCCACATCCTTGATATACCATATATACAATATTTGTCAAACTCTACTGTCATTAGGGTGTAAGTTGATATATTCAAACATTTTTTTTAAAAAACCTCTAGAGGGACCATAAGCTAAAAACGCGATTTTTCCTACAATCAAGGGCCATGATTCAGGAAGTTATGATCTGATGTGCGCAAATATCGAAAGGAACCAAGATCTTTGGGTTATAAACATGCACTTCAAGTTTCATCAAAACCAGATAAACCTCTAGAGTGCCCACAAGCTAAAAACATAATACATGGAGTTATGGTCTGATACATATGCCAATATTGAAAGGAACCGAGATCTTTGGGAGATACATGTAGAGCTATATTTTAAGTTTCGTCAAAATCGAATAAAAATTGTGACAGAGGCGACGACAATATACGTCCATATGCAAAATATGGACGTATAAAAATATTAACCTAATAACCTGTCGGGTACTGACTGCATGTGGGGCTGTATTGTGAAGTACTACTGAAAAACTAGTTATTACATGTGACTATGCCTATGAGATCAATGTTGTAATGACTGTGTTGATATGACTACCGAGTACTATTGACCTGGTGTGATCCTTCAGAAAATTACCCAGTATTTGTGCCAATATGCAAAGACATTAAACTATCAGATTATGAAATATGATAAAGACTAGCAACTACTATACCTGTGTTGACGGAAGAAAATAAAATCTCTCTGATTATGAAAGGTCATCACTCTCCTGCCCTGAAAATTTGGATCATAGGGGAAAAGAGAGGCAAACATACGACCAACAGAATGACCCAACCTTGTGTTGAAATTGTTTAGGATTACTTCTGGTTTATGACTAGTCCATTCTCCTACACCCTATAATAAAACAAAAATTATGTATTATCAGAGAAAAAAAGTAGCAACCGTACCATTACTAATACAACAATTGCAATGAATCTAACTGCACATCAGATTCCCTTAAGTCTTTGATTTTTGAAATATATTTGAATATATTTTTATACTTTTGTCTGCATTTTGCTGCTTTTAATGTACATGTATATTTTATATTTTTGATACTGTCTTTAAAATGACCACAGAGCAGATTAACAAACTGAATTTTGGCAATATACAAGTTCAATTTTACTATTATTAATTTATGATTCAATTGACATTTACATTGAAACAATATACAACAAGACTTTCAGGCACATTTCTTTTTTCCAAGTTGGTAGTACTAAAATGTAAATGGTTACCTTAATTTCCTTTGATAACTGCACTGAAGAAAGTTTGAAATGAGCTGTTGGACCATTTGGTAAATGACATATTACCATACCATCTGTTTTAATGTTAAGATAACAAAGGGAAACATGGAGGAGTATAGATGATCAATACAAAATTTAAGTATTTAAAGTAAGAACATGTCTACATGTATGTAATTAATTTCAGATAATTATGTAAATTTGTGTCTGTAACGAAATTTGACCCACATTCCACCAGACAGTACAATGGATGTAATCTTTATTGAATATATACTAAACATTAAAAAAAATGTCAGAACGATTTCAAAATCAGAAAGGCACTTTAATCAAATCATTCTAGAAAACGACTTAAGAAATGGATCAAAGCAGTGAACAGTTTGTAGACACATTATTGATTAATTCATCACAATTCCAAGACATTATGAGAAGGTTTAGAGTCTGTACACAGTCTATACATCAGTATCTGGTGTGTCCACTGCAAGTGTCAATAACAGCAGCACAGCGTCTGTACATGGAGTAGACCAGACGATTGATGAACGCCTGCGCAATCCATCAGCTGTGTTTGGTCTGGGTACGACGCTATTAAGTCTCCTCTGATCCTCATATCAAAGATGTTCAATCGGGTTTAAGTAAAGACTAAGGGCTAGCCAGTACATAATGTTAGGACCGTTCTGCTGTAGAAAGTCCCGAGTAACTCTGGCGGTGTGGGCACGGGTGTTGTCATGCTGGAAAACGTTGTTTCGATGACGTGCGAAATGTGGTACGACGTGGGGTCTGAAAGCTTGATCGATGTAGCGCACTGCTGTGATGCCGCCTCCTCTCCCTGGACCAAGATTTTGGAACATCACAGGACCCACTCTCTGGTTCAGGCTGATTCCACCCCCAACAATTAAGATTGGACTTCCCCATAAATCCCATTCCATGACACGTTGGTCAGAATAACGCTGGCCATGTCGACGCCATATTCTAGTCCAGCTATCTGCAGTTATGCGCAATACTGACTCTCATCTGTGAACAGAACAGTTCTCCATTGCCTGTATTGCCAGTTCTGGTGCTGTTGTGCAAACTGTAGACGTTCACTTCGATGGTGAGGTGTGAGGATCGGTCCACGGTAAGGTCTACGGCAATGTATATTCTCTCTGGTGAGACGTCGGCGCACTGTATCGGTACTGATGTGTCTTCCGTGTATTCCCACTGTCTGACCTGCTGTCCCAGATGCCTGTGTGAAGGGATTCTGCACATGCTGTCGCACAACATGGCGGTCTTGTCGCCATGTAACCCTTGGTCTACCAGTTCGGGGGCAATCATTCGTGCTGTTGGTGGCTCGAAAGCGTTGCTGAAGCCTGTAGATGGTCCGAACATTGACTTGGAAGTGATTGGCAACGTTTTGGGCAGTGTGGCCAGCATCGAGTCTTCCAAGTGCCTGGTTCCTCTGAGCTGCCGTGAGTCGTGGCATGCTGCTGATGTTGTAGTGTAAATGATTCAACCAAATATGGGGGTGCATTTTACAGGGCTGGTCCCGGTGAACAGCATGTGCAGCATGAGTTACATGAAAATCATGGAGAACACATTACCATCTCAGAAGTCAGGTTGCATTTTTGAGAACATTTCCTGGGTTCAATTCTGTGTTTGGGAAGGAGTCTTATTGCTCAGGTAAATTTGGAGATGTAGTCACAAATATACAATAAAAACATTTGGCAAGTTTTATGCAATGCGTCTATTCAGAGTAACATACAAATCGGACGTTTCTTTTGCTGCTTAGTATAGTTTTCCAAGAGTATGCTGAACAAAACAACTATAAATTCCCAGTAAAGGGATGGATAATATTCCTTCAGTATGTTTTAATTAATTTGATATTGATGTGAAAGGATACTTGGGATCTTTCTGTCTTCATTGATAACAATAAGATCTGTAAATTCTTTTTCAATTGCTTGTGGTATTATTTTCTTTAAGTCAAAACCTCTCCTTTTCATTGTCATGGCATTTGGTATAATCCTTGCCAGCTCTTTGCAAAATTTTCTAGTTTTCTGAAAGGAAAGATATTCTGCAATATACATATATGTACAAACAAATCCCATAAGAAAAGAACACTGTTCTGCTATACATGTATCTATACTAATATTTGTGAATGCTGTTTGCCTGTCAGTTCAGGGTTGGCGGCTACACTAGGGCTGTCGCGAGGCTGAAATTTGGTGTATAGGGGAAGCCGCAGACCAGGGAGTAACACAGGCTAGGTGGCATTGGCCTTCCAGTTTCAGAGTTTACTACTTTCAACCCATGCAGCGCCAGGTCCTCTGCTAGTGTTTTCATAAATTTACATCTAAAACTTCACCCCGGAAATAATAACACAATTACCTCCCTTGTTTTTCTATTCCCCACATGGAATAGCTATCTTCAAACGTTTGAATTTGAAGTTAAAAATGATATTTTTGCTAATTTCTCAACTGACAATAGTGAATTATAGGATTAATAGGATTATTCTTAAACGAGGTAGGACTGTTTATAGATACCATCTATTTTAAGGCTTTATTTTAATACATTTTAAAAATATAACTTAAAAATATGAAATTATCGCTTTAACTGATAAATTGCCAACCAACACAATTCCAAGCTATTTTCATTGCAGTCAAAGCAGATTAGGCTGTAACGATCAATACTAACTCATCACATGATCTGCTACATTTATACATGTACATGTACTTACTGAATTAATTCTATCGTCAGATGTTACAAGTATTTTTGGCGTTGATTCTCTGTTGAAGTAGGAAGCCATTTCATCTTGAGATTCATCTCTAATCACCTAATAAAATAATAAATTCAAGATTTTGCTTGGTAAATACATGAATGCCAAACTGCCAAAGTATTTTCATCATTGCTAATTCCTTGAACAAATACATGTACGTTAGATAATCAATTCGTTATCCATAACCATTTTCAGAACTACATGTATGGTTAAAGGCCTACATGTATAGTAATCAGAAAATAATTTCATATTAACATTTTATCAAGTATACATATATAGATGTAAGCTTACCTCTTCATCATCTGGGATAACCATTGTCTCATCTTTAATTCTCATGTTCTCAAGAGTCTTAGGAACTTGTTTTGGAGGGGCCTGTGTTAAAAACAAACACCACAAACATTTAAAACACATAGAACTGATGAAAAAAACACATACAGTAGAATCTGCATTAAGCAGCCACCCAAGGGAATTTTCACAACTGACCGCTTAACACGGGAGTGGCCTCTTAATAAAATCTCGGTGCTTTTTGTGCTGACATAAATTAAATATTACGCTTGGATGCATTGGAAGTGAACATCAATACTTGCATCGGTAAATTTGACCGTCGCTGAATCTTGCGCCGAACGAAAATTCTGTACTCAAATCTCGGACATAACTTCTGTAAACTTGTCATTTTGTACCAACCTTCGATGCTACTGTCTACCATTGTGATGCATTCGATAATATTTATCCATTTTTGTGAAGAAAATTGATGAATTAATTTTATTTTAACAAAAAAGCACATGAACAAAAAACCATCGCTGATTTTATCACCTATTTACAGGGGGTGTAACTCTGTATGTAATATTATACGAGGCGCTAAAACGTCTGTTTAACAACAAAGTGGCAATGGAAAAGAGATACTAGATGATCGTGACAAAACTCGTTACTTTTATTTTATTCAATCAGTATCAAATAATATGTCGTTACGCATGAAAACAATGATCAGGTTAGTCGTTTAATAAAACAAAAGATTAATTAACAGATAATCCCGGGTTGATTGTTATTTTTTACATTTCTTTTTACCTGATCAGTGGGGGTCCAGTTAATTAACTACTACTCACAAGATTAGCGGGGTGTTACAAAGAACGAAAACCGACAAGAGGGTATCATTTTTGTTGAATTTATTAGTAAAATAGTGACCGCTGGCCGCGTTAGAGGAGTGACCGTTGAATAAAGAGATGAAACAACAGAATTTTTACGGGGGGAATTTATCGTGACCGCTTACAAGGAGATGTTGCTGAATAGGAGTGGCTGCTCATACAGATTCTACTGTAACCATAAACTATTTGTATTTCAAACATTAGACAAATGACATAATAATAACAATACATGTATACCAAACCCAGGAATTTTGATTTACTGATTTTATAATGTTCCATTTCTTAAAATTTCAAAATTTGCATCCTCATTTGCGAATTTGGTCATCTGTTTCTACTAGATACATGTACATGTAACATATACATACATGTCTTGAAATGTCATTCTAATTGTCATATGTTCTTGTAGTTTTTATGTCATATCTGTTTTTTATTGTGTAGTTACCACTCATTGTCTATTGGTCATAGTTATGAAAATTAGAATAATCCAACCAGTGATGAAACACATTAAATCATTTCACATTTTCATTCGATTTATATGGTGCTCTATGTACAAACTACTTACAATTTACAATGCACTTACCTTGTCACCTAACATTTTTGCTTCTGTCTTCTTTCTCTTTTTTAGGGCAATTTTATCCTGTAAATAAACATTTTAAAGGTGCAATAGAACTGTATGATTCATCGAATGTTATTACCTTTCTATAAGCTGGTGTATTGATAGAGAGAGATGGGGTTCAACGTCCACTCAACACAAACTTGGTCACGTACATGCGGGGAATCGAAACCACACCATTGGACTCAATGACAGACCTTATTATAATTTCAAGCGTACATGTTAAGCCACTAGACCACTGCCCCCCTCCCAGATGTATAAGAAGGCAGTCATGGTTAGTTAGCTAATACTATTCTGGTAATCCCTTTTTTAGATGTCACTTTAATAATTAAGGTAAGAGAATTCGCAAGGTGGAATTAAAGACTCCAATCGTTCGGAGCTATTAAAAACAAATACTATTACAGATTTAACACAACATTTTTGGCAATGTTCTTGTAGTTTCCTGTTCTTCAGCATGGCACCAACCTTTTCATTCGGGATCAACCAATGCTCAATGAAGTTTCATCGAAATCAGTAATTTCATTTGTACTATTTCGTTTGTGTATTTTATTGTGAATTTTGATTCTAATTTACCTATAACCATATGATTTAAGATTGCTTAATAACAAATTATTACTGTATTTAATAATACACTTTTTGGGACACAATAACTCTCTTTCTAATTGAACTAGAATGTTCAAACTTGCCTTGGCGAGATATGATTCCTTTTGCGAAAAATAAACATTCACGGTGAAAAATAGAAGGTAGGGGTGGCGGAAGAGCGGTATTTTACCGTATTTTCATATTGAAGCTATATAGAAAGCGATAGGAACTGTCAGCGGACATCGTTCGATCAGAGACAGTTCCTTTAAAGGAACTATGATGCTATCTATCCATCAGTAGGCCTACTCCATGAGCAAACTATAGATTGGCTGTTGAAGACAATAATAAAACTTTAATACCTTTTTCTTTTGCTTCCTCATTTTTGCATATAGCTGTTTTCTTATATCTTTGTTTTTAATATCCGATAAACTTCTTTCGGGAAGAACAGATTCATTTTCTAATTTATCTGAAACCACGTTTTTATTTTTTGACGCCATTTTCTCTTGTTATTGAAAGGGGCGTTCTTTTGCTATTCATAATTGATTATTCTTTATTCTTTATTCTCTATGAATGCGTAAATATAAGTAATCATGAATATCAAATATCTGTTAAATATAGCACACCTATATAGTAGTCATCACCATTGATCTATAACTCAGCGGCCTATTCACAAAACAATAAGTAAAGTATGATATAATGATTACTCCCAAATTGCTTCAAACCTCGTATGGAAAGCTGGCATCGCCAAAAATTATAATATGGAAAACCTAGAAAAGGAAAGAGAGGCTCACAGACAGCCCTGCTTTTATTTGGCTTGACAATCTAAATCCTACTATGCCCAGAGTTCATTTTGGTCTTTTTTATGAATATTATAGATGGCCGCTAACGGGTTTTCCTTCTATTACAACTTGGAATTGGTCCAATGTAGCCTTATTTATATGGTTTTGTCCACTTGAATTCCAATCAAACAATTAATCTTCCCTAAAAGTCGATGAAATAAATAATGGATTAAGCCCAAAAAGAAAACGAATGCCGCACATTGAGAGAGTACCATTGAGCAGGGGTGCTGATTCAGAGTGGTGCTTGGTATTACACTGATTTTAAATGTTTTATTTTTTTCATTCATTGGCAATTTAACACAGAAACGTCAATTCACGAAGAATTAATAAAATAAACAATAACAGATGCGCGAAAGATGTCGCACAAGGCATAGTAGCTCAAAACCCAAAAGTCATCGCATTTCGGGCACTTTATTTTGCCCATGATTTGATAGCCCTAACAACTATGAATACTGCGATTGTGCATAGGCCAGGTATTTAGTAGTTGTGTCTGTGTGTGTGTGTGGGGGGGGGGGGGACCCACGTCGGTTGGGAAGGCTATGCTGATCCATGACACATACACACTTGGGATGGAAACCACACCCCTTGACCCAATGGCAGACCTTATTGGCTAAAGCACACCCGTTAGACCATTCGACCGCCAACCCCCAATTGCGATACAATTTTTGGCATTACTATGTTGTTAGATAATAGACACAGTCTCGATTATCTATTTTTATAGTTATTTCATCAACTACAAAAAAAAAAATTCACAATATATCGGAACCATTCGATGCCTCAAGGGTTGATTATGGTCTTGGTAAGTTAATTAATGTCTAATTAATAATCTATATAGCATTACAGGCCTAAAGAAAGACCCGCAAATTAGCTCTTGCATAATGCATAAAGGGGGCTTTTTAATATGTAATGAAGAATGTATTCGGACCCTATTATTTTCACAAGAACAGCAAAGTCGATGTAATCACTTTCTACCAGAAAATAAATATAAAAAATTTATTGTATCCATGTTCCAAATCAGCCCGAAAAGACTCTTTCGAACCTCAGCCTCTTTCATGGTTAATTTGAGGGGCGGCACCTATCCAATAGTCACTAAAAAGTCTTAAAAGGGCAATTCAGACTGGTTCAAAATAATTGTATACAAGTATATAGCCAAGTAAATCACTACAAGTAGAACATTATTTTTAAGTTCAATTCATAGATTCCCTAAGCGCATCTTTGGGATATTCAACGATTGGGTAAAAACTAATTTTCGATTTAACTCGATTTGACTATTATGATACAGTTACATCGGAAATGTGGGGGTTGGGGTGTTAGCAAAATCTGAGGGAAATCAGCCAAATCATTGCCGACATAAAAGTTATTTAGATTCGTTTTACAATTTTATGTAAATCTTACTAGAACTCACATAGATCCGTGTTCATGTGAGCAGTAAAACAACAAAAGAGAGTTGGTGTTCACATCATGGTTACTGAAAAAACCGAGGTCAGTAATCAATGATCATATGACGAACATTGCGAATTTCTGAAAACTGTCCCCATTTCCAACCCAGAGATCACACCAACGACGACGGACAGAACTAAAGGTTTGTGTTTACACGTTCATTTTAATTTCATTTTCCGCGATATGGCAAGTACTTAATTTATCATTCTTGGTAAACTTTAAACAGACCAGACCAAATAGAATTCGAAGACCAGGAGCTGTCACATTTGTCATCACGAATATTATATGAACTCTGAAATAAAAAGAATCAAAGTTAAATATAAAACCCAAATAATTTGTATTTTTAAATTTCAGAACAAAAACTATATTCTGTCTCCACTTCATTGTCAAATGAAACAATGAGTCAGTATAAGAAACTATTGGAAGATAATTTAAACTTTGAGGACGATTTTGTGGCCCGGGATCATAACATGTACACAAAATCTAAACTCAGAAGGCGTTCTTCCAGCCTTATTAAAGGAGTCTCTAGTATTCTTGGTGGTCATAGACGATGTCAGTCTGAATACAATTTAGAGAAGGCTGTGAATGGCGAAGTTCTGCAAAATGCTTCCAGCGAAGAGAATGTAACACCGGAAAAGAGAGTTAAAAGAAGTAAATCACTTTCTTGTTCTAGTTCAAAATCTAGGGTGAGATCTAAGGTTTTCAAGGTCAATTTAGGTGAAAGATGGATTGAGGTATCGGACTTAATTTTGAGCAAGAATGACCATGAAATCATCCGACTGGGTCTTTGTCTAAATGATCAGATTATTCATTGCGCCCAACTCATCTTAAAAAGTCAATTCCCGAAATTAAATGGTTTTCAGGATTTTAGATCCCACGAAATAGCCCAATTTAAGCGTTACACAGAACCAGCTGTCCAGATTCACCGCATTAGAAGATATCACTGGGTTTTGTCAATCGTTGATAGTTATTCAGAAGATGTTTTGGTACTTGACAGTTGCGATGAAGGTGGGGATGTGCCATCCATTCTAAAATCTCAACTTCACCAACTTTACGATCTTGGAAGAACAAGACAACACGTCAGTCTACCAAGCGCCCAACAACTGACCACGGTCCAGGACAGTGGACTCCTTACTCTAGCGTTTTTGGTCGAATATTGTATTAACAGATATCGTGGTGGCTGTTTCGTGATGTTTAAAACAACGTTAATGAGGACACATCTAATCCAATGCCTTAATGACCATCACTTCACCCCATTTCCGAAAGAGAAACCAAAACATTTCAGACAATTCTCTGAGTGATGTAATTTAAGAAGATTTGATAATAAATGTATATATGTTATAACCAATATTATTATTAAATGTTTGTTAGATTCTAAGAGTATATTTTATAACTTTAATTTTGCAAATAAATATCTTATTGGGTTTAGTGGGTATACGATCCAAGACAGCTGCAACTAGATAAGAAACCGCATCTCTCGGCCCCGCGGGTCTCGAGATAAGAGATGGTATATAGTTTCACCTTGCAAAGTACGACGCGAATCAGATAGTTCTTCAATTAGCAAAACTGTCAATTTTTTCTCCAAAACAACGATTATTACATGTCTGCCACACCCAACTACACTTAAGCGGCGTTTACACGATAATCCATACAACAGTTACTGTCGGATGCAACGGTCGCATCGACCAAATCATCAGACAAATGGTCGGATGCACAGCTTGTTGCATGGATAGGATCAGTTCTATTCTCATCCGACCAACTGATGCAATAGCCAATCAAATTGCGTTGTATTAGACGTCATATGGTGTATGACGTCATATCTGACTTGGCAACCTGAATAAAGATGCTTTCTTCTGTCACTTCGAGTATTTTGATGTCCTATAAAATTGGTTCTTAATCTATCTGCGACTGAATTAGAATGGACTTTGTGGAACCAGTGGCATCAAAACTACGCAGAGATGGGGATGAGAAGTATGGTCTTACTGCCATATTATTGAGTTACTAAAAAGGAATAAAGGTTGCCATACAATGAATAGAAGTTAGACCCATTGTATCATGTAAAGTCGTCCAATAAAGGCACCCAATCATAGCTAAAAACAAATGTACATAACAGTATATCTCTTTGGCTAGCTGGTTGTTATTCTGTACAACCAGGATAGACAACCAGAAGAGTCTACATAAGTACAAACGTTTTCAAGATAGTTTTCAATTATCCGGTTTTCCATTCCATCCAAAATACTAGACCCTGTAACTTGCACTGCCCTGGACCACAGACAACTTCAGGATCGAACCCCAGACTTCCTGTTTAGTGAGCCAGTGTGGCTCCTCGACTGATCAATGGTATCAGGTACACAATGTGATTGCTTGTTGATGTCATAAATTGCTGTAATTTAACTGTGGGGGAAATAAATTTACAATAATTTTATGTACCATTGTTGAACTTTTCTAAAAAAAAGTATGCAAAAATTGGCTTCTTATTTTTTAAATTTTTATTTGAACATATATGTACATGGTATTCACAACTCAATATTTACTCAAGAAAGATGGTTTAAAATATCTATGGATCGGTATAAAAGAAAACAAGCTTAAAATAAGAGAATTTCACAAGGCCTGATACTACCTATATAATGTGATATAACCATGATACCTGTATATTCAAAGTAACAAACTTTCACTATTATTATTATTATCATACAAAAGCAGCAGCCATTTACCATTTTCATTTTTAGTAATGATTACACTGATGGAATAGAAAATACTAAATTGGTAACAACTTCCATGTCCTTAAAAGAGTTCTTATTCACTCAACCTATACTATACAAACTTTTTGACTGGGCTGACAAACATGTTGTACTCATTAGTCATAATTGCATATTATATTTCTTGCTATAACTATAAACAAATTTTTAGCAATAAAATGGTGTCATTCCCTTTGCCAGACCAACAATTCCCATAAAAAATCAGACAGGTGTTGTGTGAAAAAGTTTTGGACTTGAATAAACCTTCTGTGCTATATTTAGCAGGAAAGTGAATTTTTGGATGTTACCCGATTCATAATTCTGTTCTGACATGAACAGTAAAAGTAAAAAATACATGGGGCTTTATCAAGACAAATATAAATTTCATTGTAAGGAAATTGTAAATGAAATTAATCACCAGATAATCAAAGGTCTGTCTTAATTTCCTATATTATTCTAAAAGTGTTGAGAAGTAGGCCTTTAATGAATATGGTTTGTAAATTATTCAGGACATATAATAATTTCATTGGTTTAAAAACTGTACACAGAGATCAATAAGTTTGTTAGAATTGTAATGGTAACAAATTACACTGATTTACAAAGATTATTTAATTGCCAACATATCATACAACTTATGAAATTCTTAATGATATGTTCAAATATGTAATTGAATATGTCATAATAAACATCTATGATTTTTTGCATTGTCTTCACTCTTATTCAGAAAGTAAAAGTAGTAGTGACAAGCAGCAGCCTAAAACAAAGATACTAGTAACACTTAAAAGATAACCCATTATGTCCAGATTAAGTAAAAACATGTAACTTCTTTCCTTTGAAGTAAATTCTTTGGTGAAATACCCATATATTAATAATAAATTAATAAAATTCAAACAAAATATTTTAACTACCGGTATGTATTTTGATACTTCTGTACATAAAAAAGAGCATTTGACACCATTTTATCCATTTTTCCAAAATACTTATAGAAAGCCATTTCACAACATTAATTAAATAAAATTACACACAAGCAAGGCTGTGAATTTCGATCTAACAACAAAGTAAAGTTTAATTAAGGCAGTTTAGTAACGCTTGACATTAGAAATGTCAAAAAATCTAAGCCATAAGGTTTTCAACATATTGAAATACTCAACTATTTACGGTACTTATAATAAATTATATCTCTACTAACATAATAAATATGAAAATCCGATTTCTTTACTCCATCTCATTTCCAAAAAGACAGAAGTGTATAATAGTTTTCATTCATACACATGAATTATACTTTGTTGTAGTGAATTCCAGAATTCTTTAAATATGATAAACACTTCAATAATCTATACAATAATTAAAAAGTTTTAATAATATAATATATACAGTAATTTTTTTTGTTTTTAAATATAAATTCAAAACATGTATATACCATATAATAAACTGCATTTTAAATGCACTTACTTTTATAATCATAATCAAATCTAAATGAAGTTTGTGAAGCTTTACAATAATAAATATGCTGTATAATTTATAATTTATTGAATGAACATCAACAAATCCTTTGCAGGTAATAAGTATGGAATGAGAAGGGAGTGAGATATTTATCTGGGTCAAAGTCATTCTATGCAGCTCCTTTTAATATTGTTATGATGTGATGCTAGTCCTTTCAAAAGGAGTTAATACAAAGAATATTTACCCCTTATAAATTCAACAAAAAAATTCTAAAGATATAAATGTACCATAAATAAAATCTTTTGATAAGATTGTATTGATTTTTTTTAACTGTCTTTGTATTGAATAAATTGTAAAGTTTGTGAAAATATATCTATAAGTTTAAGATCATTTTATGTTTCAAAATGATCCCAAAGATCTTTTTCATATCCTTCATGAACATGATCTAACAGAACTTTACGGCGACTTTCACAATACCTGAAATAAAATAGAATAGCAGTTCAAGATGGTTTCACAGATATGCTCTCTAAAACACAATACGTTTCTCATTTATTTTAAAAGATTGCATAGTTAATATTTGTTGCACTACTCTGAATATAGGTTGCACGGCAATCAAACCTACTCCAACCCGAATCTGTCATCCAAGCAATTATGAGCTAAAAAGATTGAATAATAATTAAAGCCCATGTGCCAACAAGATTTCATAACAAAGAGAAATACATGTAACATAGGCATTTATTATTGACAATCATTGAAAATCAATTTGGTTCTTTGTTTCAATAGGATGGATAACAAATTTCGCAGAGGATGGTTAATAAATGCTACCTACAAAGTTCTAAGATTTCATAAATGGGGGCATAACTTTGCAGTGTTAAATGGAAAAGACGAAAATCAACAGGCTTTGTTTCACTGACACAGATAAGCCTTATCATCATTTAATATCAATTTCAAAAAGATAAATGGACCATTGTAGGCAGACTAACAAACACAGTGGTGATGGCAACATACAATAAAATGCAGGTGTATAAAAGTAAATAACATAACACTAAGACAATTTGTCTGCAATATCACCCTCGGTGGAAGTGGACATTAAACACTAATAGAAGAAGAAGAATGCCCACCAAAATACTGCAGTAGGCTCCATTTTTTTTTTCTCCAAAAAAAAAATATAATCTTGCAAGGGAGATAACTACATTTTGGAAAGCTAGGTTGTCACAAATTTATTTAATTGGGAACATTTACAAGAAGCTAAAAACTGATCAATAACAACAACCCATGATGTACTTATCAGGAATAATCAAAATTAATTAGAATTAATAGCGAGCAGTAATAATAGATAAAAAAAAAAGACAACATTAAAAGTGAGATCATGAAAAGTAGACAAAAAATAAATAAATAAAAAAAAATACACCATTAAATCTTTAATTACCTATATTTATCTTGTACTTTTTGTTTGATGTCATGCAGCATTTCAGAAGATATATCTCTTTCTAGATATTCTGATAACTGTTCAGTGGCAATTTCTAAGTCTTTTTGGTTATCCTAAAAAGTAACAAAAACAAACCATGATAGTGCAATTTCTAAATATTTGACAGAACAGTTGAGGAAACATTCTAAAAAATTATTACAGTATGATAGAGTAAATTTATATTTCTCTACTTCATTTTACATACAAAATTCAAGGATTAACAAGGTCATTCAACCCTGGATTTGAAATTCTTGTCAAAGGTTATTGAAATGTTACACATATAACAGATCAACTGGAACCAACAGAAAATGACTTGTTAATGTTATTTGACTTATTTCTTACCATAAAAGAATTTGCATCATAAAATTAAAAACTCACTTATCACCAGCAATTTTATTACAAATCATAACTGAGTGATCAGTTTTTAATTGCAACATAATTATATTGTACATTGTAATTACCTCAAAAATAATTGATTGGTTATTTTTTCTAAGAAAGTAAGCAAATACATATGTGTACATTAAAGTTTGTCTACATTGACATAATACATCTACAGCTTTTCGTAAAAATTGAACTTCAATCCATGACATGTTGTGCTGTTGCATTTCTTCCATTTTGGTACGAACAGATGCATAGAGCTGTAAAAAAAAGAAGAGTAAACTGAACTGTTAAAATTCAGGCATCAATGCCATTATTTTCACATTACTGTAGTCAGAGCTGCCCGAGTCTTTTCTGTCCTTTTGATGGCTATTGTGAGTTTATGTCCAGTAGATAATCAGATAGAAAAGATGGTTTTTCCCTGTCAGTTTCTGAAGGTTTTTGAGTTTGTCATTCTTATTCTGTCCGTTACATATCTATACAATCAAAAGTAGAATTATTTACCTTTCCAATGATTTGTCTCCAACTTTTCTCCGACTAATTGTTATATTTACCTAAAACTGTTAACAAATCAAGACCTACAACGTATTGATATTTCTAAATTTTACACTGACTTTCAATATCAATTGTTGCTATTGTTTTGGACACAACTTCCAACATACAAGTCATAGAAATTCCTGGGACACATCCTAGAAAAGGCTAATAATTAAGCTTTTGATAATAGTTCATTAGGTGTTTCAGGAAGGGCGTCCACATGAAAAATCTCAAAACTTTGATTTTTACTTACTTTACTTTCAAATTTTAAACTCTGCATATGATTCATATATCTATTGCAGTAAAACAGATATCGCTGCAGAGCAGACCGGGATTTCTGAAAAAAAAAAACAAAAAAAAAAAAATAACCGATAAATTTCAAGACATTGATTATGTTTGTTACCATGATGCTTGGGTACAAGGTGAAATAAAAGTAAAACGCGTTTCTTTTTTTAAATTGAACAAAAATAACCAATTCTCATTAAGATTATTTTAATTTCAACTGGATAGTTATGTGCAATATTAGGTACATCATAATAACAGGTACAATTACTGACATTTTTATCACTTTCAACTGATGTAACTATCTCTCCTTCATTCATAGCTGTTTATTTATTGAATAAAAAATAAAATCCATTCTCTGGCTTAATAGACGTTTTTCGTACTCTATCCATTACATAAAGCTTCCAATAATAATCATTTAATATCTTGTGTTGACCTGAGATTAAACATCCTACTTTTCAGCTCCATCCTGACTAATGAAGATATTGCCAGGACAATGGCACAAAAGACTTCTCTTAATTTGAAATTCAACCGTAAAGGTTTTTAATGTGCAAACCTATAGGTTGATATCAAAAAGTTTAATCAATGATAAATTCATCACTATATACTTCTAATATATTTAAAATATTAAAGCAATTATGTGTATAATACACTTGAATTACTGACGGGTCTAACACCATAGATATCAAATTTCATAACTCATTTACCTCTTGGTTATCGCGAGCCTTTTTAGCTTCATCTTCATTATATCTATTACAGTTATACCTAAATATAAATGATTTTAGTCATTTCTTAATTCCTCTTACAAAAAAACCCAGATAAACAAAAAAATTTACCCCCACCTCAAAACCCCAACATGTGACTACAATTATATACATGTAGCCTACAATAAATCACAAATCATATACGTGGTAATTCAATTTAATATCAAACTCACAATTTTTTAAACACTATAGCCATAGAAAATGAAATGGTCAGGGTGAGGGGTTACTGCATGGGTCAATTTCTAGAATTAACAGAATGTACAGGATTTGAATTTGTTCATAGTGTCACAGAAATTATGTCATCTGTATGGTTTGAACTTGCACCTAGATTAACAATCACATATCAGACATCTATACTGGAAGTTTGTAGGATGGTTTAGTGGAACTAAATACCAGTCTTCTAGATTTTTTCCTATAAATTTTCCAAAAGATCAATTTCCAAAGACATTAAGCTAAATATGCAGAATAAACCTTACCAAGATGAACCATGTGGTTCCCAAGGCCCCAAACAAACCCAGCAGAAATCAGCTTTACAGTTGTGATTTTTACATACAATATGATTACAACCACCATCTTTTTCAATGGTTACATTACATTTTGGGCATTCCTGAAAGCACATAAAGTAAAACTGTAATTATATGTATGTGTACATGTTTTAATAAACATAATCTGAAAATTCACTATTTCCAGGTATATAGATTGAAAATTCATTATTCATGTGGTGTACCATTATTATTAAACAAATTATGAGGTTTGTTAGTTACGTCAATGCATCTAAAGATAGGTATAGTAGGTTTAATAGTGGTAAAACTATAGCACAGTATTTCAATTTTTCATAATATATGGACAGATAATTAAATATTACCTTTGTATTTGCAGCAATCCAATTGGAAGTTTCACTATCATCATCACATTTCTTAATCCATTTCCTTAACCAGAAACAGCGCACAGGATCATGCCAGTTTTCACCACATGCAAAACTGTAATAATACAAGAAAAGCAGACTATATTCTGTGCGTTTGGCAAAATGGAGTGCTACTATCAAAAAAATATCACCGTTATCAGTACTACAAATTACTAGAGACCAATTAAACTTTTAGATACTCATACATAATTCTATCTATTTGACAATTCTGTAACTGTCAAATAATAGCCTGAAATATAAACTAAAAACAGACATTGCTATACTGACAATATTCAATTTATCTTAATATACAGCAGCTCTGTTCAATTCTACTCATATACATAGTATTAATAGGGATGTTACAATAACAAAGTATTTTGACAAATTAAAATGTGCAATGTTTTTTCGGCATCGAAGGACCCGGAGAAAACCCACAAGGTTGGACAGGCGACCCTACTCCTTGTCACGTACAACCGGGGATTCAAACTCTGCCAGTTGACTCAATGACAGACCGTATGATACAGCGCAGCTGCTAACCATTCAGCCATCCAACAACCATACCCGAGTTGAAAAAACTTTCTGAAAAGTTCAAGGACATCACTACAGGAAAAGGAAAATTGATCGGCGCTGTGAAGGACATTATCAAGGGACAATTATCCGAAATTGAGTTATTTGTATCTGACGATGAAAGTACTTTTGACATTGATATAGTAAAACTGGAGTGAGCAGCACAGACAAATCTGGGCTGCGAGTCTAATTTCGCACGTCTGGATAATTAAAATAAAAGTGTCGGGTGGAATGACTAGTGTAGAAACTCATTAAAAAAAAATGATTGTCTCTTCAAATGAGCTTTTGAATCTAGAAATCGAGGAGAAACAACATAAGTGGAAGTGGGCTAGATGTTCAGATGCAGTGAAGACTGTTAAAAAGCTAGAGAAGATTTTGTTGCCACAGCAAAAGTCAGAAGGCAATTGTCACTAAAAAGAAAGGAAGACCTGAAAAAAAAAAGAAATGATCAAAAATGCTTGAGGTTTTAGAATCATGTAAGGAACATGGTGGTCCAATTACTGTGTCACCATTGTGTTAAACAAAATGGCTGCCATTTATTTCTCTATATACAGCTTTATTAATATTATTAATTCCTGATCTACTTTATTAATTACCTTTCCAAAGTTGCAAGTCTTACATCTTAGTTTTGTATCCATAACTGACAGACAACATAATTTTCACACAGAGCCCGATGGCGCCACCTAGTCCAATAATTAAAACCTTGTATCTCAGATTTTTAAGGTTTTGAGTAGACACAAAAACTAAATAATTTTAGTAATATTTTGTCTAGGGAAATCATCTTGTAGGTATAAACAAGAGAAATTACTATGAGTTTATGAAAAAAATTCAATGGCATTGAAGTGGAGGAGAGAAATGCGTACCGAGATACATTTTGTCTCCGCAGTCATCTCAAGATACGACAATTTGAGCAAGACAAGACTATTTGACACCCTATTTTATGTCATTTCATTGAGATACGACTTTTCATCAATACTATTTTCAGACTGTTTCCAGTTTTGCAATGCATAATCTGTTCAACCAGGCCTGTCAGAAATAAATAAGAGCTTGACTTATAGTGTGCCAGGTTGATTTCTGAGTCGTTTCCGTACATGTTAATAAGTCACGTGATATCCTAGATTTGCATAATATCAAAGATAGCGCTGTGCGTAAGAATGCTATGGAGAAGTGTAAAGGACAAATGAGATGTAACAGAGCGCAAATAAATGTTAAGATGTTGACACGTCAGTTTCCAATAAGACATTAATTTGTCATTTGGCACATTACTTTTTAAGTTTTACATTGGCCTTCGGGGTATTTTGACTTTATCATTACTGGTATTTAACTTTGGCCTTCGGGGTATTTTGACTTTATCATTAGCGATATTAGGACTTTGTACTTTTTACATAATTATAATCAATCCACAAGACATTTTAGCAGAGCATTTAATACTGGCAGCGACACCCTTTCATACGATTTTTTATTTTTGCAAAAAGAAGATTTTACAGAAAACTAATGAATGAAGGAAATGGGCTTGAACATTCTACTTTTCTACTCCAACCGGGCTAATGAAGACAAGCAGTGGGCTCTGACAACCATTTAATTACAACCATTGAATTACAACCGTCAAGGGTTCTTTTTCTGTGGATAGCAAGGTGTACACAAGGCCACGTTTTTTTTGTTCCATCCCTACTATCCTCCATCCTGCACCACTAACAAGGGGATACCACACTGGAAAACCCTGGGGAACTTTCAGGTCCAACACTGAGATGGAACCTGGGATCTCCAGCTTAGTGAGCCAATGCCTTACTCACAGAGTCACTACAGCTGAAAAACATGTGTACTTTACTTACCAGAATATATGGCTACAGGAACACTGAACAGGTTTACAATCAAAATATTTTACTTTAACAACATGACCACAATCTGGTGCTGGACACCAACGTAATAATCTATTACACTAAAAATAGAAAACATACGTTACGAGACAACTAAACATACTTGTAGCTTTTTCATCCACTCAGTATACAAAATTTGAGGAAGATCTAAAGACCCCAGTATAAATTTTCTAACAGAAGCCCCAAGTTGACCAACAAAACATGTGACAAAAGGATGTAGAGTTTATAACAAAGAACCAAAACTATAAAATCTATAGGATATCTTCCTTTGAATTAGTAGTATTTGCCTGGATGTTCAAATTCAAGTTATTGTGATCCAAACAATCAACCAATCAGAATCTGTAGGTCAATTAAATATGCTTTGATGTTCGAACTTAGGCTACTGACTGATAATAAATGTATATTTAGGCCGCGGTTAATTAATTGTATGTTTCTCATAACCTGAGTTTTTGAAAACAACATGCTACATGAGGTAATTATTAATTATTAATTATTGAGATGCAGAGATGAAATCCAAAACTTGTCGAAAAAACTAAAGCAACATAAACTCTTATAGCTATGGGCATGCTGTGGTTTATAATATAAAGCTCTTCAGTCCATTGATGAGTACACAGGAAGAGATCTTTTTAAAGAAAACTCTGGGAACATCTATCATCTACATGTACACTGGCTATTAATATTATAAAGGGCTCCGGGTTAGTATAATTCTTTTTATTAAGTCATTTTTCTCTCTCAAAGTACATTAATTTCAGAGTTGATACCGATAGTCTATATTTTTTTTTAATTTTTGAACACAATTAATATCAATACAGTATTTTAAAGTTTCCAACAATTTAAGAGTAATTATATCAAAAGATGTCTGGTCAATAGTGGTGTCCATTTCTGACCAAAACTTCGTCAACTTCGAGCGAATCTTGAGGCGGCAGGAAGTCGAAATTATTGGCACCCGTACCGTTGTTTCTACTTTCAGTTTCATTATCGACATGTGCGAGTCAGTGTCTCGAATTTCTCTATGACTGAGGCACATACGGTTGTTATCAACTCATTCTCTGGGAAAATCTTTGCTGTTGGTTTTAACAGTATAAATGAATTTTTTGTCAGGACAACAGTACACATGCAAACAAGCATTTTGTTGCGCAGAGCAGACGAAATTTATCAATTTATGCCGTCTGCTTTACAGTTACAAAAGATGTGATTATCCAGTAAGGGTAAATCAATGGAAAAACGTGACTGGTTAATAGAGTGTTATGAAATTAGATGGCGCTACAAACGCCATAGTATTCTAGTTCTATGGATCTACATTGTATTACTGTTGTCATTCCTTTTTAAATACGTCTCAGCGATAAATGAGAAATTAACATAAATCCTTAAAGGAAAATGTTTAAAAGCCGAGTTTATGGAATTTATTCGATAATATACGACACCATGTATTAAAATTTCTTCCAAGACAACAGTCATGTCAAAATCACTGACTAAAAGTGTGTCTGGGTAATCGCGCTGGCTTCATATTAGAACATCCGGTTTTACGGAAGGACTTCGTATTTTTGCCGATTTAATTATACACCGTAGACGCGTGTAGAGTTATAAATAGAACAGTTTAATAGAACAGTGTAATATGTTCCATATTCAGTTACATATTTATGGATAAAATAAATAGATTGTTCATCGCTGAGGCAAAAAAAAAATGTGGTTTTACAAATATTATCAACAAATTTTCTCCTTACTAAATTTGACCGAATAATTAGAGAAGTGCGTGATTATTACGGACGAAAACAGACATGCGGGCAGGTCATGAGAAACAGACAATTAATTAACCACTGCCTTATCAAAAGTCATTCACCGAGTATATAATAGGATCAACCTATCAAATGCAGTAGGCTTTTTAATGTGCATGAATAGCGTACATGTTTGAGTACCTTTACTGCTTTCAAAGCGCTTGACAGAGGGATAGAAAGACTTAATTTCATCCAAATACTGACCTCTACAAAACTGTTAGTTATAATCTGTTGATATTTCAATTTAACTTTAGGATCTTTTAAAAGGGACCTGAAAAATAATAAATATTTAAGGAATGGGCTAGGAAATTTGCAGACAGGCAATTTTTCTAATGTATATTTGCTGTCCTAATAATTTGACACCAACATGTAGGACTCCTATTTTAAATTTATCATTAGCAGTAAAAAGGTTTACAGCAGGCATACATGTAAAGTAATGGAAGAAAGACAACAATATCTTTTATCAAGTTTTTACATCAAACCTCTTCTGGATTAATTCAGCTAAGTACTGTATAATACTAAAAAAAAAGTAACTAAAATTTAGGTCCAATTCTGTAATGGACTAAAAACTAAAAATGCTGAACAATCTTTGCAAAACTGTTTTATTAAACCTAATACTAATATAATCAATATTTCTAACTCTTTCATGGTCAACAACGCAAATGATTATAATTGATTTCCGAGTAACTTACATGACAGTAGCATCATCCACTAGTATATCACAGTTAAAGGCAGCACATGATATTGTCTGACCCATGCCTTCATCCATTATTTTTGCTGTGAGGTAGTCTGTCCAACACTCTGCACAAAACCTATGACCACACTCTAACCCAGTCATTGCCTATGAAAGAAATACCAATTGTACAGGCTTATACAGTTTAATAGTATAGTTTTTTTTTTAAATGATCTAAATCATAAATAAGCTATTACAGAAAATACTAAAGATTCATTATGCATAGTATTTCCCAATTAACAATAACCACTGTAAGTCCTTATGAGTGACAGGTTAAGTATTGTAATTCCTTGTCCAAAATTATTAATCACAAGGGAGAAACAGAAATGTCAAGTACATGTAGAATTATTTTCTTGCATTCAAGATTTTCAATTGCATATGGCTCTTTAAGTTAGTTATATGTAGAAGAGGTTCAATCACTGATAGGTTCTGGGAAAATGCTTCAAAACATTCAATGAACTTACTCCCATCGTTTTTCCTAAGCAGCAAATTTCACAGACCATTTCCTCGCTACCAGCAGTTGAGCGAGTTACTCTTTGCTGGAATACAAAAATAAATATGTGAATAAAGTATTATTCAACTGATTCGCTCTGGTTACCACTCTACTACCGGAACTAAGGGTGTTACTTGCTTTCTTTCCTTCAGGAATATTGGACTGGGCATTTTGTGTTTTACTTGATTCCGATCCAAGTTCAAGTGAGCTTTTTGTAGCTCTCCTTGGGTTTACTGTAGTAAGGTTTTAAATGCTGACTACAAAATTGAACAAAAATGTTATACATGTATGGAAATTGAAGAACAATGCTGACTACAAAATGGAACAAAAATGTTACATGGAAATTGAAGTACAATGTAGGAACATTTAATCAGACATCTCAAATTTGCTGGATTCTTACTCTGGATTTAGCAGGTTCTCTTCTATGTGGATTTACAACATGAGCTTCATTAAACAATCTGTCTTGATCACCATCGTAATATCTATAAATAAAACAAATATTGAATATTAGGAAATACATGTAGAGTGATGGGTGGTTCATCAAGTATGGAAATAAGCCATGCATCACCCACAACGTCAGGCATAATTCCACTGGTGTCTTTATTAATATTTTCAAAACACAAGCTTTACATAGTTGGTTATGTTATGTTAAGCCAAATGTAGTTCCTTATTTTCAGGTCCAGCCAAAAACTGGACAATAACAAAAAAAGAACAGGAATCACATGTAAGCTGATACCGTTGACTAATGAAGCTAGGCCTTTTAGTAATGACAATTTTTGTCATTAAATCATATAAGTGGTCAGTATTCTAAACTAATGTTTAGTATGTATAGAAAGTGGTTAGAAATTGTACAGTTGTCATTAATTAGCAAGTGTGTAACTAGCTGTTCGTTCGTTTCTGGGGTTTTACGTCCACTTCCACCTAAGGTGATATCGTAGACAAGATTATCTAGCTGTAAAAAATGTGACTATTTATAACACCAATCACTATTGAATACACAAACCTAACCAATAGTGGTGTATATAATTCAATAGTCACGGAGTTAACACCGTGACAAAACACCTACTTAATGATTACTAACAATTTTAACTAACTAATACACATTATGTATATAAACTGATGACTTTGATCTATTAGTGTTGTATATTTTCATTTATAACAGTTATTTGTTATTGCTTAGTCAACGATATCAACGTTACAGTGAATATCCATAAAGGTCATTTTGAAACTAACATATGGTTAGTTTACATTACCAGTGCTGTTTATTAAATGACTGTTGGATGGCCGAATGGTTAGCACGTGCGCGCTGTATCATTACGTCTGTCATTGAGTCATCTGGCGTGGTTTCGAATCCTTCATTGTACGTGGCAAGGAGTAGGGTCGCCTGTCCAACCTTGTGGGTTTTCTCCGGGTCCTTCGGTTTCCTTCCACTGCTAAAGACCCCTAAGCGCAAGAGAATTGTTGAAATAAAATTGAACCATATGTTAGTCCCGAAATGACCTAGTCTGTGTCGAGTGGACGTTAAACCCCATTTCTCTCTCTCTCTTTATTAAATGACAATGGGCAATACAACATCAGGTTGAACATGTGAATCAATTTGCCCAGACTGTTGCATTTCTGCATCCGGTACGGTACTTTCCTTCTTTGTATAAGAATCAATAATAAGAGGATTTCTCCTGAGATTAAATTGCTCCCAAAGTTTATCTACATGTTGGGCATTTCATTTTTAGGATTCATTATTGCTCATATACGTGCACTCGCAAACCAGAGGATAATCTTTGTGTTTTATCTCATCGAAGTAAAGATAAACTGCTAAACTGAACAGCAGCCAGTCAGCATCAACCATGGTCACAGTTTGCAGGGCATTAAGTTAGCCAATAAATTAAGGTCATAATATATATATATATATAAATACCTCTCCATTAACTTTTCCTTGTCCCATTTAAAATGGTTTAGTAGAATTCTTGTTATTGTAGCTGGAATCTAAAACGCATTGTAAGCACATTATTGAAAGTTTATTCACAAAGTACATATACAATGCAAGTCATCAATTTGTAAATTAAAACAATTGTTATTATCAATTGTTATGGTACTTGATTGTGGTCTACTTTAATGTTCATTATTCCATAGTCCATGAGTGACCATTAATCTGAATATGTAATTATGCTTTAATTAAGTGTATAGGGTGCAACGGCTCTGTGTTTGTTTAATAATATAACTGTAGCCACTGTAGGGTTATAGTGTGGGTCTACTATAAATTTCAATAATCACTGTCGGATGTCTGTGTGTATGCCTGTGTATCTATTTTTAGTATCACACAAGAGTATCAACCAAATAGTTAGTCACTGAAATAGTGAAATAACGATCAGCCCAGTGTATGTACACAAACTTGCATTATAATAAAAAATTGGACATCATATTTGATGAAATCTCTGCACGGTAGCTCATCTAGACATGCACAAAAGATAAAACGAATAAGCAACAAATGGAAATGGTTAACTTTTTTTAGTTTCTGTTGTGACCCACAACTCATCGAAACTGTCAATCAATGACAATATCCTGCTTGCCAGGCTACATTTTCTTTAAATATACAAATCTTAGGTAAGATACCTGTACAACTGCATTCACTTCTTTGATGGTATCTACCATAAATTTGACAATCTCATCTGCTGACAGGACTCTATGCTGAAATTCTTCGTCCTCTTGTCGTTCATTTGCAGAAGATTGCTCTGCGTTTCCCATTTCTATGGTTAATTCATCGTCATTATCAGAGGGCTCTGATTCAGATTCGTCGGGCAAATAATCCTCGTCGCTATCCATGGCAAGGTATTTATTAAATAACTTCTTTTTAAGACGTAAATTAACAGCAGCACACCAGTTCTTGGCTTGCTTTCATAGTCTCCCAAACTGGCAGACTACACAGAATTCATGACTGTGACGTCACTTTCGGGGTTTCTCTCCAGGCGGTGGCAAAACCGAAATTAACGGTATCTTGTATCTTAATGTGGCCTACTTTTGTATGGAATTGAAGAATAAACAGAGACAGGGTCTGAAAATTGTGTATTTTGTTGACAATCTATGAAAACGCAGGCACATACACATTACGAAGATGACATCACCTTCGGTAGTATCTCCGAAAATGGCATTCTGGGAATCTGTCTGTTGATACCTTCAACATAAGAGCATTAATCAAGGGAGGTAATTTTGATAGATTGGTTATAGGAGACAGACCGCCAAAAATTATTCCATTGAATATAATTGCTATGAGAGAGAGATAGAGGGAGAGAGAGAGAGGGGGGGGGGGTGGAAGAAGAGAGAGGTGAGGGAGAGAAAGCTGTCTCCTATATATCCTTATTATACTTGAATATTGAATAATTTACCGTTGTTTATCACACAAATTAATATTTCATCATGTGCCATTAAATTCTTCATTACATTTTAATATGGAACGACAATGAATGACAATGTATGATCTAACTTCCTTCAGCGCTGCAGGTAAACTGTTCGTGAGTGTTTTTTTTCAATTCCATTTCAATTAAATTCAAACTTATTAAATTTAGTCCCGTTCTCTAAACCGGACTTTTTATAGGAAAAAATAGTGATTTCAGATAATTTTTATTTTAATAAACAGTTCATTACTACAGGGACAAGCGGCAATAATAATACAGTTAATTATAAATCTCTGGTTATTAGCGGTATACATTTTCCTGGATGTATAACGTATAATAACCTTCATATATTATTGGAATTACTTTTCAGGTTGTGGGTAAGAGTGTAGGTTTGTTAGTATTAGTTCCAGGCAATATTAACAGAATAACAACATGATGATAATATTAATTCAATAAATACCATTTATTATAAACAATTATTCAATATACTGTACAATGTTGGGGTTTCTATATACAATTTAAAACAGTATCGTAGGTCTATTCATTTGTATATTTCCCTCTTTAAATGGAAAGACACTTTTTCTGAAATATGACGAGTAACATCTACTGCAGACAATAAGACACGGGAATTGCACTGGATGTCACTATTGTCTGGGAAACGGTGACATTTTTCCTCTTGATAAGCACTTGACTAGATGGGGCCTCATCTGCTTTGTTTTGAAATTGATTTTATATTCACCAAGGTAAGTTCTAAAACAATATTCAGTTAAAAATGCAATAGCATAAACACCACAATCATATTTATTCAATTGTTTAGGTACCCGCGGAATTGTAACTGATAGTTTGGGCATGCTTGTTCTATATATTTGTGTGAATTGGATTTCCAAAGACGCTGTTATTGGGTCTTTGTAATGAGCACTGTCTAAAAGAAGAATATCAGAATACGGAGAGTCTTTAATGGACGTTACCCAATGATTTCTACCATTATGGTGTATCTGAGCACACGGCTCTTTCACCGGGTTGAATTTTAATGGACTAGTCAAATTCATTCCTGTTTTTACTGGAGCATGATTTGGATCCTGTAGACCATGTATACCTGGAAACTGTTTTTTAAGCAAGAGTTGAGCGGCATGTATGATATCATCATTGAGACATTTTCCATCTAAAATCTCCGTTCGATCAGCATTTGTTAAAATGACATCAGAAACATATAACCAAGTACTTTTAGGTTTAGTTATATTCATAACATCAATATTATTCACGGATAAAGATCTCTGACGTATTTCTATATTGCCGCAATCTTTGTTGGAACATAGCCCAGTATCTACTGAACCACACATTTCCTTTCTTAAAGTTTCTTTTCGATTACGCCGAAAGAGTTTATTAAAAACCGCCAGGAACCCCTTTTGTCGTCTTAAATCCTTTTCTTCTTGTTTGACAGCTGAATGCCCACCAAATAACCTTTCTTCTATTTTGGATATAGTCATTCTTTGCTCTTCCGCCCTGTAACTGCTACAGAAAAATACAAACATATTAAAACAAGCCAAATAAAATAACGCAAGGTGTTCTAAAATTGTTTCAAATACATATAAAAGAAGTCAAAGAAGAAAATAAAATGTACATGAAGACAGTGAGAGCGCATTATGTAAAGCATTAAAGCAACTTTTTGATTCTGTCTTCTTCAGCAATATTTTTATTCAACCCCTCTCCCTGATCTTCTTCAGCACTCAAAATGCCAAAAACTAGGCCACGTTACACAAAACCGATCTGAAGGTACATGAATCATAACGTTATTTTTCGGTCGTTTATTTCGATTTGATCTTCAATTTCTGATGAATGTTTAAATTCAAATAAGGTAATTAGTTGCCTTTTTTAATACAATGGTGTCTTAAAATCTCACAGAAACGTCTATGTATGAATTTGAACTCGCCCTAAAAAAGAGAAGATTTCTATTTAATGATACTTACCGCATTGTAAATATGTAACTATATCAGTTTATAAAGTACTATATATAGCTCTCAACCACCCCTACACAGTATAGTGAAGTTGGTTGACGGCAAGTATCTTTGAATATATACATGTATGTATCTATTATAGATGTAAATCTTGACAACTTGTCATTAAGTTGACAGCGTATTATAATGACGTAGGAATAGGGGTCACGGGCGTCATTGTCTTTGATATGATTAGAGTCCTATATTATATGACTTGAGTCCAAGCCATTAAAGTCAATCAGCCTAATCTGTGTACATATGGGCTTCATTCTATCAATTAAGACATTATTAAACACTCGTCATAAATTACTTGCATAAACACTCGTACTTACTGATTGAGAAAACAAAGTCTTTAAATAGAGACACTATATATTTGTTTTTTTTTTGCACATGGTTTGCTTGAAATTATCAAAGGAAATATATAAATTAAATCCTAAATATGCAATCAAGTATACAGCGGTCCTGCTAATCACCGACAGGAGCGTTTGTTTGTTGTAAACAGAACGTAAACATATGTGGTTGTTTTGGAAAAGTCGTATTATCGATTTTTTTTTCTACAAGAAATGACACGAAATAAGGTTTAAACATACATTATGCAAGAGCTAAATCTGTCTAGTGCAGGTCTTTCTTTATGCCTGAAATGTTATCTAAATTATTAATTAGACATTAATTAACCTATCCAGACCATAATCAACTCAATATGGCATCGCTAGTCTGCGATCTTTAGTGGATTGTGAGCCGATTTACTCCATAACTTTCCTTCATGATTTAACGATTAAATGGACAATCGAGACTATGCTGTTTATCGTACTGACTTTAGTAATGAAGATCAAGGCTAGGCGGAAATTCAACCGCCTTGTTCTCGGTTCATAGTGGATCAATTTGAATGAAATTTTCAGCAAATTGCCTTTACATTATCTAGTTTTGAACTATTATAGTGAGAACTGCCAACCTGTTATCGAATCTCCCATAATGTATCTTTAACGTTCCATGCTAATGAGGACGGGCATACGCCCATGCAGCGTGGTATTAGTAACACTGTGCCCAGATAGCTGCACTTCCGCCTTTTCTTCATCGAATTCCAACAGTCGTGCAGGTTTATTTTACGTACACGCCAAAAGAGACTTTTGGCAAGCGTAAATTCCTAGTCCGTATTGCGTATCCGTAACGATTTTGCGTGTGACGTCATCAATGCGTGTGTATTTCTCATACGTGATACGGCACACGGACACGGCAGCATGTATCGAACAGCTTTCATACGGAAAAGGCCCGTATAACATCGTCGTTTTTTTTTATCGTATTTTGTTATACCGTAGCGTTTTAATGAATCTATGTGTTTCCTAGAACACGAAGGTGTATATTTGATGTGATTTTAACCATGGCAACGCCTGGAATTTAATCATTACTTTCGATGAGCTTTTCGCGGAATTTTCATATTTTTCCTGTCTGTCTGCACGCTTGTTGATCTACGTGCTAAATTTAGGGAGGCGTGACCTTGCAAATCTGTAAAAGGGGTATATTTTTAATAAGATTCGACACAATTTTTTTTTTTTAAATAAGTCGAACGACTTCACTCCCTTCGGGAATTTGTAGACTAGGCACTTGATCAGTACTGATGTTGATCTTGGTAGATAACTGTCATCATGCTGTAATAGAACTACGCTCAGCTCAGCTACCTATACGTAGACGGCGCGAAAATTTGCCAAAACTCTAAAACTAAATTAGCGCAACGTATCACGTGACGATACGGATACGAAATGAAATGAAATGAAATGGAGTTTAACGTCCTACTGTTCTGCTCCTATGCTGGGCTAATGAAGACGGGCATACGCCATACAGCCTACTCTTATATCGAATTCCAACCGCCAAGGGATCTTTTACGTGCATTCCAATGTATACACGGGACCTCGGTTTTTCGTCTCATCCGAAGGACTAGACAACTGTCCTTGTGAGGCCCTCCGTCCTGCATCACTGACAAGGGGGAACCACGCCGGAAAATCTGGATGAACTTTCTCGGCCAATGCAGGGATCGAACACCCGACCTCCAGGCTAGCGAGCCAGCGTCTTACCCACTTAGCCACGTGATCCCCCCGATACGGATACGTTATACGGATGGGAAAAATTCCACTTGCCAAAAGTCTCTACTATTCGACACCCGTGCCCCGACCAAGCCACCCACGCCCTTCCTACACCACCGACTAGGGGTGGGGGGGGGTGTCGCACAGGAAAATGGCGAGGAACTTTGTCGACCGACACCAGGATCCCTTGATTGGTGAGCCAGCGCCTTACCCACATAATAAGAACTCAATATATCATACACGAAGCCGAATAGACATCTGTTCTGCACCAACCGGGTCTAATATGGACGTTTTTGGAGATTTGTCTAATTCCAAAATAAATGTCATTTTCAATGAATTTTCTGTGTTTATTTATGTTGTACGATGGCTTCGTTCAAATATACAAAGCCCATGTCGGGATATAATTGATTATAGTTATGTTTCTGTGTCGACACTCAAAGACAAATATTATTATGAAATTAAATTGGCAAACAAACCAACTACCTCACAAATTTGCAGTAATAATTTAATCGCATGTAGTCTGCTACATCACTAGATAAATTCAATTCAACACCTTACTTCGACCTAAATCAAAGAGCTGTGTTTATATAAGGAGTTGTTTGCATCTAAAAAAAAAAGAGTTCGAATAGTTTGAATCAGCAAATACATTTATTTTTGAAATGCAGATGGGTTGACTGTTTATTTGATCAAATGCCGTGGTGCTGGTAGTATTGGTAGTAGATTAACTGCAAGTGAAATAGATGTTAGCGTCCTACTGTTCCCCACCAACAGGGAAGCGGCACTACGACCTACTCTTTAATTCGAATTCCAATTGTCAAGGGGTCTCAACGAATACACGTACCACCAAAGGACTTGACAGTTCTTCTTGTCAGGATCTCCGTCCTGCACCACTGACAAACGGAAACCACGCTGGAAAACGCTGAGGTACCGGGATCGAACGCGGAACCGCCTAGTTAGTGGTCCAGTGCCGTACTCACTGACCTACATAACCAATACTTTCCAAAGACGTTGTCCAGAAAACAAATATAATCATCGATATACATGTATAATGATTTTATTTGGTTAAAACAAGTAGCATTCATGCCATGCAAGATGTGGACCAAAGATGGTAACATACGACTATTCCCTGTCCTATCCCTTCTTAAAGAGGGAGGTTGGATGAACTGGTGGTTCAAAGCGTGTGCGTGAAATCTAAAGGGCTGGTTTCGAATGTCCGCTTGACGTAACAAGGAGTAGGGTCGCCTGTACAACCTCGTCGGTTTTCTCTGGGTCCTTTTCTTCCACTGCTAATGAACTCTACGCAAGCGAACTATTGAAATAGAGTTGAAATGACCTAGTTTGTGTTAAATGGACGTTAAAACCCATTTCTCTCCCATTAAAATCTCTCCAGCAGAAAAAACCAAGACTTTTTTCCAAGTTCCATTTGGCACTCTAGACGGTAGAAATTAAGGGCATCTTGCCTGCAGCTCAAACAACATACATTAACAACAAAAGTAAAATCTTCAATTATAAAATGTATTCATCTATGTCAATGTCCTTCTCCCCCTGTTCCCTCTCTTGCACCTGTCTCCCCCTCTCTTCCCCTCATTCCTGTCCCCAACTCCATTCAACCATTTTTTTTTACAACGTTTTTGAAATTATTTTCCATCGCATCCTTGTGATGGAGTTTGATCACACCTGCAATAAATGCAAAAAATGTACATAAAAAACCCACGTTTGTAATTCTTTATATCATTCATGGTCTAGGGGTCTGTCAATGCAAGTGTCAAAGCGGTATGTCGGATGTTTCTTATTTTTTGTAAAAAATATAGTTGGTCCATGATTTCTTCTAATTTGATAAGCTTACTTACTCTGCTGATTAATTTGAATTCTGTTGATGATGCCAAGACAAAAGAATAGTTAAATGTAGTTATTTAAATAATAAAATCACATAAATTTTACCTAATTTAATATTATTGTAGAGAAAGTAATAAAATATACTTATCTTTTTGTCTTTAAGGTCTGTGAAAATAATGCACAGTTGTGTACCATTGCAATGTCTTCAGTTTCTTGTTAATACTAACTTCTATTATGTTGTTTTACACTAAATCTTTAAAGCAAAAGCCAATTTACTATCTTGAAATCTGTTTGGTCATTCAATGGGCCACATCCAGCCAGATGTTGCCATATGTGGGCCATAGTGGGGCCAAAGCTGAGTGGCTGTCTGGGATATACCTCAAACTATAGGCAACTATTTCTCAGTGGAATGTTGATGTTCCAGGGCTGGAATAGTCCTTAAATTTCGGCCAACCAGCTTTGACTGATTTGGCTGGACTGATGCCCTATTAAAAACGCCCTCCGATCACCCCTTCTATATGTGTACTGAATCCATGCAGTGTGCTACGAACCACTCCTATTTCAAATTCCCACTGTGCACGTCAATGTGTACACGGAACCCCAGCTTTTCGTCAGATCCGCACGACTTATCAGGCCGTCCGTCCTGCATCACCGACAAAGGGAAACCACGCCTAAAAATTCCGAAAAACCTGCCTCGGCCAACACAGGTGCGAACCCGAAACCTTACTCACAGCGCCAACACGAAGGAGATTGTCCGAAACGCAAAAATGGCAGATAATCGGTAAGGATGCGACTGGAATGTCCTTTAAAACTATTGGCCGTCCAGGGCTTCCATTTTATATTACGGTCGTCTATTTCGGATGCATAGACAATATAATGCTGCGAAGGAACGTAAAGGACGTCTAGAGTTACGCCACAATGTGAATACAGGCCGCCGATTCGCCTAGTACGTATAGCCAACCCTTGCAAAGAGTTCCTGACACAATCGCCGTATACCCACCAGGGCCCTGTTTCACAAAAACTTAAATCTCCTTAAACTAAACTTTCATCCTAACTTATTAAGATAGGCGAGTTTCACAAAAACGATTTCAAGCATTTTACATAAAATCCACTAAATAATATTTTAAGCTAAAATTTTATCTTAACTTAAAATAGTGGCGTTTCACAAAAATCGATTTTAACTTAGGACAACCGTCACCCTCCCCTTATAACATAAAATCACGACATTAACAAATATTGATTAGGGCTAAGTTGTTAGATCTATTGCGACATATAGATATATTTGGAATAATGATAATGTTGCCGATGGCCCGGGTCACATAATTTTACCATCCCATCATGCACACAAACAATTCTCATTCAATTTCTTTCCATAGCATGGGAAATACAGGGACGGTCCATCCGTTTATTTTATTGTAAGGCAATTAAAGCAATTAGATGACGCCCCAAATTAGAACCGCAAGAAAAGAAAAAAAAACAACAAAAAACCCCCACCCAAAACCACAATAAACAAAACCCTTTGTTATTGTTTTATATATTACCATATGATTCAAGTATAAATTATACTATTTTCAAAAAAAATAAGAGACAATAAAACTAAAGAAAAACAAAAAACACCAACAAAACAATAAATTAAAATCACTTCATATGTAATGGCATGGACAGAAGAGCACTTCTATCTATAAAGAAAATTTCTTCGTGTTTAAAATGGCCAATTTCTTGGTATATGTATAGTATTTACTCATATGTTTTGGGGGTTATGATGATTTGTAAACAGATAAATCAATAACCTCAAATGTGTTTGTTGAAAAATGTTATAGGCCTATTTGAAATTAAATTTTTAATATCATAAATTTATTATTATTTCTTAAACATACATTATGCAAGAGCCAAATCTGCCTATTGCAGGTTTTTCTTTAGGCCTGAAATGTTATCTAAATTATTAATTCAATCTGATTAAAATACAGATCTATATTTCGTTTCGTTTTTTTATACTTTCGATAGCCTCTACTACATGAAGATCTGACCAGTTGTTGCGATAGGTCGCGTCAGAGGTCACACGAGGAGCTTTTGACCCTATGACGTCAGACATTTGATTAACCAATCATCATTGCTGTTACTAGTGGATTACCCACAGTTTCGTGCAAAACACGCCTTACGCTCGCCGTAACAGACCGTTTCATTGGATAATCCCTCACATCATTCAGAACACGTCAATGATAACAACTCTTCCAGATTCTAGTGTAGTAAGACAAGTAAAACGAAATTTTGAACTATAAAAACGAAACGAAATAGGATCTGTGTTTTAACCAGATTGTTATTAATTAGACATTAATTAACTTATCCAGACCATAATCAACTCTCGATGTCATTGCTAGCCTACGGTGTTTATTGGATTAGGTTCCGATTTGCTGTTCAACTTCCATTCATAATTTAATCATGAGTGGATCAATTTGACTGAAATTTTCAGCAAATTCCCTTTACATTATCTAGTTTTTAACTATTATAGTGAGAACTGCCAGCTCTTTATCTAATCTCCCATAATGTATCTTTAATGAAGGCTAACGTTAATAAAATAACATAAATAAGAGAAGTTTTAGGAGCTAAAGCTATTTTATCTTGGGAAAACATCGTTTGAATTGAGTAGACAGGCGTTTAGGCATTTTCAAAGTATCATTTAAAGGGTCTATGGGGATGACATTTCAAATTCGACAAAAATTTAGAGCCTAGATTAGACGTTTGAGTTACAAATATCATATGTTTGTGACAATTCTCAATAGTTTCTGATATCCAAAATACCATAAAACTACGAAATTCAAGAGATCGCTACGCATTATTTCCATTGAAACCTGCGAGTAAATCAAATGCCAAGGTCACGAAAGCAGGATGCAAGTTTAAGACCAATCCACTGATATATTTCGAAACGAATAATACGCATTTTTAATTCATTTCTCTACGACGGTCTGACCATGTGCAGACATTGTTACAACGTACGAAACTCTCCCTATTGATATTATGACTGTTAGATCAATCTGTCAACAGTTTTCGTTTCGAAGCGTATTTGCTTACACCGTAAGTGCTCGTAACGGAAATGTGCACTGCGCGGGAGCAAGTAAAGCAGGTTTCCTCCCTGTGTCACGGGTGGACAGATTGATGTGTGGAGGCACATAAATGTAGATGAGGGTCGCCTCAGAGGTCATACGAGCGGTTTTTAACCCGATGATGTCAGACATTTGATTAACCAATCAGCGTTGAGATGCTTCTAGTAGGTTACACACAGTTCAGAGCACCTCACGCCAAAAACTCTCGCCGTAGCAGACCGTTTCATTGGTTAATCCCACACATCATCCGGAACGCATTCGAATAAAAACATATAGTATTGACATGTTACATCTACATGTCCTTTAACAACCCAGACGGGCCAGATGTTTAGCTGTAGACTACAAATTCCAAAGACACCAGAGCGATTTAAGAGAAAAGTTGGCCTGGCAAGAATAAGATGGCTTTAGTAAACTATGAGTTTATTTATAATAATAATTTGATACATTTGAAAAGTGCACATGCACACTAGCAGGTATAGCTGCTCAGTGGTGCTAAAATAACATTTTCCTAAACAGAATACAACAATAGCTCACATTGGCATTAAATGTACACAGATAAATAAAATCAACAAATAGTAACGTAATATTGGATTAATATAAGCTCACGTTTAAATAATTATGACAGCTTATTAACAACATGTTTAAGTTCAGATTTAAGATTTCTCTAACATATTGCATAGTTTGAGCTACACCTTTTTATATGAAAGTTTATTCAATAATGTCGGGGCAGTATGTGAGACTGAGAAGACTCCTTGACCAAATTGTGTAGCTATCTTGGGATTTCGAGAAGAATGTGAAAGACTGCATTGAGTCTTTAAGTTATTTTGGAGCTATTTTTTACAGTTCACAAAAAGATAAGTTAGAAATTCGGAATTTAATCGGAAGCCAATGTATGTCTTTAGGCACTGGTCAGGCTATTAGTTCGGACCGCTTTATTTTGAATTAATTGTAACGGTTGGATAAATAAGGAAGGCAGTACAGCAAGTAAATACAATAATAGACTAACAATTTGTGTAAGCATGCTAAACAAAACAAGAATACAACAAACAATTTATAACGTACCTTAAAAATTACAAAATAATTAAAATATGAAAAAAATTAAATATGAAAACAATTAAGCATTCACCTCGTCATAGGTTGAATTAAATATGTCAATGTCGTCGTTAGATGGTCGATTTGAACGAAATTTAGCTGCTCAGTGGTGCTACAATAACATTTTCCTAAATAGAATACAACAATAGCTCACATCGGCATTAAATTTACACAAATAAATAAAATCAACAAATAGTAACGTAATATGGGATTAATATAAGCACATGTTTAAATAATATGACAGACTATTAGCAACATGTTTAAGTTCAGATTTAAGATTTCTCTAACATATTGCATAGTTTGAGCTATACCCTTTTATATGAAAGTTTGTTTAATAATGTCGGAGCAGTATGTGAGAAGACTCCTTAACCAGATTGTGTAGCTACTCTTGGGATTTCGAGAAGAATGTGTAAGACTGCAGTGAGTCTTTAAGATATTTTGGAGCTATTTTACAGTTCACGAAAAGATAAGTTAGAAATTCGGAATTTAACCGGAAGCCAATGTATGTCTATAAGCACTGATCAGGCTATTGGTTCGGACCGCTTTATTTTGAATTAATTATAACGGTTGGATAAATAAGGAAGGAGGTACAGCAAGTAAATACAATAATAGACTAACAATTTGTGTAAGCATGCTAAACAAAACAAGAATACAACAAACAATTTATAACGTATCTCAAAAATTACAAAATAATTAAAATATGAAAAAAATAAAATATGAAAACAATTAAGCATTCACCTCGTCATAGGTTGAATTAGATATGTCAATGTCGTCGTTAGATGGTTGATTTGAACGAAATTTAGAGAAGAATGCAATATTCTTACCGAGACGGACACCGCCACTTTCTGACTCAGGAACAAGTTCTTCTGTTAAACCAGAATCCCTATTCCTACGTTTGTAATAACAAATTCCCACAACAGCACCAGCAACAACTAAAACCAAAATTATAGGAACAACAATGGATGCTGTTTTTCCAGGCGTTGATGAACCATTCAGCTTGCTCTTTGACATACCTGCTTTAGTAAGGGTTATTTCTGTAACTGTTGATGTCGAAGGAACGTAAGTGTTCGTTGATTGACTTCCTTTAGTAGTAGCTGTTTTACTTGATGGTATAGTAATTGTTGATGTCTGGGGAACGTAAGTACCTGATAAATAAAACACCTGTTATTTAAAAGCATGCCAAATATTAACTTATTATCAATGCTGCCAAATGTAACCCAAATGCAAAACAAGTAAGACGAGGTTGTGATATTCTCTTATCACACTATGACGTTGCATTAAAATGAGTTATGTTAAAATCTAGTATTGTAGAGAATAGAAAAAGACATAATTACCATTGCAGACTACACCGGCATCCTGATTATGATGACAATCACGAGGAGAAAACCCACTATTTGTACAGTCTTTAATGTCCATTTCTGTTCCTATACAACCAACATCATCCAACCATATTGGACCTGTTCCGTGCCCAAAGATTTGCGCTCTTAAAACGGCAGTCCCTGTTGCAAAGCCAAGTTGCCTGCAGACGACAGACGCATCATCGTTTGACCAAGAATTACCACAGACTGTTCCCCACTGATTTGGACCTTCTAGATAAACTTCTACTCTTCCAGAATTGTTTTCACCTCCGGCTAGTCGAACTTTGGTCAGTTCTGTAAGAAGAATAGTAATAAGTTTTAAGGGTTTTTAAAACATTTTTGAAGAACGCATCACCTTACTCAATATGCCATATTAGACTTTCTCAAATTATATTTTCGAATTTCCAGTGGGAGAAGATTAGTAGGACGTTAAACCCCATTCCATTTCATCTATTTGAATTTTTTATACGCTTACGGTAACTTCTAAAGGGTCCACAACCTTAGTATTACATACTTTTACAGTATTTGCGTAAGTGGATCGACCATTTAATTGGAAATTGGATTTTCACGAAATTCGAACTCAACCGTTATTATGGTGCAACGGTAGAATATTGGTATTGTTTTTAAAACCAGAAAACAACTGTGACATCTAGATGATGCAGAAGGTAAAACGAGATATTTTGTACAATGAGGGGCCATAACCCAGGGGTTTACGGTTCGATTTCCGTGAGTATCGAATGGAACCGAGATATGTGGGATATAAACATACATTTAAAGTTTCATTGAAATTGGATAAAAATGTGACCTATAGAGTGTCCACAAGCTAAAAACATGATATTTCGTACAACCAGGGGCCATAATCCATGACGTGACTGTCCGATACATGTCAATATCGAAAGGAAACAAGATCCTTGTGATATAAACCAAATCGGATAAAAATTGTGACCTGCAGAGTGTCCACAAACAAATTGTGGGCGGCTGGGACATGGGCCACGACAATTTAAGTCGTCGGGAGGATGACCCCTATCAGCGTCTACGCCATTTTATTCCAGAGTTATACCATAGCCATTCCGACAAGGTTAGAAAGCATGAAACATATGGACTATAAGAAGATGATCTTTTTCTCCGAATCTCAATGTCTTTCCGACACGCGACAGAGGGTAGATTTTTGGAGGAATGACCAGTCGAAAGTCACATTATTATGACAGTCAATTAACTAATAGAATTACTGGTTTATATATACTTCTGCCTAACTTGCCATATGACTTATGCAACTCCCTTTGAAACAAAATGGTGCCTAGAAGTTATTGGTCGTCAAAAGAATTTGTATATATTTACTTCAATAATTCTTACAGAGTGACATAATTTGCTAGGCCAATTCCAGCCCATCTCAACCATGTGCCTAGGTTACAACGTTGAACGTGGATAAAAAGGGTATCAAAGACATGTTTTTTTCTGACTTAAGCACTTGTGATTTTTTGCAATAATCCATACAACTATTAAGTTAGAAAAAAGCTTTGACATTTAGTTGGTGAAATTATATTGTTTAGGTTCTGATGATGAAATGATGACAGATTCTAAAGATATTAAACAGAGTGATTCATTTCCAGAGTTCCGTGATGATTGAAAGGAAGCAAGTGACGGAGGATAAAACCTTTCTTGGAGACAAATAAAATGAAAATATTAAATTAGATGATTTAGAAAGACTAATGTATCGGAAGCCGACAACCTTAACACAGGCATAATTGTGGATGAAGTGTTAAAACATTTCAGCCACTACGTTATCTCCTGATGTAAGTAAGTCAGAAAAAAAACAAAGAAAGAATGATGAATAATAAACTCAAACCGGAGAAATGGAATATGAGTGTGACAAAGGGAATAAGGCTGATTAGAAATGATCACTAGAATGGAAGACTGGGATGTTATTTCTGACGAGGAGAACAGAATCATATGTACACCGTTGGGGGATTTAAACTCATAAGATTAACGGAATACCTTTATTGCATCTCTTGTGACATTAGTTAAAAAGAAGCAAAAGATATAAATTACTGAAACTATTGCTATAATTTCAATTTCGTCATTGAATCTATAAAAAAACAAGATCAAAGAACACATTTTCTGGTCTGATGGTTTGTCATTTGTCAAAAATATTTGGTTACTGGTCATAGTACCATTGGGTGTGAATCAATGCACAGTGTTATTGATAAAAATGTCCGAAGTGACATTTTCTTCCAAGAGATTTATTGCTAACAATGCAGACACCCAAAAAAGTCCCCCGACCTTAAATTGTCCAGCAGCTATCGTGTGATAGCTTTAGGACGACGAGTGTTAGTAATATAATAAAAGTCTCAGCTAGACATCAGAAAATATCATTTCAAATTATATTTCGTTGGTAATAAACCATTTTCGGCAAGTTACGAAACCAGTATCTTAAGGACAAGTACACTAATCAGCAAAAAAGACGTCAGTACGATTTCAAAATCAGAGAGGCACTTTAATCAAATCATTCTAGAAAACGACTTACTAAATGGATCAAAGGAATTTTTTGTGAACGGTATGTCGACACATTAGTGATTAATTCATCACAATTCCAAGACATTACGAGAAGGTTTAGAGTCTGTACACAGTCTATACATCAGTATCTGGTGTGTCCACAGCGAGTGTCAATAACAGCAGCGCAGAGTGGACCAGACGATTGATGAATGCCATTGGAACCTGGAACCACACTCTCAGAAAAGCCTGACGCAATCCATCGGCTGTGTTTGGTCTCGGTACGACGTTATTAAGTCTCCTCTGAATTTCATCCCAAAGACGTTCAATCGGGTATAAGTCCGGACTAAGGGCTGGTCAGTGCATACCGTGGACACCGTTCTGCTGCAAAAAGTCCCCAGTAACTCTGGCGGTGTAAACACGGGCGTTGTCATGCTGAAAAACTTTGTTTCGATGACGTGCGAAATGTGGTATGACGTGGGGTCTGGATGTAGCGCAATGCTGTGATGCCGATTCCTTTCCCTGTACCAAGATTTGGGAACACCACAGAACCCACTCTCTGGTTCAGGCCGATTCCACCCCAAACCATTATGCTTGGACCTCCCCATGAGTTCTCCCCATAAGTCTTGTTCCATGACACATTGGTCAGAATTCGCCACGTCGACGCCATATTCTGGTCCTGTCATCTGCAGTTGATACGCAATACCGACTCTCATCTGTGAACAGAACAGTTCTTCATTGCCTGTGTCGCCAGTTCTGATGTTGTTGGGCAAACTGTTGGCGTTCACGTCGATGGCGAGGGGTGAGGATCGGTCCACGGTAAGGTCTACGGCAATGGATGTTCTCTCTGGTGAGACGTCGGCGCACCGTATCAGTACCGATGGGTCTTCCGTATGTTCAAACTGTCCGACGTGCTGTCTCAGATGTCTGTGTGAAGGGATTCTGCACGTGTTGTCGCACACCATGGCGGTCTTGTCGCCTCGTGGTAACCCTTCGTCTACCAGTTCGGGGGCGATCATCCGTTGTATTGGTGGTCCGAAAGTGTTGCTGAAGCCTGTAGATGGTCCGAATATTGACCTGGAAGTAATTGGCAATGGCTTGGGCAGTGTGGCCAGCGTCGAGTCTTCCAAGCGCCTGGCTCCTCTGGGCTGTCGTGAGTCGTGGCATTCTGCTAACGTTGTAGTGTGAATGAATCAACCAGGCATGGGGGTGCATTTTATAGGACTGGTCCCGGTGAACAGAACGTGCAGCATGAGTTACATGAAAAGTTAGGTTGCGTTTTTGAGAACATTTCCTGGGTTCAATTCTGTGTTTGGGCAGGAGCCTTATTGCTCAGGTAAAGTTGGAGATGTGGTCACAAATATACAATAAAAACATTTGGGAAGTTTTATGCAATGAGTCTATTCAGAGTAACATACCGACCTGACGTTTCTTTTGCTGTTTAGTATACATAAAAGGATTTCTTACCATATAGTGTTCGAAACGGATAAAGCATATTTATGTGTTTGAATAATAGCTCTGCCCTAATGCTCTGCTCCGACTGGTCTAATGAAGACGAGATTCTGCATAGGACTGGTTACGTCTTAGACCACTAAAATCGACGTTATGTAGTACGTGTTTGTAAATAAATATACTTTAGATACAGAATGCGAGAATATTGTTTTATAAAATAGATTAAGTATCCATGAGGGGTTAAACGCCATTATTAATATCTTTATTTGTTTAAAGCCCGTCCTCTTTACATGTTAAATATATTCTGCAATGGTACTTACTGATTGGCGAATTATAGCACTGTACAGCCACGGATCCATAATATAGGCAGCTGTATACCCAGCGATGAGAATTGTTAAAACCATTATTCCGGCACATAGTAATTGCGGTTTCGTTACCACGGCAATAGAGTCCCGTAAACCAGTAATGACTGCTAATTCTGTATTTGGCACCAGACACCATAATACCATCCACGTGGCCAGTTTCCTTGCAAATCACTTTGCTAATGTTTGGATCGTTGGTGTAGCCACACAATGCTCCCCACTGTCCATCATAACTCATTTCCAGTCTTCCTCGACTTGTGTCGTTATCACCAGCTAAACGATACTGAATGCCTGTAAAATGCACAAAATCCCTATTATGATATTAATAATACAAAACTGGCCATTGTCATAGCTTTATAGTTATATCCGCGTTATTGGAATAAGGATATGCAAATAACGATTAGGAATTGGAGACGGACTGAGCACCGGTGGATTGATATGGAATGAAATTTTAAATAACTCAATAGTAGTGTAAGCAAAGGCAAGAACAAGCCCCACACATACATTATATCATCGAAATGGGGCCCGGAGAAGTCAGCACCTTTTCTTTTAAAAATGGGCATAATTCCATAAACATTATTCTAAGCTTAATTTACTGTTAAGATTGTTGTAACACAAGCCTCCAATGTCAAATGGAAATTGAAAAGTAAAGGAACTGAGCAACGGTGGATTGATATGAAATGAAATTATAAATAATTCAATAGCAATGTAACGAAAATTACAAGAACAAGCTGAATCCTTTGAAACGGGTTAGGACCTACAATATATTATATTAACATTATTTACCGTTAACTGTATAGTAACACAGGACTCCAGCTCTTGGTGAATAATAATCACACCAGTTATTAGATGTAGTAGAGTGAATACATGAATCAAAAGATTTTTCTGAACCAGTACACTTAATGTCTGTCATCAGAATAGGTCTGGTATGGCGCTCGTAGAGCCTTGGATTATAAGGTACACCACCTTTGAAACCTAACTGCTTACATGCTACAGTAGCTGCCTTATTGTCAAATCCTGCTGAACACACACCTCCCCATACACCGTTAAGTTGTACCTTTAAGTAACCTGATACATTCCCAGTTGTATCCTTCTGAAGCTCCAATTTAAACCCTACAATAATAATGGTCATATAAATGCATATCACCAAGATCCGCATGGATGGTATACCCGTACATGTTGAATTTCATTGAACCTAATGTATCTTCAAAGATAAGAACAGATATTCTACGTATCGGCGGATACTATCCATATTTGATATTTGCCGTTTATTTCTTGCAATGTGTGTAGTTTGTATCGTGTCCGAACGATTGTCTTATCGGTTTTGTTTGCGTTTAGTGCAGTTCTCCTGCATTTACTACTACAGTCTTTCCAGTCACTTTTATCTTAGCAGTAACACTGCCTTATTCCAAAGATAATTAATTAGACATAATCCCCTCTGTCAGAACGCCCTATAAATGCATTTTCAGAACAAAAAGCCTTGCTTAAAATTCACAAATCTCCTCCCCCGCCCCCCACAAACACTTCGCGAAGACGATGGAATTCAAATTTGAAGTAATTTTATACAATGTTACAAAATAAAAATACGTCTAGTTTTTGAATCGAGTTAAAACACATTCGATGGTCATCTACGAATTCCATAATTTCTTAATTTATGTTTTACAATTATATTGCAAATTTTTTTGGCTGTATATCTTCTTGCATCTGAATGTAAGGGCATAATAGTTTAATCTGCGTTCAGTTATAAAACACTAATCAACCCTTAAGAATGAGAATTATATTTTATAAAACCACAAACTCTAATCACTGATAGGGTGTACTGGTCAATAAAATTTCCATATCAACCTTTTTGTTTGTCTTTGTAGAAATTGTGGAGTTAAGGTAGTTGTGGACATTGATCATATGAGTAACATAAGAATTTTACCCGTATGTACACATATAAATAAAAATATTTTTACTTTTGGTAAATTCTAATCTCACTACTCAAATTACACAGTAATACAGAAAATTCCCCGAAACTCACCATTATCAACTATAGGTGTTTGACTACAAATCACTGAAGCATATCGTCCACTGGTACATGTTCCAGTATATGTTTGTTTACAGTGAGAAAAATTTCCTTGTGTAGGAGAACATGTCACATTAACGACACCTATAGGACTTGATCTTCCGAAGCTAGATCCTGCTATTTTCACACCATGGGTGACATTCAGAGATCTACATACAATCTGTGCTGCGATTTGATCGAAACCATCATCACAAACAGTTACCCACCGATTACCATAATATACTTCAACCGCGCCCATATTACTATTCATACCCAGGTTTAGCCGAACTGTAATTAATTTAAACATAAATATTCAAACTAATTAATAGTACATGTATATTCTTATGGAAATATTTATATAAGTTTGCTTTATGATTAAAAAGATAGTATATACAATTTTTAATTCACTGAAATAATTGGTCTCATTGAAAAGATTATATGGTAAGCGTATCTGACATTTAAAAGCCATTTCTTGCCAAGCTTTAACACACAGCTAAGCTAAGCAATAATTGCCTTAATTAATAAACTATTGTAAAAAGACTATCTTCAAAATAACAGTTATAATAGGGTAACACTCACCTTTATCTACACAATAAACAGAAGCATCATCAGCATGATGTTTGCATGTCGCATATCTATAGGAATTACTATCTATAACTTCGCTACTGAATCCAGCATGCGGACATTTATGTAATTCGGTTTCCGTTCCTTTACATCGAAGTTTACTTAGCCATATTGGCCCAGTACCCTGTCCATAATGAGCATTGGAAATAGCATAACCATCGGAGAAACCAAGTTGACGACACATAACACCAGCTTCTCTGTTATCCCAGTAATAGTCACAAACTGTTCCCCAAACACCGCCTACACTGATTTCTACTCTGCCATTCAGATTGCTGGTTCCATTTGCTAGTCGGTACTGAATTCCTGAATATGAAACCAAACTGATTATTCAATACGTCTTTATGCCATTCATAGGAACAACAGATATGAGTTTATCGTCCCGTCAACACTCGGTCATTTCGAAACTAACTTCTGCTATATCTTTATTGCACCAATGCGCTTGAACTCTGAGGCTTAGCTGTAGCGGAAACCTGATAACCCAGGAACATCTAGAAATTCTGCAATACTCATTGACGACACTACGACAATGGGAGAAATTTAAAGTGCACGGTCATCCTCTACTCCCCTGCTACTTATGGACTCTTCTAAGCACCGCATTGTCATTTTATATGACACTATATTACATACCATACTGTTTTATAATTATTGAAGAGGATATTTTATAAGTATGATTTACTTAAAACACATCATACAATTTATTTTCTTTAGATCCTAACACTGCAAAACATTTTCCGATTCTATCTTTGAAATGCTATTTCTGCAATAAATTCGCATCGAATTAGAAGGAAATCTGTTAAAAACTGTAGCCCCTATCGTGTTCACAAGGTTTACGGAAAAGGGGGAATCGTCGGAACATAATGTCATGAATCGCAGAATATCAACAGAGTTCATCCTCTCATGACCCTAATGCTGCACACCAAATTTGAAATAAATCCTAATTCCAATGCTTCAAGTGAAATTAGAAATAAATATGTTCAAAACTGTTGCCTCTATTGCCTTCACAAGGTTTTCGGAAACTTCGGAACAGAATGTCACTGATCGCTAATTAGCGATACGGTTCGTTCTCTTATGACCCCAATGCTACGAACCAAATTTGAAATAAATCCGAATTCCAATGCTTCACATGGAATAAAAAATAAATCTGCTATAAACGGTAACCTCTCTCGCGTTCACAGAACAGAATATCACAGATCGCTAATTAGCGATACGGTTCGTTCTCTCATGAGCCGAGTTGCTACTCACCAAAATCTGTTAAAAACTGTAGCCTGTATCGCGTTCAAAATGTTTTCTTTAAACGAGGAGGTGGGGGGGGGGGACTTTGGAACGGAATGTGGTGGGACGCTGAATATCGATAGGTTTTGACCTCTCATGAACCCAATGCTTAACATCAAATCTGAAAATTCAGAGTTTTTGGCTAAGCGAGCATAACTTTAGAACGGAAGGTTACTAAACACAACTTATCGATGGGGTTCGACTTTTCATGACCCAATGCTTCAACGCAAGATACGCCCACATTTTGCAAGAGATGGACGTGGAAGAAGGCAAGTCAATAGGACTTATTCTCCCATTGTCCCAATGCTTCACTCTGAACTTGGAGTTCAATTTTGATGAACAAAAACGTCATAAATATTTCACAATTTGTGTAAAAAGCAGGGGCTATAACTCTTGAATAGAAGGTTCTGGTGCTTCCCATGAATTTATCCAAGAACTAATAATCCTTAACACGTATGCTAAGTTGCATCTAAATCGGACAAAAATTGTCCACAAACTGTGTACATATTTCACATTTTGCGTATAAGGCAGGAGGCATAACTCGCCATAATTATGGTGTAACGGTAACAAATTTGAACGGGACCATAATTCAGGAATCTACCGTCCCATGTGCACCAATACCGAAAGGAACCTGTAGAGGGTCCACAAAAAATGCGAACGATCACACGACGGGCAGTGACCAAGACATAATAAAACCATACAAAAATGTGGACGTATAAAACTTGTGACCTGTAGAGTGTCCACAAACTAACGTGAATGGCTGTCTGGACGGACAGGGACGACGACATAATACGTCCACATAAAAATGTGTCCGCGTAGAAAAAATAGCCTCTATAACATTCAAAATGTTTTAGAAAAAGGAAATGAAGGGAAATTTTGCCCAAGCACCGCCATGGAACCTCGGTTTTTCTTGCCATCTGAATGACTAGACAGCTGTCCTTGTCAGACCCTTCGTTCCGCACCACTGACAAGGAAAAACCCCGTCAGAAAATGCCGATGGACTTTCTCGGCAAATGCAGGGATCGAACAAGCGACCCTCACGCTAGCGAGCCACGTCTTTTTTTTATATATCTTTATTAACAAAAGTATATTTACGTTTATAGGCATCACACAACACAATTATGTAAATAATGGATATATACATGCATATAATACAAGGTTAAAAGTTAGTAATTTAATATAAGGGGATTTAAAATAAATCTATGTACATTTTAAACGATGCCTGTAGTTACCAAGTAATTTTATCTGAAGTTTACCCACTAAGACACCGTGACTCTTTAGAAAAAGAAGGAATAATTGTGGATTGGTAGGTCAGATGTGCACCAAAATGAAACTCATCCAAAATATTTTGATCCTTAATAATATTTATAGTTTCATCAATCAGACAAATATCAGGGCCCCTGGGGCGTGTACAAACTTTGTACATATTTTTAACATTTTGCACCAAAAGGTAAGGGGCATAACTCCAGAATGCAAGGAAGGTCAGATGCGTACCAAGATCGAAATCATCCAAGAACGTTTGACCCTTAACATATAATTTTAAGTTCCATCTAAATCGGACACTAACCGTAGCCTCACGGGGGGCCACATACTTGGTGTACGTATAATATGCTTTTGCACGATTTGCGTGAAGGGGAGCGGCCATTTTGACGAAAAGCTTTGATCCAATTTTCACGAAATTTTAACTCAACCGTAATTATGGTGTAACGGTGATATGTTTGAACGGTTTGTAAAATTAAATAGATTTTGTAACATCCAGAGGGGCCACAAGCTACAAACGCGGTTTTTCGAACAATCAGGAGGTCACAATGTACGAAGAAACCGTCCAATATGCACCAATATCGACAGGATCCGAGACCTGTGGGATATAAACATATATCTTAAGTTTAATCAAAATCGGAGGATAACGACTGCGACCTGTAGCGGGTCCAAAAGCTAAAACACGACTTTATGTCAACAAATATTTGTGAACGGACACGTGGACCGTTGGACAGGGGCGTCGACATAATACGTCCACTGGATTTACTTATTTAAAATGTCCACTTTACCTGTAGTGTCATTGAAACAAGCTGCTGCTGCTGCGTCGGCCGTGGAGCAGTTGCCCAAGTTTAATCTGTCGTTAAATGAGCAGTTTAACAATGAAGATTCAGCTCCTGTACAATTCATAGCACTCGTCCAATAAGGACCACGATCATCAAGTGAAGCATATGTCGAGTAAGGTGATTGGTATGCTATACCATCCCGGAATCCACGTTCTTTACAAAAAACCTTAGCATTGGTATCATCCCAGAATGTGCTACAGATCCGACCCTTGGTACCGTAGTGATAGACATCAATCATACCACGCGTGTCTTTTCGCAAATCAAGTTGATACTGGTAGCCTTAAATATTGATAAAGAGTACCATACAAGTATTAACCGTTGTACATTGAATTAATACATAAAAGTTTATACAAAAAGGTAGCCACGCAAACGAAATACGCCTGCACAGAAAATTAGCCAAGCCATAGACAGTAGCTTATCTGAAAGGAAAACTTGAAAACGTCCGTTAAAAACTTCAGCATCTATCTTGTTCAAAAGGTTCGGGAAAGGTTGGCTGTATCGCTTGAATGCTAAAAACGAAAGTTTTCGTCCTCTTATGACCTCAATAATTCACACGAAATTTGAAAAAAAAAATAAATCTGTTGTAAAGTGTATTCACTATCACATTGATAACGCGGAACGGAAGGTCACGGAAAGCTGGATATCGACCATACTCCTCGCAGTGTTTCGTTTGATTAGACCTAATCTCACTTAACACTGCTGTAATGGAAGCAAATTTCTGTACCAAATTATGACTGGTCAATAGTCCGATTAGCAACCAATACCTAACTGCGTACTAATATGATTCGGCTTTAAACAGAGCTTCAAATTGGACCAAATATGTTTACATAACGTTACGTCATAACGCCCAATTAACCAGTGCATAGCAGAAAATTGCAGAAAAAATAATTGCGTGACAAACGAGGCTATCAAACGACTACAATGTAAACAATACTGTTTGGGGACGAACAATACTTTCGCCGTTTAAGGGAAGACCTCAGATTAAACGAAGGGCTGTCGTGCTGCTGGGGGATTTCACGGGCCATTGCTTCAGGAATATGAATATCGACAGGGTTTGTCCCCTCATGACCACAATGCTTATTACGGTTACTAGGTTTTCGCAAAAGGGGACATAACCCTGGAACGGAATATTGTGGAACTGTGAATAACGATACGGATCTTCCTCTTATGAGCACAATGCTTCACAATGAAATGTGGGCGCACAACAAGATGATAACTACTTTAAAAAAAAAGAGAAAATATTTTAAATATTCTTACTTTCATCGATTATATCAGTAGAATTAAAACAGATGGCAGAAGCATAACTCTGAGATTCACAGACTGTTGGTTGTAAGCAATCCATGGAACTAGATTCAGCACCTGAACATACCATACTCATGTTGCTTAGAATTAATCCGCCGTTGTCCCAGAAATAGTTGGAACCATACGCCGAGCAACATACAGCTCTTCCATCAATAAAACCAATATCCTGACAAACTCTTTTGGCACTTAGATCAGTAAATCCAGTATCACAAACTAAATTCCACGTATCATTAGCATAGAATTGAATTGGTCCCTCTTTTTCACTTGGTGCAAAACTACTCGCCAAACGAACTAAAACATGAGAAACAGAAGAAAGTTATTTCCGCATATAGATTGAATCAGTATCCAAATAAACTCAATTAAAAAGCCCCCGTCTATAAATCAATACTAAAAATTATGCAAACCAATATCTTAATGAAATACAGTGTCCAGTAGTCTCACAGTGTTCTAATACAGATTTACCCATATTATATATGCCCATGCTGTAACCATTGTAATTGTTGTAAACACATTACCAGTTTTATAGATTTCCTTTTGAAACTAATGGGATTGTTAGACTTAGTCTTAAGGGGGCTCTCTGTCGAAAATCTGAGCTTTTAACATAAAATGAATAACAAATAGCATTTTACCATCTTCATAACAGACAATTCCAGCATCAATTCTGTGATTCCTGCAATAATAATTTGTATTGATAGACGCTTTCTTCCACCCAGTGTGTGGACAATCTGCCAATTGTGATTCATCTCCAGTGCACTGGAAAGACGATGAATAAACTGGTCCAGCAGGGTTCGGATATTGTTTTCGCTGTGCCCTTCCGTCATTGTAGCCCAGAGTTCGACAGAAGATGCTGGCTTCCCGATCATAAAAATACGATCGACAAATAGAACCCCACACTCCATTCACAGATACTTCAACCCTTCCTATATTATCTTGTGCTCCACCAGCTATTCTATAGTAAATACCTGTATAATAAAGAAGTGAATTCTTATACAGCGCGCATTCGATCAATGTTGCTGTTTAAGTGAAGTATATTTAATTTCGTCCACTTGTATTTGTATTATGACTTTTAGAAAGGAATGTTCTTGACTGTTTCATGTTAGTATATTGTCGTCACTCCCATCTACAAGGCCGGTTTGTCCGCCCACAATTCTTGTAAACGTCACAGGTCAAGTTGCTGATGTATTACCCCCCATTATACTCAATTATAGAAAATCAGAACTGACCACTTCATTTTTGAGTAGTTATTTTCCCTGAGCCATGTTTGCTTGGCAAAGCGATATGTGTGGGTTAAAATACCTGAGATATCAGTACAGAGGATTCCAGCTACATGTCTATTTACACATGTTTTAACTTCACCCAATGCTATAGTTGTTGGACAAGCTGCAAGACTTCTTTCTGAACCAGTACAGGCCACTTTACTTATCCAGTAAACCCCATTAAAGGAATAATAAAAATTATATCTAAAATGATTATATGATGTTCCATGTCTATAACCCAGTTCTCTGCAAGCTACTCTAGCATCATTATCATCCCAATCATCGGAACATATACTACCATTTGTACCCAAATAATTAACTATTACTTCTCCCGTATAATTATTACCACCACCGAGACTCCACGTGTAGGCTGTAAAGAATGATAAACATTTTCACATTAAAATCGATTATAACGAATTTTACATTTCTCTTTAATATTGAGTAAGTCAACAGGTTTAATGAAACTATGTCATTTAAAGCTGTCATATTTAATACGGTGATCCTCTCATGAAATTTATTCATACTTTGCTACGCCACGATATTTCATACTATTCTGACAAATTATGATTATTAACTTGAGACAACCAACAGATTAGTCGATTTTTAAACCCGTAATATAGCGTATCCGGAAAAGTAACACACGCCCACTAGCGACTTTGTTGTCCTAGCTGTAATAAGACACAGTTTCTCATGATTTTTACCGTTTTGTTTTTAACGTACTAAAAAAATGATCACAATCCAAATTTAAAATCGGGTAATATTCTTTAATAAACAATTACCAGTCAGGCAAAATAACTTTAGAGGCAGTTTACTGAAAATACTCCAAATCGATAGGGACCATCTTTAGACCTATAATAGCTATTCCTGAAAATGTACCTCTTGCGGGTGAATGCAAATACGGTAATAATTGAGGTTGATGAACAATCGAATAAACCAGGGGAAACGGCTTTGGGGCTACATTTTCAAAAATGCTCAAAATCGTTTGAAGCAAGATTTATCTTCAGATACTAACTATTCTTGAATATTTAACAAAATCAGTTAAGATCTGAAATCTGATAGAAGAGCAATGTAGATTCACCAACTTTCAAATAGATCAAAATAACTTTGGGAACTACTTTTGCGAAAACGCCCAACATCGATCTGCCCGTTCTGGACCCTAATTGGGCTTGTCGTCATGATAAGACACATCTGGAATTGAACATAAGGAATATGTGGCATTGAATGTATTTGAACGTAGAACCCTTAGTAATAACCTCAACGCCTTTTGGAATCAAATAGATAATCTGGTTTAATATCCAGTCATAAATTTGAGAACACTCACATTTTAAGCTGCTTATCAAATATAGAAGTAGACTTACTTGTTGGTTTTGTTCCCTTATAACAAACTAATCCTACATTGTTTGCGTAGCAATTTCTGGAATGAGGATTACCATGAGGGCAATCTCGTAGTCGACTTTCGGAACCAGTACATTTTACATTCTCCATTATAGCTGATCCTGAATCACTGAAAGCTCCACAACATGCCATGACGCCATCATCAAAACCCAACTCTTTACAGGCTACTCCTAAAATTCAGTAGCATGAGTGAATGAAATGAAGTTTAAGGTCCTACTTTTCTAATCCAACTGGTATAATGAAGACTGGCATATGCCATATAGTGTGCTATGCAGGAAATTCTGACTGTCGAGGCTTCTTTACGCGTACGCCAAGGGATACACGGAACGCCAGGCTCTTCGTTCTGCACCACTAACAAGGAGAAACACGCTGGAAAAACCCAAGGAACTGTCTCGGGCAACATCGAGCCCAGCGCCTTACTTACCGAGTCAAAAATCCAATAGAAAAACTTTAATTCTAAGTCATATCAAAGTTTACGAACACTGTTGTGTCAGCCGCGAAAAACAATACAAATATGTTTAAGATATTCAGCGATAAGCAGTAACTTAAGTTATCCAGTATTACCGTATTAAACTAAAATACAGTCGGGATGTCACTTACTTGTATTTGTTGGAGACCAATTGTGATCGCAGACATGTCCCCAGTTGTTGTTCCAATAGACTTGCAGCGATCCAGCGGATATACCATCCCCACCTGTTAACCGAACTGAAAAGAAAATATATAAAAATCACAAAAAGTCTATAAACTGGAATACAATTGTAATCTATATAAATTATTAAATAATGTTGGCAATGTATGGGCAATTAACGGTCAGTTTATTCCATTGAAAATTTATTGAGCATGACAATGCGAAGTTTAAACAGGTCAATGGGGAGCCATGAATTCTGGCCAAAAATACGATCATTAATAAATGTTGACGTTAAAAGTATCCACGATATCTGCATGACATCTCATAGGAAGCAATGACACCCAAGAAATACAATTACAAAAATGGTGACTAATTTACAATTGTTGACTAGGGATAGAATACTGAGTAAGATGAAAATTTTGTTTCAAAATTAAGAAATAATTTCAAAACATGTGATGCAAATCTTTAATATGTACGTAACACGTGTACAATGTTTGAAAACGACCCACACATTACTTGCACAAGTCTAATGAACCAGAAATGAGTCACTGATTACCTAATTACTTGATTGGTTAATTCAATAGCAGAAATACACATAGCTTTCATACCTACAAATTTCTAACCATAGAGATGGACACGCGCATTAGCTTATTTCCTGATGTATTTGGTCAGCTAGATATATTGCGTCACTGTCGGTAGATTCCATCGTTTAGTTTGATGATCACTAGCGGAAATGGTGTTTCTTGATAAACAAATTAATGAATGTATTATCTATTTAATGTTATGGTTATGCCCTATCTAATAAACTTTGTATACGAGTTTGAAACCAATTTTGTCTGCGGCCATAATATTGCTACATCATGGAACGTATCAACATATCATATTGTCAGTGAATGCAGGATAATGAATGTATATTTTATAACTGAATCTATTGTAGACTGTCCAGCATAAGCCCATTTGACTGACCAAATAATATTACACCAGTCAAAGAGAAATTAAATGAAATGGGGTTTAACGTCCTACTGTTCTGCTCCGAACTGGGGATCACGTGGCTAAGTGGGTAAGACGCTAGCTCGCTAGCCTGGAGGTCGGGTGTTCGATCCCTGCATTGGCCGAGAAAGTTCATCGAGATTTTCCGTCGTGGTTCTCCCTTGTCAGTGATGCAGGACGGAGGGGCTGACAAGGAAAGCTGTCTAGTCGTTCGGATGGGACGAAAAACCGAGGTCCCGTGTACACATTGGCGTGCACGTAAAAGATCCCTTGGCAGTTGGAATTTGATATAAGAGTAGGCCGTAGTGCCGCTGTCCGGGCAAAATTTCCCTCATAGCACACTGTATGGCGTATGCCCGTCTTCATTAGCCCAGTTCGGAGCAGAACAGTAGGACGTAAAACCCCATTTCATTTCATTTCATTTTCTGCTCTGAACTGGGCTAATGAAGACGGGCATATGCATACGTCATACAGTGTGCAATGAGGGAAATTTTGCCTGGACAGCGGCACTACGGCCTACTCTTATATCGAATTCCAACTGTCAAGGGATCTTTTACGTGCACGCCAATGTGTACACGGGACCTCAGGTTTTCGTCCCATCCGAACGACTAGACAGCTGTCCTTGTCAGGCCCCTCCGTCCTGCATCACTGACAAGGTAGAACCACGCCGGAAAATCTGGATGAACTTTCTCGGCCAATGCAGGGATCGAACACCCGACCTCCAGGCCAGCGAGCCAGCGTCTTACCCACTTAGCTTACGTGATCCCCCAGTCAAAGAGACATTTGCTCTTGGCAGCTAAGTAATCTCGGCTCATAATCGAGTGAAATATCTCTAGAAGCAATTACTAGAAATTGTGGTTATTTGACGTCTTACTCGTAAATTTCGACACATAACTAAGACTCAGCCGAATATGAAGATTTCGAAATTAGAGCAACTTTCACTTTCGAGGGAACACCATTTAAACTCAAAACTCACCATGGCTGACGAAGTGCGTAGAAAACAACACATTTTTTTCTTTTGCTGTATTTTATACTATACAATCGTTCTAAGCGTATTGTTTAGTTTGTTTAAGTAGTTTATGTAGGTGTCTATCTTTTGACAACTATATATAGAAAGTTGACAATCTTGTTCTTGCCACAAATTTCCAACTCTTTGTTAGTTGCCAGAAATCAACCTCGTCTCTCAATGTCATTTTTTCACATAGAAAAACTATACATATTATGATTCCAATATGTTTGTTTATTATTTTACAAAGCAGTGGGTCATCCACCCATTACTTTCTATATTGCCGGAGGTATTCGCCTAACTTTGTGAACATTCCACTTTTCCATGATTTTGTCAATTTACCATGAAATTTAAATATTGGATATGGTATGTAGAATATGAATATCTATCATTCTTTACCTCGTCGGTCACCTTTTGCAACACTTCGGGCGGTAATGACAAAACGGTTGCAGGTATTTGCAATAAAAACATCACTTTCTCGGCATAATATTTCACGTCCCTGCTCATTATCGTGACGATCTTGATCCCGTAGGTTCATAAAATCTTGTCTATTTTAGACTACTGGTGTGTGTCAAGCAAAAGACCGACTATAAAGAATGATGAAGTGTATAGGCTGGGGACAGAACCGACTCGATCTTAAGGTGCAGATAGTTCATGGAAAAACGCCAGCTATATCGTCCGTACCGACTGCTGAAGAGAACAAAGCCAATCGTTTAAATCGAAAACAGAACCGACAGATGACATGAAACTGGAATTGACAAATCCTCGTATTCCGCCCCCCGACCACAAAGTTTGGGCCAGTGAGCTACGGTTAATGCTATATGTGAAGTACAGTTAACTAAAGGGAGCATCCATCGCCAAATCTATCTGCACGGTTGGGAAAACCCTTGGACTGAACGTTGCAGATTGCGCTGCTCAAATTTAAGATGGCGCAGCAAATATGCCTGCTCATGATGATGGTTGTGCTGCAAAAATCAGGACTAGTCGCGCACCTAACGCCTATTATTAGCACTGTTACGATCACACACTGAATCTAGTCATATCTAAGACATGTGGAGTAACAGAAAGTCATGATATGTTGCAAGTGCCTGAAAAGGAGTCATGACCTCCAGTGTAATACAAAAAATCATGCCCGTCTATCACGAGAAAGACCAACACTTAATTCGTACAAATATTCTCCGAACTCTGTCATTTGATGATTTGGTTGGATTACTAGTGAGTTTTTCTTATAAAACACTGAGCGCTAAAGAATTCCAATTTTGTTTTTTCAAAAACAAGTATTCAAAAGGCATGGAATTAGCAAATCATTCATCAGTTGACTGTAAAATCTTAGCGTCATGTCGGTAATGTCCACAAGGATAATGATAAAATCAAACGTAACGGCTATAAATGCAGACATTTTCAAAAGTCAAGACCATGGGAATATTTATTGATGTATAAATGAAGTGACGCAATATGATGTCACGACCATTCGTGAGGTATTTATGAAAACAGTTAAGAAAATAAAATTAAGTCAACTTTTGAGAAACCGACGTAAATAATTCGTATCTTTTTCGTAAGGTAAAATTTTCTCTTAAAGTTACGAACTTTTGTGACTGTCCCCTCAACAAGAACTTTGACTCGAAGTTCGCCACCGGCGCACCTGGAGGATTCACGGAATCATTTCAATATACGCGACTGTTTTCAGATATATTTCAGATTTGGCAACACACTTTTAAGGCCGAAGGCATAGTGCAGAAGTTGCCACAACTTATTTTGAGCGACCCAAAGCTGCTGGCTTTGGGTATGTAGGCCGCCCAATGAAATTTTGATAAGATTGTCTGGAAGGAGTTTTACGAGCATTTGAGAAGAAGAAAGTGAAGAAAGGCAATTCCCCCTCAGCGCAACCCTGCAAAATACTGTCTCGAGACTACACCTGACAAAATCTAAAGTTATTATTTCAAAACACAAAATATAAAACATATCAATTTATTTTATTAGTGACTTTTTAGTCGAAAAGTTGAAAAAAGTCATTTGTTTTATTAACAAGTCATACGATAATAGGGTGCAAATCAAATTATCATTCAAATGTTTCTTCCTATTTATACGAATGGTTCATAGCTAGAGCTTCGTTTTCGCTCACTAGGCAGCACAGCGCAGTTCAAGACTACTGAATCAATGGGCCAGCCAGAGAGCCAGTCAGGCGTGTATGTGGAGGCGTGGGTCAGCAGCATTTACTCACGCGCTAATTTTGGTCGGTGCGTAAATGCCATCCCCGTCCCCAATAAACAAGTGACGGCTGGACACTAAAAGTTCGCGCAGTCCTTAACTCGCCCCGAACTGTCAACTGTGAAAATAAATATTTTATATCCTTACGGTAAAAGGAATAAATATGCCAAGTTCCAAGATTATCCATTCAGAATTCCAGCCTGCGGATTATGCGCCAAAATCAATAGTTGCCGTCCTTAGGGTATAAGGAATAAGTATACCAAGATAATCCATTCAGAATTGTGGCCCTAAGGCGCTAATCACAAAACTTGAGCTTGGCTCGGCCCCTTGGGGTCAGGACATGCAACAAAATAAATAGGGATCATCCTTTGGGTATACGGAATAAGTTTCAAGACGATCAGTTAAGAAGTGCGGCCTGTAGGCGACACACACACACACACACACCAGCATCAGCACACCCCATCGCACACATACACACACACACACAAAAGCAATATATTTCCTTCACTATAGTATAGTGTGATTGTAGCTGATAAAATTAAATGTTATATTTGGGTACAGGAAACACGACCAAATCACCTATGACATCCCGATTCTTCAAAATGTCTGGGGAGGAGCATCTTCCTGGAGCAATGGCCCGAGACGAGAAATCCCCCTCCATTGCTGGATTGACTTCTGATACTTGAGCTTTTGAGGGAGTGTGTCTATTATTCCCGCTCATTTAAATCTATTCCAAGTACAGCAACATGACATCCTTTCGTTTAATCTGGGGTCTTCCCTTAAACCTTTGGACAGTGATTTAAGGTATTAAAAACGGTGAAAGTATTGTTCGTCTCCAAACAGTGTTGTTTACACTGTTATTCATTTAGATAGCCTTGTTTGTCACGCAAATACGGGTTAATTGGGCATAATAAAATCGTGAGTCATGACGTAACGTTATGTAAACATATTTGGTCCAGGCAATGAGCTCTGTTTTAAAGGACAATATTGGTGTCAGTCATAATTACATATGTGATAGAACTGGTTAAATACATTCCAAATATAATTTTAACACAGAGATCATTGCTACGGGAGATGTGTAACAAGCACGTGAAGAAACGGGAAGTGACGCCAAACATGACAAACACGAGTTATCCTTCTATGTATCTGACTGATGTAACGAGCGATAACAGACAAACGATCGAATTTCATTTCACTTATATCATGAAAAGAAGCTGAACATGATCGAAAGTAATCACACTTTCAATAAAAATGTAAACTTGCTAAATTCACCTTTGGTCTTAGTGACCCTGGAGGTCAAAAGGTGAAATTTACCGTTTTTGCACTAAGAAGATTTAAAGCAATAAAATGTCAACGTAAAATATAAAAACTAAAGCGAAACCTGTTCTAATTAATAATAGGAACATTTAAAATTTATCTTTAGGTGGTCTTAGCACCGAACTTTTACTTTGGAACGTCGAAAATGATCTTGCATAACAGAACCAGCACACTTTAAAACCTGTTTCAAAAATACGTAACTGCCAAATCGAAATCTCTCAGATTTATTTTCACAACGATTGTTATACATAATGATACTAGTTGTCTGAAAAACAATTAAAAAGTTTCAGTGTTGGACTCCACCCCGGCAGGCCGCGTGGATTTCCGAGAATCCCAGTCTAGGAAAACCGACGTTAATCTGTGGCGGGAAAACACGTATCTGACGACGAAATTAAAAGTTTGCAAATCTTTTATGAGTTTTTATGAATTTCGCCGGAACATTGTACATTTCGCATTGTACATAGTAGTTCACAGGATATATATGTCGTATTGGTAAATGTTAGCTGGGAAAATTTGGGCAGGATTTGTGACGCGGCCTGCAGGCTAGAGTCCAGCCATTGAACTGTTCAATTATTTTTTTCAGACAACTGGTATCATTATGTAAAGCATTCGTTGTAAAACTAATTCGGAGAGATTTTGATTTAACAGTTTTTGTGTATTTTTGAAACTGGCTCCGAAGCGTTTTGGTTCTGTTATGCAAGATCATTTTCGACGTTCCAAAGTAAAAGTTCGGTGCTAAGACCGCTTAAAGATTAATTTTAAATTTTTCTATTATTAATTAGAACAGCTTTAGCTTTAGTTTTTATATTTTACGCTGACATTAAATTTGTTACTTTAAATCTTCCTAGTGCTAAAACGGAAAATGTGACCTTTTGACCTCTAGGGTCACAAAGAAAAAGAGTGAATTTAGCAAGTTTACATTTTTATTGAAAGTGTGATTACTTTCGATCATATTCAGCTTATTTTCATGATACAGGAATAACCGCGCATTCATTTCAGTGCAAATGAACCCATTTGACCTTTGACCCCGAATATCTCGAAAACGCCCCATCGGCGGATTGATTACCACTCGGCATCGTATTCTACCCAAAATTTTACTCTAGAAAAGTTGGGTCTGGTTTTGTGCCCATTTGATGGATCCCCCCCCCCCCCGCGCTGAGCCTCCAGACTTTATTGGATGTTAATCGGACTATTGACCAGTCATAATTTGGAACATAAGTTGGCTTCCATTACAGCAGTGTTAAGTGAGATTAGCTCTAATCAAATGAAACACTGCGAGGGGTATGGGGGGAGGATCCCCAAGCTGTAACACACCCCGCCCTTGCCCGCCCCTTAACCAAATATCCTGCATCCGCCACTGTATTGGGGGTGGGGGTATACTATCAGAAGTAATGAGCAATTTATATGATGATGATAAATACTGACAGCTTACCGTCATTGTAGCAGTTTACACCAAGATCATAACATCTGGAATAACTATAGCTATAACTATATGTACTGGGGTTCCAACTGTAGCTGTTACACTGGAATAGTGAGGATTCTGTTCCTGAACATCCTACTCCATTCATCCATACTTTACCAAGCTGACCATACTGTAAAAAAAATTATCATATATAATAAATAACCAACAATCATAAAAACAACCTATTAATACCACATCGTATAGATCAGATGACTGTCAGATACTTTGTTTGACAATATGATGCTAAATCTAGCAATTAAATGCGTTGTTATTCTACAATTACGTCAACAAACGCACTGCCAAAAGCACCTTTTAAATGAAATGAAATGGGGTTTTCTACTTTTCTGCACCGACTGTGCCATAAAGTAAATTTTGTGCGGACAGCGCTGCCAAGGCCTTCTCCTATTTAGAATTCCAACTGTCAAGTTTATTTTATGTGCACATCAATGTCTACACGGGACATCGATTTATCGCCCCATCCAGACAATTAGACACTGTCCTTGCCAGGTCCTCCGTCCTTAACCCATCGCGACTCCTTCAAATGTTAAAATGCATAAATATATGACTGTGCTCCATGCAAAACAATGACTTCCAAGAAATAAAATTTTAAAAATAAGTTAACATGCTGATTTAAAATAGAATTTTAAGCAAGTAAAACGCTGTAATATTTCCCTTTAATTATACGAGATCTCGATGTTTCATGCCACCTGCTCGAATTGGCATTATAAAAACCCACAGCATTATGATCAATAGTGGTAAAATATACATATATATTCTAAAGATTTCTTTAAAAAAAACAATTGTGGATAGACTCTCTCATTATAACAGGACACAGACCAGTAATTCGCACCGCATTGATTTTAATTTTAAATCATTTGTAGAACTTTCCAATGATATTAATCTTTGGAGCCACGGTGGTTAAGTGGGTAAGACGCAGTGGCGGCGCCAGGGGGGGGGGGCAAGGGGGCCCCCCATTAATCTGGTCTGCCCTCTGTTTGCCCCCCCCCCCCAATAATTTTAGAAAATAAAAAAAAGTATTTGTGATACGTTTCGGTAATCAATACCTTCTACATCCCCACTCAGTCATAAACTTGCATGTTGTAGAGCATTTCCGACAGTCTATTTTTCAAAATTTTCTTGGCGAGGTCCCCAATGGACTCGCTACTTTGGCGCTCACAAAGGTTCGCAGGGGGTTGGATGGCCGAATGGTTAGCATGTGCGTGCTGTATTATAAAGCCTGTCATTGAGTCAACTGGCGTGGTTTCGAATCCCCGGTTGTACGTGACAAGGAGTAGGGTCGCCTGTCCAACCTCGTGGGTTTTCTCCGGGTCATCCCGTTTCCTCCCACTGCTAAAGACCCCTACGCACAAGCGAATTATTGAAATAAAATTAAACCATATGTTAGTTCCGAAATGACCTAGTTTGTGTCGAGTGGACGCTAAACCCCATTTCTCTCTCTCTCTCTCTCTCTTGAGGTTCGCAAGTCCGTTCGTTTGACATTTTGTTCTCTAGTCGGATAAACTAGTGATCAGGCGACGAACGGTATCTGGGCAGATCTATTTATCTCGACGACCGGTGCCTGACAGAATACTGTAAGACAGCATTTCCGGCAGTCTATTTTTCAAAATGTTCTGGGGGAGGACTCCCTACTTTGACGCTCGTGAGTGGGCTTCGTCGTGATTCGCAAGTCCGTTCGTTTGACACTTTACCTCATCGATCAGTGTCTGAAATACTGCCAGGCTGCATTTCCGGCAACCTGTTTTTCAAAATTTTCTGGGGGAGGCCCCCTAACCCTAGTTGAAGCTCGTGCCTTTGCCCTCTTAACCTTGGACTTTGCCCCAGCCTTGCCCCTCCAATCACTGACGGCTGGCGCCGCCACTGGTAAGACGCTGGCTCGCTAGCATGGAGGTCGCGTGTTCTATCCCTGCATTGGCCGAGAAAGTTCATCGTAAATTTCCGGCGCGGCTTCCCCTTGTCAGTGGTGCAAGATAGAGGGCCTGGCAAGGACAGTGTCTAATCGTCTGGATGGTACAAAAAATGTGTATACATTGGCGTGCACGTAAAAGAGCCATTGGCAATTGGAATCCGATATAAGAGTAATCCTTAGTGCCGCTGTCCGGACCAAATTACCCTCGTAGCACACTGTATGGCGTATGCCCGTCTTCATTAGCCCAGTCGGAGCAGACGAATAGGACGTTAAACACCATTTCATTTCATATAAATCTTTATAACCATAAAGAGCCCAGCATGCCACAATCATCTGATGCAAATATTAGAACGGGTTGACCATTTCGATTCTTAGTAGGCCTCGCAAACTAAATTTATAGGTAGTAACGTCATTTTAGTAGGCGTTTGAAAAGAAATTTTATTGTGCAGTCAAACCTCTAGGTCACTTAAGAGGTAATATATCTTGGTAACCACTATACACAGCTACAGTTGGCAACAACTATACAAAGTTACTGTTGGTAACATTTACTCAAAGTATCAAGACAATGTATGAAAATTAATAGGACTGTCTGATTTCTCAAATTCATTCCTAACAATACAAAATCGCTGAAGTTAAAAAATAATTCCTCCTCAAGCAATGAAAATGTCAAAATTTAATGATAATATCTGATGCTTACAATATTGTTGGATAATATATCCTAACTAACTTTCTTTATCCAGTCCGAAGAGTAACATTGTATCTCGGACACATTTAATCGTAGATCAGAAAGAGAGCTTCATGGAGCTGAGCTTATGTTATCCACTTTTAGTAACATTATATTTGAGACCCACATACTTATTTCGGTATAATATTAACTTAAGTATTGAACATCATTTGAGGCATTGTGACAACGCCCAAAAATGTTATCAAAATTATGTAAATATATATATATCACTGGGATCTTATTAAATAAAAAATTATTAATCAAAACTTTTGATTTGTTTTTGGTCGTTATGACTAATCTATGATCGTTTTGACTAAACGTTATGTTCATGTTTATTTCAGCCGAGCTAGTTTAAGGCCCTTTCGTCTATAAACTTAAGAAAAAAGTTTCGTTGAGCTCTTTTGCTGGGCTTCTTTTATATTTTGATTTTGTTTATCCAATGTTAAATAATGAGTGTGTGAACATTTTTAAGTGTGGAGTAAGCCGATGAATATTGTTTTCCAAAAAATGCAAACACAGAAAGGTTTTAATTACAGGGGTATATAATTTTTGAGGAAAAAAAATGAGGTCAACGACGTTATTCTAGCTATCCTTTTAAATTTTAAAACAGCAACTTTGTATATCATTAAAAATAATAAATTAAAGATACTTTGGTTAAGAGTTTTATAAAGATTTGGCCATTCTTGCTATAATAATTCAAAAATAGATGATAAAAAAGACAATGTTGAAAATTTCAGTCAAATACATTTGTTCTGATCGATAATTACCGGAATTCTAGTGGAATAGGAGCGATCTATAGAGCCACCATTGAATCCTAACTGACGACAGGCCACATTAGCAGTTGACGAACTCAAATATGTCTGACAGACACGCCCCCAGGTCGTCTCATATAATATCCTTACTCGACCTGCTCTTGACGTACCATTAACCAACTGAATACCAATACCTGGGGAAAGAATAACTATGATAATATAGGATTCACAAAATACATACTAATTGGGACTCTTATATGCACATAATTGTTTGTGGGAGCATATTGTCTGCCAGTCTATAAATTCCGAGACTTTCTGTGTTTATTCAGCTATTCACCATCTTCAATAGAAGGTTTGATTTCAGTTTAACTAGGCACATCTTATCAAGGCATTCACGTAATACCCTGGATATTTCGGCACTAATTTCGATTGGGTATTCACCGACTTTGAGAGCCTATCAGATTCTGTCAGCTAAAGTGTATACCTGTGATAATCGACTTGCAAAGTTCAAGGTTCGTTCAATGTCAAGGTTTCCGTGGAGGTTACTCTGTTTTATTTAAGCGTGTATGTGTCACAACCACTGAATGGATGCTACTGTTCACATGTGTGCAGTAAATGGAGATAACGTAGTTATAAGTTCGGGAATTGTACAGCAATCTAGCAACACCCAGATGGTGTAAAACTCACTGTCGTTGCTTCAGGAACATGGCTATTCATAAGCATTGAACTTGATCAAAATTCAGAATTGTTGTTGCTTGCTGACAATGCACTGTTGCTTACCAAAGTAGCTAAGGTATATTATTTCTGTTTAACCCTGTAGTTCCAATGTTCTCAGTCTAATTTTTAAAAAAATTCAACAGAAACTGTTACAAATGTGAACAATATTTCGAAAACATTCTTTTCACAGCACATCAAAACAAATACGCAGTACACATTTTGAATGTGACCCAACTTAACTTACCTCCATTATTATAACACAGAACACCGGCAGCTGGTCTTCTATAAGAACTAGCAGAAGAACACCCTTTATCTTCACCAAAACCTTTGGAACTACAATTATCTAAACTAGCTTCATTACCAGAACAGTTATATCCTCCTAGTACCATTGGTTGACTGGAACGTGTTGTTGTATACACGGCAACACCACCAAGTTTACCTGTTTGCTTACATGTAACATTAGCTTCTGCGTCTGTCCACCCAAAATTACATACTGGTCCATAGAAACCATACTTCGACGCATTTACAACACCTTTTGATATTGGATAGTCAATCTTCACTACTATACCTAGCGAAACAAACAAACCAATTTTTGTGAAAGAGATTATTCGAAGGTTTATGGTAGTAAACACTATAGTTACGAGGTAATCTTTATTCGTAAACGCCGTGGTTACGAATATCGGTGTCCTTATAGTTTTATTTCATTGGAGCCAAGTCAGTTTTCTATAATGCTGTCCCAAAACTGATGGCGAGGTGGCCATACGAATATGGAATTTGAATTTCGCGCGAAGATGGCCCCGAACATGGTCAAAAGCAATCAACACCCGAAGCAAGTGCGATGCTTACAGAACGTCACACGATGGCATCCGAACCACACACGAAGGTAATACGAAGATGTGAATTTTGTATAGTAGTTTATACCCGCATGGCACACAAAGGCCACGCGGTGGCTCTGTAGAGTTGCCCATGACTAACCCAGGAAGATGCGTCACAATTTCTTGAAATAAACACCAGATAGTCACACGACCAGAGCCGACTTTGAACATTTACTCTATCGTGTGTCCATCTGGTGTCACTTTACGGAGAGTGTGACAGTGACATCCGCTTAAGATATAATAGCAGATCCTTAAGTCCCATGTTTGAATTTTGCTTTAGATGTCCATTCTATATTACAACAATGAATACAACGCAACTATTAGAGGAAATAAATGATCTGAAACACTTACTTCCGACCTTAATTGGTGTTGCTGAACAATATACAGTGACGTAATGTCCCGAAGCACAGACCCCTGTCGTATACTGACATTCCGTAAGACTTGACTCAGTTCCAGTACAATTGGTGATGGTGATATTTGGTTTGGTACTGGAATAAGACAACTGACCAATTGCGTTACAACACTGCATCTTACCGTCTGCGTAATCCAATTCCTTGCATGCGACACGGGCTGCTTCATCAGTAAACTGATCATCACAAACAGGAATCCACAAATTGTCTTGCTTCATTTCGACCCTGCCATAGTCAAGTCTACTCCCAGCTCCCAAAACACGAACTATTGGAAGAAAATATATTCCATTTTTGTTAAATGGGAAATATACAATATAGTCAAGATACTGTATGTTTTGTGTTATTTCCTGTTATGTTAGAGCCTGTGGTATGTCCAAGGAGTCGAGCATGAGATGTAAGGGATGTGCTATATCATCACCCAAACGGTTCCTAGAACATTCTTCTCTATGGAACTGGTAGTTGTATATAGGCATCAAACTATAATTAACAGTGATGTAAATGGTGACAACGGGAATGAACTGACAGTGCAGATGAAATAAACGATCTACAATAAATTTAAAATATCAGCTCGTTCAGAAGTATTACGGCAACAGCAAACAGCCAACTATATATATGTTCATGAAAGGAATTGACTGCAGCGAGATCAGAAAACACGACCAAAATAGAAAAGGTCGCGCATTTCCCGTTTGAGAATAATATTATAAAGCAAAATCGGTAGATATGCATTTCTTACAACTATTTCTTGAATCATCAATTTTGTGTGTTGGGTCTAGTGCAGTTTTCACATTACATTAGATTTAATAATACATATAGAGTTGTGCTTTGGAAGGACTTAATTGAACTACAATTCTTGTATTATGCTTAGCTTGTATTGATTTACTTCTATAAATATACTTTCTATATTTTTGATCGTGATAATTATCCCGTATTCTACCCATACTTAGACAGCCACATGGTTGGGTGTACAATAACATAAACTATATTATAGCACATATAATATGGTGACATAGCACAAAGGTTCAACGGGTTTATTTTACCCATCAGTAGAATTGGACATGGTTGCTACTGTATCAAAGAACTTGAGTGATGTCTTCTTGTCCTGGGCTAGCTGCAGGTTATTAAAACGCACAATTCTGTTTTTCAATTTCCCTGTAGACTCTCTTTCGCTTTAGAGGAGCATCTCCAAAATCACGTTGGACCAACGTAGCCCTGTCTGAATGTTCGATCCGCTTAGCGACATCATGCGGTTGTGGACACCCTCAACACCATTGTATCTAACAATGTAATTTTGCTCTTGGGCGCTATAATTAATATTATTAATAATTAATATCAGGCATCACTATTTCAGTAAGGAATATGAAAAGTCTCTCCGTCCAACCACTCAACATAACGTCGTGCAAATCCATCAAAAAAGAAAAATGTATGATCTGCTATTGGGTTCTTGTTTTAATTGAAATTAATTCTACTAACCTGGTCCGTGGCACCTGACATTAACATGGTAACACCTAAACGCCGTGCCCCAGGTTATAGCACATTCTTTAAGAGAATTCTCTGTTCCCTTACAGTATAAATTAGTTATATAAACAGGACCAGTGCCTTGGTTGCGTGTTCTTAGGGTAAATATTCCTCCTTCGAAACCCTTTTCTCGACAGACAACATCAGCAATCTTGTTTCTAGAGCTGGAGGAAGACGAGTAATAACACAGTTTACCCCAAACACCTTCAATGGCTACCTCCACTCGTCCTGAACCTCTTCTTGTTCCGTTCAAACGAACTTGGAGCCCTGTAGGATACAATAAATAATAGATTATATTTATTGAAGACTTCTATTCTGTCTTAGAAAGATACATAACCGAATACCTGAAGGCTAGGACAACGTATTGTTATTCAATTAATTGCACTTTTATATCTTTTTTTGGTAGTGTTGGCCCATTATTTTACAGAAATCAGTTAATTTGTGTGAGTATGGAATGACCAGTCATTGAGATCATAGCTGCCATAATTTTCCCGGAATCAAGACTATTTGTTTTATATATTTGAAGCACCATGTCAGCTTTTCACAATAATGAGGTAGTGTAGTATGTGATAGTATTTGGTAGAACTGGGTTTTTATTGAGTGGCATTGGGTAAATCGTCCTGTCAAGCGGAATGATAGTGCAGTGTAATTATTTCAAAAATAAAATGATCAGTAATTTAACAATAATTTTACATTATATGTAGAATATAATTGTGGCGTGCAGAGGTGTCGTGTCCGTGGGACCACCCCCTTGATTGGATGCCCCCAAGAATCAAGTATATGAGAAAGGTCGGTATTTTAAGTATGTCAAGACATAATCTGCGATTATTTAAATTTAAAAACAAACTGAATTGTACTCTTTAATTAGGATGCTGCCCTGAAATGAATACCCACTGGGTCAATCTAGCGTACGATATTTCATTCATTGAATAATAATACCTGTGTTTTGATAACAATAAACAGCGGCATCACCAACCGAAGAGCAATTTTTGATATCACCCCAAACCATTCCACCACATCTGTTTAGCGAGGATTCGGTACCAGTACACTGTATGTTAGACAGCCATCTCATATTATTGACTGAATATCCATAGTAATTTCTATACACATAAGCAAAACCATTGTTAAATCCTTTCATTTTACAGATAACGGTAGCTTCACTATCGTCAAATCCATCAGGACAAATGTAACCTTTTATGCCCATATACGTGACTTGGACTCGCCCTTTAGAAACTTGGGTTGTTGAACCAATCTGTAACTCATATCCTGGCGAAATAGAAAGGACAAAATTCTACACTTTCTCGAACTAATCCAGGTTTGATTCCTGTATACCAGTTAACTCTAAAAGTTAATATATTATAATACTACCGTCTCGTTTACATTTCGATCTGCTAACGAATTACAGTATAATTCCTTTTATAATTCGATCTCGTAAAAATTGAAATTTATTTAATGAATAAAATTAGTATCTGGTGTTGGTTTCATCACAGGAGTCTGACCTTCTATCCGTATATATATATGCATACACCATGTCCAACCAGACAATATATAATAAAAAAGAACAGGAATGCAATGCCTGTTGAAGACTCGATTTTACCTGCTCTCGCTTCGGCTCGTTTTTTTTCAACAATTCGTAATGTCAGGCAATCAACCTTTGTCGATTCACTCAGATATGTTTTTTCTTCAATCTAGTCGTTTTCATTTGCATAAATACTCCCACAAAACGATATCATAGCCACTTGTTTCCAATATTTACATTACTTTCGTCCGTTTCCATTTTGTCACGGTCGTCATGCGCTGACGTTGTATATTGTCTGGTTGGACATGCGTACGTAACTAACGTACGAAAATTAATTGGTGGCTAGCTTTTTTTTCGCACGTATACAGTGAATTGCCATTTCGCTCAGTAATCCCAGCCAGAATTTGGCTATTTTCTAAATTTGCGTTAAAGTTTTTAAAATATTTGTTTTAGAACTGAAACACGTTAACTATTAGTCAATCCCAACGCTAAAAACATCAACAGAATTGATTGTGTATATCTGAAATAGACCCGACCGACGCACAAAATAGTGCAATATGGCGGCCTCTATGAACAACCCTCGCAGACGCTGTCATTGAAGACAACGTCAATTCTATGAGTTGTAGATGTTATTTTTGTGAAAAAATCATTGGAAGAAGAGAGAACATGTTGGGACTGTACGAATTATATAGTCTTTATGGGTGCAACGGACACAATGCTGAAGATAAACCTATTGTTTACAATGTTGACCTCATGACCCATTGACGCCAATGTCATGACCTGTGATGTGTCGATCACGTGATATGGATATCATGGCTACTGACTGTGTCTGAGATACTCCGCAGGTAGCGTGTCTCAGATGCTCAGAATGGTTGGACATGGTGTATGCATATATATATATACGGATAGAAGGTCAGACTCATGTGGTTTCATATACATGTACAATCTGACAAATCAATGACTGATTTTAATACAAAGTGGGACTTGGAACTGGAGTATCATGCACCTTGATGCTTCATTAAATTCTCCATTACCGTAAACGATCTGATTAAAATATTTTGTTTTTCGTTTTATATTGTGTATTTTATATTTCACCGGAATCTTAACATCTAACAGTTTATAATAAAGATATGATTTTAATGGGGTTTAACGTCCCTTTAAAGACATACTTTTGAAATAAACTTATGACGTCTGCGCAACGCTGTACTTCAACCATTTTAAAACACCATATAAGTCATTTCAGGACTAAAATATGGTACCTTTGTATTTCAACAAGTCGCCACTACATATGGGTCTTTAGCAGTGGGTGGAAACCGGAAGACCAGCACAACTGTGGACCAAAACCACACCTCTTGACTCATTGATAGGCCCTATGATCTAAAGTTCGCACTTTCGACCATTCGGCCCCCAACTCACCAAACAGCTTAGCTGATGTATTGACTGTTTGTTCTGCCTACAAATTCTGGTCTTCACATGCATTATTGTTCAACTGGAAGTCGACTATGTGTGACTTGTAGCTCTCTATTTTAATCAAGAACACTAACTGGTGTCCTGTGTTTGCGTCCTTTTCGGAACTTGCGGTTTAACCTTGTGCGACAACCATATATTTAAGTTATTATGTGAAATTGTTGGAAGACAACGTTATCCTTTAAATTAGAGGCATAAATGATAATATCTTACCTTCACCTGGTAAAGTACTAGAACACGCCACAGATGCATACTTTCTAGTAGGACAATAAGTTAAACTACTTTCATAACTACAGTTCATTAACGAAGGTTCACGGCCAGTGCATGATATCTTGGATCTGAGGATATTGTAGTAAGCATAACGTGTACCAAAAGCCGAACAACAGATACTAATTCCATATTCATAACCAAGTTCATTACAGGTTACTGTGGCATCAACATTAGTAAAGTTCTCGGCACAAATCATACCATATCCTCTGGTTGATTGGTCGTACAACTGAACAGCACCAAACCTTGCATTGGGTTGAAGTCGCACTAAAAGAAAAGAGAGATAGAATGGGGTTTAACATCCACTCAACACAAACTAGGTATTTCAGGACCAACATGTGGTTCAATTTTATTTCAATAATTAGCAGTGGGAGGAAACGGGAGAACCCGGAGAAAACCCACGAGGTTGGACAGACGACCCTACTCCTTATCTCGTACAACCGGGGAATCGAAACCACGCCAGTTGACTAACCATTCGCCCCCCCCCCCCCTAAAAGAAAAGATAGGGTGCGAGCAACGAAATATAAGCCCATATGAGATACATACGGCCGGTCACAAAGGCTGTCGCATTGTGGATCATTAAGTAACGAAAAAAGCCCTACAAAATTTTGCGTTTTTGAACCTATTGTTGACAATTCTATCATAGCTATCAGTAGAGGCATTCTTGAAGATTATCGTACATTGGACCAGGAAGCTAGTTTTCCTATAGAAGTGTTTTGGATAAGCAACTCAATTGTTGCGACAATCAATAATCAAAGTTGCGACAATCAATAATTAAACCTCCTAGAGTAAGTAGGAGTAAGATAGTAGGTCGTGATTAACAATCATACCAGGCAAAGGACAATAACTGCAAATTCTTAATTTATGTATACATACATAAATATACCAGCGGCTGCCAGGCAGGATACACCCACATTTTTCAAGAGATGGATAGAGAACAAGCTAAACAAAATGCGATTTTTTGTACAATCAGGGGGCCATAATTCAGGAAGTTATGATCCGATATGCGCAAATATCGACAGCAACCACGATCTTTGGGTTATAAACACTATTTGCGTAGACGGGCGGCCATTTTGTCTGGCAGTTTTGGTCTGATTTTCATGAAATTCGAACTCAACCAACAATACGGTGTAACGCTGACATATTCAAACGTTCTTTTAAATCAGATAATAATTGTGACCTCTTGAGGGACCACAAGCTAAAAACGTGATTTTTCGTACAATCAGGGGCCATAACTCAGGAAGTTACGATGCGATATGCGCGAATATCGAAAGGATCCAACATCTTTGGGTTATAAACATACATTTCAAGTTTCTTCAAAATCGGATGAAAATTGTGACCTTTAGAGAGTCCACAACCTTGATATACCATATTTTTTTACACTATTAGCGTACGAGGAACGGCCATTTTGTCCGGCAGTTTTGGTCCGATTTTCACAAAATTCGAACGTTTTTTTAAATTGGATAAAAATTGTGACCTCTAGAGGGACCACATGCTAAAAATGCGATTTTTCGTACAGTCAAGGGCCATAATTCAGGAACCAAGATCTTTGGGTTATAAACATGTATTTCAAGTTTCATCAAAATCTGATCAAAATTATGAGCTGTAGAGAGTCGACAATCTTGATATACCATATTTTTACACTGTTTGTGTTCGAGGGGCGGCCATTTTGTCCGGCAGTTTTGGTCTGATTTTCACGAAATTCGAACTCAACCGTCATTAAGGTGTAACGGTGATATATTCAAACGTTTTTTTTTTAAATCGGAATAAAATTGTGACATCCATAGGGTCCACAAGCTAAAAAAATGTGATTTTTCGTACAATCAGGGGCCATAATTCAGGAAGTTACAGTCCGATATGCGCGAATATTGAATGGAACCAAGATCTTTGGGTTATTAACTTACATAATTTCAACTTTAAAAAAAATCAGATAAAAATTGTGACCTCTATAGGGTCCACAAGCTAAAAACGCAATTTTTCGTACAGGATCAGGAGCCATAAGCCATGAAGTTACGGTCCGATACATGCCAATATCGAAAGGAACCGAGATCTTAGGGAGATAAACCTATATTTCAAGTTTCGTTTAAATCGGATAAAAATTGTGACCTGTAGAGTGTCCACAAACAATTGTGGACGGAGCGACGACAATATACGTTACATGAAAATGTGGGCGTATAAAAAGGAAAGAGAAGTACGGAATATAAACCAAAATATGAGTGACACCATTAAGCATACCGTATCCTGTGCATGAAACTCTGGCATCACGGTTGTGGTTTAAACAAAATGATGTTGTAACATTGAATCCTGCATTCGGACAGTACCATATTTTACCCTCTGATCCAGTACAACTGGGATTACTTAAGTGTACAAGACCAGTTCCATTACCATACAATGATGTGGATTTGGACGTTCCATCCAAGTAGCCCAATTGTCTACACACTACTTGGGCATCATTCGTACTAAAATAGCTATCACAGATAGTGCCCCATTGACCATTGATTTTAATATTAACGATACCCTGGCTGTTAGAAATTCCCCCAGTCAGTTTCATTTGGATAGCTGCAAAATATAATCACAAAATGTTTAACGGACATAGATTTGTCATTATCTCCTCTGTATTCGTGTATTGACCACTTAATTTTTTATAATATTATAAATTACTTCTTGGTTATTTAAGATCTTGGTTATTTTATTATTGGTAATAACATTTATTATAAATCATTTCTTGGTTATTTTAAATCGTATAATTTCAATATGCCGTGTTAGTGTAGTAACACATCCTTTTTAATATGCAGTTATATTGCGCCTTAAGAAGATATTGTATATACTAAAGTGTTTTTGATTGTTCCCACTAACCATTGTCCGTATTGAAGCATACAATCCTTACTACATATCTTTCTGATGAACATGATGAAGGTATAACTGTAGAATGGGGACAACTCTCTAGGCTATTTTCTCTTCCTGTACAATTAAAGCCGGACAAAAGACGAGGAACGGTACTGGAGTAATATGACGTGCTCGGTCCAGGAGCTATACCAGAGATATAGCCGCTCCGTTTACATAAAACGTTAGCTTCTTCATCACCCCAGCCATCAGAACACACTGTACCATTTATACCATACATGCTGATAGTAACTTCGGCTGGGAAGCTGTTACCAATGGATACACTGAAGCCTTTGGGAAACAGAGGAAAACTAATGACCGTAGAAGTCTTTGATTAAATGGGATGAAGTTGGGGTTTGTAATACATATACTACATTACTGTAATAAACTATATAAGTATGGAAGGATAACGTTGCCAATATTATTTCAATATTCACTGTACAAACTGCATATATCAGCAGTTCAAAATGCGTATTTTAGTTATACTATATATATGCAATTTCCATTGCTTCACGTTACCAATGTCACATTGTTAAAATATATAATACACTTTTCAATAATACAAAATACAGTATAATACATGTAGTTATTTTGCACATTACACTTCCCCATTCTGCATTTTGCATTATAGACAAATGCATAATAGAACTTTGCATATTAGAACATATACCTTATATATGGGAGCTACGACGAAGCTCATTTGCATACGGAAAAAAATCCAGACTAGTCGTTCGGATGGGGCGAAAAACCGATTCACCGTGTATACGTTAGTGTGCACGTAAAAGATCCATAGGCAGTTGGAATTCCATATAAGAATAGACCATAGTGCCGCTGCCGAGATAGATTTCCCTCATAGCACACCGTAGGGGTGTATACCCGTCTTCATTAGCCCGGTCGATGCAGAACAGTAGGACGTTAAACCCCTTTTCATTTCATTTTTTCAAAGTATGTAAATGTAAATTTGCCAGAAATTTATTTAAATATTTAAAAAGAGAAATGAACGTGCTTTCCAATGATACGTAACATGATATCTGGAATTCGTATTAAGACAGATATGTTTACTTTAAATATCCCCACTCCCGTCATATAATAGAGTTTCGTATCACCCGGTTATGATCGTTTTTCTTTCCCCTTGTCAGCGTATCAGGAGTTCCTGACAAGGACAATTGTCTAATCGTTCGGATGGGACGAAAAACGAGGTCCCGTGTACACATTAGCGTGCACGTAAATTATCCATTGGTAGTTGGAATTCGATACAAGAGTAGGACGTACACAGCGCCGGTGCCCGGGCAAATTTTCCCTCATAGCACACTGCATGGCGTATGCCCGTTTTCATTAGCCCATTTAATTTCATTTCATTGATCGTTTTCCGAAGGTCTGTAAATATGAGTACCTTCCCCTTCTACTGACAGTCGATCGCGTAAATTTCTGTCCTAGTCCGGACTTTTTTCCGTTTGCAAATGAGATTCGTCCTAGATTCGATATAAGGTATACGTTTATTATGCTAAGTTCTATTATGCATGTGTCTATTATGCAAAATGCAGAATGGAGAAGTGTAATGTGCAAAATAACTATTATACCTTATTTTGTATTATTGAAAAGCGTATTATATATTTTAACACTGTCATTGGTATTGTGGAGCAATGCAAATTGCAAATTGTAAAACTAAAATACTTATTTTGAACTGCTGACATAGGCAGTTTGTACAGTGAACATTAAAATAATATTGGCAACGTTATACTTCCAGATGTAAGTAAACTGACTCAAACTTGCCATATGAACTTGCCACAGTATTTCCGACCGGGCTATTTGTAATACATTATTTCAAGTATAATCGTCGACTCACATATTAATAAAGCAGAGCCGAATTTCTTTAAACGGTTTCCATCAAAAGCTATCAGTGGTTTTCTTCATGTACAAAAATTAGAAACGAAAACATACCAAGATATGACTTCAAATTGTGAATCATGGTACTGGGTATACCTTGTTAAATGTACATATCTATTTAATTCATCTCCAATTAATACTCACGATTAGACATGTTTGTATTGCTGCAAGCCACGGAAGCATAACTGGAGTACGAATACCTTCCATAACAGTAGGACGTAAAAGTAAAACTGCAGTTAGCCAAGGAAGTTTCTGATCCAGTACAATTAAATCCACCAACACCGTTCCGAATAGTAAGACGACCAAACGCACCAGGTGACAGAGCTTTACCATAAAGAAAACCAAGTTCTCTACACGTAACACGGGCTTCATTGTCATCAAACATAGAGCTACAAACTGATCTCCATCTATCACGGAAATAAAGCTGTACTCGACCAGTGTATGTACTGTCTGTTCGTCTACCTCCTACAAGCTTAACTGTAAAACACAATAATATAAAGATTAGTAACTACGTGAAAATCATTGTGTAGACTCCACAGATATAAAAATAGAATCATTTCTACAGTAATAATGAGGGATGAGTATGTTCAACAGAAAACCATTTATAAGATCTTAGCATCCAAATATTGATTGCTGACCGTGAAAATCATTTTATTGAAGTCATGTGCGGAAATATATCATTACTATATTGTTCAATATTTTCCAAATCTTACCATGTTTATAACATATGACGTTTGCCTGTTTGTTACAGGTGGCTTTACTTCTCCAGCCAGCGTTACGACATTGAAACACAGAAGACTCATATCCTTGACAATAAGGACTGTCCATAAATGCCGCTCCTCCTGTGGGCAAATTTGTCCTGGAACTGCATATAATTATTCGTTGAAATATAGTATGGATTTAGTGATACAAGACAATAATATTCCCCAAGCACTTACAATTCCTAACAATGTGAAAGTCAGTAATAATTGATTTACACAGAATTCCTTTATGGGTTTAGCATAAACTAGAGCTTCAACTCACATACGAACGACAAGAAAAGAGCAAATTTAAGATAAACATATATTTAATCGAGATAGTCTTTTAGAATAATAACATCTTGTCCGATTATTATACAGAATATAGATCAAAGCAAGTGTGGACATAACAGTAGGTTTATAGGTGAAAGTATAAATTATGATCCATTGGCACTACCTTTGGTCCAGTTAGCCAAGAACTTAAGTCATGGAGTAATATTAGTAACAATATCACGCACGGAGTTATAATATTTGTATAATCTAGAAGAACTGAAACGATGTTACCTTGGGATGACACCCTCTATAAATCCCATCTGTTTACAGATAACTTTAACTGTATTACTATAGAAATATTTATCTGCACATATATAACCACGTTCATTATCATACGTTATCTGTACTGATCCAGATGATGCAGTTCCGCCAACCAAAGACAGGGAGGGTGCTGGTAAAAAATAAAACAATGAAAAATATAGACGGGTTTTGTAGGCCGACACGCAGCACACTAGCCAATGCCTGATTAAAATTCTCGCTTAGCAAGTTCGAAAGAATAGTCACGCCGACACAGCAGTTATATCTAGTTATATTAAAGAGATGGACACAGACAATAGCTTATCCAAAGGAAAACTTCATACGTTGACAAATTTGATATGAACCCTTTTGAGAAATATGACTTCTAGCCTCTATCGCGTTCACAGGGTTTTCGAGAGTGGAGAGATGGCTCTGGAACGGAAAGTCGCGGAATGCTGAATATAGATGGGGTTTATCCACCCATGACTTGAATGCTTCCAACCAAATTTTTAAATCATCCGTCAAAACAGTGGCCTCTATCGCCTTCACATCCCAATGTTGACGGATTGACCCACGGACCGACCGATGATAGACAGGGTGACGACATAATACGCCCAGACTTAAATGTGGGTATACAAAATAATTCGTTAATAACTGTAACTTTTATCGCATTCGAACGGGGATACATATGTACCGGAAGTTCGTGGAGCGCTGAATATCGATAGGATTCATCCACGTGTGACTCTAATGCCTCACACCAAACTTTAAAACTGTAGCCTCTATCGCGTTCATGATCAATATTTACGGACAGACATTATGATGGCTTAATACGCCCACGCATAAAAGTCAACTAATGAATCTGTCCCAAACTTTAAAATAGTAAATTTATGGGAAAACGCATTTGAAATTTATTACCCCAGCAATTTCAACATTATTGTCGTGTATTTAATTTCGACAGTGTTCCACATTATGTCAAATTATTCAACCTGATCGAAAGCATTCCGTGCAATGGAAAATAATCTCTTTGACTGACTTGAATCGACAGATCAGGACAATAATTTAGACCGAAGATTTGATTTGTACCCCCGCGGTCCAGTGTATAAAATGGCAAAAAAAAAAACCATGGGATTAATACAGCATCATGAGATAACTAGTATGTCCATGGACTGAATGCCAGTCGAATAAGACCGGAAATATTACTCCGTTTTCACTACCCGCATTGATTTGTCCCCAAACATGTAGTTTTCAATTTTTGTATTTTGGGGGTAGAAAAGTGGAAATGGCGATGTTGCATGCCTAACGACAAAATTACATGTTAGGTAAGGATGGGAAACGGAATGCATTGGTATCCAACTCATTGTCGTCACGGCCTACCTGTTCAAGTCAAGAAGAATGCAATGCTAAACTCTCGCATGCGCATAAAACCACTGAGTCTACTGCATCAGGGAAAATCCCACTCGGTTAAAAACACGCACGAGGAAAAGTTAAACTCCTTTGTAAAAATTGAACATGGCGTGGTTTACAGATTATATTTAGAAAATCAGTTGAAACGATTCCCAGACGAGATATTCTGTATTTGGAATGAACGAATTGGCAACGTTGCAGATTTGCAATAAATAATGAAAGATTTATATCTAAATATCAAATTCACAATTGAACCGAACGACCTGCAAATCGCATTCTTAGACGTTCTAGTGAAACGAAGGGGAGATCTCTTTACTACGGATATGTATTCTAGAGAAAAAAAATACCGACAGTTATCTCTCTTATAAATCCTGTCACCCACGCCATACCAAAAATAATATACCCCTTTCTTTAGCTAGAAAAAATATGCACCATTGTGATAGATGGATACATAAAAACCGGTCCTATGATTTAACGAATTGAATATTATCAAATTTCTTTCTGAGGTTGTCGCTTGATGGTAGGAGTGTCCTGCTCTCGTGTATTTCTGAAACTTCCAATCCGAAAATAAAAATGCTTTTTTTGTAGTATTTCGGAACTCATTATTAGTGTTTTCCTTTCATCAGTTTAGTCACCCCCTTTCTTACAGACTATAAAATATGTTCAGTAAAATTACTAACCTCTATTTGATGTGTAACAAAGAACACCAGCATCTGCTCTATAGCTGGAAGAACATCCTTCGGGCCCGGTCGTACACTGGGATAATATGGTTTCATTTCCAAAACAACTAACCTCGGAGAACCAGAATGGACCTCTACCGCTCTGGTCATACTTAAAAGCTACACCACCCTGGTTACTCAACGATAGCTGTCTACAGACAACACTGGCCTCGGAGTCACCCCAATACTGTTGACAGATTCGACCTTTGACACCGTGTTTAGTAACTACTACTCGTCCTGTTTTAGATTGGTAAGCAGGCACCCCACCTTCTAAAGTTACTGATGTCGCTGTATGAGATAAAGAAACGTAAGATCAATGGAATATTATAAAGACAAATCCGGATTAAATGTTGATAATAATAGTTTTAGAATCAATACTCTAAATGCATTGTTGCTACAAACTTTTGGTTAAGCCCCCTTCGCACAATACGAAGATCTCACTACGGGCTTACTACGAGCTGAAATTGCTTGGTTAGGTCGCGTTAAAGTACTGAAAGACCCGTTCAATGTGAAGTCTACTACAAACTTAATACGCGCAAAATACGTCTCACCTGTTTTAACGTTTCCACTATGCGTACACTACGCTCCATACGTCCCCGCTATGATCTTATGCTTCCTTCACGCCCGCACGAAGCTCAACCACATTTCCACCACGACCAAGAAGAACGCACCAAACTGGTTCCACGTTCCAGTCACGTGCTTGCTACCTCACCTCGATCGCCGGATGTTTGGTATTCTGAGGAGGTACTGAGCCTCATCCATCAAATCAAGACTTTGCACTAATTTCCACGGCCTCACTACGTATACACCACGCTCGATATGCCATTGCTACCCTTTGCCATGCTCCATCAACCCCCACGTACTTGCTACCCTATGACAGCAACCTGACCTCAATCTTCGGATTGATAGGAATATAGATGGTTCCAGTCTAGCAGCCAAAGAAGGATAAAAATTGTGACCTCTAGAGGGTCCACAACCTTCGTATTACACACTTCTACACAATTTGCGTACAAAGAGCGGTCGTTTTGTCGGACAGTTTCATTGTGACCTCTAGAGAACCCGCAAGCTAAAAATGCGATTTTTCGAACAATCAGGGGCCATAATCCAGGAAGTTAAGTTCGGGTATCCGCGATTATCAAAAGGAACCAAGATCTTAGTGTGTAATGGTGATATACTCAGACGGTTTTTTTTTAAATCGGATAACAATTGTGACCTCTACAGCAGGGGCCAACACGTGATTTTTAGTTCAGTCAGGGGCCATAATTCAAGAAGTTATGGCCCGATATGCGCGAATATCGAAAGGAACCAATATCTTTGGGCTATAAACATGTATTTCAAGTTTCAGCGAAATCGGATCAACATTTTGACCTCTAGAGGGTTCACAACCTTGATTTACCAGATGTTTACACTATTTTGTCCAACAGTTTTGGCCCGATTTTCACGAAATTCGAACTCAACGAAATTCGAACGTTTTTTTTAAATCAAATAATAATTGTGACCTCTAGAGGGACCACGAGTTAAAAAAACGCGATTTTTCGTACAATAAGAGGCCATAATTCAGGAAGTTACGATCCGATATGCGCGATTGACGAGATCTTTGGGTTATAAACTTGCATTTCAAGTTTCATCAAAATCAGGTGAAAATTGTGACCCCCCAGAGGGTCTACAACCCTGATACACAATATTTTGACACTATTTGCGAACGAGGGCGGCCATTTTGTCCGTCAGTTTCGGTCCGATGTTTACGAAATTCATACTCAACCATCCTTAGCGTGTAACGGTGATACATTCAAACGTTTTTTTTAAATCGAATAAAAATTGTGACCTCTATGGTACAATCAGGGGCCATAATTCAGGAAGTTATGTTCCGATATGCGCGAATATCGACAGGAACCGAGATCTGTGGGTTATAAACATACATGTCAGGTTTAAACCAAATCGGATAAAAATTGTTACCTCTACAGTGTTCACAAGCTAAAAACGTGATTTTTCGTACAATCAGGGGCCATAATCCACGAAGTTACAGTCCGATACATGCCAATATCGAAAGGAACCGAGGTCTTAGGGCGATCAACTTATATTTCAAGTTTCAATGAAGTCGGATAAAAATTGTGACCTGTAGAGTGTTCACAAACAATTGTTACGGACGTCCGGACGTACAGAGGCGACGACAATATACGTCCACATGAAAATGTGGGCGTATAAAAAACAGCCAGATATAGTGGCCGAGAGCGGCATGGACGTGGCGAAATCTTTGTGAGAGAGCGAGAACCCATTCACACAGTTAGAGAGTGGCCGAGAGCGAGATATACAACGACCTCACTACACCATTGTATATAACACGCACCATACCTGCTTAGCTAGGTCGTGACGGAAAAGTCCCCCGAGAGTGGGGACGGCGTAGTGGAAGCGTACTCAAAATATTAGTTATATGTTAGATGTATAGAAAATAGTATAAGGCACCCAAAATTTGTTACTTGGTCATAGTGAACATAAATTCCGTTAAATAACAAATTACCACCACCAAAGCATCAAAAACTCAAAAAAAGTTCTAAATATATGAATGATGCAAATGTGAAACAAATTTTCATGAAATTTCATAACTATATCTTATATCTTGCATACGCTTTTTTTCAAAAATCAGATTTTTTGTGCAGACAGATTGGTGGCAACACGAAAATTACATTCCAGAAATTTCTAATAGGCAAAACACACAACTTCTGTAACTGGCTGATGTAGTAGGTACATAGCTCATAAAGGTATCTTACACGGCATATAAGATATGACCCAGAATAAAAACTTGTATATAAATCATTTTTAATTCATGAAATGACAAAAATTTCAATTTACGAAATTACGAATTGGCAAAAGGCACAACTACTACTCTAAGTTGACTTGTAGCAAATTTCAAAAGTGCCAAAACGTTATTTGACATACAAATACATCGTTTTCAACAAGCTTATCCAGAGTACCATTAGAAGCGCTTAGAGCACCCCTCCGCGTGTAATAGGCGCGATATAGGTTTATTATTGTTATTATTAAGGTTGATACGTGTAACAAGGTTAAAAAAGAACAGTTTACGGGATATGCCCCGGAATAAAAGATTGTGTACCAAAACTAAGTCAAATTTGTTTCCACGGAAATCCCCTCCAAAAAAAAAAAAAATAAAAATAAAAAAAAAAAAATAAATCCCAATTACATCCGAGAAAATTTTAAATAGCAAAGCGCATAACATGTGTTGAAAAGTTTACAATTTTCAGAAAGATATCTTGGAACGGTTTATGGAATCTGCTCCGGAAAAAAAAATTATACCGAATCTAAATCAAATTTATTTGTATGGAAAAACAAATATAAATCAGAGAAATTTCTAAATAGCAAAACGCACATACTGTACATCAAAATTATATCTTGAACGGTTTTTGAAATTTTGAAATTTTGAAACAAAATCGGGATGGACGGTACCCATTTCAATATTCCTCAGTAACTCCGTTCGGCCTGAGGTAATAACAGAAGGCTTGTATGAAATCAGGCAGTGGGGTAGTCGTTGTATGAATAATTTATTGCTATAGTATTTAACAGGAATATTAACCCATTCAGCCAACTAATTGTGTACTTACTATTATCGAGACTTCCATTAAAGCAAGCAACAGAGGCGTAGTTAGTGTATGAATAACTGGAACATGTAGATCCAGCATAAGAGCAGTTGAGAATTGAAGATTCGGATCCTGTACAAGCTATGTTGTTTCTGATGTAGGGTGTACCGTAATAATTCCCGTAAGAACCTACAGGTAGTGGTCGACCATTTGAAAAGCCCATCTCAAGACAGACCACCCGAGCTTCGGTATCATCGAATCCAGTTCCACATAGTGCTGTCCATGTTGTGTAGCCATATCTCCTATTCTTAATCTGTACAATTCCACTTGAATGATCTCCATTTCGCAATCGTACTGTAATATGACACCAATTTACAACATAAATATAATGAAAGAAGGCATGACATTGGGCACTACTGAATGAGAGGGCGTGCCATTCAGTATTACAATATTTAACCCTTTCAAATCTAAGTATTATTAAGATCGAAAGTTTAACAAGGATATGTGTAGTAATAAAATATTACTCGATTCAACTGAATAGTTTGACAGGAGATGTTAAACAGCACCAATGTCAGTAAAGTACTGAACATCATCTAGAACATAAATTTACAGTGATGAAGATACTCGTATTGGTCGAATATGAGTGTGTATGGTGCAATCAAATCAGCAAGGGGTGGTGACTGCGGGGTTAAGTTTGGGAAAGCGGTCATGCTGCATCACCCGCCACGCATCAATGATACAAATATTGCCAAAATCGTTGAAGAGCAGCTATGTTGGGTGAGTGAAATACAATATCAGCAAACGGACTGGGACGATGGCAATTTGAAGATTTTATGAACGCTATTCAAGTTAAAGTGAGTACATGCGACTTTGCGAGGAAGGGGTAGGGTATTAAACATTACCTTCACCATGACAAACAACGGATGCATCTTTTGAATGATCTGCGCACGATGCATCGGATATTCCCCATCCTTTATTCTGACAGCTAAATACAGAATCTTCTCTGCCATTGCAGAGCATCCCATCCATTAAAATACTGCCATTTCCACTTCCATAGTAAGAACCTTTTAGTGCAAACCCATCCACAAAACCAAGACTTGTACAAATAACAGAAGCATCGATATTCGTCCAACTGTTGTCACATATAGTTCCTGTTTCTCCATTAATTGTGATTTCAACTCTACCATATCTAGAAGTGCCACCAACTAGTCTTAAAATTGGAGGACCTATGAAATAATTATAACTACATGTATATACGATTCACTACTCAAGTACTCGTTCGAGGAGCTGGTGATGTCTAGGAAAATTGAAACAAGGATTGTCAGTTATATTGTCTTTTCAAGAGTTTTTAGCTTAACTGAGGTCAAAAGAGGGGTCTTTCGCATAGTTTAACAACACAAACTTTGACCTCAGAAATTATTTCAAAAATTCATATTTTTGATCGCAACTTAATTGCCACAATACTTACCAGATGAATAACACATGGCTCCGTTTGGTATACAGTTTCCAGTTCGCTGACCCCATGGTTCTTCAACGCAATTTTCTAGACTACTCTCTGAACCAGTACAGTTATAGCTGCTAACCCAGGATGGTAATGGCTGATATCTTGATGTAGTACCATAAGCTATACCACCTTAAATAATAAAATACACATTTATAAGAAATACCACGATAAAGCACATGGAAGTGCTCAGTTGTTTTTTTTACGTACATTTATTTATAATGAAATTTACCTTGATGATTCATTTGTTTACAAGCAATATTGGCTATCGTATCGTTCCAATTATCGGCACATGAAATACCCCATTTGCCAAGATGACGAACTTGTACCATCCCCCATTGTGGACTTTCAACACCAGATGATCCATTATGTAGCCGGACAGAAAAAGCTGTAAAATATTATATATATACTATTCAAAAAAAGTAGGGGATATTTGATTTTGGGGGCATAATACTAAAATATGCAAATGACTACGAAAAAAGTCATATAGAACCTAACAGAAGAAACATTTCCAGTTACATGTGATGCCCAAACGCACCAATAGCTACCGCATGGAATACAGGTGATGCTTGGGATCATCATGGGGGTCCAACCCAAGATTTGCACGACTCTGACTTTGAATGTTACAGTCATTGTGGCATTGAATTCCAGGGTGGAAACATCAGTTTAATTGTTTTAGTGACCAGAAAACAAATTTTGATATGCGTCGGCTTACCCAAAATGAAAGGTTACGTGCCCTTGGCATGCTACAGATCGGCACAACACAGGCGGTTGTGGCGCGGACGATGAATGTTTCTCAGTCTGTCATAAGCAGGCTATGGTCCAGATACCGTGATACACAATCTGTACAGGACAGACCACGCTCAGGTCGACCAAGGGCGACAACTCAAGCCCAGGATCGATTTATCCGTACCTTGGCCTTGAGAAATCGTGTCATCACAGCAAATCAGATCAGCGCTCGTCTTCAAACAGACACTGGTGTGAGAGTGAGTGGCCAGACGATTCGGAATCGACTGCATAGGGGTCACCTTCGCGCCCGACGTCCTCGCGTAAGCCCTTGTTTGAGAGATCATCACATTCAGGCAAGACGTCGTTGGTGTAGGGATCGTCAACACTGGGATAATCGACGCTGGAGCAATGTGATGTTTTCAGATGAGTCAAGGTTCACTGTTGATTTTTTGGACAGACGTAGGAGGGTGTGGCGTCTTCGAAACGAGCGCTTCCAAGACGTTAACGTCATCAGACATGATCGATTTGGGGGTGGTTCTGTTATGGTGTGGGGAGGCATCACTGTTGCTGGAAGAACGGCTTTACATGTTGTTGCAGGGCGTGTTACAGGCCAGTACTACCGGGACAACATCTTGGCAGTCCATGTTGTGCCGTTCGCACGACGTCATGGCCGCCGTTTCATCTTTTAGGATGACAACGCAAGATGTCACAGGGCCAGGATCGTTACAGGTTACCTCCAACAACAGAACATCACCACATTACCTTGGCCAGCACTGAGTCCCGACCTCTCCCCCATCGAGCATGTCTGGGACATGCTTGGACAGAGGTTACGTCAACGTCAACAACGTCCTACCAATGTCCAAGAACTTGCTGCTGCGTTGCAACAGGAATGGGACAATCTGGACCAAAATGACCTTAGACGTCTCATTAGGAGTATGCCACGTTGGATCAATGCTTGTTTGGCAAACAGAGGAGGATTTACCCGTTACTGACTTGGTTGTGATGCTGTGGTAACTTTGCTGTTTGACCCCGGGTATCATTTTACCCTTATAATGGTCAGTCTGTGCCTTACTTAGTCTAACGATCATTTGGAATAAATCGATGAATGTGAACTTCATTTCATTTTGTCATTTGTTTCTTCGTCAGTTTCATTAGGTGACTTTAATAACACTTAAAAATCAAATATCCCCTACTTTTTTTGAATAGTATATATATATATATATATATCATTACCGCATCATATATGGCTCAATAAATTTAATTCTACGTCTTTCTTCTGTAGCTAAATATACTCTTCAAAAAAAGTAGGGGATATTCAGAAACTATACAAAACTACGAAAGTGCACTGCTATTTTTATTAGAGGTAACCAGTGTATGTTAATAACAGGCCAACACGTGCATGTCGCAGGTGCAGCTCAGGCATGCCCCTAATCAACCGTCCAATCACGATTTGGGACAACCTGACCCACTCCTCTTGCAATGCCAAGGCCAATTATTGCAGTGTTGTCGGTTGATGTTGACTCATGGCTGGCCAAGGCATATGGACAATATGGTGATGCTGGAGGCATTATCATTTTGAAAGATGAAACGTCGACCTGCACGTTGAGTAAAGGGAAGAACTATCGGTGCCAGGGTGTGGTCACGGTAGTACTGCCAGTCATGGTGATTCCTCCCCACACCACAACAGACCCACGCCAGAATCGTTCATGCTGACGTTAACGTTAGCATGACGCCTATCGGTGAAATCCAGAGTAAATCGACGCCCATCGACGATTAACCCAATTGCTTGTTTGCCATGTACTGGCGAGTTAATGGAGAACAACACGCGGTCGTCGCGCCTGCAAATGGGCTACATCTAGCCGATTTCTAATCGTTTGGGGTGTAACTCGAATTCCTGTAACTTGGTACAAGTTTACAGAAAGCTGATTGGCCGTTTGTCCTCGATTTCGCAGGACCTGTGTACGAATGTATCAATCCTGGGCTTGTGGAGTGGCTCTAGTACGACCTGAACAAGGTCTATCATCACCATTGTGCGTTTGTTGGTACCGGTTCCACAGTCTGCTGATCACAGACTGTGACACATTAAGCATGTTGGTTACTGCTCGCTGTGTAGAACCCATTTGAAGCATGCCAATAGCACGTAGACGCTCATCACGTTGACGACGTCTCATTGCAAATTAAACGTAACACACTAAAGCAAAGATACGCTAAGCAGTAAATCTTATGCAAGAACCGACAGAAAAACAAACATGGATAGGATAAACTAGCACGCGGCAGTTTTCATCAACCCTCCTTGAAGTGTCAAAGTTGACAATGAACCCCTCCCACGTGCATGGCGCTATTGCGTGTCGCAGGTGCAGCTCAGTGGTTCATCTGTGAACATACATGTACTCTCAAAACATGTCAAGTTTCCATGACTATTTATCATATCACAACCTGTATAGGTATTTGCATTTCAATATCCCCTACTTTTTTTGAAAAGTATTTTAAAACAAATGGAATTTAATTTATTTAGAACATTACCTATTATTACTATGTTCCTTATTTTATCCAAATACGTGTGAAACCTATATGAAATATAACAATTTATTTAACGTTATAGCTCTAGCTGCTTTTCAGAAAATGGGTTTAGCTTGCATTTCTATAGCATGATTAAAAACTTACCCATGTCAGCTTGTGACGCAGCTGGTTTGTAACAAATGACAGAAGCCGTATTATAAATATTACAATTTCTGTCGATGGTGGAATAACTGCAGTTCCTCAGGAATTGTTCTGTTCCCGTACACATAAAGTTGGTGTATGATGATCTGGGGTAGCCGTAGTAATAACCCGATGAAGTACTCAACTTGGAGCAGCACATGGCTTTACCATCATCGTACCCCAACTGTTTACACACCACCTTAGCATCAAGGTCATCCCATTGTGAATCACACACTTGTCTCCATCCCGTTAATTCTCTTATCTGCACAACACCCATATCAGAACCAGCCCATGCTATTTGAACTGTAAATAAAGGAATACTTCAGCCTCGTATAACAAGCATCTTACTTCAAATATGTTAATAAACAAAGCCATTCTAAAATAATTTTAAAGATATATTGACAATTGTCTGGAATTACGCAGTCCAAGAGAGCCAATGTCCTTTTCACAAAATGATGACACCAATTCTAACAAAGAGGATCTTCAGAATTAGAAATAATGTGATACTAGTGGCATCGTAGTAGCATCAATGCTATGTGGATTCTTAAGCAAACCAAAGAAATTCTTAAAAACAAAATGCCGACGTTGAAATATACAGAATAAGCAATTGCGAAAATATCTAATGTGGGTGTCAGATCAATTCTTCACCATGTAATTACATTTATTCCATAACAGGAGCATGAGGCTAAAACGGCGACAATGCACGCTACGCGTTTAGGCGGGGGGGGGGGGCGTAAAGTTATTGTAGGAAAAATCAGCCAATAAGACGGCAGAAGACCAAACATATATGGAGAAGATATGGCACTGGTGTACCTCGTTGATTGGCTGTAATAATGACAATGCATTTCATGTTTTAACAGTTTTAGAAGTAAAGTGTGGCTTGTATTAATGGTCAAACTTAGGCGAGTGATTGTGGTAATAAATATGTCTTAAGCGTTATTAAAATGCACTCTGTAAAAGTAAAGTTATTGCGTTTCAAAGAATTGACCAACGAGATTGCAATAGATCAATTTAAGTGCTTATTGGCGTTGAAATTCGATCTGAAAATCATTTCATTAGAAATACACTTGCTGTGTTCTAATTCAAATAGATTGCAATACGCTAATTACATATGAATAGATGGCATTGATGTGAGAAGGGCGTGCTTATATTCGAGTGACTGTGATAATGGAAGTTTGGAACCTATTTAATAGCCCCCGCGCTGTGGTTCCAATGAACAGCAGGGTGCCAAAATATCAAATTGAATAACAAACCGTCTTGATTGAGGCATTTGACCCCAGCATCTTCATAATGGCCGCAATTATGGATTCCCCATCCAGCAAAAGCACAATTTACCAAGGAGGTTTCATTTCCTCTACAATCCACATTATCCATATTTATTGGACCAACACCTCTGGGGAATGTGCTTATGCTTGTGCTATGTGCCTGTAAATCAAATTTATATTTCAAAAGCATCCCTAGCACTCTTTATTCATATGCATACACCTTCATATTTAAAGTAGCTAAGTCTCTAACTCAGTATCATTCAAATTCTTCGACATTGAAAACACGAATTATTTGTCGATTTAAAGGACAATATTGGTGCCAGTCATTATCACATATGTGATAGAGCTGGTTAAACACATTCCAAATATAATTTTATCTCAGAGATCATTGCTACGATAGCTGAGTAATACAGTTTTTCTGAATCGGAAGTGACGAACGCCAAAGGAAAACACGAGTCGCCTCTCTATATAACTGACTGATGTGACGAATGATAATTCGGATATACGGGCAAATTTCTGCTCACTAATAATTCCTTTCAAGACCAAAAGTTGTTGTGTGAGACTGTGAGAGGATATCTGACTATTCATAAAAAGAATTGACTGTCACTAGATAAGTGAACACGAAAGAAAAACAGAAAAAGTCCGTGCATTACCATGTTTTTATAAGGTATAGAATGAATATAAACAAGGGAATGTACGGACTATTTCTATTTTTCTCGTGTTCTCTTATCTAATGACATTCAATTACTTTATTGAATTGTCAGGTATCCTCTTACAGTCCCATATAACAACTTTTGGTCTCCGAAGGAATTATTAGTGAGCAGAAATTCGCCCGTATATCCGTTATCATTCGTCACATCAGTCAGTTATATAGAGAGAGGCGACTCGTGTTTTCCTTTGGCGTTCGTCACTTCCGATGCAGAAAAACTGTATTACTCAGCTATCGTAGCAATGATCCTGAGATAAAATTATATTTGGAATGTGTTTAACCAGCTCTATCACATAATATGTGATAATGGCTGGCACCAATATTGTCCTTTAAATCAACATTGATGTTGTGATCTTACCGAGAAAAGATGGGCTTATGATATTCAATATTTAAGACAAAATAAACATTTTACCATTGGTACACGAATCGTGTACCATAATGCGTTTCAGTGCCATTTGTAACAAGGGACTCAAAGAACGAGGCTAGACATATTCCACAAGTCATGTCAAACGGTGATGCCATATTCTTATCTGGAGGGCATGTACAGTAAATACTATCGGTGTAGACTGGAATAACCAGACGCTATGAACTGCCATTCGATCTGAGACTTCTGGCGCATTTCGCCGAACATAATGACTTGAAATCAGAGTACAAACGGAAACTAATGAAATATAAATAGTTTATATACATTCATATTACATTATTATATTTGTGTCAATTTCTATGTCCGAAATATTAGCGATTTAGCTCCCTTAATCTTTTTAGTCACAATGAAGGTATGATTTAGCACAAACTGCTATAGTTATACTATTACCTATTCAACTCAACAAATTCTATTCTTCCATTCTATAGATATACGCAATAACATTCTATTATATATAGATATGTATATCCTGTTGTGAACAAATGCATTTCTAGTTTTTATAAATTTAACCTTTCTCCCCTTTCGCTAAATCACTATCTATTTATGGTTAAAATCACATTGATGGTATAATAAAGATAAATAAAATCAAGTATAGTTTATAGAACATACGACCCTAACACCGATAAGTCTCTTTCACAGCGACAAATAATAGATCTTACCGTGCCATATTTAAAATTAAACATTCGACAAACAACAGCGGCATCAACATCGTCCCAATAGTCATTACAAACCGTCCCCCATTCTTCTGTTGCATTACGTCTTACTTCTACCCTTCCTTCACCATCAGAACCATTTACTAATCTAATGCTAAATCCTAGTAAACAAGTACATGTGCAAATTACTATGTAAATCGTAAATCATCAAGCTTTTGGTTTTACAAAATAGAAAATGAAATGAAATGATTTTTAACGTCCTACTCCAACTGGGCTAATAAAGACGGGCATTCGCAATACAGTGAGCTATGAGGGAAACTCTGCATAGACAGTGGCGCTACGGTCTACTCTTATATCGAATTCCAACTGGAATGGAACACGGACCCGCGGGTTAGCACGTCTTACTTACTGAGCCACCTGGGCTTCCTTTAAATAATAGAACCGCTAAATATTGCGAGAGGGAGAGAGAGAGAGAGAGAGAGAGAGAGAGAGAGAGAGAGAAATGGGGTTTAACGTCCACTCGACACAAACTAGGTCATTTCGGGACTAACATGGTTTAATTTTATTTCAATAATTCGCTTGCGCATAACAGGGTCTTTAGCAGTGGGAGGAAACCGGAGGACCCGGAGAAAACTCACGAGGTTGGACAGGCGACCCTACTCCTTGTCACGTACAACCGAGGATTCGAAACCACGCCAGTCGACTCAATGACAGACTTTATGATACAGCACGCGCACGCTAACCATTCAGCTATCCAACACCCCCCCCCCCTAAATATTGCGGCAATGGCATAATATAGCCACGTTGCAAAGTTTAACAATCATTTCCTTATGGGTCATGCGTGCAAAAATGATGCTCTTTTCAAATTTTATATCTGCATTCCTTTACAGAAAGATATGAAGTTAATGGGTATCATTACTCATATCTGATTCATGATTTGAAAAAATATTTCCCGTTCCAAATTTCAAAGTGCATGAACATACTAAAAAAATAAAAAAATTGATTATAATTCGAGATTCGATTTCAGTTTTTTTAAAATCATAAAATATATAAATGATGGGCATGCATTACTTAATACGCTTTCGATACTGCATCCTCCAATCTCCACTGTAGTTCTACCACCACACATTTAGAACAGCACCATATTGGGGTTGTCAAACTAACGTTCCAGCTGTTGTGGACCATCCCTCGTGTGATGAAGCCAATTATTGAACACATGATTCGATTGCAAAAGGGACATTAAACAGTCGTGTTCTGTTACTTTAGGGGGCTAAGTTGGTAAGACGCTGGCTCGCTAGCCCGGAGGTCGGGTGTTCGATCCCTGCATTGGCCGAGAAAGGTAATCCAGATTTTCCGGCGTGGTTTCCCCTTGTCAGTGATGCAGGACGGAGGGCCCGACAAGGACAGCTGTCTAGTCGTTCGGATTGGACGAAAAACCGAGGTCCCGTGTACACATTGGCGTGCACGTAAAAGGTCCCTTGGCAGTTGGAATTCGATATAAGAGTAGGCCGTAGTGCCGCTGCCCGGGCAAAATTTCCCTCATAGCACACTGTATGGCGTATGCCCGTCTTCATTATCCCAGTTTAGGAGCAGAACAGTAGGACGTTAAACCCCATTTCATTTCATTTCTGTTACTTTAGGGGTGTGATTGTAACCGCTAGTGCAATATACCTGCAACCTAATGCAATAATTTTAAACTTGAGGGGATTATCACATGCTATGTCTGCATGACTTATCATGAACTTACTGACAAGATATGCACACTAGAAAACAAGAACTTTGTCAAAAATTTAATTCTTGTAACTTTAAAAGTTTTGTTTTATAACTCACCTCCCACTGTAACTTCTGGCATGGCTGCTTCTGATGCCTGCCATAGAGACAGCATCAACGCCAACCAGGTAAGAATCATGCCAAAAATGGACTCCTCGGAGGGTGGTTGTTGAGTGGCAGCAATGTTTACCCCCACAATACAAGTGGGCAAAATAAAGCTCTCATGATCCGTCTCACTAGTTAAACAGTAATAAATTTCAATAAAGGCAAGTCTCTTGAATTATAAACACCACACAGTCTTGTTTGTTGAAATTTGTATTCAGGTAAATAATATAAATGTTTTGATAAATAAAAGTAATGTATGTTATAATGCTGCCTTTGTATTCTTTAAATTTCAATCTTCAATAGATAAGTATATGTATATTTATCAAGACTAAATATAGTAAAAGTGATCACGACAACTACTGCATATTACATTGAATATTTTCTATAGTTCTGGAATGTATCCAATACACGCGTGACTAATAACACAAAAAACACTTACAAGGCTTACAATGTATTCTTGTTTGTTGACCCTGTGTAAGTTTAAAAAAACAAGTCTTGCTGAATAACAGTTATTCAACTATTTAAATGAATTATAGGGCAACAAGACAGAATATCTTTTACTTTTTGATTAAGAATATTGCTAAATAAAGCAATATTTTAAATTAAAAGAGACGTTATGCGCCATGCGGATGTCAGCTAATAAAATCAATATTTGATTGTAAAGGTTTGCTAATATTCTAATTCCAATGTATGTAAATTTTAAAACTGCTAATTTATCAGACTTATTTCTTACATATTGTAGTCAGAATTTGAATTTCAAATACAAATCTATATTTCGTTTTTTTATACTTTCGATAGTCTCCACTACTTACATATCTGACCGGCTGTAGTGGGAGATTGCATAATTGAGCTATTGGCATTCATTTCATCTCATTATATGAGGGTTGACTGAAATGTTCTAAGCCTGCCTGTGAAAGACCTGTACAAAGTCCATGGCTTCCATTTAATTTTCTACATAGTCAACTTCGAGGTGTACAAACTATTTTGCCAAAGGTGTTGCCGGGCAGAGAGGCATTTTCTTTAGCAACCCTAAAGAAGTCGTTCAAAGCTGACGTGAGGTCATCATCACTAGGAAAATGACGACCGGATAGTTCCTTTTTCATTTTTGGAAACAGGTCTCATCCATGGTTACAAATCTGGCCAAACAATTATCAGGATCTGCTTCAAAATGGCGCAGATTGTCACTGCACGTCATGAATCTGACACGTTTCTCATCCGAAGTCAAGACCTTTGGCACCCATTTTCCAGACACTTTTGTTATTATCGTTGGCGATAATGTTCTCAGCCGTGATATGAGAGATGCCCACAACACTAGCAATATGTCGAGCGGTCAATCGTCGATCAGCCATCACCATGTCATGCATCGGGTAATGTTTTCTTGAATGGCCGTCCAAGACGCGGGTCATGTCAATGCTCTCTCTGCCACGCTCAAATTAGGCAGCTCATATCTTTACTTGGAAAAGGAAGGGGCAAACTCCCCTAAAGTAGAGATCATGTCGGCTTGTATCTGTGTCCTTTCAGTTGCAGGTACTTGATGACTGCCCTATAGACAGTTTTGTCCATTTCACAATATGGTCTGGTACGAAGTCAATCAAAACACTAGTCTACAGTTGCATTTCTTATGTGTATGATTCAGTTAATGATTGTACTTGTTGGTGGCACAAGTTTGCTTCAAACCAATTGATCTATCATTTCTATTGCACCCAATTAAACCTAAATCTAATTGTCTTAAGCAATTAAACAGAGAGAGAGAGAGAGAGAGAGAGAGAGAAGAGATGCCTTTGATGTTATATGAGAGAGGGTGAAATGGGGTTTAACGTCCACTCGACAAAAACTAGGTCATTTCAATTTTATTTCAATAATTCGCTTGCGCGTAGGAATCTTTAGCAGTGGGAGGAAACCGGAGGCCGCGGAGAAAACCCACGAGGTTGGACACGCGACTCTACACCTTGTCACGTACAACCGAGGAATCGAAACCACGCCAGTTGACTCAATGAGACCTTATGATGCAGTGTGCACGCGCTAACCATTCGACCATCCAACCCCATTTAAAGTTACAATTTCATATTATTAAGTTATGTATTAAAATAAAGCCCTAAAATAGATGGTATCTATAAACAGTCCTACCTTGTTAAAGAATAATCCTATTAATCCTATAATTCACTATTGCCAATTGAGAAATTGGCAAAAATATCATGTTCAACTTCAAATTCAAACGTTTGAAGATAGCTATTCCATGGCGGGGGAATAGGAAAACAAGGGAGGTAATTGGGAGGTAATTGTCTTATTAATTCCGGTGCGAAGATTTTTAAGTGTGAGAAAGATAACCTATGATCGTATAATAATAGTGAGTTGACAAACTATTGAGCAAAAGAAATAATTATGTTTTGACTTTCTTAGAAAATATGAAATTGTAACTTTAAGCAATTACAATAGCGTGTACATTGATAGCATTATATCACGATACCAACCCTAACTGAGGACCATTTGTAGGCTATGTCCCTGATACACTAAACATAACGCTAGGCCCTATATTCCTAGACCTTATAGTATACTCTTCAAAAAAAAAAAAAAAAAAAATAGGGGATATTCAGAAACAATACAAAACTGCGGAAATGCACTGCTGTTTTTATTAGAGGTAACCAGTGTATATTAATAACAGGCCAATTGCCTACACATGAACATAAACAGTTCATATGGGCGGCTTATTTGACGGCCCCATTTCACTCGCAAAGAGATACGCTGTCAAAAGCGAAAATGGACGTTTTTGATTTTTGTCTTAATAATGAGTAATTGTTCCACCAATCCTCAGACATTCAGTAATTCGTCGTGGCATGCTCCTAATCAACCATCCAATCACGATTTGGGGCAATCTGACCCACTCCTCTTGCAGTGACACGGCCAATTCTTGCAATGTTGTCCGTTGACGTTGACGTCGACGAACATGTCTCCCGATCAAATTAAACGTAACACACTAAAGCAAAGATTCGCTAAACATGGATAGGATAAACCAGCACGCGGCAGTTTTCATCAACCATTCCTTGAAGTGTCAAATTTGACAATGAACCCCTCTCACTTGTATGGCGCTATTGCGTGTCGCATGTGCAGCTCAGTGGTTCTGTCAGGGCGATAAGTTCTTCATCTCTGAACATACTCTCAAGGCATGTCACGTGTCCACGACTATTTATCATATCGCAACCTGAATAGGTATTTGCATTTCAATATCCCCTTTTTTTTTTTGAAAAGTATATTATAGTTAAGCGTCACTTAATTTTCAAACACTAGTTCTAAAGAGGCCATATTATAAGAAACCCGGTGTATGTCAATTGATTATGAATCCGATCGCCACACTTATCATTGAATCTTTATAATCTGGAAAGAGCTATCTAATCATTGTCAAAGTTCAAAACTATAACGGATCGCACCTAGAGTGCTCGATCTATTGGTGTCACGTATGTCCAATACAGTGTGCATGATATTATGACCATTTTGATTTGATTAAGATTATTGACATATGAAGAAGCAATAAGGTGTCACGTTTCACGTATCCCAATTGCTTTATTATGAGTGTCCCCGAAAGTCATTATTTGTTCACGCCGATATTGCATTATATTATAATGGCCACAGGCATGTGTACGTTAATAAATATAGTACATATGTTGTTTATAAAAGTTTATAATAACAAGTGTACATATTTTCGGATTGTGGTAATAAAGTTTTATTTAAAAGCATTTGATTATTCTGAAACGCCCATAGTAAAACGCATCAGAGAATGCCCCCTGGGACCGACGATGTAGCCTACTATTACTTGATTGGTAATTTACAAATATTTTACCCAAGATTCAAACACCATGTACTAATATGGAAACTGCGGGGCAAGTTTTCTAAGAATTAGCTGGGGGGGGGGGGGGGGGTCGTGGGTCGTGAGGAATGACTGGTACCACAAACTAAGATCAAATTCGGATTTCTAAAGTAACTGTTAAAGTATTAGTTTATGTCCAAGATATCTGCTAAAACCTATGACATAAGCAAAATGGAAGCAAACGAAAGTGAATTAATAGAATTGTGACAATCACAAGGCCTGACATTGAGTCAAGTGGCAAGCTTTCGATTTCCCTCTTGTACGTGACAAGGAACAGGGTCGCCTGGCCAACCACGTAGGTTTTCTCCCATAGGAAAGTACCTCAACGCGCAAGCGATTTATCGAAATAAAATTGAAACTGCGGGGCAAGTTTTCTAAGAATTAGCTAGAGGGGGGGTCGTGGGTCGTGAGGAATGACTCGTACCACAAACTAAGATCAAATTCGGATTTCTAAAGTAACTGTTAATGTATTAGTTTATGTCCAAGATATCTGCTAAAACCTATGACATAAGCAAAATGGAAGCAAACGAAAGTGAATTAATAGAATTGTGACAATCACAAGGCCTGACATTGAGTCAAGTAGCAAGCTTTCGATTTCCCTCTTGTACGTGACAAGGAACAGGGTCGCCTGGCCAACCACGTAGGTTTTCTCCCATAGGTAAATACCTCAACGCGCAAGCGATTTATCGAAATAAAATTGAACCGTGCGTTAGACCTGAAATGATCTAGTTCGTGTCAAGTCGACGTCTCTCTCTCTCTCTCTCTCTCTCTCTCTCAGAAGCCCGGATGTAATACCCGATTTGATTTTAAGGTCGATCTGAGATGTTCCGCGGTAGGGGGTATTCTACAGTTAGGGTGTATCTTTCGTGTGTGTGATCTGAAAAAGGAAAAATATGATTGTGTGTATGAAGTCCGTGGTTAGTGTTTACAGGACAGCGAGTGTATCATGTCCTCGGTTAACCGATTTCTACCATACATATCATATCATTATTTCTGCCATATCTAAACTTAATAACCGTTTTCAACCCGTACGATATTAAAAATCACGCCACCTGAAACTGAAAGTTCGAAATTTTTACCTAGTGTAACATGATAAAATAATAAATAATCAACAACTGAAATATTTCAATTTCAAGTAGTGACACTTGTTAGGGTTTATTAAGCCAGTTACAATTGTCTTATATAATGCGTAAGTATCACTGGGCAATTGTTGCCTTGCGGATGTACGACAGATAGAAATTGGTGAAG